CTGGCGTGCATGCTCTCTTCTGCCAATGGACTTCTTTTCGGCATGGACACTGGTGTGATCGGCCCAGTGACTGATATGAAATATTTCAAGTCTCAGTTCGGAGGTAGTCAAAATGCGACAATTCACGGTCTTATCGTCTCGTCCATTCTGATTCCCGCGGCTCTGTCGTCCTTTTTCGCCGGGTATGTTGCCGATAAATTCGGTCGCCCTAAAGGCATCAGCATTGGTGTTTTCATCTTTGGCGTCGGTGCAGCCATCGAAGCTGCGGCCACATCGCTGGGGATGTTTATAGGTGGCCGTGTGATTGAGGGACTAGGAGAGGGACTGTTTCTTGGTAACTTGGTTGTCTACATTTGCGAGATCTCACCAACTAGCACGAGGGGCCCATTGACGACCGGCCCGCAGTTGCTTATTACTTTGGGCCTTGTTGTGGGATATTTCACTTGTTATGGAACATCAAATATCGCATCTTCGCTCTCATGGAGAACTCCGTGGATCATCCTTGCATCTCTGTCTATGATTCTATCGGCCTGTTCTCTCATGTTTCTCCCGCCATCTCCTCGATGGCTAACTCTTCATGGTCATCAGGATGAAGCAGATGCGGTGTGGGACATGCTTGGTGTTTCTCATGCGGAGCGTGAGAAGGTCGAACTTCAAGTTGCAGTCGAAGAAGTTCCGGCTGGTAACGATGAACCGGAAAACAAGAAAACTCACAAATTATTCGAAATCTTCCAGAAAGATGTCCGGGGTCGCACTGCTCTTGCAGTATTCCTAATGGGTGTTCAGCAGCTCAGCGGTATTGATGGCGTCTTATATGTAGGTTGAAAGGCTTCGTCTGTCTACTATTGCATTCATACTGACTTCAAGTTTAGTACGCCCCTCTCCTCTTCCAGCAGGCTGGTCTTGAATCTTCCGAAGCAAGCTTTCTTGCGTCTGGTGTCTCGGCGCTGGTCATTTTCGCCGTCACTATTCCTGGTTTGATCTACTGTGACAAATGGGGACGACGACACAGTATCATCTATGGTGGTTTTGGACTTGCTCTCATCATGTTTCTAATTGGTGGTCTATATGCCGGGAACGCTGTCCATGCCACCTTTGGCGCAGGTCGCTGGGTCGTTATTGTCTGCATCTACATCTTCGCAGTCATATATTCCTTGACTTGGGCAGTTTCGGTCAAGGTCTACAGTGCTGAGATACAGCCTCAGCGAACTCGTGCATCTGCTACAACACTGGCTCATTCAAGTAACTGGATATTCAACTTTTTGGTCGCATTGGTCACTCCTGTTCTACTATCCAAGAGTAATTGCGGTGCCTACTTCTTGTTTGGAGGATGCTCCGTCATTGGCGCTGCTGTGGCTGCCATATTTATGATTGAAACTAAGGGACGGTCCTTCAATGAGATCGAGGAGGATTTCGAACACCGAGCACGATCACCAGGTGGGAATGGTATCTTCAGTGCCCTCCGACGTAAAAGCGAAAAGCAGGATCTGTGAGTCGAAGGGGGGGGGGGGCTTGAATTGCCATTCCATGTACATTTACGATTGGAAACGAATAGATGACCATTGGATAGAACTCAGAAAAATTGCTGGGATAGATAGATTATAGATTGAAATTAATTGAGACAGGCTCTGCCTTGTTATTCAATAATATCAGTGCCTAGTATACACATGCTCCTCTCTTGTGCCGTTGGCTTAGTTCCCAGTGTTTTGTTTCCATTCGACTTGAATGCCGAATGAGCAAAGAGAATTGTGTAAATAAGCTTACCGGTGATAACGAAGTAAAATTGATATAAAGAAATATGTATCGCAATGATAATACAAAATTAGCCCTTGGTGCGGCCAAAGAATGGCCTTGCAGAACCTTAGAAGATCAAAATAAACATCACACGCTTCCTAGCTCCTCCATAATGCAAAAGCTAAACGCAGCGCGCACTCGGGTCCTTAGTATCATTTATGCTCCTAGAACCTCACCTAATATTTCCCCGGCTGCTTCGGTCATCCCTTTGTTAAGGTTTATCGCCGTAATTCCAGAGAGGAACACCAATTCAATGAAGTATGGGTCGCCTTGAATGACGTCCAGTGTCTTTTCGCCTGATTTTCCCTTGCTAAAGGTAGCAACCCGCCTGTCGGAACCATCCCGTAGTTCCATCTTATTTAAAGAAAACATGTCTGGCTTCCATTTCATATGACCCATCGTTGGGTGGTCGAATTTGCATTCTCCAGATCCCAATTGGCTCAGGCGCATCTCTAGAGGCTGACCACGAAGCGTTAAGTGGCATGTAGAATGTAATAATTTCGGAAATTTTCCATCTCCGATTATGTCAAAAGGGCCGGCTCCCCAGCCTGAAAAAACCACGACATTGGGTTTTGTATCCTTAGATGCTGCGATTGAAAATACCGGGGGTGCTTCGATAGGATATCCTGCCGGGTGGACTAAAGTCCTGCTTGGGTCCCACTGAGCGGGTCGAATGATAAAAGAAATGAAGCTTGCCATGACAGTAGAGAAATTAGTAGAAGAAGGTCAATGCATTGTATGTGTGAGTGCAAAATAATGGTTGCACCTGCTAAGCTTATAGCTTTTGAATCCTACCGGAAAGTTCTTTATCTGACATGAAGATGCCTCATTTGGGAAACGATCGTCACATGTGTGACTGCGCCAGGCTTGGCTTTATTTCTAGAGCCTGAAAACTGAGGCTTGAATTTTCCCAAATGAGAAGCATGCTGCGCCGGGTGGGGGTGGTGCATTGAAACCTGGGAATAGCTCATTGGTTGCCGCTACGAGGACCCCATTAGCGGCTTGTGATTGGGGGGGGAGGTTTGGGGCCGTTTTATCCTGCCAAGCTTCAGCTCTCCCAACTTCACCTGTCAGCCAGCTATTTTCCTTCAGCTAGACTTGGCTTCGACGTTGTCAAATCTGCCTCATAATGTCTATTCATATTTCGTCACTGTCACATTTATCTTCTTTAAGATCTCCGAGAGCGCTGTTGACGCGTCTTAAAGGATTATAGTCTGCAAAACCGCCACTGCTGATCACAATTGTTTCCTTTTCTTGCAATTATTCCGTTTCGCGTAAAACGCTGCGCCCTTGACACTGAAGATTCCAAGCAAAAATGCCTGGTGTTCCATCTAGTAAGGGGTGCGACGCCTGCCGCAAGATCAAGAAGAAGGTGACATATTATCTATCGGCTTTACTATTGGAAGCCCAAGCTGATGCACAGACCAGTGCGACGAGCTTCAGCCTTGCTCTCGATGTCGTCGGCTGCAGATAAACTGTATCGGCAGTGGCAAGCAGCGATTTAAGTTCAAGCATGCCGATTCCAAATTAGCGACTGGCCACACAACCCTCGGGAAACGTCGGGCCATTGTACCTTCAGCTAGAGCCGCAGCCAGTTTCAGAATTGCGATGCAGGTTCCCGATAACGAGCTGGCTTCCTCTCTCATTGGAACGCTTAATATAACCGATATTCGATACGGCTTGGAGTATTACGGCTACTTCTTGAAAGATATTCCGAGGCGTTTGGGAAGCAGTGCAGCCCTTGACGCCGCCGTCAAAGCACTGGTCACCGCTTACCCATATTTTCACGATAGAGACTTCCCTCCAGAAGCACTAATGTACTACGGGCGATCCCTGCGATCCCTGCGAGATACCCTGGATGATCCAACTGAAGCTCGATCGGTCAATACGCTCTGTGCGGTTTACCTCATCACTATCTGCCAGGTATATGGAAACCCAAGATCGTTTATCTCTCCTGGGGCATGATCAATGCTAACTTAACTTACAGAGCTGGCTTGGAAAATATGATGATCAACTGGCTAGCCATGGGGAAGCCATCGCTCATCTATTGAAGATGTCAGATTTCACTCAAATCAAAACCAATTTTGAGCGAGACATCATTATCACTTTGACTGTACCTGTGGTATGTAGAAATACGAGTGTTTGGAGAATATTATACATGATATTACTTCATTTTTTTTAATGTTGATGTGGCAAAGCTGGTACTATGGCTAATTAATACAGATAATTGAGGCTATTGTCAATCCACGAATCAAGATGGAGCCGAAGTTCTTTCAACTAGTTTCCAACCTTAACGACAGCGCACCGGTATCACCCCAACGCAATGAAATACCCAGGTCTTCTACGAAACTTCCCACCATCGCTAAATTCCCGGAATGGATCCGAAATCTCACCCCGGGCGACCTTCCTGAGATTGCAGCGGCATATCTGCGGATTCGAAACGACTCCCAAAGGATGCGCGAATACCTAGATAACTGGCCCGCCACAGGCTATACAGTCACGTCGTCATTTGTAGTGATGCAGCGCTCGCGGTATCAAGCAGGATACGCCACCTTGATTACCTTGGGTCTTATGTTAAATACGCTCCTCCGTGTATTCCATTCGGACAATCCCGTGTTATCTGCTGAAGCGTCTTTCTTCTGTGATGAGATTGTCCTAGAGGCTGAGCTTGCCTCTTGTTATCGACCGCTTGGTGCTGCTTATATCGCATTGTGTCTCGTCGTTGCTTGGGCTGCAGCCGAGGACTCGCATCAGTTGGATCGCATTGACTCCATTTTAGCAGACTACCAGTCTGATTTCAAAGAAATTAGCTGGAAAGATCGAGCTATATGGCTGAGGAAACAGTTTCGCAGGTATCTAAACATGGCGGGAGCTGAAACGACTGATCTCGGCCCTCCAGACAGCCCTCGAAAGCTTGCAGCCAATGTTCCTGACAGTAGCTCAAGCCCAGAGACATGTTGCGTTATGTAACGACTTGATATAATGTTTGATTTCAAGTTGCAAACCAGGGGGTTGCATCGCACGTGTACTCTTAATAATGTACCAGAGTGCCATTTCACAAAAAGATAAAACACGGTGTTTGAAGTTCATCGATTGTAATTATGAGGGTGATAATTATTCACAATAAAGATAGCTGATGTTTGAAGAAGCTGGTCAAGTCTCAACACCAATCCTGTTTCGCAAGGCTGTTAGATTGAACGATCGTTTCAGTCTTGAGACTTATTTGGCTGCCGTTTCATGGATTTCCATTCTACCAACAATGCTCCGAAGAATGATAAGCCTGCTGTGGCTACACAAACATAAAATGTCTCTGTCACGGCGAGATTGTACGCGTAGAGAACGGAAGGAAGAGCCTCCTTGGGGAGCCGATGTGACAAATTTGCTGCTCCTGATCGGATGACGGAAGTGGGGTTGACCATGGGGGCATTTTCAATGAGACTTGCCACTAGCCGATTCTGAAAAACATTTTGAGCAATTGAGATAAACACTGCACCGCTCAGGCTTTGCGAGAAAGTAATGATCGCAATCCCAATGGGTATGTCATGCAATGGCAAAACCGTCTGCAAAGCATTAATGCATTGTTGGAATCCTACTCCAGCTCCGATCCCTATGATAATCTGGTAACCAATCCATTTTTCGTGCGACGTCTGAACTTGGAATGTTGTACATAGTCCCGACCCGATCGTGAGAAGCGCGCTCCCGAGAAACATGAGAGGTGTATAATACCCGATGAGATTTACCAGCAATCCTCCGATGGCCGAACAGACTATCATCGAAACCACCATTGGGAGATTGTTGATTCCGGACTCTGAGGCTGACTCCCCTTCAATTGCTTGGAACCAAATCGGGAGCTGGGTGCGTTAGGCTTTTGTTCAAATACAGGCTGTCGGCACGATAACTCACATAGTACCCAAATACAAAGAAAGAGCCTCCTAAGAACAAGGCGTGGATGACAGCGCCAAGAACATTGCGATCTTTCAGCAGACGAGGGGGAATCGTGGCTTCTTCTTGCTTCCAGAATTGAATCACACACCATACGGAGCCAAATACCCCGAAAATCACAAAGAGAACAATGATTCGGGGATCTGCCCATTCGTACTTCGTTCCTCCCCATTGCATGGCGAGCAAAATCGATATGATAGCCGGTATGAAAACAAGAATCCCCCACGGGTCCATTCTTTTGACTTTGTTCATTTTCCCAGGCTCAAGTTTTGTTCGGGTGCTACTTGAGTCTTTGAAAAACAGTATGATGAATATTCCCGTGAGGACCCCCAAAGGGAGATTGATATAGAAGCACCATCGCCAACTGACCCTGTCAGTAAGTAGTCCGCCAAGCCTGTCGAGGTGTTAGTTAACAGAAATCAAATAAGTTTTAACTTGATGATTTTCTCACAATGGACCAGTTACGGTCGCGATACCGCTGGTGCTGCCGATAATTCCAAAATATAGAGCACGGCGATGTAAAGGCAGGGTATTGGCGAGGACAAGAAGAGCACCCGGAGAAAGTCCACCTGATCCGATTCCCGCAATAGCTCTCCCCAGGATCAGCCCTTTCGATGTCGGTGTCACTGCACATATCAAAGACCCAAACTCAAACAATCCAAGAGCGATGATATATGTCCATTTCGTAGAATAGTAGGTGTATATCTTGCCGAAAGGGAGAGTTACCGCACAAGTTGTCAACAGATAGGCACTCGCATACCAGGCAAGGTCCTCGAGAGAATTAAACTCTTCTGTGATTTTGGGGATCGCGGTCGACAGGATTGTATTGTCCTATATCCGTTATCTATCAGCTTCCGTAATTAGTGTAACCTGGGGCAAGCTTACCAGGGCGATGCAAAATGATTGAAAGCATAAACCTAGGATAATAGGCGCCAGCTTGGCAGGTGATGGGTATTCCACTTTCTGGTCATCAAGAACATCATCACTTCCAGAATCTTTCAGCGGAATATCATCTCGAGACTCCATAAAGCCATCCTGGCAACCTTTCATTTCCGACCTGGTTGACATTAACCAGGTGCAAGATTTCCCAGTCTCCAACTAGACTGAAAACCTTTCTTGTCAAGATAATCGGCACATCCGGAGGCAATCTTCGCGAAGTGTTGTGGAGAGTAGAAAGCTAAGTTTAGCCACGAACGTAGATGTCCTTTTCCATGTAGCTATAATGCAACCTTAAAATCAACTGCAACCATACGTTAACAAGGGGTCGTGTCTTGCTTGATCAACATCGTACGTGTTAAATCTCCTAAGCATTCCTTTGTTGATTGTGTGGCATGCGAAGTTTTTATGGACTACGGATCCCTCTCTAGCACGACTGGCTTCCTTTGACAGCCCATTCATATTGCTTTTGTTCATTACCGACATAATGATTATCTGAAATCTGTGATTAGCTTCTTGGGTGCATATCTCATGCTTTGTGCTGTCCAGGGCTCATCAGTTGAGGTTGGTCGTGATGCACTTTTGCCGAGAGCCATCCCTTCATTCCACCGGGTCCCTGTTCGCTAATTTCCAAGTGATTTATGTCCTCGCCTAAATTGAATCCAGATCTGTTGCGGAGATTTATTTTCAAAGTACCCCGTAAACGCAGCTCTAGCTCGCATCAAGTCATATGATGATTTTGAATAATACTTACATCATTGCCCGTGTTCCTGTAATATCGTTAACGTTGAGTTTTTCGCCCTTACAAATGTCTTACACTTATATGGTTTCCTTTTCTTCAATATCGATGAGCTGCATTGTCTTCATTTTGTTAGAACTCCGCACTCCTCAAGGACTATGAGTTACGAGGCGAAATTGACAACCGAAGAGACTTGCGGTCTTGGCTGTAATCCTCTACCGTGGAGCTCATTTCTTAGAGATTAAATTGACGAAACGACACCTCAGCTGTTTCGATATGAGGCGATCTCGACCATTGACTGTGTTACCCTGTATCTTGCAACATAACAGTAACCAAATATTGTGACCCAGCCTCGCTTGTCTACTCTATGACAATTTATTTCGCGCAAGGGAAATGAAAATACAGTTGAGCACATCGTCGCGGAGGGCAACCAGCAACCTTTCCTTAGAGAAATTATTGGGTTTTCAATCGTTCCCAATTTTCAAGACGCCCTTGTGTTGTGCGAGCATCTCGGTGAAGCTTGCCGCCGCTTTTTTGCGAAATGTGTCGCCCTATATTAAAGTTTTATCTGATCGAATCGGGTCTTACAGTTATTCCGTTAACGGCTCGCGGTACTTGTAGCCGTTGGAGTTTGTGCTACCAAAGTTCGCCAGCTTTTCTACAAGAGGAAGGGAAAGAAAGGGGCGAGCTATAAAGTTTGAATTTGAGTGCTCGGACAGAGCGATCACAAAGGGGTCCCGACGGCATGGATGAGCGTGGTGCTTTGGAATGTTGCTTGAAAATTCTGGGTCAAGGTTCCCGGATGCGCATCCCCGGGCTGGCCGATATCTTGTGATCTTGACCGACCCACCTTGGAAACCTTTGGAGGATTCCCCTGATTACTGGTAACTGCTAGGTAGTACTTATGTGTCGAAATCTGGCTTAGAATGGAGTAGGTGGCCATTAGTAGCTATTCGATGAAGATAGATGTTCACTAGTAACTATTACCGCCTGTCGGCTGCCATAACCCTACTCTTATTAGCAGTAGATACTAACTATATATCGCACCGGCCCCGGAGTACTACTAGTACTACTCTAGGGCTGTATCAGAGTCCGAAACCACCGAAATGTCACCGAAATTCCTGGATGGAACTGCTAATGAAATTTAAGAGGACATGAATCATCATCCACTATAATGATATCCTGGCGAAATAGGTCTGGCTTTGCAATCTTAGTCTACATGGATTCATAAGCGTTGGCACTGACAGACATTCAGGACTCCATCCACTATCTATCTGCTGCGGTGCCCCACTTCAGATGCCTGATCTGAACAATGCCAAGTCAAACGCGAGAGTCGAATTTTAGTAGCCCGATCCATTTTGGCGAGCAGTACGAGCAGTGTTCTAGAAACGTGATCCTTCAAGCGGTGAACTCCTGGGGCAGTCCGAAGTGGAGCGTTCTGCGCCCGCACTCCCTTGCAGAAGGCCATGCTCAACGCCACATAGCCCCGAATTTGTGGGGGCCGGCCCCATATCATATAATATTGCATCCTGACACTGCCTCTGACGAATGAATCTCGTCGAGGTATCAGGGAAAAAAAATGGTGCCGCTTTGAGGGGCCTGGCTCCAGAAGGGGGCGTGGTGCAGGCGCATAACGTCCTGTCGATCTGGGAATGACCGAGCCTCATCTTCTAGAAGAGAAGGGCTGCGAGATTAGGCTACCTGCAACCAATAAAATCTTCATCGGGGTTGGAAATGCATGCTCAGAGGCAAAATATGTACGGTACACCGCAGTAGAGCACTCTGCGACCTCACCGTCGACGCAGGGGGCAGTCTCCACCACATCCGACTTCCCGAGAAACCATGAAACACATGGATCAACGTGTGGTCTCGCGACGTCGCAAACAACACATAATAAGTAAGATCTACAGGGTGCGCATAAGGATGTGTTTCCAAAAATATCTTTGAATAAAGAATCGATCTATACATACTCCCTATCTGTGTTCACAGCCTGAGCTGTGTAGTACTATGCACCAGAGACTGTAGGATCTGCGCAACCCGGGCTTTGCAATTCTTTATATGGGGGGTGGGGGGGGGCAGATGATGCGTGTAAGGCCTTTATCAACTTGAATCAATAATATGGGTTTTATTCCTGCGAGAACGAAATGAGGCCTCCGATGAGGACAATTATGCGCAGGTAACACGCAGTCTTGAGGCTTGACCCTTGCGACACCGCACAGACCAAAGCGGCCTGGGGGTTAGTTTTCAATGATCCGCACGCCACGGCTTGACCAGTAAACCTTCGCACGGAGTCGCGATTTTTGAACTGCTGAGTGACCTCAGTGGCTGGCGGAAGGCGCCTCGGGGGTTGCCGCAGACTTTGGCCCAGAGATCAGACGACGTGGAGAATGTCTATTCTAGAATATCGCGTTAAAGAGGGGAAAGGAAATGGGAAGCATATTAGAGATTAGTCAATGGATGGCGTGCATTGAGCTAGTACGAGTACTCGTATGAGTAAAAAGCAAGTGAAACCAGCTGAGGTCGGGCGCGACGCGGGATAGGAGAAGTGGGAATTGTGTGGGATGGGACATTCCCGGAACTGCCTTCTTGAGTAAGTCGTTTTGTTCATCCCCCAGGATTCGGTCGCAACCGTAGCGGGGAGAGCGACACAGACGAAAGTGAGCCAGTGACCACTGAGGAACGTGGCGGATACATTCGGCTTGTTAGCGAATGCTAGCGCGGTATATTTTCAGGAGAACACAGGCTACGTTGCCCCAGCGGGGAGTCCTTGCCTACAAATTTGTTTCTCTTTGACGATGGGGTGGCAGTTGCAATGTATGAGCTTTCTTGGCTGAAATCTAGCCTCACCATGCTTGATGCGATGCGCCCTGACCCACGAATGGTACGATGAGGGGGCTGAACGCCACCGCCCACCAGCGGATGGAAGCAGGTTTGAGAGCCGACGGGATCCTCGGTAGCTATCCGTTGCCCTGGTTGTGAGTTCAAATTCAGAGGTTCAATCCATATCATGATCTCAGGACAGGGGTAAGTTGAACTGGGCCAAGACAAGAGGTCGAGAGAAGCCTTCTCTGGGCACGTAGGTCAGCGGGCTTGTTTTGTTGTCAAGACCACTTAAGAGATACGAAGCTCATGGAGGCGTTCTAGGCGCCAAGGCGCCATTTTGCGTTTGGGTCGTCTCGGGTTCACGACTTCATCCGGTGGGCGTAACGGAACTGAATCCGTAGACCTGCAGGGTACGGGTATTACTCTCGAGAAGCCTGGAGATTAAAGGAATTCGCTAACCTCGGGAATTATTTGATTCGTGGAGGGCGATCTGAGTACGCTGGCCCTACTACTCGTAGAAGCGGCTGGATCTCGGCTGGGCCCCTTATTTTAGTCTTGAGTAGACTGCATTCTTTGCTTAAGCTGTAGTAGTAGTAATAGTTTCAGCAGCTGGAACAAAATCACAACAATCTATATTCCTTGACAGCTGAATTTCCTACATCAAAATGACTCATGTGTCCGATTCTGGGGTGACTATTTCCCCTGGGGCTCCAAGATCGTAGACCCAGTTTTCTTTTCCTTCTTTGTCCCCAGGAGGCGTCGAGGAGGCTACCAACGGAAGAAGCTCCACTCCGCCTCATGATGCTCAAAGCTGAGAGGCCAAAATGATCGGCGGGGGCGTTGCTTCGTCTGGAGACGCGGAAGGAAAGCCTTGAACGGTGCTAACCGTACCTGGAGAACCCGGAAACCATCGCCCGCTGCCCGGCATTACGATCTCCTATTGGTGGTTCGGTCTTTCGCGTGGCCTGGAAGACGACACGAGAGATGAATCGCGATACCGGGGGCCGTTGACACGCTCGCCCGAAAGTGTCTGTGCAAACCTGGAGTTGACCTTGGGGTATGAGCCAACCATAGCCCACACTGCCGTGGAATATGGAGAATCAGTGATGGAAGTGGACCTTGTTCAGGGCGTTTTTTTCGAATGATGCCCTGCCGCTAACAGAAAAGGAACTCCTGACCAGACTAACAAAGCAATCCGAGTTCTGGGGCGCACTCACGGGCCCCGAATGGTTAGATGGAGGTGGATGTGCAGCGGGCTTTTAAAACCGACCAGGCCCCGGTCTCGTTGATCATTTCTTGTCTTTTTCTCTTGGCTGTTTGCTGTGGTCTTATTCTATAAGGAAATCTCCTTCCCTTTCCTTCTTTGCCCTTTATACCGGACTGGATCGGCTCCACAGGGGAACAGCTTTAGAACAAAGAACAAAGGAAAAGGCCCTCGCAGCTCCGAGGTGAACAACCGAGCGACTGCTACCTCAACATGCCGACCAAACGCTTTCTCGGCCTCAATGGCACCCAGCTTCAGGTCGCTATCGGCGTCCTGGCTGGTATGGATTTCCTGCTTTTCGGTTACGACCAAGGCGTGACTGGTGGCCTTCTTACCCTCGACTCTTTCAGAAAATACTTCCCAACGATTGATACTACGGCAGCGCACACTGAGGGTTGGTCATCTGCGGCTAAATCCAATCAGTCAACTCGCCAGGGTATCACCGTCGCTGCGTACAACTTGGGATGTTTCGCCGGGTCTATTCCCACTATCTGGATTGGTAACATGCTAGGTCGCCGCAAGGCTATCTTCGTCGGTTCTTTCATTATGTGCATCGGAGCTATCCTGCAATGTACTTCCTACGAACTCGCCCAGCTGGTCGTTGGTCGTCTTGTCACTGGTTTCGGAAACGGTATCAACACATCTACAGTCCCCACCTGGCAATCTGAATGCTGCAAGTCCCACCGACGAGGCCAACTGGTCATGATTGAGGGTGCTATGATTACTTGTGGTATCACTATCAGTTATTGGATTGATTTCGGTTTACTGTTCGCCGATCCCAGTGAGGTTGCATGGCGTTTCCCGCTCGCTTTCCAGATCTTCTTCGCTGCCATCATCTTGGCTTTCGTCATGTTCCTCCCCGAGTCTCCCCGTTGGCTTATATTGAAGGGTCGCGAGGACGAGGCCCGCGAGGTTTTGACGTCTTTGATGGGCGATGATACCGATGAAGTCTTCATCGACACAGAGTTTATCGCTATTAAAGCTACCGTCCTCGAGATGGCCAAGGGCTCATTCCGCGACATGTTCACTATGGGCCCCGATCGACACTTCCATCGTACTATGCTTGCCTACGTCAACCAGATGTTCCAGCAGATCTCCGGTATTAACTTGATCACCTACTATATTCCTACCATTATCGAGGAACAAATTGGTCTGAGCGGTATTAACTCGCGTCTTATTGCTGCTTGCAACGGTACTGAGTACTTTGCCGCCTCCTGGGTCGCCGTGTTCACCATTGAAAAATTCGGTCGTCGTTCACTCATGCTCTTTGGTGCTGTTGGCATGTCGGTTTCTATGGCTGTCCTGGCCATCAGCGATTCCATCTCCTCTTCGAACAAGGGTAATTCTACAGGTGTCGCTGCCGGTATTGCCCAGACGGTGTTCCTGTTTGTTTTCAACACTTTCTTCGCCATTGGTTGGCTGGGCATGACCTGGCTGTACCCCGCGGAGATTGTTCCTCTGAAGATTCGTGCTCCCGCCAATGCCCTTTCAACTTCATCCAACTGGATCTGGAATTTCATGGTCGTCATGATCACGCCAGTTGCTTTCAGTACCATTGGCTACAAGACCTATGTCATCTTCGCTGTTATGTAAGTCTTTGTATCTTGCCACGACACACCCGATATTTGCTAATTTTCCCAGTAACGCTGCAATTGTGCCTGTCGTGTACTTCTTCTTCCCGGAGACTACCATGCGTTCCCTAGAGGAGATGGATATCATTTTCCGCAAGACGACTAATGTCTTTGATGTCGTTCATGTTGCCCGTACCGAACCTCACATGTACGGCCCCAACGGTGAACTTCTTCGCACTTTGGACGATGTCGAGGATGACGCAGTTCGTCGTGCCAGTGTTCTCTCCAACCCGAACAAGAATCTTGCCCGGGCTCACCGTGAACACACCGAGAAGGATAGCGACGACAATACCGCAACTAGCGAGGAGAAATAAACCTTGTTCGATTTTATGGCGCTGTCATGGTATATAATGGAGGGCCATGGAAGAGTTGTGCTGAGAATTCTCTTGCTCTTGCGATGCGCACAAAGGAAATTGGTATGCCGTGATAATCCTCACGACTTACCATGTGCCGGGCGCGAAGGAATCCCCTTCTTTTCATATTGTACCTAATTACTTTCGAGATCAGTCTTCAATACCCGTGCCAGACTGACGTTTCATGATTAATTTGATCCCCTTGATCTTAAATCTCGAGTTGCAAATTCTGAATATCTAAGCCAGGCTTCGGTAGACTGTCGTTACTCCTTCAACAAAATTAAGCAATGGCACTAAGCGATAAAATGTCGTCGACGAATGGAACGTTCCGAATCCACCGATGAGAAAACCTACAGAGGATATTCCCGGCCCTGCATGTCTTGCATCTTTAATTCGCAGTAATGATTCGTCAATTATAGTTCTGGAAGTACTGAGTGGCAAGTGTTGAACATTGGAATGGTTCCCATCATGAGATACCATGGCTACTATCAGAATAGTATACTATGTGAACTATGATTATGTCAATGAATGTTCATTCTCATCCCTCGTTCTGTCTATAAAGGACCCTAAATGCTGATAGATAGTTCAAACGTGAAGTGATTCAGACCACCTCCTCATGGGTGGCACCTTCAGAATCCTTGCCGATCTTCTCGTTAGCTTGCTTGTGCTTTTCGACTTCTTCACTGAATCTGTTCTCGATTTGATTGGTGCGCCATGGCATAACGTTGGAGTCGAAGATCGCATCAATCTCCTCCAGTGAGCGACCGGCCGTCTCCGGATACATGAAAAAGACATGGAAAGTCATAGCAAAACAGAATACGCCAAAGATGATGTATGTTTTCCACTGGATATTGTGAAATGCCGGTGCGACAAAGTAAGCCAGTGCGAAGTTAAAGATCCAATTTGCCGAGGCAGATAGACCAACGCCCTTAGCACGGTACTTGAGTGGGAAAACTTCGGCAGCGTAGATCCATGCGACCGGCGCCTGTTGTATCTGGTTAATACACTGGAGAGATTTCGGAGGATTCAAAAGTGGTACATACCCAAGTAAAGCCGTAGATACCAGTGAAGATATATGAAAAGGCAATAACAGCCATTCCAGAGCTGCCTTTGATGGACCATGTCAGGTTGTAGTTTCCATTGACGTTGGATACCGCGTGACCCCTGCTAGCCATAACACCTGCAATTACGAAGTGAACAATCATGCAAGTCACCGCGCCAGTCAGGAGCAAAGGTCGTCGACCAACTCGATCGATGTATGGGAGCATGATGCCGGTGGTAACCAGGAAGATAACATATTGAATCGCCGAAGACCAGAGGGTAGTATTTCCAGACTACTCATGTTAGTTAAAAATATATCATAGTCGCAATCAAGCTGACTTACCATTCCAGCCATCTCAAAGATGTAGACAACATAGTACATTGCAACGTTGCCTCCTAGCAACTGCTGCCACATTTGCACACTCATTCCGCACATGGTCCGCTTCCAGATACGCGGTCCGAATAGAGCGAGGAAAGATATGTCCTTTGCTTGGTGCGCAATTCTAGCGGCCTCTTGAACTTCTTCGAACTCAACCTGCACCACTGGGTCATTCCGGTCACCATTGCCATGAATCAAAGCTAGGGTCTCAAGGGCTTCCTCCCAGCGTTCCTTGCCGGCCAGCCAGCGAGGTGATTCAGGGAAGAAGAATAGTGCGATGAAGAGAATCAGACCTGGGACGGCCTGAATGCCCCAGCAGATTCGGAAAGCAGCTGGGCCCGCCACACCTATAGAGCAACCGTATGCAATCAGGTACATGATCAAAATACCCCATTCGATCGCCCATTGTTGAATACCGACAATGCGACCACGAATCTTTGCCGGGGCTAGTTCGGATAGGTAGACACAGGTTTGTGAGGAAGTGACTCCCACGGCGAGACCACTAACGACACGACCGGCGACCAGATGTGTAACATTCTGCGCACTGCATTGTACCATAGCCCCAACAATCCAGACGAGAGAGGCGATCATTAGTGCGCCGCGACGGCCAAGGTAGTCGGATAACCAGCCGGCTCCGATAGAGCCGACGAATGAACCAGCGGACATAGAAGCAGTGATCTAGAATGTTGAGTTTAGCTTAGTACGCTGAGTTATCGTGGGAGTTGAAGGGTAACATACTCCTCCTTGAAGATTGGAATCGGGGTTCCCAAAGAATTCGGTATATGTGTCAATGCCAATCCAGGCACTCATCGAGCTGTGCTGAGTCAATAGTGTCCAACCTTGAGTGAATTGAAACATCGACATACCTCACATCGAAGCCGAAGAGTGCTCCGCCGATGGTGCCGAACGCGGCAAGAACTAATCAAAAGTTAGAACCGATCCCTGGGGTCGAATGAACGAGAAATGGATGATAAATACCGTAGATATTCGTGATTCGATACATCTTGGCAGCAAGCCTCGTAATGGGTTGATATTTCGAACTTCCATGCGGCCAAGGGTAGCTTTATAAGTCAACACCATCCGTTCCACCGGTCAATGCACAGTTCGGGAAGGGCTTGGAAAGCAACTCTAGCGACGCCAACAAGCGGTTGTGGCGGAATAGGCGTCGCACCACTCCTGAGCCGGGACATGGCCCATCATGGAAGGGATCGACCGGGAGAAATGTGGGAAATGTGGAGGAATGGCCTGGAGGGGGATTCTGGGGCAGAAGTTGGGGAAGCGGGCGGCGTCATTGGCGGAGCACCCCGGTCTCCTCGACACCCCCCCCAGCCAGTCGGAGGAATTGAGGGGGCTCTCGGCTTCGGTTGTGGCCGCTATTTTAACCGAAGGCGAGATGCATTTAGCCGCCGAGTCGGTTGAGACAGGTTTACGTTTCACTCCATCTTTGCCGAGATTCTTCCAAGAGTCTCTACCAAGAGCCTGAGTTTTGGTCGCTGGTCGCTGGGAAGAAAAACAGGAATCCCATCTGCATATGATGATATTACCACTATAACGCTCCACGCAACCTCCACGCGCAACTGTGTCATTTTGCCTCGTACTGGATTCGAGTTGATTGAGGATGGGGAAAGATTGTCAGGGACCACCGATCGGCATGCCGACGTCATGACCACCGACAATAGCCCTGTTATTCTACCGGCATGTCACGTCGGAATCGTGTTCGGGATATGGATAAAAGAACAACGCAAATCAGATTCGCTCACTCCGTACTCCGTGGATGTGGTGATCAATCGGCCAACCGCCCCGAGACATTGCGTTCATCTCGCCGGAAGCACATGAGAGAATCTGCTGATCTTGATTGTCAATAGCCAATGTGAAAGTTGCCTGGATTTAAAGCTTCTTGGGGCAAATATGCACAGAACGACTGGTTTGACGGGGCTGTGTCACATCTAGAGGAGTTGAAGTGAAGTAAGCGCGGCTAATAGGATTGGATGGGGAAACTAAACATACGATGCTCAGCGGAGAATTATCCGAGCAGTGCTGCTAAATATTCTTTATGGCCTTGAAATCTGCTAAAGTACAAGATTTTGAGTGGCTCAAAACTGAGCAGCTGTAGCACGACAGAAGCTCAAAACCATGAATCAAAACCATGAAATTATGTTGCATGTGTGAGTTATGTGATGGCTAGCTATTGAAGAAGAAAACAATTTAGGCAAGTGATCTCAACTGTCCCCTGGGCATGTGGGCCTCAGCACAATAATTGTAGGCAACATCAGTCGCCAATTTCAGTTGTCCTCCGCCTTACTGAGATGAACGAGCCGCTGCGTAGCCGTTTCTGTCTTGTGGAATCGCCAAGGCTTGATCTTTCTTTCGAATAGTTCATCGAGCTCAGCAGCCGATCGTCTTAAGTTGTGAAGGTTAGCTTAGGTACTCTAAAGCCCGTATGTAATTTACATCATGAATCATGGTGTTTATGGACTCACCCAGAAGTCTCTGGAATCAGCAGCCACATGCCGACAACGAACGGAAGTCCGACGCCAAAATAAAACCAGCCCGTTTTTAAGCCCCAGTTCCATTTATTACTGTTTGTCATATATGGAATGAGCACATTCATCATGACCCCAGCAACACAGGTCACCGCTGCCGCGAACCCGGCGGTATAAGGTCGGAGCCTCTGAGATGAGACCTCCCCGATATATCCCCAGCCAGTAGCACCGTTGGCGGCCAAGCCAACATCTAATATGTCACGGTCAAATTAGCAATCACAATGCTAGATAGTACCGAGGGGGGGAGGAGCTTACTCCAAAAACAAGCAAATAGAATAAATATATAGGTTGACGCTTTGACCTGAGGACAAACCCCGATAATGCCGATAGCCATACAGGATAACCAGCATATGGTCGTCCCTGAGCACGCGAGTAGTCTCCTTCCTATGCGGTCAGCAAGAGTGATTATTACAATCACAGTCGCGATCTGAATCGAGTTGGTGATGACTTCAATCTTGAAGGGGTCTTCCAATCCAGCCTGTTGAAAGAAGTATGTTCCAAATGTCCCGAAGAGACTTAGGCCAATCAACTGCTGACTGAGGTTGGTCCAGCAGGAGATAACAGTGCGTAGGCCGTTGGTTCCCTGAAAAATTGCATACCACTTTTCGCGTCGTTGCTCAGCTGCGACTTCACGTTCGTGCTCCACGGCCATAACCAAAGCTTGGAACTGTCGCTCCAAGTCATAATTCGGTACACCACGGTTGAGGATAAGGAGTTGTTTCTTGGCTCGGTCGTGCTTCCCGGTATTAACGCACCAGGCTGGAGACTCGGGAATGAATACATAAATCAACAACATGATCCCGACCTGCGCCCACTGCGTGTAGATAGGCGTGAGGTAGTTTGTCTTGTCGCTTTTTGAGAGATGTTGAAGAGCGACTTGGGCGAAGAAGGAGCCCAATGTCCACCAGAAGCTATAGCACATCAACAAGCCTCCGCGAATGCGAGTAGGTGCGACCTCAGATATATATGTTGGAACAGTCGATTGCAAACATCCAACGCCTATTCCTGCCAGAAACTTTGCAACCAACCAGCCTTGCCATGATCTCGCAAGACACTCGGTGAGCACACTCCCGACTATGACGATCCAGTAGGTAAACATGGCAGGCTTTCTTCCATATCTGCTCGATAGAAATGGCAAAGTAGTCATGCCAAGGATCTGACCACAAGACATTATTGCACTCCAGCCGCTGAGGATGGGCGACGCGAGTGCAGGCTTTCCGTCTTTGCCGACAGTTGTGGCGAAGCGACTAATGAAACCGGTGTTGGCAATAACACTGGCATTGATTCTAGAAAGGCATGTGGTATCATGTCAGAAAAAGCCAGGTGAATTCATTATTTTGAAGCTTGACATACCCAATTTGGTACCCATCGGTTGCCGCACTAAAGGCCATGGCAAAGCATACAAGTGTGCAAAGCTTGAAAGTTTTGATTGTCTCCACGACCCCCAGCTCTTCATACCCGGTGGTAGCTTGACCTTTGATAGCCGCATTGAATGCTGGATCATGCTTCTCGAGCGTATCCTCTGCGATATACTCAATCTGCCTGGCGTGAAGGCTCGGGTCGCTTGGAGTTTTCTTCTTGGATTCCATCTTGCAGAGCAACTTCACGAATAGACAAGAAATATTTTATCGCAAATTAATGATGTGAAAGGGGCAGACAGGTGCATTTTAAATTGAAAGCTTCTTTGAAGCTCCGCGGCTTCTAATGAGTTTCAACCTGGCTGCCACATTACTCGACCAACAACAATCGCACACACACATTACATTCGGCGTTCATTACACCGAGATCCTTTCTTAATTTCTAGTAGGATTCGAATGCGCCAGCCCTCGTGATCAATAATTGACTGTCATTATGGTCGCCTACCACCCTCGCGGCCGTCACGCCCCATCTACTTCCCCGCATTTTGACTGGAATTTAAATCTCTTGGCAGAGCCTCTCAATTACCTGGGAGTCACAATAGCCGAAAAAGTATCCCTCTGTTTGGTCAAATATTTAGAACCATTTGGCTGTGGCTCCCTGTGGGGCTTGTAATTCCTTTCTAGCCCGTATTTCTCAATCCGAAGCCGATTCATTTGCCGATGTTCGATAATGGCTAATTCAAGTGAATAAGTAATTGTAGTACCAGAATTAAACGCAAGTTGAGGTTTATTTAGCTTCTAAAGGTACTCGTAAACTATACCTAAATAGGGAACGTTCAAGGTTTTGCGGCTTGTGACAACACTAGACCAAGCCATTTTGAGGCTAGGTTTACTAAATACGATTCTGATTGGAAGGCCATTTTATCGTGTAATTTGGGATGACCAACACTTCTGTGATTTTTAGCGACTTCTTGTCGTATTTTTTGGCAAGCAGGTGACTCGTTAAAATTAGAAAGAAACGAATCACTTCATTTTCCAGCTTCCACTTTTTGATCAATCAATTCACGAACTCCTTCTTGTAAAGGCTTTCATTATTTGTGCATATTTTACAATTGTCTCTCCCAATTGCATGGACGATCTACCTGAAAGAATGACTGGAACCCTTCCCGAGATCTAAATGTGTCGGATGCTGAACTTCTTTTGTAAAATTGATGATAAATACATTTTGTCTACTACGAAAGCACCGGGATACAATTAATCAAAAATTTACTTCAAAATTGCGAAGGCCTCTCCACTTTTACTATTCTAGGTACATCCACCACGGCGCGCTTTCAATGATTCCTCCAAGTAAAATGCGGACAATTTGGGAGTTCGAACCAGCGTCTCATAATTCACATGTGTAATACCATAACGTGGACCATAGCCAGCAGACCATTCTAAGACCAATGAGCCAAATGAAAAGCGTATTAAGCGCACTAGGGGAAGAGACACATACCAAAGTTATCCATGAGACTCCATGCACAGTATCCTTGAATTTCGATGCCATCCTCATAGATGGCCCGGGAGATAGCATCAAGATACAGTCCAAAATACCTAATCCGAAAGCTGTCGTTCACTGCTTGATCCACTGTAAGCTGACTCTCACCTGGACAAGGGCAGCCATTCTCAGCGATAATTATTGGCAAGTGGTATCGATCCCAGACCCAATTCAAAAGCTTCCGGAACCCGTCAGGCGTAACGCGGAGCCACGACATGCCGGAGACAGGCCCAAGGAACTTTCCTTCACTATTGGTGGCTAACTCCTCCACATTCCCCGTACAATCATCCTCGGCAGGTGGGTCTGAAAGAGCACGGGCGAATTTTGTGGAGTAGTGATTCATTCCGTAAAACGCATTAAACGAGGCGGTTTTTCGGAGAAGAGTCATTTCTTCAGTCGTGAACTGAGGTAGCCGAGATCCCAGTCGGACGCGCATTTGGGCAGGGTAATCCTGGCCCAGAAATATAGGATCCCCAAACCAGCCAATATAAAATTCAAGTCTGCGTTGAGCTGCGTCTTTGTGCTTCTCACTTTCTTGGTCCCATGGCTCGTAGAAATGTCCATTTAGGACGATGGAAATAACTCCCTTCTGACTAGGCTGAAACTCTCTCACGTAAGAATCCACAACCGCTGCGTGCGAAAGAATGATGGTATGGCCGACAATCCATGGCTCCGTCCGGGTGTTATGACCTGTGGCGGCACTGTGGCCAGGAGCAAGGACGCCGCTGTGATGACCGAAAACTGATATTATATATGGCTCGTTGAAAGTTACCCATTTCTTGACACGATCACCAAAGCGAGAAAAGCACAATTTGGCAAAACGCACAAAGTCTGCTTTGAACCTATCTGTGTTCAAAAATGCGTTGTAACGATCATAGAGCTCTTGTGGCACATCCCAGTGATATAATGTGACGATTGGATCGATATTTCGGGCCAATAGGCCATCAATAAGCTTGTTGTAGAATTCGATTCCCTTTTCGTTGATTGGGTCATCATGACCACCCAGCGGGATAATACGAGACCAGGCAATAGAAAACCGATAAACATCAACATCGTACGAGGCCATCAAGTCCAAGTCCTCTACCATGTGATTATAGTGATCGCACGCCACGTCGGCATTCTCGCCATTGGTCCGCGAGGGCTGAAGGTGACTGAAACTATCCCAGATAGACTTGGCTTTGCCGTCTTGTAGAGCGCCACCCTCGATCTGGTACGCAGCAGTGGCTGTTCCCCAGAAGAAGTCAGTGGGAAGAGGCAACTCTTCCACAGGGCGAGGCTCAACCGCCCATTCCTCCTTTTCGACATGAAGAATATTGTCCCCCGCCTGAAACATATTGACATTCATTTTCACAAATTCAAAAGAAATTGACTGAATCGTTAACCTAGCGGTGAAGCGTTTTCAAGTGAGCAATTTGAGCCGGAATGGCCCCGGGTAAAGGGACGAACTTATGATAGAACAAGGGTCGGCGTTTGAGCAGGAACTACGGCATCTGACATACCATGTGAATTTTCATTTCGGGGTAATTCCTGCCCGCAGGCCTATTCCTTCGTCGTCCGTTGCACCGACTCGGAACTTCATCACACCGAAGAGTGCCTTTTCCATAGGTGTTGTTTGCGTCCTTGTAAGCCACCATTTCCACGTGTTTCCACAACCACTAAACCTTTTTCTTTTCGTCACCAGAGACCAGCTCTATCACTCGAGGAACGAAAAGCACAACGCCCATCGCGCACCGCTATGACTGCGAACGAACCTATCTGTCCAAACGGGGAAAAGAATGATTGGTGCTGTGATCGAATTGCAGCACCATGGGGCCCCGATACGTCTGGACCGGATGCAGAGTGGATGTTCCGCAAAGAGTTTGAAGTGAAAAATTTTATTCGTGCCAATTTGGTCATCACTGCTCAAGGTGTGTACGAGGCGGAGATCAATACCCAAGTCGTGGGTGACCACTTCATGGCCCCAGGATGGACATCTTATGACCGTCGACTCCAATATCAAACATACGACGTCACAACTCGGCTTCTGGATGGTCGCAACTGTATTGGCGTCCGTGTTGCTGAGGGCTGGTTCTGCGGACGTATTGGCTTTGAAGGTGGCCATCGAAATATTTGGGGGCCTCATCCCGCATTAATCGCGCAGCTCGAAATCCACCACTCAGACAACACGGTTGAAATCATACCTACCGACCCCACTTGGGTTGTTCAACGAGGCCCAATTCAATTGGCAGAAATATACAATGGCGAGAAATACGATGCTACTCAAGAGGTTCCTTATTGGTCGACGATCGTACCGGAAGGAGCTATCGATAATTGTCATGCTTGGGAGCCTGTTTGTTGCATGCCACCTTTACCAACGATAATCAAGCTTACATCAGGATTTGGCGAGCCTGCGAGACGCATCGATATTATCAAACCTATCCAACAATTGCTTTCTCCCACAGGAAAATCTATCATTGACTTCGGTCAAAATTTGGTCGGATACGTTAGGCTGAGACAGATCAAAGGATCCCGCGGTTCTAAAATTGTCCTGTCCCATGCCGAGGTTTTAGAAAATGAAGAGATTTGCACCAGTCCACTTCGTCAATGTGACGCGGTCGACGAATACATCCTGAAGGGAGACCAGGCTGGAGAGAAATACGAGCCACGATTTACGTTCCACGGATTTCGATATGTCCAGGTTGACGGATGGACCAGTGACTCAAACTTAATCGAGTCTGTCGAGGCAGTTGTATGCCACACAGATATGAAACAGATCGGCTCATTTTCATGTTCGGATAAATTGGTCAACCAGCTGTACCATAACATTCTCTGGGGAGTGAAGGGGAATTTTCTATCAGTGCCGACTGACTGTCCTCAACGCGACGAGCGCCTTGGTTGGTCCGGAGACCTGGCACTTTTTGCTCCGACAGCAGTTCTTCTATTCGACTGCTATGAGTTTCTCCGAAACTGGCTTGTCGATGTGTGGTATGATCAGCAAAGCCTTGATGGAGTCCCTGCCATGGTCACGCCTAACGCAACACTCCCAGACCCAGTCTGGTGTCGTCGAAAGCCTTGTGCAATTTGGCATGATGTTACCATTCTGGCACCATGGGCATTGTATGAGGAGACTGGCAAGGTGGAAATCTTGGAACAGCAATATGAGAGCATGAAGACATGGATGCAGAAACTCCCTAGAAATAGGACAGGTTGCACTCATCTCTGGGACGTCGGGATATTCCAACTTGGGGTAAGACATCAATAAATTTTAACCCATATCATCATCTTCATCTCAGTGATTGACAGCAAGATCTAGGATTGGCTAGATCCAGACGCTCCCCCTGACGCACCCTGGAAAGGGAAAACAGACGCACAGCTGGTGGCCAATGCGTTCTTGATCCATAGCTTAGAACTAATGACTCAAATCACACGTCTTCTCCGAAAGAACGAAGAGAAACTCGGGTACGAGAAAGAGCTGAATGCAGCTAGAAAGGAGTTTCAGGAGGAATACGTGACCTGCAATGGCCGCCTTGTGTCCGACAGCCAAGCAGCTTACGCCATCGCCATATGTTTTGGATTGCTGACGCCCACACAGCAAGAAAGAGCTGGAAATCGTCTGGTCTATCTGGTGCGTAAGAACAACTTTTGCATCGGCACAGGTTTCGCTGGGACTCCATTTTTGTGTGAAGCTCTTGCCTTATCTGGACATATTCAAATTGCCTACGCCATGCTGCTCACCAAGGAATGTCCCTCGTGGTTGTACCCAGTATCTATGGGCGCTACTACCGTGTGGGAGAGGTGGGATAGTATGTTGCCCGATGGATCAATCAACCCTGGCAAGATGACCTCTTTCAACCATTATGCGTTTGGTTCAATTGCGAAGTTCTTACTTGAGAGATTGGCAGGTCTGCAAAGGATTGAGCCTGGATGGAAAAAATGTCGAATCGCACCCTGTCTCGGAGCGGACTTTTCGGGGGCTTCCGCTTCTCATGAGACTCCCATGGGCCTTGTGTCTTGTTCCTGGAATATTACTCGTTCCGACGACAAGCAAAGTCATTTGGAGGTTGAAGTTACAGTTCCACCCGGCATAAATTGTGAGATTGTTATACCAGAGGGGGTGGGGGAATTAAAGAAGACGGTATCTCAAGGTAAATGGACCTTTGATACTTTCTTCGCAAGAAAGTACGAGTGGCCCATGAAGCCCTTGCCTGCCAAGTCTTGAGAAAGGTATGAACATGTAAGTGAGTCTTGAATGGACTTTTACTATGTTATTTGCTCCGGTTTTCAATATTTTTGAAATAACCTTCCAATGAAAATCGGCCGTAACAACCCCATTGCCACAGAGTGTAGCTAATTTAATCCTACATACCTTATACATTAACTAAATGGACAAGATATGTCCCAGGTTTATACACTGGCTAGTACTACATTGGATGCTGCTGGAGCACTGTATCGGATATCATTTGTCCGCTTACTGGCGGATTCCTCTGTTCAACAACAAAACGTGCCTAGTAACGTGTTTCATGGGTTATCCGGCCACCCTAGAACACCATATTAAAAGCGATAAATTACAATTCAATATCTCAACAACCATACCTTTTTTCGGACTATATTTCATCAGATGTTTCTATTGTAAGATATAGAGTAATATGTTTCAATTTGAATTAATATTATTGATTTATTTATCAGATTACCATAAAATACACGGTAATTTGTGTTTATTATAAAAATAGAGATATTTCGCGACGTATATATATCCAGACTATTTTTCTTCTACATTTTTGTGATAAGGGTATGATGAAGTTTATAGAACTTCAATATTTAGCATTGAATGACTATGGTAGTTGAGGTATCGAATTGTAATTTATCACTTTTAATATGGTGTTTCAGGGTGGCCGGATAACCCATGAAACACGTTATGCTTGGAATACGAACACGAATACAGATAGATACGCGTGATTGTGACTAACCCCGATTCGTCACGAAATGCGGAGAAAACACACGAGGTTGGGGGTGTGCCAAGAGAGCTTGATTGGAAAGGGTCCCATGACCGATACTCGGTATCAAATGTGCCGAATCAACATGTCGGCTTTTGAATCGAGGATCAAAGCTCAAAAATTATGAATGGGACGTCCGAAGCTTTGGCCAGCCTCTCGCATGTTTGCCCCTTGATTCGAAAACTACACCAAAAGCAGTAGGGACAACGAGAAGAGGTTTGTCATGTATCAGAAGTATCATTGACAATTCCTAGAGGCCAGGTGATTTCCGACCGTACAGTTTCATTCAAGTATGCAGCAGCGACATTAACCAAGAACTTGCCCCAGCCTGCCATCCACCAGGTACTAGTCATGATGTGGAGAATAGCCCCATAGTGAGCGAGGGTCACCAAAGACATCGGCTCTATTTGCCGCAGGAGCTGAAAGTACTCAGCATCTATTATAGCAGGCCAGGCGAGGATGGCAGCTTGATTATCGCTAGCGATAGAAAAATCAAAAATTTCAAGAAGATGTCCAGTAGAACGAACAACAACGGCTCGAGTACTAGCCGAAAGCTGAGCAGGGCAGTGCTCATCTGCTTGATGATTGATGATAGCTTCAAGGCGACCGTGCACTTCATGGACGTGTCTCGACAGCGCAGTTCGCTGTGCACACTGTGTTAATTTTAAAATAGGCCGCATATCACCCTGTTCAATCCATGGCCGAGCACTTGCCGCAATTGAAGCCGTCCCGCGTACTAACTTGAAGACTTCTATTACCTTGCTCATAAGTATAGAGGGCGCTTGAGTATCGAGGCATTGAAGAGCGAAAGAGAAGCTGGAGACGAGAAAGGAGCAAGCGAAAAGACCGTCGCAGTTTTCAAGGGTCACATCACTTAGAAGCGGTATAAAGAGCGTCAATGCGTTGCTGTGATATCGAACCCCAATATCTATGTATACTTGGCGACGAGGTTCAGAACAATGCCGAGAAAGATGTAGGGCGGAGATAGCCAGTATACTGTGCATGACAAACGGGTGTCTCAGTCCCACCTTAGGGACTTCGGTCTTGAGAACGCTTCCCAACCCTTCATTCTCTATCAGCGACATGGCTGTTGCCGTATGCCAATGATGCAGCAGTTCTAGTTCATATAGCGGAAGTCGGACTATGCCCTCACTCCTTGGCCATTGGATATTCTCAACAAGACTTCGAGTGGGAGAATGACATGACTGAGAATCATCGAAACTGCATGGGAGGCACTTTTTTCGGCAGGGTCCACAAATAGGGCGCGATTCATCACATTTCATTCGACGCTTCTTGCAAAGGAGACATCCGTGATGGGAATTCTTGTGTGATCTGCGCGATGGCATGGTTTCAGCAGGCCGAGAGACGCGATGGGGGTCAGTTGGCTGAGGGCTAGGCACCTGGTAAGGGATTCAACTTAACTAAGGTCATGGGCCTCGGGCCGGGGGGACTTCTGGCGGGGAGGTCCCACTATTGCTATTGGTAATTATTCCGTGTATCCTTGGCATAGGGACCTGTATTGTTTCTTACACGCCGCCTAAGTACACTGCACCACTGTACTAGTGTGTTATTGGCCCGTACTACTTGATTGCAGGCTCAGACATCCAAGACAGGGCCGCCATTCCGTGTCTACTATACTATGCCTTCACTCCCAATGCCCCTCTTCTTTCTTCATACTAGCATCACTCACTACGTTACAAGTTTTCATCCATTCATCACCTCTACTAGCACTTGGAAGCCGGAGGCGTCTTTTCCTCAAGGGGTAAATATGTGGTACTAGTAGTAGTACTAGTCCGGAGCAACTGCGCATATGTTACTCAATATTTGCGCCCCGACGAGGGACGACTAGCCGTTATAACAGCAATCATTGGGCTGCTGTGACCAAAATAGTGACCATTTCTCCCCAGAGAGTAAATCAAAAATCAACAGTAAGGGTAGATTGTATTAACCAATCGGTCCGTTCGGCCACAGGTGCCATCATGATGGCGGCACCATTGAGAGTATCCGGTGGTGATCAATCATACCCGAAGATGGTGGCGTCCCTAGGGGGCCAGAGCTCCACTGCACAAATCTTTAAGTACTAGTTCCAGGAGGCCCTTAATGCATAACAAATGCCTGGATTCTTGATCGAGCCTTCAAATTTCCAAGAATACCAATTTTAGTCTTGCGTTATTTAGGGACCAAATTTCGGCTAATTCTTGGATATTGTATTTGGGGCCACCTGTTTATTACGACTTTAGACGAGGCTGTCGTCCAAACACTCGCTTTGATCTTTGCTTTAAAGTTGAATGTCCCTTCTGCCATTTTCGTTATTGGATATTGCCCAGCCCACGTTTCCAGTGGCTTCTCAATCCCGATAAGTCGGGGTGGAACTTCACATTCGCGTTGGGGAAACATCCCCTCGTTAATGTTAGTAGATTCTCGCTCATGTTGGTAAATTGGCACGTCTTCCCCTCTCAATTTATGGACAATGCTAATTGAAAGCAACTGTGGATCTCGAAATATTCCAGCTTCCTGTCTACTTGTACTGTCCCCCACCGGATCTCCACCATCAGACTCACGCCCCATCAACCCTGAATAACTATGTGTCTAACCTGTTATTCCGCCCATCTCAGCAGTAGTTATGTGGCCGCTGGGAAAATACCATATCGCAATATATTTCACCTTTCACCAGCTCTAACTACTTGTCAAAGTATGCAGTTTTCGCGCTTAAGTAAACCGCCCGGGTTTCAGGGGTAAACCATGCGGGTGTGGCGGTGCTTGAAAAAAGCTTCCACATCTTCAAATTTCGTCAGGCTAGGAAATTACTACATTATTCAATTCTAGGAGGTATATGCGATCGCTGAAGACGACATAATTAATGAAATTGAAAATATAGCCCCACACGTTGCGGGGAAGCGGGGAAAACAGCCCCATTATATAGTTAGTACGACAGGGCAAAGCAAACAATCAAATGTTGATACTACCCCAGAAACATCCGTGCCTCACAGATCGACCTATTCACCTACCTGATTCTTTTAAATTGCGACTCCTCACTGGTACTCTGCTATGCTACGTATCGTGAGAACTGACCACCATGATCGAATCGCATCAGATCGGGAACCGATATTCCCCTTACTGATAGAATCTTGCTCTGGAATGCGGACGACTTGGACGCGCTGTTCTGGATCGCGTCTGCTCTTCCCCTGCGATTTCACCACTGTTCTTTAATTTTTCTTCGGTCCTTCCTTTGCAGTTTTTGAGGACTTCCCCGCAACTTTGGTACTTTGGGTATGGCTTGACTTTAAGATACATTTTACCTGTACCTCACCTCACCTCCTCTCCTCTTCCCCACCCCTCGGTTGTCCGCAGCCGGCCTTTCACATAATATCTGAAGTACTATCGCGTCGGTCTAGTGTTGTCCGAGGATGAACTAGGAAAGTCTAAGCTTTACTCAGAGCGTGCCATTTCCGTCTCGGATTTACCATCTGAATTCTCCGAGCGGCGCTTGTCTAGGTATAAATTGGCAGATCCCTCCCTGTTAATGAGCCGAGCTCGAGCCCATTTAAGTCAATCCTAGCTGGCCATTGTATCCAGACGCAAATATGGGGCTCAAGACCTACTCCCTGGGTCTATCGCTCGCCCTTTTGTTGAGCTGTTCGGCTCACGCCGAGAACATCACGAGTGATACCCACTTCTACGGACAGTCTCCACCTGTTTATCCTTCGCGTATGCTATGTCCTCCTGTCCTTCTTATTTTATCATGATCATGCTGACCCTTGAATATAGCTGAGGGAACAGGCTCTGGTAACTGGGAAGCTTCCTATCAGAAAGCCAAGGAGTTTGTCGGCAAACTATCTGCTGAGGAGAAGGTTAATTTGACCGCCGGTGTCTCTGTCAATAATGGATGCTCGGGGAATATTGCGCCTATTGAGCGCCTCGGTTTCCCTGGTTTCTGCGTTTCCGACGCCGGGAATGGACTGGTGGGTTTTTTTGCATTACTTTCGCTTTGCTTCGTGTCACTGACGATACTAGAGAGGAACCGACTACGTAAACAGCTGGCCGAGTGGACTTCATGTTGGAGCTAGGTAATAAGATTAATTACTCTGGTACTATTTGCTAATCTCGCTAACTTGTTGATTAGTTGGAATAAAGATCTCGCAAAGAAACGTGGCGCACACATGGGCGCTGAGTTTCGCAGAAAGGGCGTGAACTTACTCCTAGGTCCTGTGGTCGGTCCACTGGGTCGCATTGCTGAGGGTGGCCGCAATTGGGAAGGCTTCTCCGATGACCCGTATCTTACCGGTAGTTTGGTCTATGATACTATCCAAGGTATCCAGTCAGCGGGGGTTGGGGCTTCGACTAAGGTAATTGATCACCGATCGGCGTTGTCTCGAGTATGATCTGACTATATTACAGCATTATATTGGGAATGAGCAAGAGACAAATCGGAACCCCGGATCGAATGAGCAGGGAGAGTATACGGAGGCAGTGTCGTCGAATATCGATGATAAGACTATGCATGAGCTTTACCTCTGGCCATTCCAGGATGCCGTGCTAGCTGGAAGTGCTTCCATCATGTGCTCTTATCAACGCATTAACAACTCGTACGGTTGCCAGAATAGCAAAACTCTCAATGGGCTTTTGAAGACTGAGCTAGGCTTCCAGGGTGAGTCCCAATAAACTACTTCTCATTCTGTTCATCATGGCTAATATCATCAGGGTACGTTGTTACCGATTGGGGTGCTCAGCATGCCGGTATTGCTGGAGCCAATGCTGGCTTGGATATGGTCATGCCCGCATCACAGACGTGGGGTGATAACCTCACGGTCGCAATCAAGAATGGCTCTATGGAAGCATCTAGGCTGGATGATATGGCCACTCGGTAAGCCATAAGATAGAGCTTGCCAGAATCCGATGTGAAAATAGACTAACTAGTCATGCTTCCAGGATTATTGCGACCTGGTACCAACTCAACCAAGTCGAAGGCATCCAGAACCCGGGAATCGGAATGCCAACTGATATCACCGCGCCACACAAGCGGGTGATCGGCAAATCCCCAGACTCAAAGCCAATCCTTCTCCAAGGAGCTATCGAAGGACATGTTCTAGTCAAGAACAACGACAACGCCCTCCCTCTGAAATCTCCTAAGATGGTTTCGGTATTCGGATATGACGCTGCCGCCTCCGATTTCCTCGAAGTCTCGCTCGCACCACAGCAAGACAGCCCTCCGTATCAAAATACAAAGGCGGTCCAGAAGTCTGGCTACACACGCTAATTATTTAGCGCGTTTTTCGCGTCCACCCTCCAACCTCTCCTTTTCAAACACCTAATACACCACCAATATGCGTCAATTCGGTACCGAAATAAGTGCTAATCGAAGGCCTGGGGCAGAGCTTTCATCTGAGGCCCGCGCCGCTATTATATTTGCACGTGAATGTGGTGTATCGCCTACTAAAATCGCTTCCGATATAGGCGTTGCGCGGTCTACAATATACAAAACAATTGAACGCTTTCAACAACAACACAACACAAAATCAAGGCCTCGCTCAGGTACCCCTAGGACATTTGACCTCTCAACATTTAAATATACTGTTCTTTTAGCGCGTCGAGAGCCCTGGAAAAGCCTCAGTGAGCTTAGTGCTACGATACCCGGTCATCCATCTCGATCAACAATTAAGCGATTCCTTCGCCATAAAAGTCTTCGGAGATTTAGGGCGCGCCGTTGTATACCTATTTCAGGGGTAGTTGCTCGAAAGCGAAAGAAATTTTGTCGAACTTGGCGCCGTGAGGCCCTTAATTCCCGCCTCGAAGACTTCATCTTTTCTGACGAATGCAGCGTCCAACGTATTCCGAATTTAAACGGCCAATATGTTACACGTCTTGAAGGAGAAGCATATCGGCGGGGACTTGTGCTTGTTAAGCCTCATGTAAAGGATATTAGTCAAATGGTTTGGGCTGGTATCTGGCTTGGGGGGCGTACAAATCTTGTGATCATGGAGCGTGACTTTTCAGAGAATCAAAATGGGGGCTATACAACCCAATCATACATTGATGTCTTAGAAAAAGATTTTATTCAACACTACGAACCAGGAATTATCTTTCAGCAAGATAACGCCAAAATCCATCGTTCGTATAGGGCGCAAGAGTGGTTTGAACGTCACGGTATTGAGGTGTTAGATTGGCCTGCACATTCGCCCGATCTAAGCCCTATTGAACCCGTGTGGCGTATGCTCAAACGCAAATTATATGAGCTATATCCTAATCTTTTGAATTGTGGCACCTCTGATGCTGATTGGGAGCTATTCAAAAAGGCGATAATTGAGGCGTGGGATGCCCTAGATCAAAATAAAATTGATAGCTTAATTAGATCGACGCATGCGCGTGTACTTGCTTGCCAGCGAGCCCTAGGCTTTTATACGCGTTTCTAGACAATGAAAATTCATAAATATATTAAATATTGATTAATTTAAAATATATCAAAATTTGGTGATAATATCTAATATATTGCTTAAGATATATATATTTGAATGTGGTGGTAATGATATGGCAGAATTGCCTAATTCGGCGGTGTAGCCAGACTTCTGGCCTAGGTCTTTAGCACCCTCTATGTCGCCGGAGGCTCTGGTGCCAACTCTGCAGCATACATCGACGCTCCAATCGACGCGATCCAGCGTCAGGCTTATGAATATGACACTTCCGTCATGTACAACTTCTACGATCAGAATCCAGACGTGGATGCCAGTTCTGATGTCTGCATTGTTCTTGTCAATAATTATGCGACTGAGGGCTTTGATCGTCCCGAACTGAGCGACGAGTACAGCGATACGCTCATCACGAACGTGGCAAGTAAATGCGCCAACACGGTGGTTATCATTCATAATGCTGGCATTCGTGTCGTTGATAATTGGATCGAGAACGATAACGTCACTGCGGTCATTTTTGCCCATCTTCCCGGTCAGGATACGGGTCGTGCTCTGGTGGATATTCTTTACGGTCGCGCTAATCCCTCCGGCCGTCTTCCTTATACTGTCGCCAAGAAGGCGTCCGACTATGGTGATATTCTCTCGCCCGCGCAGCCGGAGGGTGATTACTGGCTTTTCCCTCAGGCGGACTTTACTGAGGGTCAGTTTATCGATTATCGGGCCTTTGATAAGAAGGGCGTCTCTCCACGCTTCGAGTTTGGATACGGATTGTCTTACACGAATTTCAAGTACTCTGGTCTGCAGACTAAGAAGTCGGGTAAATCCACTCCAAAGTATCCTCCATCTGCAGATATTGTCGAAGGCGGAAACCCGCATTTGTGGGACGAGTTGATGACCATTACTGCTAAGGTGCAGAATGCTGGTAGCGTGGATGGTGATGAGGTTGCCCAGCTTTATCTTGGAATTCCTGGGGGGTCCTGTCCGCCAACTTCGTGGCTTTGAGAAGGTCTCTATCGCCAGTGGGAAGAGCGAGTCTGTTACTTTCTCTTTAACGAGGAGGGATTTGAGTAGTTGGGATGTCAATGCTCAGCAATGGGCTTTGCAGGATGGAAAGTATAAGGTGTATGTTGGTCGATCCAGTCGTGATCTGCCTTTGAGCGCCTCTTTCTCCATCTAATACCAGGAGGCTGGCAGAAGACGGCTTTTTTATCATTCTCATCCCCTTTACCGTTAGTGCAGCTTGCCTAGCATTAATAAGATTCTGATCTTGCAAGTTGCCATGTATTTCTATCTTCCAACTGGAAAATTCCATCACTTAATAGTCAAGGGTGACGATTCGGTAGAGAATTGTATCCATACGCGGCATCTAAAGCTGAGTAAAAGCATAGTGGAACAGAAAAGACATGTGTTGTTGCGTGTAAATAAATCGAGATATTTTCTATTCAGCTGCACCATTTTCTACGTCCTGAATACTCCAAGTTGAAAGTGAAATGGTATCAAATATAATTCTATGAGATCTATGTCATCTCTAGTCTACTCATTCAAAACATGTACAAGAAATTTGGGGGAAAAATACATCATCGGGAATCGAAAGACATGAAAGGGAAAAAAAAACGCTTAAAGCTTGCTCTTGCCAGGCTGGTTCTTGAGAACATTCTCATTCCAAGGATAGGGGTCGAACGTCAGGTCGTTGACAGGGTTCTCTTGGCTGGCACGGTGGAAGAGATCCTCGTAAACCTTGCCGTCCGATCGGCCCAGGCTGCTGTCGAGTTGCCAGTCGGGGATGGCCCAGGCATCAACAAGACGGATGGCGTGGGGGCGGATCTCGTCGAGCAGCTTCATGACGGCAACGGTGCGGGTGAGGGTGATCTGGCGCACAGTAACGGCGCCGGAGGAGAAGAACTCAGCGGCTTCGCGCTCAAGGGTGTGAAGGGCGTAGAGGCGGAAGAGAGAGTGCATGATGGTCTTGGAGTCGGAGTCGAGGGCCTGCGACAGGTTGGGCGAGGAGACAGCCTCGTAGAAGTTCCTCACAACCATGTACTGGGAGTGAGCGGTGGACAGACGCCAGAAGTCGACGAGCAGGCTGTTCCACGAGCGCTTCTCAGCATCGCGGTGCTTCAGAGCCTCGAAAGTGAGGTGGGCAGTGCGCCAAGCGAAGGCCTCCACGATATCAGAATCGTTCTCGAGGATATCGAAAGAGGCACCTTTCTCGCGGCGGTCAAGGTAGTTGCGGAGGATGCGGGAAGTGTCGTTATCAGCAGACTTGCCGGACAGAACGGCGCGGGCAGACTTGAGCAGGTAACGGGCGACCTGCTGGGTGAGCATGTAGTTGTCACCCTCCCAGGTCAGGGTAGGAAGGTAGTCAGCGTAATATGAGCCGATACCGCTGTAGCTGCTGTAACCGTGACCACCACAGGCACGGCGGCAGACCTCAAGACCCTCACCAGCGGTGGTACTGGCAAGCGCCTTCAGACCGCAGGAAGTAGCGTGCAGGTCAGCCAGAAGGTCAGCACCAGCGCGGAGCTCCTCGGGGCCAGCGCCACGCGAATCCTGGCTAGGGGAAGCGGCAGCCTTCATGCGCTGCTGGTTCTCCTGGTACAGACGCATCATACCGCGACCGGTAAAGTGAAGGGCGTACATGGAGGCCAAGAGCGGCAAAAGACGGACCTGCACCATCTTGTAGTTGAGAACCTGGTTCTCTCCAGCGTTGACGTCGGCATCGCGGTCCTGGAACTGTCTACGTACAGCCGCGTAACGAGTGGCGATGGTCACACCGCGAGCCAGGACGCCACCGGACTGCAGGACAATGTTGGATCGCACCCAGGTGAGGGTTCCGTAGACGAGGGTAGGGAGGGCAGGGCGGATGTACTTGTTGGTATCCTTGTCAATGCGGGAGAAACGGGCCAACATGTTGACGTGGGGAATCTCGACGTTGTTGAACAGAAGGAAGCCGTTGTCCATAGTGCTGGTAAATGGTTAGCCATTGCTGGTTATTGATTGTGCAGTGTGTTGGGTACTGACTTGTAGCCAAACTTGGGACCAATGTCGCCAACGTAGACATTCTCCAGAGGCTGGTGAGTCTCCAAGTCACGGACCTGCACCACGAAAGGATGAGGACCGAAGTTCTTTCCACCAATGAATAGCTGAGCCATCACAACGGCATGGTTGGCAGTGCGACCGAGGGACCCGATCCACCACTTGGAAGCAGTGAGGGTAGGGGAGTGAATTGTGAAAGTCTTCTTGTCGGGGTTCCAGGTGGCGGTGGTCTCGAGACCACGGACGTTGGAGCCGTGGCCGAGTTCGGTTTGGGCGTAGCAACCGATGATCTCGTATTTGGCGGCACGCTCGAGGAAGAGCTTGTGTTGTTCGGGGCTACCTTGTTCACGGAGAGTAACCTAAAATTGAAGATGGCCGGTTAGCATCGGCTCATCCGTTCATGGGAAACCCGGGGCTTTGTAGGCTCGCTCATGAAGAGTATTGGATCACAAATCATACCAGGAACATGCTGGCGTGTAGGCCATAGGGAGTAGGTTCACCAATCAGCTCATTGGCAGCGTGGAGCTCCTCCATGGACCATTGGTGCTTCTCAGCCAGCTGTTGCAGGCGCTTGGCCTTGGCCAACGACCGTTGAAGACGCTCGACGCGACCGAGAGTGTGGTTCTGGGACTTGTCAAAGACCTTCTCAGGCTGGAGAAGTTTCACCAGCTGATCTTGACGCTGCAGGAACTCCTTTGTGTGCAGCAATTCGGAAAGCTTGTCGACATTGATGTTGGATTGGGCGCGCTCTTGGGCGAGCAGCTCGGAACCCTGTGGGCCCGCGGGGGTGAGGGCCTTGACCCAGTCAGGAGGAGGAGAAGGCATTGTGAAGATGTGGAGGGGAGGGGGAAGAAGTGGATGAAGATGGGGAAGAAGAAGGAGAAGAAGGGAGAAGAGGTTTAAGATATGAAGTGAAGGTGGCTAAAGAGGAGCCCATGGGGAAGCGCGGAGTGATGTTTCTAGGCCGAGGGACTCCCAAAAGGGAAAGTGCCGAGGCTGTCCCAATCGGGTAAAGCGCCGAATAAGACCGAGAGGAACAGTAGAGTAGAGTATACTTGGAATTAATACTGTAGGGAAGAGGATGCTATCTTCTGGTATAATAAATCAGAGTTCTCTGGAAGTACAGAGTACTCCATACTCCATACTCCCATCCCCATCTCATCTCCATCTCATCTCCCCAGCTTGCGGGGTGTCGGCTGGGGCAGTCCCGGGGTCACCCAACCCCGAAGTCGGCTCTCCCCGGCTTAACTAGGTTTAGCGCCACTCCCCCCGGTCTAGTTAAACAGACTTGTTTAGAGTAAGCGATCATCACTTAACTAGGCCGCCTAGTCGCCTGGTCGGCTGATTCTCCGGCGAAGGCCGAACTATTCCACCACGTCGAGGGGGGTCGGCCATTTGACCTCGGTTCACCCCCTGTTGTACTCTGTACATTCTAATCGGTCAGGATGGCCCAACAAACCAACAGTATACCCCAAATGCTTACATTCTTGCCTCTAATATACTATGCAGTAGTATGCAGCCGCACACTAGTGACTGCCGGCTGTCTAAAAGATGTGCCGAACACCAAAACGCTGTCCTCGGGGCAAGCCGAAAGGCCGGGGAGTCCTTAGATAGAAAGAACAGTGCTAAACATGAAGATGACACCTTTGCAATAATATTTCCTATCAAATCCGCTAATTCAAAACCCCCGCAAAGCCCGCTGAAAACAAGCAAAACATTTCAAGGAGAACCACCATCGGAACACAGCGGCTCGGGAGACTCAAATACTTTCGGATCAGATAAGCTGATCGGGCCCCGACTATCACATGTTCACATGTCAGCGCTGCTCTGCTTGTGAAAACACACACAAAATTATTATGAACGTGTCAAATGGTCAATTCGGAGCACCAAATATGTCATAATTTCATTCGAATCACCCGTTCAACGCCCGTGAACAAAAGCCACATGATGCATTATGCATTTTAAGGGGCATACGCGTTATCGCCGCATTATTCCGACCTTACTCATTCCGCTGCTCTTTCGATACCCGCGGTAGTCCCAACCACATGATGAAAATAGCTCCGGATAGAGCTATGATGAATGGCTGTAACACTTGCACGCCCTTTGCCTGCGCCAGCGCACCTACTGCAAAGGGCAGAATGGCAGCCCCGGATCCTCCGAATGCCGCTGCAAATCCTATCGAACTGACATGCAAGTGTCGGGGTAACAGTTTGGCGATCATCACCACGACACCAGGGAATAGGGGTCCTAGGAAGAAGCCCTGAAGTGAAACTGCCACGGCCGATGCATAGAATTGTGGCACGAGCCACAGGATGAGCCCGAAAGCGATGGATAGAAGGATATATGCCTGCGATCGCATATCGTTAGCTTGGACTGTTCCAAATGGATGTCGATGCTTGAGAGGGACAAGGAAAGCAAGGGGAAAACGCACTGCAATCGCCAACTTCTCTCCCACTCGCGGGGTCACAAATCCCAACAGAACCCGCCCGACTGTGATACCTAACCAGAATCCAGTCGCCGTCATTCCACTGGCGAAAGCACCGCCATTTCGCACACGAATCATGAAAGTGACAATCCATCCACCCAGCGCAACTTCCACACCCACATATCCGAGCAAGAACAACGCGCACAACCAGGTGACTCGTGCAGAGGGGCGCGTGAAGAGCGCTGTCTTCAGTCCACCTTTTTTGCTATCACCCCCGGTATCAGCCCTCGCTTGTCGGAAGACTGCACCTGTTGCTTTCCAGAAGCAGGTACCGCAAACGATCAGCTCGATGGATGCGCAACCGACCTAACAAAGACAAATCCAGTGAGCGAAATTCCAGAGATTTGGTTGGTAGAGCGGCGTACCATAACGTAGTAAAAGTAATACCAGGGCATATTAGCGTGCACGATCATCGACGTGGCAATTAACGGGCTCAGTACAGCTCCTACTCCATATAAACCGTGGAGCAAACCCAGTAGCTCATTCGAATGAGCCATGTTTCCGATCCAGGCGTTCCACGCTGCGTCTTCCAAGCCGTTGCCGAACCCGGCGAAGATGAAGGAGATCACGAGGACTGGGTATGGAGGATGGACACAGTTGACAATGTAGGCGAGTAGGTGACATCCTGGTCCGATCAAGGCAGGGCCGCGCTGTCCAAGCGACGTGTGGATTCGATTATTGAGGAACGCTGCAAGAACATATCCGACCAGCGGAGACAGAAATACGAGGGATACAATTGTGTAGGAGAGGTGGTAATATGATTCAAGCTAGACTCGTTAGCATGGGCTTCAACTTGACGTTCTCAAGGTAGGAATGCGAGGTGTTAGTCTTACATATGGGATCAGAGCCTGCGAAAAAGAACTTGAAGATTAGCAAACAATCTATTATAAGCGAAAATCCCACTTGGATAGATTGTTTCGGAATTCCAAGCCCTGCATTCACTCGAAAAGTCTCACTTACACCGTATGCCGCATCATTCGCGCCCATCACCAGGAAGCTCCAGAACGTAGCAAATGAGCGATATGCATTTATCCGAGGTTGATTCCACTTCTCCAGCGCCGCAAATCCATCGTGGGATGTTTCTGACGAATCTGTTCTTGATTGCTCACTCGGAGGCAAAGTCTGGAGAGTAATTGTGTTGGCATCGCGCGACTGTTCCTCGACCACATAAGTGGAGGCCATGATTTAAATTTGGCTTGAGTGGACTTGGCTAGTTACCCCGCAGATACCATCGGAGAATAATTCGCAAACCTGCAAGGGGAAGGATTTTGAATCCAAATCCAAATCTGTGAGCTTGGTTGAGATGAATCGTGCGACCACGACTGAATCTGGAATTTATACCAGCTACTCTTGCAAGCTAGCTAGACTCTTTTACCTCCGCTGATTTGAGCATCGATTTCACTGGTTGGCAAGTTCTTTCTTGCCACCGCATCGTCCTGAGGGGTTTCCTTGGCGGAGCGTCGCCCGCCTTGCCGCTTGCGGTAACTCTCCGATGCGCTCACCTACTCTTTTGGGGTAAAGAGAGCGCAAGCCCAGATTCAGCGATAAAAAGTGGAATGTTATATGGGGAATAGTGTGCTGAATGTGGAAGTGTGCCACATTATTAGTGGGTATGGTTAACTTCAATGCCCTTTTTGGTTCTACGGATTGGGATTGGCTCCCAGCTAGAGTAACTAAGAGCCTTCGAAACTTGACATACCCATAACTGCACATATACATAGCCTAAATCGAAGCGGATTGTAGTTTTCAACATTAAATCTTCAAAAAATAGAGCTAACTTAGTAGTACTCGTATATTATAAATCCATAAGTGCTAACTTCTCGTGTTCTTTACCATAGCTATTATTTATCCACCAATAAGCTTCAAAGCGGCCCAGTGCCTCCGCATTTAAATCCATTGAGACCCTTTCAACCAGGATGGCTCAGAAATCTCAAAATGAGCTTCACCAACCCCATAATTCCAGGGTTCAACCCCGATCCTTCCATTGTCCGGGTTGATCGCGACTTTTTCTTGGTGACCTCAACTTTTGAATACTTTCCCGGGGCCCCCATTTATCATAGCCAGGATCTGATAAAATGGCAGCTTATTGGTCACGCGTTAACAAGACCGAGCCAACTTCAAATTCACACTCCAGAACCTGGAGGTGGCGTGTGGGCTACTACAATTCGATATTCCAACGGCGTATTTTACGTCGTTACGGCTAGCTTCCACCGGTATCGCCCCCAGGACGATGACCGGGTCTGGCCGCAGGGATTTTATGTCAAAACAAGTAACATATGGGATGATACTACTTGGTCGGATCCTGTTTACTTTGATCAAGTTGGATTTGATCAAGACGTGAGTGTTCCCGAGCTCAAAGACGGAATTGACATCGCTAAAACGTAATGTAGCTTTTTTGGGATGACGATGGTACCGCGTACCTTTCATCTACCTATCGCAAGCTACAGCCCACGCCTGGAGCTAGACTCAAGGATTTCGCTATTCATATCTGCACCGTTGATCTTGAAACCGGGCACTCGACATCCGAGCCCAGATTGATTCGCGAGTCTTCTTCTGGAGTTGCAGAAGGCTCCCATATTTTCAAGCGAGGTCAATACTGGTATCTTTTCACGGCTGAGGGTGGCACTGAGAGCGGACATTGTGAATGGGTCAGTCGCAGTGAAGATGGCCCACTGGGTCCTTGGGTTTTGGGGCCCAGTAATCCTCTCTGGCGCAATGGGTTGGAAGACGATGTGCAAAACACAGGACATGCAGATCTAGTCGAAGATGCAAAGGGCAACTGGTGGGCAGTACTGCTTGGTGTTCGACCTGTGCGAAAGGAGGGTGAATGGGAAGATTCTGTCCTTGGTATGTCGACTCCCTCAACATTTGCGATCATTTGTTTACCAAACGTCATAGGTCGAGAATCATTCCTCGTTCCGGTGTCATGGGAAAATGACTGGCCGGTCATAAATGGAGGAAATAAGATCACGCTTCAATCAACCGGCCCGGGCCTCTATCACCACCACATACCCGTAGAATGGAGAGATGACTTCTCCGGCCCGAGTATGCAATTGGGATGGTACAGGAAGAGTGAGTAAAATTATCATTCAGCATGGCGTTTTCTGACCACCTATACTTAGACACTCCGTTCACATCCGACTTCTCGTTGAGTGAGCGACCTAATCATCTTCGGCTTTATGGCGGGCCATATAATCTCTCTGTTCCGGCTTGTCCAACGTTATTTCTGCGCAAGCAGACCCATCTCGTCTGCACCTGGGAAACAAAATTATCATTCAGCCCAAGATCAGAGGACACAGAGGCAGGTACTGTTCTTTGGTGGAATTATTTCACATACACCAGTCTGGGAATTCGCAAGCAAGGCGAAAAGCGAATCATCCGGTTTCAGTCATCAGAGGGAAACATAGTGGAAGAGGAGATAGACTTGATCTCGGAAGTGATATTAACTATTGAGTGTGGTAGCGAATATCGTTTTGGATATCGTCAGCTGGAGCTTGCCGAGTCAAGGTGGATTGGGACTATCTCTAACAAAGCAGCGACGAAAGCACCTCCAATTGGTGCTTGTTTCACCGGGATGATGTTTGGGCTATATGCCTTCGGTGAGCGCCAGAGAGTCTTGACCCCTGCGGATTTTGAATATGCGCAAATTTCGTAGCTGCGGTCTTCAAGTTCAAGTTCTAGCAGTGTTTCAGTATTCGGTGACAGTGGGCAGTGCATAAATAGCAGTCAGTAACTTGAAAGATCCCTGGGGTGTACTCCAGGGCTAGTATTTTGGAATGGCTACTTGATATAGATCCTCCATAAATAGTATACTACTAGTTGTACTTGCAAGGTTTCTATGACAGGTCTCCATGGATATATATACCTACTACCATCATGGCAGTAGTACTACATTCTGGGTCTCGGCAAAACCTCGGAATTTCAAGTTGAAGGATTTTTGAGATCTTCACGGTCGGGAAAGACCTGAGTATGCGTAGTAGTTCGATTACTACGACCCAAACCCCTCAGGTATACCGAACTAAAAGTAGATATGAATAACGCAGACAAACCTCGGCAGTACCTACTAGTTATTACTCGGGATCCTCCCGAGATTAACCCCGAGAACCCTGGATACCAGCAGACCCGCCTCGACACAGCCCTGATTGGCAGCGGTGTGTCTCTCTGGCGTCACCAGGCCCGCAGAAATCCAGTCGGTCGCTTCAACCTTTGCTTCTTCATGTCACTTGCTGGACGCCTTAGTAGTGCTGATCGCGACAATGTCTTATTCCCCGCAATTAACTAGACCAAGCCCAATCGACGATGACAAGGCTGAAGACGACTGGTCAGGACTAACCGACCCGGCAGAACGCCGCAGACGACAAAATCGAATTAATCAGCGTGCCCGCCGTGCGTGTCAATCCGATCCAGAGCGCGAGTTTCAACAAGCTAACAATGTGCCTGTGCTATAGGGAGACGACAACGATCCGAGACGAATAAAGACATCCACCCGAAAAGCGTAGTCGCCTCCGTCCCTCCATCCTCTGCGACCGCACTTGTCCGCTCAAAAGAGAGCAGCGCCCTGAAAAATGGCGATCGCTGCCACAATAACGGGTTTCTACGCGCCCTGATGAATAGATTCACCAGTACGGCCTACGAAAGCTATATGACAGGCTCACCAACCTCGGATCACCTTTTGACCCTCACCAAAGTCAACGTTTTTCGTGCATTTGGAAATAATCTTCGCATGGCCGGAGGCTGCTTGGACAATATGGAGGATGACTCGATTTCCCACTTCAATACGGAGGCGCCGAGATATGACAAACTAGTGGAAGACACCATGCCGCTTAGCCTGCGACCGACGCGAGTCCAAAAAGCCATACCACATCACCCTTGGTTGGACTTCTTCCCTCTGCCTAAAATGCGCGACAACATGATCCAAGCGGGTGATGAATGGGACGATGAGCAACTTTGTGTTGATATAATGGGATTTTGGAATATAGGTTCCGCAGAGAACTCTGGTCTGATCGTCTGGGGCGAACCATGGGATATCAATAATTGGGAGGTGACTGAAGCATTTCTCAAAAAATGGGCTTGGATTGTCCGAGGGTGTCCGGAGTTGATGATATCCACAAATAAATGGCGGGCGAAACGGGGAGAGAAGCTCATATTCCGATATATCTAAGAATATTAGAATAGATGAGTGAGTGAATGAATGAATGAATGAACGAACTAACAAGCATCGGATGGAACTCGAACGTACTATTTTTCTAGTAGTAGCTGCAAGGGCCCGCTAATCTCAATCTTTGTTAGCTCAGGCAGATGGAACAGGAAAAGATGTGTGCGTTTTTGGTGAACGTAGAACTTCTTGGTCGAAAACTGTAGGCTGTCCGTCGTTTGACGCCTGCTCTGGGCCAGGGAGCCCTTCCTTGGAAACTAACTAAACAATAAGAACAACCGAGCAGGAGCGAGCCAAATGCAAGGGCCCTGCATTTGGTGATCCTCTCGCTTATCCGGAGGAAGGTGATGTTTTGGCGATCCCGGGAGAATGGGGGTTTAGAAGTGGAAGCAGGTTCTCGCTGCCATGCTTGGTATCAACGAAGCCCAGGTGCAGAGTCCATTAAGATGGGCGCACTCTATTATCCAACCGCGGCTGAATATTTGTCAGCCTTGAAGGAGGATGGGACATCGAATTAATTGAACTGCGATTTTCTGGGGATTAGGGGCGATGGACATTAATGTTGTTTAAATATGCCATTACTGTATAGATGCAAAACAAGCCAAGTTCGTCTTCATGTAATTTTTACCAAGCTGGAAATCATTGTTGTCTCGGAGTAACTAACAATCTCCCCAATCTTTCTTTCATTTTTTAAGTTTTTGAGTGAAAAGTGCCTTTAAGCACACCATTTAGTCAAGTGTTGGCAAGGGGATCGGGGTTATGCTCGAGACTATGAACGAGGAAAGAGATACGACAAATTGATGATCGGATGAGAAGAGACGAGAGCAACCCTATCTAGAAGAGACAGAAGGACGGCACGGGGGCCGGATGCGTAAGGAACCCAGCCTCAACAGTTTCGAAACATGTTTGCTTGATGTTTTTCACATTTGTTGGAGCCCTTGGAATATGGTATGTTGTCTTTGAGTGCCGAATGCTACATAGCGGCTGAGCTTCGCTACCGAGCAGGTTTCGGTTCTTGCACGATGCGCTGCTCGGTCCCGAGCAAGAGGGGCGACGTAATGAACCCCTCCAATTTCATTTCATGCGCTGGGCTTGACCAGATTCCTAATATAAATAGGCCTTCATATTCTCTTGTATCTTTGATGATTATAAATTCATACATACCTTCTTTCCACCAGCCTATCACCTGGGCATATTGGATCCTTCACTGTGAAATTTGTCAACATGGGTTCAGAACTTTATCCTGTTCAACAGAAGGGCATTTTCCATAATCTACCAACATTTGACCCATCTATTACAGGATTGACTGCGATCGTGACAGGGGCCAACGGCATATCTGGGTTTCACACCCTTCGTGTATTACTTGAAAGCCCCGAACGATGGTCGAAGGTCTATGCATTGTCTCGTCGACCTCCACCGCAAGAAATGCTCAATCTACTGTCCAAATCCGAGCGATCGAGGTTACAGCATGTCGCTGTGGACTTCCTTGAAGACCCATCCAAAATCGCACGAGTCTTGAGTTCGTTCGGCGTCACGGCAGACTACGTCTTTTTCTATTCCTATCTACAGCCGAAGCCTGATCCAGGCGCGGCTGTTTGGTCAAATACCGAAGAGCTAGTCAAAATCAATAGCGCTCTTCTCAAAAACTTTCTTGAAGCTTTGAAAATCCGAAAGCTCACACCAAAGCGGATCCTTCTCCAAACTGGTGCGAAACACTATGGTGTGCAGATCGGCCGAATTCGTACCCCTGCGATTGAATCTGATCCGAACCTGTCGCACCTGGAGCCAAATTTCTATTATCCCCAGGAAGAGACATTGTTTTCGTACTGCAAAGAGCAGAATACTTCATGGAATGTCATCCGACCGGCCTGGGTTCTTGGAGCGGTTACCAATGCCCAAATGAACGCGTTGTTGCCGGTCGCAATCTACTCCGCCGTTCAAGCCCAGAAAGGCGAACCTATAGCATTCCCGAGCGACTTTGAGACATGGCAATACGAAGCACATCATTCGACAGCTCTTTTAACTGGATATCTTTCTGAATGGGCTGTACTGGAAGACAAGACCAAAAACGAAGCTTTCAATTCTCAAGACACCGGCTCTGTCACCTTTGATAGACTTTATGAAGAGCTGACTCGCTGGTTTGGCGTGAAAGGGGGCATTATCCGACCAGAGGAGGATCTTGCTAAATTTGAAGAGTCAATCGGAAAGGCTGGAGCAGATACCCCCATAGGGTGAGTTCCCCGATTTCCTAATTCCCTTATTCATTTCTGTTAACACGGCGGACATTAGGTATGGCCCACCCCTCATTCATCGAACCACCTTCAAACTTGTGGATTGGGCTTCTAGGCCCGAAAATAAACAAGCGTGGTTGGATTTACAGAGAGAATCTAGTGGTGCTCTCACCTTTAACCCCTTCGATGACATCGATGAGAATTTTGCGTTTGGCGACCAAGCCTTTAGAAAGGTTCCAACCTTGTCGATGAACAAGGCCAGGTTACTGGGATGGACTGGGTTTGTGGATACTATTGAGTCATTGCACCAGATTTATTCCGAAATGGGTGATTTGGGTATGCTACCGCGATTGGAAGTTGAGAAATCCAAACCGCTCATTTAGAGTGACAATTGGCGTTGCAGCGAAGCTTTGTTTGAAGGAGGCGGGAGAAGGTATAATCGATTCAAATACCATACTCAATATTCTTTTTGAAAACCTTTCAAGGCATTTTTCTATTTCACGGTCCATCATTTGACCAGCCGCACGTCTCAAGTCCAATATCAATATCCGGCATGCAGTAATTCGTCATGATGTCGACCCAGTTGAGATTGGGCTCCTCGGGAATATGCAATGTAGAATGGGCCAGATGCTGCAATTGGAAGTCTTTGATTATCGCCTCAGCATGGATAAGCAGATTTTCGCAAAGCCTACATATTGTTTCGCCCTGTGTAAAATATGGGAAAAGCTTCTTGGCTGGGGCAAGCAGTCTTTTCAGTTGCCCATGTGCCGAAATGGACTTCATTATGGAGCCTTCCCCAATGCCTGCTCTGACTTCTCGAGAGAACTGGATGGCAGCTCCCATCAAGGCTGCCGTGCTGCTTTGATGACACTGTCGAATTGTGTCCTGCATGACCATAGCCTCGAAAGTGGTGAGGATATTTGATGCCTCCTCAGAACAAAGCTTGAATGCGTGTAATTGTTGACTTGTCCGATGAAAGCTCAATGCAACCAAACTGTAGGTTATCCGGAGCTGACAAGACCAGAAGTCGTGACAGAGAGGTATTTTCAGTGCTATTGAGGCCAAGCTTTGCTCAATTTTCGTAACTCCCAGTTCGGTGTTCTGGGCTCTCGGTGCACGAGCATGGACAACTTCCAAGGCAGCTATGGAAGTTTCAGACAAAAGACAACAGAAATCACGATTAACGAGTTGATCCTGTGAGTCATCCATATTGCTGAAATCATCATCCTCAAGGGGCCCAATGTCAAAGTCTTCTGGGCGAATCATACATGGCCTTCCATGTTCAAGTGCTAGGAGGACCTCACTATGCAAAAGCATCCACCAAATCTTTTTATATTTTCTGTGATACCCCTTGCGCTGAGACGGTACATAACGGAGTGATGCTCTTCTATGCAGAGACATGCCGAAGGCGGTACGAACAGCGTCGCCAATCCAACTGTAGGCATTGCTAGCGACGTTATCCGAGTTTTCGACATGTGAAGAGAGAAGAATTGCAGCTTGAATGAGATCAACCCGGTCATTTTCGTGTTTAAGCTCAAAAAGAGTTTTAGCTCTTCGAAAAAGAACGGCAGTTATGCTTCCACGTGAAGTAGCGACTTGAGGGTGGTCACATATGCGAGCTGCTGCGAGGAGAATAGCCTGGAATACCAGTAACGGCGGGGGGGTTTTCCGGGTCCGCATTTCGTCGACGAAAGTCGGCCTCGTCGATTATTGGGCATCCAGGATGGATATCATTGAAGTAGGTATCAATCAAAGCATCGCGAACTGACGGTATAGGGAGGCTGCTCAAGTCATTCAGAGCTTCAGAAGACAAGTAGTGATGGCCTGATAATTCGGGGTGTGGTTTCCACGGAAGCTCATCACGAATCGCCGGGAAGGGGTATGAGATGTAGTTATTGTCAGGGGGCTCATAATCTCGAACAAGATGATACAAGTTGGAAATGTCAGTGCCGATGTACACATTTCGAACGGTTCCGTTTTCTTCAAATCCTTCCCACCGGGAGGATAAAACACCAGTCTCAAAGAACTTTGATAAATTTTCGGTGCGGAAGTGAGCAAAGGGCCCAGAAATAGCGTCCTGGCTTGTAGTGGGAGGTTGATTGTTTTTGTGACCCGCTTCATTGATGTGGGATCTCTTTGCTTCATAGACTTGACGTTTCCTTGATCGTCTCTGTTGGTTCTGGGTTGGATGGGGCCTCAAAGGAGGAGAATTAGTCTTTAGATATAGAAAAAACCGACATGTCGTCAAGATGAATGTTTACCTGCATTCGACTGCATATCGCTCGCATGAGCTGCATCCACGTCCTTCAGAAGCGTCACATTTGACTTTACGTTTTCGACAATTCAAACAAGACGTATTGAGGCTTCGTCGAAAAATCCCCGGAGGTTCATTGTGTTGCTTAGGTAGGCCGACTTCCTCTCCAGTGTCTGCAAACCCCATAACGCTGGGGTTTAAGTAAAAACCGTGGACCTAGTAGACAGAGGCGAAGCCAACTTGAAAGCAAGCTAACCTTGAAGCTCTATATATGAGCAATGACCAGCCAGCATTATTAATCATTCGATCCCCGCAACAATCAGGTCACGTGGGTAACAGGGTTCATCAGTTATTGTTATTCTTAGTGTTGAGCTTTGTTGATCTATGGAAAACAACCAATTGAATTGAATATCGATAGTTCACAGTTCGTTTACGTGCCCGATGTCGGCTCTTCGCGTGAGATCGTGTCAGACTTTAAATCAACTACAAAGCAAAGACTTCCGCATTTCTCCGATTCTAACCGCGATGATAACTTGCTAGCAAATCGCAAGTCACTGATAACAATCACTTAACATAGACTCCCCTCACTCAACATTGTCCCATCAAAACAACCATAATGACGCCCCTCGCGACGGGTGTTCGTACCTTGTCAACATCTACGCATCCTCGCACCCTCCTCCTAACATTCGACGCGTTCGGTACCCTTTTCTATCCAAACCCGCCTGTTCCAGAACAATACGCGACCGTCGCCCATGAATTTGGCCTCCCTCCAAATACCGTCACCCCGCAAAAAATAAAAGAAGCCTTCAAGGATGTCTACCCGGCCCACGCAAAACGCTGGCCAAATTATGGCCGGGCCGATGTACTCCGCGGTAAATATGGCGGGCCAAAACAATGGTGGGGGGAAGTCATACGAGAGAGCTTCACGCGTGCTCTGGTGTCAGATAGTAGCCAGTCACTAGAGTTTCCCTCGGGTATGGTGGACGCGTTGCTTGATAGATTCGCCAGTGACAAAGGTTACGCGCTCTACGAAGATGTTATCCCATTTTTCACGCGTATGCGTGAGCTGAGGAGCTCTCCGACCCATCAATTTGACCGTATTGTGCTGGGTGTAGTGTCTAATTCGGATGATCGCGTTCCTGCTGTGCTTAAGGCGCTGGGGCTGCGGGTAGGAGATTTACGCGCAGACCAAGATCTCTCGAGTATGGAGCTTCCGGGATTTGAGCATCGAGATGGACCTGGATCCGGCAAGTCGCATTCTTCTGGCCAGCTGGACGTCGACCTTGACCTTGTTATTACCAGCTACGAAGCTGGCGAGGGGAAGCCAAACCGACTAATCTTCGATGTCGCGAAACGGCAAGCTCATTTACTACCGAGTAATCATATGCCGAGCCAACCACCGGCTGTGAAGATAGATAAGGAAGATAACTGGGTTTGTATACATGTGGGCGACGAATATGAGAAAGATTATCAGGCGGCAATAGGTGCTGGGTGGGAGAGTTTTCTGATTCTTCGAAGCGATAGCAACGTTCCCCCCGCGAAAACCATCAACTCCTTAATGGATTTGATTGATGAGCTCGAGCTCCACCTAAAACTTCAATAAGATTATAATCTGGCAACAAAGATATCACATAGCCTCGGCGTTTATCAAATCATTCCATTTGCCATAAAATTAGGGCATGTATCTGATTTTGTAATCACTTTGGAAATAGAATAAATGAATGAAATGCTAGATTGGGTATTTTGCAGAGAATCTCATGATCATAGTCATAGAAGTGTACAGTAGATTTTGGCGAACTGGCTATATCAAACCGAAATCGTAACACAAAAGGATGGGGTATCAAAAAGTTCGTAAAGGAAATCAATCACTGGTCCATGACCATGCAGGCAACGACCATGGAAGTTGTATTACCTCCAGTCGCGGTATAGCGATCCCGAAGTCTGCTCTCATCTCCCCGACTCCTTGGCTCTAACTCGCAGCTTCTTGGCCACAGCTCGTGCAATTCAACAGCTGACTGCAGTTCAGTTGCAAGGTATTCTTGCAACTCGGGGACAGGTTGCAAACAGTATGGTGCTTCTTTGAAACGCTGAACGTCCTGGATAGTCGACGCTAGCATTGTGTATTTGTGGAAATTAATCAGTCCTTCCGAGGTCAAGCCTGGGTTTCCGTCTTCGATGAAGGTCAGGTCTTTGAGGAAAAGGCCTAGTCAATACAAGTTATATTAGCAACTTTAAAGGCGATAAATAAGTTGTGACATAGCGGCACGAACCGAGGAATGGTATGCAGGGTGGTACTGCAGCTCTGATGGTCTCACGGTATGCGTTGTAATTCTGCGTGCTAGATATCATGGCCTGCATCGGTGACAATGTGTTGCAGCTTCGTTCGGTGACCATTGCCCATGTTCGGCTTAGCCGGTATATTGGGGCACTTTCCAGACCAGATAGAATACTGATGACGGTCGAATAGTTTTGGAGATCACGGCAAGCCTGTATGAATTGAGCTTAGCATATTCACTTTTCAGCAATATTTTACGCGCAGACCCACGCTTGCCACATTTATGAAGTGCCCGATGACTTGGGTTCTCTTTTTGAGTTCCGACTCCGCAATTATGAGGGCAACCACCCAGTTAGACACTTGGTTTGAATATCGGATCGAGGCCCTGATATGCGGAGCTGACCCTGGACCTCCGCAAGTGTCTCTCTTTTGCCATGACTTGTTCAACAATTCGCTTCGCTGTATTTTAGCGAACATGGATGATTCCATAATAGTCAACTGCCGCGCTATCTCCTTAGGATCGATTTTAAGGAATTGCAGTTTATTCAATTTCTTTGGAAGAATTGGCTTTGGTGCACTTGATAAAAAAGGCTGGATTGTCTTTATGTTGACCACGCCCTCGAGTCGACATTGGATGATTGAAAGGAGCTGACGGGCCGCAACTGCTTCGGAAGCATCATTGATTCGATACACAAACGCCTTAATTTCAAGTAAATCCTGATTGACGGTAGCATCACAGCGACTTGAATCCCCCCAGAAACTCTCAAGCCATTGCTTGAAAATGTTTATCACTCGTAGTCGCACTAAAGGCTTTATCTGATTTGACCATTCGGCAGCTTGAGTCGGATTTAAATCTGGTGGCGTACCATCAAATTGGTCAATGAGAAGCCGAATAAGCTCATTTGTTGATATGAAATATTTGTAGGTCGTGAGGAATGTGCGGTTGAATGAGGCGTCCAGCTTGTCATGGCGGGTGAGATGGTCCACTAAAGCCGCTAGAGTTCCGGCCTTAACAACTTCGACACCTCCGCTGTCATCGCAGACGATCGGTTTCGAAAATTCGGAATGATAGGAGATCGAGCATTTTCTCAATTTTTTGTTCAGTGAGTCCATGGTGTAAATAGTGCCCTGCAATATTTCAACCGTTGGGTATCGGCTGTCCAACTTGTTTGGCTTCATTCGTTCGGCCGGTCTGTGCTTTTCATCATACGACACGGACCACCGGGGTTGTCTGAGCTATAATGGCCCAGAAAAAAGCTTGCTACGAAAGGAAAACGGAATAAAAGGGAAAAGGAAAAAGGTCTGGACCGAATGCCTGCAGTGGGCTTTTAAACATGCAGTAATGTGTCAAAGATAGGAAGAAACCCAAGGAACCTTTCTTTCGGTAGTGGGGTCTTCCGCGTAAGACCAGCTTCCAACTGTTAGTCCGTGCACACAGCCAGCCTGGAAGAAAAGTACCTGCCTTATGGTGCTACATGCTAGGCGCTTGGAGCGGTATCCGATCTCGGCTTTTTGACCCACTCCCATGTGGCTTTGAATGGTTCACGAGACTAAATTCAAATCTAGACGCCAGGGCCAACTCTGATGGGAAGGAGCTAAAGCCTCCACTTTTCTCGTTAGTTGCAACCCAAAAGAGCTCTACCCTAATAATGCGTCACTCGTGCACGGTTCAGTTAAACGGTTTGGGAGGAGATCTATGGTAAAGAAGGTGGGACTGGACCCGAATGAAAGTATCGTCAAATTCGTGAATTCAATTGCTCTATATAGTTTCGCCCACTATAATACCGTTCCCCTAACCTGAACCTTTCTCTTCAAATCAATATCCTTGATGAGAATCGTCCAAGGGATTGCTAAAATCATGATGCCACATCCGACAGCAAGGAGTCTGAGCTCAGAGTAGGCGTATGCCTTTTGAATCGCAAGCCTGGTTGGAGTTCCGACTGCATAACTGGTCTGTGTCACGAGATCTTCATAAATGTTGTTCAGGTTTGGCATTGCCGACTCGGGAAGATATCGCAGAAGGGCTTTCATGAATGTGTTTTGCCATATAACGGTGCTGATGGTGAGCCCGGTGGAATCACCAATTGTACCCACGACGTTTAACAAGGCCAGAGCAGTTGCAACATGCTGATGGCCAACTGCGGCTAGGATGGCCAGTTGTTCCACCAGAATGAAGATGGAGCCACCGATAGCAAGCAATATTTGGCACATCACCTGATAGCCAACACTCATGTTCGGGTGACGGAAGTGAATGAGCAGACCTTGCGCAAGTATGTAGAGAGGAATTGCGATATAAAGACACCACTTGAAACGACCAGTTGCACGGATAGCCCAACCAAGGAACAATAGGAGAACACCGGAAATCACATCGAAGATATTGTTAACCATGTTGGCAGTAGATATCGTCAGGTCATTATTGACCTGTAGCCAAGATGTGAGGTAGTAGCTCCAACAGTAATTCGATAATTGGTAGGTGGCATCCAAGAGGACCGCACCAACAATTGTACGATCGGTGAGCAATCGCCACTCGAGAAGCGGTACAGGCGCGAGCCACGTCTCCCAAATCGCAAAGAAGAAGAGCATCGAGAAGCCGATGACAAGCATAGCAATGATGTAGCCCGAAGCCCAGCCCTCAGGTGCGTAGTCTGCGATATCGAAGGGGAGTTCGAACAAAATAAGACCAGCAGTGAACACTACGATGCCAAAGACTGAAACTCAAAGTTAGTAAATAATATTTCCGCTGCGGGGAATAGTAGTTGCGTCTGGGGAATCGAGTCCACGGTACTCACAGTCAAACTGGACGGTCCAATGCCAGAGACTCTCAAGAAAAGTTCGACCGCTGGGTCTCTTAACTCGATATCCTTCCTTTTGAGCCTTATGCAGATTGTATTTCAGCATTGTATATAGAGGCGCAGCGAAAAGGGGGGTAATTATTGCCCAAGCACCAAATCCCCAGCGCCAGGAAATGTTGTAGTAGAAAATGTCCGCGACCTTTGGCCCCGCGAACGCGGTAATAATATACGGGGAAGAGGTAAAAGCGTATGCAAAGGCCCGATTTCTCAAACTCGACGCATCTGCCGTAATAACGTCGATAGCATACTCAGAGCCGTAGAAACCAACATAATAGAACGCCTATAGTCGCAGGTGTAAGCTATGGTTGCTGCTCCATCATGTCATCCCAGACTTACATTGGCGGCGCAGTAGATCTCAAAAGAGTCGCATACTGCCATGAGAACCAGTCCGATGGTTAAGCAGACGATCGTCAGGAGAAATCCCTCTGCGCGACCCCATACATCCATCATTTTTGCCATAGGGAGGTAGGTTGAAGCTGCAAATGCATCGCCTATAGCAGTAGGTACGGCTGTGAGTGAATGGGCCTTGAATGAACTTGTCACGTAAGGATTCAAGCTGACAGAAATTGTGGCTTGGAAGGCGTTAACAAAGTAAAGGAACCAAATACTATTGAGTTCATGGTATTAGTGTCCATAGTTCAGAAACAGGAACTACAAGACGAGAAGTAGTTGGCAAAACTCACTTGACAAAAATCAGGATCAAGGTAGTCTTCGACCAAGTCATAGTCACGGCCTCGACATCTTGAACACCATGTTGGACGGTCTCATCCGGCTGGTCATTCCATGATCCCGAGCCGCTGTCGCTTCTGGACGGATGGACGCTATCATCCAAGGAACCCTTTTCTTGTCTTCGATTTTCTCTGACTATGCGTTGCTCAATAGTCTCATCGTCGATACAATCTCCGTCACCGGATGCCAGATGTTGGAAGACCGTGCGAGCCCTTCGAACCAAGGGACGGACACCCATGACGGCTGAGTATGGAAAAAAGCCAACACGATGGAGCAATTTCGTGGCGAGGTGCGCTAGATAATAAGGCCAAGAGGGAAAATGTGATCATTTACCCATCAAGGACACAAGACCCGAGCACCGAAGTCGGATCGGAGACACTAGCACGCGCGGACTGCGGCAGGGGCTTTTTCGACACCTACGTGGTGATTTGATAGGGTCCATCACTAGCGAGTAGGCCAAGCTCCACCAGGGGCAACAGCCCACAGATGCCCGGCTCAGCTCACCAGCATCAAGAGGCGTGATTGCTCGATTCCAAGCCCCTCGTGCATGATGGGTTTGACCTAAAGACGCACTGAGGACCACTTTTATCGGGTGACTGGTGGCATGATTGGATATGACGGGCCGTGCCAAGACAAAGTTATCAATCAGATAATCTTCTCAATCAATCTCCGACCGAAATTTTCGGCAAACGCGGGAACCTCGCCGTTTCATCCTCGTCTGCGTAGGAGGGTGCGTTCGACGCAACGTAGATGGTCATTTCCACGATCACGGTGGGAAATGAATCTGGGGGCTAAACTTGAACCCGCAGGAAATCTGGATTCAGATTTACCTATCACATGAAACGACTCCTGTCTCCGTTGAACAAAAAATGAAGATGAAGAAATTGAGCGCAATCATACATCTAGTATGTTTGCAATATGCGAAGGTTACGTGCAATTTAGAAACATCATCACAATGAAAGATCAGATTTTCCTCCCGAGGATAAAACGGCAAAATTTCGAGTGGCAGAGACTCGTATCTCATCGCCGAGAATATTCCGAAACTGTCGCTTTGGCAGGATGGGAAGCATATCGTTTCTAGGTGGAATTTTAACTCAGTTTGAATGCTTCATCCGAGTCGCTTCTGCTCTGCGCAACGAGCCATTTTAGTGATTCAGTCATTTAGAGAGAAAACTTGAATGGCCCGAGGGTAGATATGAGGGGAAAGCACGTCGCCAGGATAATATTGAGATATCTTCATTCCTTATTGCCGAATTTACTAAGCTGAGCATATCGAATTTCAGCCTTTTCATCGGCTTGACTGATTGTATTCGGATTCGCTTCAATTAGATCCCAGTAGGTCGCGTGGTATGTCATGGCATGAGATTGTCGTAGCAGTCAGGTCATCTCTAACAATTGACCATGGCGAGATCTGAAATATATCCTTGTCTTGTACTTGGGTCGAGTAGCCATCCGTAACAACGACCTTATCCGGTAGATTCAAGCCAAATTCACCCCATCCTAATTCTCCCGTTGTATTATTTTCACAATACAGAGCAAAGCAGAAAAGCTTATCAATATAAACCCGAAAGCAACCGTCATAATATTGACCTGTATCGCTCTCTTCGTCGTCCGGGTCAAAGGTACTGTTAATCATATTAACATAACCAACCTTTCCGGCCTCTTCTGGTTCAGCACTGATCAAAACTGACTGGACTGTGCGGTCGTCCAGTGCTATATAAAAGTCAAAACAAACAACACCGTGACTAGCATAAGTCGGCATATTATTATGGTGGCACCATCTGTGGTATCGTTTACGAACAGCGGCGACAGATGCCTCTGCTAATTTCGAGTCATCGATTACCACATTCCGATATCCCTCACGAATCAGTCGATCAAGATTTGGCTCGTTCGGGAAATTAGACGGGCCCTTGTTAATTTCCCAGTACATGTAACGTTTAAGCTTGCTGATCGCGGCGGCCCATTCTTCATCAGACGTATAAGCATAGGCTGTACGACAGATAACATAGCCCCAAGGCCAGCCATTTAAATGGTCCACTTGAGTCCTGAAGAACCTCGGTATCCATCCCCCAAACCAGCCTTCTCTCCATCCTGGCTTTTGATGAAATCGCAGATTTCGCTCTCGGGATGTTTCTTCTGCTGGAAATTACGCTGAGCGCCAAGGTATGACCCATGACTCATCATGGAACAAACCATTCCGAGCAGGGGATTGAACAGGCGGATTCTGGCTGTTCATAACTTGAATATTTTGCCCTTCGAAGTCAAGTTTTGGGAAGATTCTTCGCCATGATTATGTGGCGCCGGCTTAAGCGAGACGGAAGACGGAGGCAAATTCGTAGCGAAGACAGACTCTCGCATTTGGCATCCAATTTAAGCTATCGTATTAGCCCTGGTAATCGCATATTTATGGCTAGTTTCGTAGTCTTCCATTTCTCTGATGTTGATAAACTAAACGTACAATCAACCCAGGGGTTCCATGAAAGCTTTCCGTTTGAGCGATATAGAATATCATCCCTTTAGCCAGCGATGAATAATTGAAATCTTCTAAGAGTCCATGGTTATAGGCCGCTAAAACATGAAATCAGGTAACATGCTCCTTCTCCTCCTCTTTCGGAATCCGCACCCAAAACAACGTAATACAACCAGCGACAACCTCACATGCGAGAGCAAACCACCAAATCGCTCTCAATCCTTCTAAGCCAATATCGCCAGATGGCCCCCGGTCAACTCCCGTCCCAACCGCATCGGCGACAGCGGTCATTACGGCAGAACTCAGATTCTGCATCGTGACGAGAAGACTACCGGCGCTTCCTTGGTATGAGCGTGGCACGTTGCTTGTGATATAGATCGAAGCGGCCGCGAATGAAAGATCCGGACCAAAAGTCACTAACGCGATTCCCGGGAACGATAGTGCCCAGTAGGTCGTTCCTGATGTTTGCGGTAGGAAAAATACCGGTCCCAGGGCAAATGCGAACATCGCCGTGAGATAGATGAAGTGGCCAGGAATGATGTGAAGAGTCTTACTGACTAGCCACGTGGCTAGAACTCCTACTATCGCATTTGGAAGGAGATATAATGCAACCGTGAGAGGCTCGTGGTTCTGGATGCGTAGCCAGAACTGGACCGCGTAGAATTGCCAGGCTCCAGAGAAGGCGCCATAGCCGAGAAAGTATGCCACCATGAGAGGAGTAAAGCCCTTTGTTTTCCATAGGCTATTAGGAATCAGTGGTCGTGAAACCCAACGTTCCACGAAAAAGAATGCGATCAACAACAGAATCCCGACCACCACGAGGGCATATGTGTATGGGCTCCATTGTACAACGGATCCTTGTGTCAGGCCGAATAGAAGGCAGATGCAGCCGGTCACTGCAAACCCGGCGCCTATAAAGTCAAAGTCTCGAATTGTCGGTGCATCCGTGCCGGTGATATCAGCCACAGGACGAAGTGGAGGGATTGTCGTGTAAGCCGCGACAAGGCAGATTCCAGAAAGGATGGCGTTTGAGCCAAAAATCCAATATAGGTAAGACTTCAACGCTCCGCCCTGAATACCACCGAGCCAAAACCCAAAGGGTGCAGTGGCTGACATAGCAGAGAATACCTGGTTCTTGCGACGGCCTGGCTTATAAACTCGACCGAGTATACTCATTGAGCCGGAAACTAAAACCCCAATGGCTAGCCCCTGCATCGCTCTGACGATATAGAATAGAATCGCCTTTTCGGTGGCGAAAACGCCAACGATATTCCAGACAAGAAGCCACGCGAATGCGCAGACCATGATCATTCTCGGTGGAGCCAAGTCGCTCAGTGAGCCTGATATAACGACGGAAAGAGAGAGTGGCGTAGTATAAGCTCCCAATAGCCAGGGAAGTTCACTATTGCTGATACCCAGAGAGCGCTTGAATTCTTCTTGATTCACCGTAATATCACCAAGTAGAAAGGAGAATAGCATTAGGCCAGCGGAGCACACAAAGACGAAAATGACTTCGGCTGTGAAGCTACCAATCTCAGGAGGAATCCCTTGGTATTTGGCCTCACTTGGGGAGCCAGCCTCCTCAGCGAGATCGGGCATTCTTCTCGGCGACGTGTGTCGGAAAGAGCGGCGAGTACTGCGCTCGCTTCGCCGCGACGGCACGGCCTCCAATTCTAGTTGGCCGTCGTGATGATGACTTAAACTGCTGGCTAAGTTCTCAAGTGCTTCTCCCATGTGCGAACCCCGGCGAGTCCGGGTTGTGGGAACTTTGTGCAGGTCGGTAACATCTTTTGAATCAGGAAGGTCATCCAGTTCGTCGGAATTTCTTCTGGTGCTATCTGCCGTCGTTGACAGCGACATTGTAGAGGTGGCTGTCGATCCCATTTCATAAACGGTGTGGGTGGTACCTTTCGCACCATCGCCCACTGGTGTCGGTGTCATTATGAAAGCACTTCTGGCGGTAACACTGAGCTGAGGGGAAAACTTCAGATCAAAGGACAGAAATCGCGGGGGCAAACACATACATATGATGCTCGAAATGCCTCCGGCTAAATGGTAGAAAAAGTGGATCCGGACGTCACAACGAAGAGTTTTCCACCTTTACGGATATCATTCTCCGAGAGGTGCATGTCAATGTGCTGTCGATGAGTGGAGAGCTTATCTATCATTTCAATTTGGTTCCGATTGTTTTTCTTGCCTATGAATCTGGTGGCGATTAAATCCGTGCTATATTCATTAATAGGCGTGGTCACGGCTAGGGGGGGGCAGTAGAGCTGGATGGGCGGATCTTTTAGGGGGCCTCATAACGTTTAGATCTGCCGATTCAAATAAATAAGAAATTACACTACCGCGATTTTGAGCTACGGATCTTATCATGTCTCTAGTCTCTACAAATATCGACCGTCCGTTTCGATGCACCTCGTGGTGAGCTGATTTGTGGGTAAACGCGGACTTTACTTTTTGCTGTAAAGCGTATCCCACATTACATCTTGAGTGAAAAATAGTCGGCCGGGATGAAAAAAGGAACGATTTGATTTTCCTATGAACCTACACATAAGAAAGATGTCAACACTGGGTAGTGGTTGTGAGATTTCTTTTTTTTATAAAAAGAGGCCCGAACCGCCCAATCCCCTTGATGCCCTCAGCGAATCATATCCATCTGGAAGTTTCACATACTGTAGACGATCGATTCAACGAGATGATTTTAGTGACGTCACCACAACTATCTGAGGGATATTTTGCTATTTCCAATCAAGTCACCATATACATCGCAATATAGACCGTTAGGGTTACCAGAACAAATAAATGGCTAGCTTTACGTATGAAGGTACGAGGGAGGAGGCAATAGTGGGAATGATGGTGTGTGTGAGGTAAGATCGAGACTAATCTAGTAGAATCGATAATTAACACTGAAAAATGTACAAAAAAGGCAGTAGTTTGACGTGAAGAGATACTCGAAATGATTGAATAAACTGGTGATTTAGATTGCCTAGTACAGTAGTACTCAGGTAACAAGAGCAGGATGTCTTACTTGTATCTGCTCATATTCCTGGCTCATGCCCAATCCAGAGTATTTCTTGCCTATCACCACCTTGACGCACGGCCCTCGTAATGAAAATGCTTCATAAGATTCACCTTAACTCGAAATTTTACCGGTCGGGAATTTGTCCTGGCCTTAGACACTTTCATCTGTGCCATAAATTCCATAGTGCCTACTACCTACTAATAGTGTTTTAATGGTCACGAGCTCACCAGACCAATGAGGTTAAATGATGTCATGTGGTTGAACCATATAATACGATTTCGTCACCATCAACTCTACTTCCCCAGCAAAGAAAACTTCCGCTCGGATTGTCCCCTAAGAGAATCAATTATACTACAATGTCCGACTTCTTTCGCCGAGCATCTGACGCGTTTCACAATCGCCAGCGTCAAGACTCGACCGGCTCCACAGGCGCACCAACCTCTCCAGACGCAGCAAAGTCCCCTGAAGAACCACTCAACGAGCGGAGCGGGTCTGTTCAGTCGGAATCCCATGTGAATGAAGCCTTTGCTGGAACTGCAACCAGTATCTGCCCATTTTCTTTATATTTTTTGGACTCCCCTGGAGTCGGACGCGTGCTAATAAACTTGGCTAGCTGATACCGCCCAGCCTACTACGAAAAAGCATTATCCTTGGGGGTGGAAACGCCACCAGGAAAATGCGCCCGAGAAGAGAAAGCCATCTGTCAGTGATGAGGTGAAAAAGGATGATGTTGACTGGGTTATTGGATCGTAATGCGATGGTCGTGCTTAATTCGATTTTTGAAGTGCGTCAAATTACCGATAGCAGGACGGCAATCGATCAAAATGGCAAATTGAAAATCTAGTAAGCTTTGGCTTACAGTGATGGAAATATTTATGAAAACATTACATTTGCAATAATCAAATTGAATCTTGAATCCTATTTTTTCCATGTTTGGTCATAAAATACGACTTCACCAAGAACGTAACAAATATCATATGCGCCCTTGTATAGTCGTACCTATGAGAGCCGAACATTGGGAGTATTGAATTAAATCTCAGGCCTCCTCAACGGTGCTATCAAAGCACAAAATGCTCTTTGATTCATTGCTGACTTTCTGTTCCGAAGTATCCCATTCACTTAACTTGCAAATATCGTCCTCCACCGAGTACAAGATTGGTTCGTTGCAAGATTCATCCCTTTGACAGGATCAGTACATACTCTCTTCTTGATTTTGGCTGGCTTGACTTGACTCGAGCTTGATTGAAAGGGGGGGTAAAAAGACTCACTTGTAGAAGTTGCACACTACATCTTCGGGAACCTTGACAGCGGTCACTTTACCTTTTCTGTTGATTGGAATTTTGTGGTTAATATTCAAGTTCTGTTAAGTACACCGGCATTTAGCTTCGGCTTTGGTTTCACATACAATATATCCGGCACGACAGTGCATTCGTTGTTAGGCTCGATTTTGGCTGATTCTCCTGTGCAAGGCTCTTGCGAAAAAATAGTGGCCTTGATTAGAGCGGGTTAGTCGCTTCGAGATAATCTATACAACGGGACTTGAAATATCTTTTGCATGGAAATACCTTTTCCGCTGCCAGAGCAGGCGCCAAGCAGGAAGCAATGGCAAGTGCAAATAAAGTGTACGACACCATTGTATACTGTATGAGTGGATATTGGAGAGTTGCTGATGGATATGGCGAAGCGAGGTGAAATGGACGTTCAAGGACAGGGGAAGTGGTTTCTGGCAACCGGGGAATATGTCGCCTTCTTAAAAGATCCATGAAGAGCCATTGCTGGAAAACGTGACCATCATGCAGATCCAATCCATTCATGCATAATATTGTCTCTGTGGCCCACTATGTGCAGGTCCTACGGTCTTTGGCACCTGGGCATGTTGACCTTGCCTCTAGCCTTTTACGTCAGTGTACATAGTTGATGTACAGTTCCCGCATAGATTTTTGTGCCAGTACAACGAATCATACCCATACGCCGAATGGTTTTCTCATTCCTATTAAAACCCTGAGCATTTAGTTAAAAATTCGAATTCATCGAGGCCGTTCACTCTAAATGTGGGTTATCTATAGCTAGATGAACGCCAGGCGACCCTATGTAATGCTCACCGAAAGATTGGTCCTTACTGTCGAACCTGCGCATGCAGATCTTCTCCAGCATTCAGCTCAGCCATTCTGCTCGAAGGTATCCACATGAGCTGTAAAATTTAATCTAATTGGTACGGCGTAGTAGCAGTTAGCGTAGAATTGTGCATACCGACTCAATAGTCCGATTGAACTCGTGTAACCTCCAAAGCAAGGTGCGACATTCCAAAGCTACTAGTACCTATTTCCACGCCCAGTTCAGAGGAACTATTTTATTCAAGTTTCTGCACAAGCATTATCTCAAACAAGCTACCCTACCATTCCCTGATAACTTCGGGGCACTCTTAAATTCCATTCATTCTCTTGTCTATATACTCATCCCTAGTAACACAACCGCACAACAATTCTACCAAATCAAAGCTAAATGCGATCTATCCAATCCACTCAAACCGATCACCAAGGTACTTATTTGCCCTCGCATCCCCCGATCTCGCATGTCCTTCGAAATTCTCCGCCCGTGCCGACCGACCACAAAGACGGCCTAGTTCGCCGCTCTCCTTGTCGCTGGTGACTTCTTGGTATGTCACTGTGCGCAGGAATTTTCCCACCCATACTGTGATAAAAGCAAGTATTAGTATTGGGTCTTCCATCGCACTGTGCTGGGACTGGGGCTGGGGCTGGATAGATGGACGGGTACTCACAACCACCGGTATATCTCGCCGCACCACGAGTAGGAAGAACATGATTAGTCCCAATACACTTATCACCATAAGAAACACAAGTATTCTGGCCGAGGAAGAGAGCGCCATAGTTGGACATTTTAACCAAAGCCTCGCGGGGATTCTGCGTCAGAATCTGAACATGCTCGTACGCGTATTCGTCGGCGAGTTTATACGCTTCGTCTAGATCGGACACGATATTCACCTCGCCTAATTTGTCCCACGATACACTGGCGATATCAGCTGTGGGAAGGATCTTGAGTAGTCGGTCCACTTCCGAGATGGTCTTTTCGCCTACGGCATTTGAATTGGTTATCAATACCGCCGGTGAGTCTGGGCCGTGCTCGGCTTGGGAGAGGAGGTCTGTTGCCACGATGAATGGGTCCGCGTGCTCATCTGCTACGATGAGAATCTCTGTTGGTCCGGCGGGCAGGTCGATGCCGATTTCTTCGCCGAAGAGTTGGCGCTTTGCTTCGGCTACGAAGGCGTTGCCTGGTCCGGCTATGAAGTTTACTTTCTTCATGCTTGGTGTGCCGATGGCCATTGCGGCTACGGCTTGGACCCCGCCCAGGATGTAGATGTCGTCTGCGCCGGCGAGGTGCATGGCTGCGACGGTGTTGGCGGGGATTTTGCCCGCGATGGGGGGTGTGCAGGCTGTTACGTGCGGACAACCGGCTACTTTTGCTGTTAGGATTGTCATGTGTGCGGATGCGAGGAGGGGATAGCGGCCGCCTGGGATGTATCTATGCAAGAGAATGGTTAGTGGTGGTGGTTTGAGGATTTGCTTGGTTGCTAGGCTTTGTAGATTCTACTCACGCGCCAACTGAGTTGATGGGGACATTTTTCTGTCCCAGGTGCACGCCCGGGCGAATCTCCAGCTCAAATTCCTTGATGGAATCTTTTTGGGCTCGTGCAAAGGTGCGGACGTTTTCTTGCACCTGTTTGATATCATCGATGATCTGTTTCGGGACGCTGGCGATGATCTCCTGGATCTCTTCCGGGGATAGCTTGAAGCTGGCTGGACTCCATTTGTCGAATTTCTCTGAATACCGTCTCACAGCTGCATCTCCATTCGCACGAATGTCGTTGATCACGCCCCGCACGATTGCGGGGGTGTCGATTGTCGTTGCAGGACCTGCGCTGGAGGTGTTGGGCTGTTTCAGCTTGATGACCATGGTGGCGTTGGATGTGAGGAGAATGCTTGTTGAGCTGTTTGGTTTCAATGGAGAGTATGCGGCTGCTATATATGAAATATGAACCACTGTTGATTGACCTTGTCCAACTTCGTGTTTACTATTACTTCGGACTCGGCGCCGATTCCGATTCCCCGCAATCGTGGCCCGCATGAGCCCCGGGGGCAGCTCGGAATGTGGAGATCAGCGAGAAAGTGACAGCCGAGGGGGGCAAAAGTTAGGCAAAAGTTAGGCAAAAGCTTAAAAATCACCATTCGTGGACTGGTCAGACTGGTTCAACCCTCAAGTCGTTGTTCCCCTGGTTCTATGGGTTAGTCGGGTGTCAATTAAAGAATTAGAAGCTACTAGTAGATGCCAGGAAACTGAAATTGAAATTGATCATATCGTAATTTCATATGTTGGGTATCATTGGGTATCTTAATTACATTACTTAGTATACAAAGCAGCTCCGAGATCTCCTATCAACTGTGCAAGACTCTGCACTAAAGGTGGCGCTCGCTCAGGCACACCAGGTCGGAGCACTGACTGTACTAGTTGCATCGTTCGTCCCGGGGTCTGCAAGGTATAGGGGTCCACTTGCACTCTGCAAGGCTGGGAAGCCACATCCCAGAGTGACGAATTTCGACACATCGGGAACTTCATCCGCGTCAAGGAATACAGTTGGCCCTTGGGAGAGAGGGGGGGCTCTCAATTGATCGGGAGTCCCTGGCTTTGGAAACAACCCCGTACGACCAAAACGCCAAGCTTGCGTAGTAGACTCCAATAGCAAGAAAGCCGGTTATCGAGCCTGGGGCCATCTGACGCGCTGCGCGGAGAGTTTGGCCGGCGTGCCAAATAGCACGACGCGAGTCAGGACTAGTAATCCACTCCAGAGCGGATTGGTAGACTCGCCGTGCTTCTTGCTTGTCCTCTTTGCCGGCAAAGAGCTGGAGTTCTTCCAATGACATGTGCAGGAGCATCGAGACCACTTCACAGACCAAGATTATCTCCGGTCGGCACTTTATACGAAGCTCTGAGCACACCAGGCGGAAATGTTGAAGCGACTGTTCCAGTTCTTGTTGTCGCGAGTTGGTGACGAGGGCATGCCAATGTTTAGAGTTGCTACCCGAAATGAACTTGAGTCGGTGGTATTCGTTGACCAAGGCGGAGAGGCCATGAAGAAGAACGAGAGCGGACATTTGTGTGTCGATGCGATCCTGGAATACCGACAGCTGCGAAATGTCACGCAGAAGGTCGATGAGGGAGGGCATGCGCTCGGGGGTGGCATTACAAAGAAGTTCCTTCCATTCCATAGCCGACTTTGCTTCCCATATTTGACGGGCTGTTGGTAGCGAGAGGTCCATGTCGGTGTATGAAATTATCGGGTTGACGTTGAGAGTCGCCGCGGACTGGGCGTCGTGGACGAAGACATGGTAGACAAGTCTGTCCGGCCATGTCAGCATGGAATGGCTCATCGAATGGATGATTAACGACTACATACCTTTTGAACGACTCCTGTTCAATCCATGCATGCCACTTTTGCTCGAGGACCTCCCCTTCGTCCTCGGGCAAAGGTATGATACTGGTGTACATTGAACGGCGGAATCGCAGGGATCGACGGAGCATAGTGATGAGAGGCTGCGAGAAACTCTCGGCAATCTCTGTCTTTCGCCGATTGCCACTCCAAATGCCAGTGTCGATGGTCAGGGCGTATGTTTGTGAAGCCCGCAGATCGCGTGTTGTGCTGTTGTCATTTTCGTACTAATTCGTCAGAGTAGTCTTAACAAGGGGAATTCGATGCGATACTCACTTTGGTAGGCATGTATAGCCGAACTATCTCGACGAGGGCGTATCCCAACTTCCGGATAGTCGGAATCGGCGAATGGACCGCCGCAGCGGAGGCCATTGCGGCGAGAATACTTGCATGCTCGCTGTTCGGTCGAAAGGTCGGGGCATGGATGAATGAAACAACACTCCTGGCCTGGCGCTCAAAGAATTGTTGGATTAGGCCATCTAGCAACTCGGTGCTGGGGAATGACTTCATAATGCGGGTCAAGTTGGCTTCTCGGCTGATCTCCAAAACGAGGCCAAAGATGAGGTCCCGGCTACTGGAGGAAAGACGGTCACACAGGATCTGCTGATCTGGTGTAGAAATTGCCTCGGGACTGTTGATATTCTGTGGAATCGATAGACTCTCATGATCGACGCCAGCCTTGTCCCCCCGGTCGGGTTTCCATGCGGAGAGAGAGGAACGGTTGTAGGCTTCGGTGCCAATGCCGATCCCGCTGTCCGCGTCAAATGAATCTTGTTGAAGATTTTCGTGCATGTTCGGGAAGATACTACCCGAATTATACATGTCGATGAGGCCAAAGTCGCCATCAGTCAGATTGAAATCGAAGGGCGGGTATTCCAGGGCACCATAGTGGGTGAACTCGGGGATCAGGCTGGATGGTTCAAAGGGATCGTTGTAGCGGTTTAGCGACGAAACCAGAGAGTCCGGGATGAAGCTAGGGAAGAAAGTGCCATCGACGCTGAAAATCCCACTCTCTTGATCGGTCGGCGAGACGGCCGGTTGCTGGTACTGGGGGGACTGATCGGTGTATTCGACCAACTCGGACGCTGGCATTTCCGGAGAGAGTAATGGGAGAGTGGCGGTCGTGGCTGAGACTGCAGCGGCCACTGTTGAAAATTCATCCATGGGAGTTGGCATCGGTTCAAAGGCGACCAAATGGGCCGCGTTCGGCTCTGGGGAGGAATCTTGGGTGACCTCCTGCCAGTCACAATGTAGATTGCGTTCACGGCAGCGGCGACAAGGCTTCTCCTCGTCGCATTTCAGTTTGGAAGAAGCACAGGTCTTGCATGCCTGGGAGACACGGCTCTGTTTGGAAATTGGCGAGGACCAATTGCGTTTCCGCTTGCGATCCCGGTCCGCGGCGTGACCAGTGGCATGGCGTTTCAGGAGGTCACTGTGTTGGGTCAGGTGAGTCAAGAGCCGAAGATATGCGGGGCAAAAGCAGAGAAGCAGATCTTACGGACGGGCGAAGCCCTTGTCACAGACCTCGCAGACATAGGGCTTCTCGCGAGTGTGGGAACGAACGTGGCGGATGAGATGATCAGGACGGTTATAATGGCGCCTGCAGAAACCGCATTGGAAGTAGCCACCATCCTTCGACTTTGTAGGTGAGGCACTAGCATCCATGGTGTAGATGATACATGTGGGAGGTGGGTAGAAGAGAAGGTGAATGTGAAAAGGAGGGGAGATGAGGAGATGAAGAATCCGGGGAAGCAGAACCAGAACCAGGGAAGGCGCGGTTGATTGGCTGGTTCGTCGCCTAATCGGGGATAGCTGGATGGGTCCTTTCCACATTTGATCTGTCGCTGACGCATCACACTTAACTAGGTTAGTTAACTATAGTTAACTAGTTAATCAGAGTGTAAGAAGTATAAGAAGTATGGGAAGTATACGGAGTATACGGAGTACTGTGTATCATTAGTATCTTGACTAGTACAGTAATCACGATAGCATCTTCCCTCTATTCAATGCTACTAGGACACCCCTCTCTATCCGGAATCTCCTATATTTCCTTCTCCTCGGGATGTGGGGGATGACATCCGAGTGGAGGTCCACCTACTTTGCCATTGCTATAATACTACTCCCTGCTATCTCAATATTCTCCATTTTATTCCACTGGTTGTGGTAGTGATATCCTTCTATTGAATTACTTCCTCTTCCTCTTCCTCCTCTCCCCTTTGTACCACTATAGACCATCCAACCTCCATCATGGGTATTTCCTCTCTTCTTCTCCCTTATACTCCCGAAACTCAACTCTATAACATCAACACTAACACGGATCCCAGCATCCCTCACCCCCGTCCACTTCTTCTCCCACGGCTCAACCATGATGCTAGGCGAAGAATCCGAAAGCGCAGATTACTGGAAAAAGTGCGGTGACGAAGCCCTAGCTCGCAACATCCAGGGCGTGATCATCATGGTACTACCTCCCTTCCTTCCCTTCTCCTCACCACCACTACCAAATACACGTACTAACACCAACCCACCAAACCAGGGCGCACACTGGGACGCTCTAAATGACTCGATCCAACTATCCACAAACCCCACCCCCGGAAAAAGCCCAGTAGCCTACGTCAACCCCAAAAAATACATCAACTACACCTTAACCCCCGACCTCTCCACAACGAACCGCTGCATCTCCCTCCTAAAAAGCGAAGGCTTCAACGTCACCGGAAATCCAACCTTTGACTGGATCCACGACGTCTACCTAATCCTAATCCGAATGTTTCCCCAGGGTTGTCCACCAACGACGCTAATCTCCGCAAACGCACGTTACGACCCACACTTCCACATGAAAATGGGCGCGACGTTGCGTCCGCTGAGAAAAGAGAATTTCCTCATCATCGGCACCGGTGGCGCGGTACATAATCTCTATCGAAATCGTTGGGCGCCGATGCTGAAATTTAGAGATAATTTCGCCATGGAGACGCCTCCGGAGGATTGGGCGCTGGAATTTCGCCAGGCGGTTGAGGATGTTATTACCAAGACTAGTGGGGTGCAGTTGCGTAGGGCTATGACGAGGTTGATGAAACATCCGCGTTTTCGCGATGCGCATGCTACGGATGATCATTTTATGGCGGCGCTTTTTGTCGCGGGGGCTGCTGGGGATGAGGAGGATGCCGATGCTGAGGGGGTTTTGGGGGCTGAGAGTTGGGAGTTGACCAATATGTGTAATTCGCAGTTTACTTTTGGGAAGTGGAAGGAGATTGCCGTTTAGAAGGGGGATCGGATCGGATGGGGCGTATATCGAGATACCTTACTCTACTGTGCCAGTGGCTAAGCTCCCAAGAAGCAGAGTTGGAAAGAAATAGAAAGCTATCGGGTGGCTTGCACTCCATTCATAGCGTATATACACCGCTCCAGTCATAAGAACCAGAGAGAAAGCGAGAACCAATCCAAGGTTCGCGCCGATTAAATGCTGTAATGATCAGGGAAGAATTGCATAATTGCATCCTCGACGACTTCCCATGCTCGTGTCTCGTCGCATCGTGCAGAACAATTCTCAATACAATCGTCCAACGCCATTCACCACACTGCACAAAAGAAAGAACAAAGGAAATGAGAAAGGAAAAAAAAAAAAAAAAAAAGAGGAAAAAGAGAAACAACAATGATTCACCCAATGGATATCCAACTCCGACCCAAGCATTAAGAACAATGTCACAAGTCACAAGTCACAATTCTAGATCACGACTACATCACCCTCCGCATCGGCGGGATCAGAGGCCATCATGTCGTTGTATTTACCCACCGCGATCATCATGGGATCATCTTCCAGATCAATCGCGCTGTCATCATTGTTTGGGAGAACCAGCTCTTTCTCGGGGACGTGCTTAACATCCGCTTCGGTGTTGGGGGTGTCAGCCGAGCCCTCATGGCTCACGGATTGCCGCGGGTGATTTTTGGGATCAAAAGAAGTCTGACTGGGGTTCTGCTTCATGCCCGCCATCCCCGCGGGTTCCCCAAAAACCGCATTCTGAAGGGAGTTTGGGGTGCTGGTCATAAACCCGCCTTTCTCCGCTTGCCACACCATCATCTCGTGGAAGAAAACCTTGGTCATCCACCACGCGCTGAAGCTAGCCGCCCCGCCGAGAGTCAAACGGTGAAGAATGCTGTCCCACAGAGCATCGACCTTTTGGATGATGCATCCTGCTCGGTGGTTGGCAAAGGCAGCGGGGAGATTAAGAATAAAGGAGACCCAGTTATCGGGGAAATTGTAATCTTCGCCAGTAGCTGTGTCCACCGGGAATAAGTGCGCCTCAATATCAGCAGGATGGTCGGGTTGCTGGAAGATTGGCAGGCCGGCAGACTGGTTGCTATCTGTGACGGGGGTGAGGAGCGCCCGCACATCATGCTTCAGGATCTGCTCCGCGGCCTTCGACGCACAGCTCGGAATGTCGGCCCTGGTGATCATCTCGGTCGGGTGAACCAATGTCTTGAAATCATACCACATCTGGTTACGATTATCCGGGTGGCACAGCCAGGCCGCAGCAGCATTGGCGGCTTGGTTGACATCCAGCATGTGTTTGAGGAGGTTGCAGAAGATGTGAGCGGGAATGAGACGGGCCACCGACACATGCGTCGGTTGAGCCTTGAAGGTCTCGGTAATGTGACCACAGAGGCGTTTTGAGATGGATCCAAAGGCATCCATGACAACCTTGGGAACCACTTGAGTGGTGAGAGGAGCGACGAAAGCAATCATTTTTTGATACATCAACCAATCGCACTCCTTAATCCAGGGAGCCATATTAGGGTGAGTCAACAATTTTTGTACAGGAACAGTCAAAGTCCCGTGGAAGGCAGAGAAATATTTCAAAAGATTACGCTCTTTGCAAAATCGGAAGCTGTCAATGACGGAAATGCAGTGTGATCGATAGAGAGCCGCCAACGCGTCGGCAACTTTGAGATCGGTGTTGTGAGGGAGGTAGGGACGAATGTCAGGGAGGATAAGAGAGTCATTGTCCATCGAGAGGCTTTCGTCGTTGGGAAATTGCAGCATCTGGTGAATCATTTTCCCAGCTTGCTGAGCGACATTCTCCGTGGTGATGGCAGCATCGGCACCGACATTATGTTGGCCTTCACATCCGCAGCCGGTGACCGGGGTATTATTGGAGAATCGCGGCGGGAACGAGGTGGTCGGAGAAGGGAAGACGGCGGAGTCGGCCGTAGGCGGTGGGATGCTTACTCCAAAGCGTCCATTTGAATGCGCTGATGGGGCTGGAGAGGCTTCGTCAAATCGCCGCGAACGCATCGCGCTGTTTGGTCGGTCCGGCATCCCCGCGGGGAGGTGTGGGTTGGGGGCAACCTGCTGTGGCAGATGCTTGACTTGCTTCTCCTCGATGACAGAGAGGTCGACATAGTGGTACTTGGACTCGCCACGGACGCCCAATCGACGGGTCTGCACATTGGGGAAGATGATTCGAACCAATTTTCCAAAGGAGGCGGGGTTCAGGACGGACACTCGCTCGGTGCCACAGTTCTCTGCATAGCAGCAGTAGACGCGATCCCGACGCACGGAACCATTACTCTTGCGGCAATTTTCGCGCAGCCAGATCATGGCGAATACCTGCTTCACCTTCTCTGCTTTGCCTCCGGCGCCTTCATGCTTCATGACCTCGGCGGCCATCTGCTTCAATGTGTATCCTTCGTATTGGCGGAGCAGCTTCCGCAGCTCATTATCGTTGGCCAGCGTAGAGCTGGACCCGCGTTTCTTTTTTCCACCGGCCTCCGAGGCCTCCTGCTCTTCCAATGTTGTATCAGGGAGGTGGTTCTCGATACCGCTGTCATAGATAGGTTGATATTGCGGTACGGGGACTGTGGGCAGGCCATTGTGGCTCAGGCTGTGTGGAAGGCCGTGGTGAGCGAGGTTGTGACCGTGCATGGCGTGACCTGCAAATTCCTCCGCCTGCGAGGCCACGGAATGATCGCGGTGGTGGGCATGCTCCAAGGACGCGCCATTGGTTTGTTGGTGGACCAGCTGGTGACCAAACCGCATGATCATATCTTCGGGGTTGTTGGCAAAGACATGCTGGGCGCCGGCGACCTGGGACGGCATAAATTGGGGAAAGGCATCGAGTTGGTCCTGTGTCTGCTGGGTGGTACTGGAATGGATGCTGGCGGTGGAACCACGAGAACGAGGGCGACGACCAGCACGAGAGAGGGTCTCGGAGCGAGCGCGAAGGTGATCGGCCGTGCCAGGGCGACTAAGCGGACCCATGTGTTGGGTGGTCTGGGAGACGACACTACCTTGCGACGGGACGCGGACTGGAGGGGAGAGACATGAATGAGATGAGATCGGAGAGAGAGGAGATGAGACGGATGGGGACAGGAAGAGGAAGAGAGTAAGGGATCGACTCACCTAATTCAGGAGGCATTATACAGAGCGAGTGTCCGTGGTTGGATTAGGTTGGACAAAGTGGAGGAGGTCCGTCACCAGGGAGATGGACCGGTGCAAGACCTGGTCACGGTGAGGAAGCGGGCGGCGACGATGAGCATTCGTGGGTGAATGGGAAGCGGGTGTGATTAAAAGCAGCTATTCGTGAATAAGGGTCGACAAGATACCGGACTGGCAGACGAGAAACCAAGACCTGGACAAGAGGCAAAAGCGCCAACAAACCGCGTGAAGAGAACTTGGGAGGAGGAGGTAAACAGAGACGGAGCCGTCGACCTGCCAACGTTGTTGTGATCACGTGAATTAGTCAGCATGCCATACACACAACACAACATGCCACGGAGTATAGAGCCAGAGTAGTACTCGAGAGTATACTGGACAGTATATTCCAAGGTATTTGCGGAATATATCAGGGAGAACTCTAACATTCACCCTATTCTCTTTAGTTACTCTGCTCACAACACTCAGTATACCATACAGCATAGTACTGTGTGTTGTGAACTCACGTGACTGTACTACATCACCACCTGGGCATCGGATCCCATCGGAATCTCGGCATGCCGAGATTCCTCCACCCTACTAGATACGGAACAATAATATAAACAACAAATACTCTAGGTACTACATTGACTACCTTACTACTTCTATACTACTCCTAGCAGTATACTGCCTATAATAGACTAAACTGCACTATAACATACTTGAGTGCCTCCTACGTCATCCCCGCAGGGCGATCGAACTGAGAAAACCTGCTTATGTGACTTGAACTTTACAAAGTGATATTGGGTAGAAGTGGTGGTATTTTCCTTACCAAGCAGGTGATATTCTTACCTAGGTATTTACAATCGGTGCTGTAAATAATAGTATTATACTCTGAGTCCAAGTTCCGACTGCCTAGGTGGCACTGGCACTGGCACTGGCAGTGGATATGTGGATGTATATATCTACACTTATATGCCACCTTCACTAGTAGTATGTACCCCGTAGATCGGTCGATCGATGTAATTTCTCGACCCATTTATCAATCAATTGAGTGGAGATATTGATACTATTTCTATCCTACCCTACTCTACTTTACTCTTAAACTACTACTAGTAGTACTAGTAACTTGACATCTGCCAGCGTATACCACTGGCACCGCACGGGCACCGCACTGCGTGGTACAAGTGGACCGTGACCCAACCACCCGATTTCCTTTAATCTCCGCCCGGGCGATATCCAGGTACACTAGTAACTACAATCCCACTCCGGGTCAGACCACGATGATCGCGATTTCAAAACTCTGCCAAGACGCCCCATAAGGCTGTGATGTCAGGGCTGATGCATCTGGGCTGGGTAATGTGAGACCTCTCCCATAATATAATACTACTAGCATCTGCTGGTGCTTCCCCTCTTCCCCACATTCCCTCCCCTCCACCTCTTCAAGTTTCCGACATGCACAAGTTCAAGGAAAAGGTCGAGCACTTGGAGGACTCTTTCAAAGGTGCATCCTGACCCACTGTCACTTCCCTGTCACTGTCATTGTCACAGTGCTACTCTGGCATACCCATATCACCCTCCCCCCCCCTCACTCCCCCACCCCCACTAACATCATCACCAACATCACCACCAGACCACTCCCTCCACGACACCAAAGCCCAAGCTACCCACCTCAAACACAAAGTCGGCAAGTTCTTCAACATCATCAACCCCAATCACCGCCACGACGAAGCCCACGAACAAGCCACCGACCGCAAACGGTCCGCCATCGCCGAATCCCACCGCTTCGGCTCCTTCGCCCCCGTCCACGACGGAAACCGCATCAAATGGTACGTTGACGCCCTCGACTACCTCTGGGCCGTCTCCGAGGCCCTGGAAAAGGCCACCGAGACCATCTACATCGCCGACTGGTGGCTCTCCCCCGAATTATTCCTCCGCCGCCCCCCCCGTACAACACCAGGAATGGCGCCTTGATCATGTCCTCAAGCGTCGCGCCGAGGCCGGCGTGCAGATCTACGTGATCGTCTATAAGGAGGTCAATCAGGCTCTCACTTGTAACTCTGCACACACGAAATATGCCTTGCGCAATCTCTGCCCTGAGGGCACGCCGGGCCATGGTAATATTCACCTCCTGCGACACCCGGATCATAACGTTTTCGAGAATGCCGCCGATATGACTCTCTACTGGGTACTCCCCCCCCCTCGCTATCCACGCAAGTAACTGCTTGCATTAAACTAATGCTAACTCTCACCAACCCTAGGCCCACCACGAGAAATTCATCGTCATCGACTACTCCGTCGCCTTCATCGGCGGAATCGACCTCTGCTTCGGCCGCTGGGATTCAAATCAGCATCCACTCGCCGACGTCCACCCAGCCGGTCTGCGCGACGACATCTTCCCTGGCCAAGACTTCAACAACAACCGCATCATGGATTTCCAAAGTGTGCAGGACTGGCAGAGCAACGAGCTTAGCAAAGCTGATTACGGTCGCATGCCGTGGCACGACGTCGCCATGGGTCTGGTCGGTGACTGTGTCTACGATATTGCCGAGCACTTCGTTTTGCGCTGGAACTTTATCAAGCGCGATAAGTACAAGCGCAGTGATGATGTTGATTGGATGTTGATGGAAGGTCGGACCGGTGAAGATGAGGATATTATCGCCGTTCAACGTCCCAAATACCCCTGCGGTGAATATATCCAACATCCGCTTACTCCGCTCTCTACAAAGCCTCGTGGCCAGGTGGGCACGGTGCGGGCGCAGATTGTTAGGAGTAGTGATGATTGGAGTAGTGGGATTTTGAACGAGCATAGTATTCAGAATGCTTATTGTGAGACTATTCGCAATGCGCAGCATTTGGTTTACATTGAGAATCAGTTCTTCATCACGGCGACCGGCGAGGAGCAGCATCCGATTTACAATCAAATTGGCCGCGCCATTGTCGATGCTTGCGTTCGTGCGGGCAAGGAGGGCCGCAAGTTCCGCGTCGTTATTGTTATTCCTGCTATCCCGGGCTTTGCGGGTGATCTGCGTGACAATGCGGCGACGGGAACGAGGGCGATCATGGATTATCAGTATAAGTCTATCTGTCGCGGGGAGAACTCCATCATGGGACAGATTAAGAAGGCCGGTGTTGATCCTACTCAGCAAATCTTCGTCTTTGCTCTGCGCGCTTATGATCGTATCAACAAGACTCCCGCCCTGATCGATCTGGAGAAAAAGGCCGACGTGACTTACCAAGATATCCAGCGCGGTATTGCCGAGTCGATCATGAGTGAGAGTGTGCACCCGTCTGTCGGCAACGAGGGCGACAAAAACGAGAAGAGCTACGAGGGTGATTCCAAGGCCAAGCAAGAGAATATGCGGAAGCTCGAGGCTTTCGAGCAGCAGGTTGAACAAGCCAAGGCGAGTGACGGCGATGCTAGTCGCGACTCCGTGGCTCATTGCACCATGCTGAATGGTGGCAATATGTCCGAGGAGTACTGGGAGGGCGATCCCGAAGCTGAGAAGGACAATATTGTTCAGGAGGAGCTGTATGTGCACGGTAAGGTGTGCATTGTTGATGACCGGATTGTTATCTGTGGCAGTGCCAATATCAATGATCGGGTATGTTCTTTTCTTCAGCTGGATGCTGCTACCGCCATCCCTGTCGCTCCCATGCTTTGCTAACATTTACCGAACAGTCTCAACTCGGCTCCCACGACAGCGAGCTAGCCATCGTCATGGAAGACCAAGACTTCATCGACAGCCAGATGGACGGAAAGCCATACAAGGCAGCTAGACACGCCGCGACGCTTCGCCGCCACCTCTGGCGCGAGCATCTGGGACTCCTCCCCGCGCAAGACTACGACGCAAGCCAGGCGCCCAACGCGCGCAGCCCCGACGTCTGCCTTAACGAGGACGAAACGGGAGCCGAAGATGCATTCGTGATGGATCCGCTCGGCGACGCGGTCTGGAACACCTGGACTCAGCAGGCTACCGTCAACACCGAGACGTATCGGATGTTATTCCGCGCTGACCCCGATGACCATATCAAGACCTTCGATGACTACGATGCTTTTGTCCCGCGTGGGGCGAGACAGGGCCATTTGTTCGATCCGTATATGCCGGCTGCTGAGGTGAGAAAGAAGTTGGATCAGATTAAGGGTCATTTGGTTTGGTTGCCATTGGATTTCTTGTGTGATGCTGAGATGGCGGAGCCTGGGTTGGCTGTTAATCAGATTACAGAGGTGAGTTGGTGCAGGTGATTGTGATGTTATTGCGATTGCGATTGCGATGACATTTGCAATTGCAAAATTTCCCCTCAATACAATACAACCCATCCCCCCCCCACCTCCTTCGCTTGTGGGGTGGGGTGGTGGGTGGACTGAATGGTGCTAACAAGTTCGGCAGAGCATCTACACATAGCGAAGCGAAAAAACCCGAGATTCAGAGCGATCGGCACGGCGATCGAGTTGAATCGAATCGATCCTCGATAAATATTGGCTGGGATATTCAATTACTAGTAGTTCAGTTATACTAAAGTGGTGACCGGGAACTAGTATGTACGTGGAGTTGGTTAACCAGCTTCCGAATTTGTATCTAGCTCTTTTTTCTTCTTTTTCTTTTCTTTTCTTTATGCTCCCGATCCGATCGTGCTCCTTTGTGTCTGGAGTAGATCTCGCATCCTGTGGAAGAACCTACACCATAGCGCCACTACTAGATAGGACTACAGTGCATACCGGGGACATCCGGTTAGGACGATCCCTCGCTCAGCCTCAATGATTTTCCTTTTTTCTTTTTGCTTCTTCCTTCTGCTATGACTAACTTCGCGCTACTGTAGCTAGGAGTCCCAGTAATTACCACCCAGGACACTCTCGGTACAGGAGGTTCTCCACTCCACTCACCGCTGGTCCTTGCGTGGTGGAGCCAGAATAGAGTTAGCGGATCCAAGCCCCTGGAAATCCTTATTACCGTGGGATTGGGATTGGGAGGCAGTGGGAGTGATAGGTAAAAAGGTACTGCAATAGGGTAGGGATATGCATCCCGGCTATGTTTAATTGGGGGCATATTTGCCCCGGTGTCTTTATTATTTCACACTGGTATTATTGGCCCCTCTGCCTCGCTACAAAAAACTAGCACTCGTACACTCCAGGGCTGTCCCCTTTTCCTCCCAATCCCCCCCCCCCCCTTATCCGCTCGATGTATCATTCGCGTCGTATTGTGGTTGCCGCCGGACAACTGTTCCAGTCTCCCGTATTGGATTGGCGCTTGCGTTGTCTTGGCGAGCGAGGGTTCCCCTGTCTAAGAGAAAGAAAGTAAGAGGACAGTGCAGTGCAGTGCAGTGCAGTGTGATGCGGCGCAGTCCATTCTAGTCCAGTCGTGGAATGTAATGAAGGAAGGGAACAATGGCATTCTGTCGTACAAGGAGTTCCCTGCCCCAAGCTGCAAATTTGTACTAGTATTTGTATGTATTCACATTTACATTATTTGGGTTTGTTGTGGAAGTTGAACTGGGTTTATTATTGGTTGTAGCATTTCTAGTGGTGTGAACAGATCTACTTTACTGGATTACTGGACCACTGGTGGAAAGCTGAAACGAAACGAAATGAAATAAAATGAATAAAACGAAATCAAGGATGATTAATATTGATCTGAACTTTTATCTGAATTGAATCGACCCGAACCGACCCAATTTGATTCGATCTAAAACCCGACACCGACAGAACAGAATAGAACAGAAAATAAAACAAATCCCTGGTGGGAGTAACTCCGTCCAATGCAAACACAAACACAAACACTTTTAACTCTGATCGACTCTAATGCGAACTTGAACGCAGAATTCCAAATCATGACGCTAGACGCAGACGCGAGGAAATGAATGATGGGATGGGTGGATGAGGTGGATGGATGGAAGTGGATGAATGAGATAAGATGGTGTACCCTAGCTGCGCAGGGCAGTCCCAGTCGCTGCGAGGGTGCATAGTGGGTATCACTATGCCGGTACATACATATACCCTTGCTGGAGTGGAGGCCAGTGCGTCTATTGATGTTCGTTAGTCACCGCACAGAGGAAGCCCTGGGGGAGAAGGGAGGGCTGGGGATTGAGAAGGGAAAGGTATGCTTACAGCTATGCTGCTGCTGCTGCTGCTTCTGCTGATATGCTGCCAGTGGATAGACTAGGCTTTCGCATTGTGGCAGGCGTTGCAGCGACAATGGCCACAGATCTTGCACCGCCAGATAGCAACGAAGGGGCCCGAGTTGCAGTCGGAGCAGCGCCAGGTCAAGATGTTGCCATTGGTGGCTTGCACAATGGCAAAGACGTGGCCGGAGCACTGGTTTGCCATGATCAATACTAGTATAGTATAGTTTTAGACCTCGGGAGTTGTAGTGTAGTGTAGTATAGTAGTGTAGCTGATTATGTTAGCCCGGTGCGCTGGTTCGAAAGTCCCGAGAGTCTGTCACATACCGAACTAGGAGAACGATCACGGCCCGAGGGAGTGGACGGCGCAGATCCGGAGAAGAACTCCAAGAGATGGGGTCGGAAATGGAAGGGATGATATAAGAACAAGTGTCACGGTAGGAGGTTCGTGAGAATGTCAAGGTGATTGCGACGTCGATGGTAATTGTAATGGTAGGGAAGGAGGGATGAAGTTGAAGGAGGAAGTCCGCCAGACATTATATACCCATCAACATTGACATCGACGCTATATATCGATCGAATCGACGCCAGAACTAGACCGACCAGACCAGATACCTCCCAACAGAACCGAGAATCGCTGCAAAATGCCGATGACGCACCTACCCGACTGTTCAGGGAGTGCAGAGTGCAGAGTGCAGAGTGCAGAAAATTGCAGGACAGGGTAATAGAAAAAGGAAAGAAAAAAGAAAGGAGATGGAATGCTATGCGATGCGATGGGTTGGGATAGGATGATGCAAGAAAATGGAAATAAAATCAAATAAAAATAAAAAGAATAGAATTGTAGGGAGAATAAAGACAAGGGTCAGGAAGGGGAGCTGTCTATTGTACGATCTACGCATCTCGCATGGCAATTTACGCGAAGGCGATCCCGGGTGGTTTGCGCAGGGAGATCGCGATCGCAGACATCGGGGCATTACAATTGGGTCCTGTCGATTTCCTCAGGACAGGTACTTACCTGAATTCGGGGGGAAAGTCGCTAGGGGAAGTAAATTTGAAATTGAATTTCCATTTTGTGCGATCGTCTGGTAGACTCGTGTTTGCAAAAGAACGAAAGACGGGGCAGACGCGGCCCAGCGGACAGGTTCGACAGGAGTGTTAAGTGGATCTGTAGTGGGGGGGACAGTCGACAGGTCGAGAATAGAAGTGATGAGCTACGCAATTAGGAAGAAACTAAAATCAAACTAAAAACAAACAATTACGGAGACCATTGGGTTGGGGGATTGAAAGTATTTTATTGACCGGGGGTGTCCGTTCGCGGATTCTAACTCCAGTTAGGGCTTGGATTGTCAGTGCTGGCGGTAAATAATTGTCTACGTAAACACAATTTGACGAACTGCTGCTCTCTCCTGGGAATATCCTAGATAAGCGTCGATCGATCGCAAGCATATGCATCCCAGCAGACCGGGTTGGGACCCGATTCCTTTCAACAGACTTTCTTAGTGCGAAAACTAGAAACTAGGGGCTTTGGGAAAGGTACGTACCTTGTTCACACAATGGTACTTTGGTACTCTTGGCTCGCGATAGATCAAATGCTCCACATGGTTTGGCTTTGGCTTTACTCGGATTAATGTCCTAGTTTGAGGTACGGGGCACGGAGTCACGGAATACGGACCGTACTTATTTATTATTCTATTTTAGAGACATCTGCATCCCTGTCGATCGGAAGTGCCGACTTGGCGAGGCGTTACAGAGTAAATGTTACATGTATACTTCCTCGGTACTTAGCGAGGTACCTTTTTCAGGTCTAGCCACGAGAGAGTGGACTAGAACAGAGCTAGAGCTAGAGGTAGAGCTGGAGCTGGAACTGGAACTGGAACTTGAACCACTTAGAATGTTATTTGAATCAATACCACACCTACAAGTACCACTACATACATCCGATTGGCCGAGAGAATTTGAATTGTTTCTTCTCCAGACTCCACCTCTCCTCCCCACCCGGTTCCCTCCATCACATCGACGGCCCTTTTCTGGCTTGTGACTGGCCTAGCCGGGCACACTTAGGCCACGGTAGCAGATCTAGGTCGAGGTCGAGATCGAGACACTGCGGCTTGGCAAGACAAGGCCACCTGGCCACCTACCTGCTACCATTTGCGATGATGACTGCGATGATGACTGCGATGATGATGCAATGACCGTTTTCACCTCCGGTGTAACGGGATGCATAGGGATGCATAGATACATGGGATCTACGCAAACTGAGTATACTTACAATATATTGTTTGTATACGTAGGATACAAACCTTGGAACATGTACTAGTAGACCCGTCGCACCGAAGTTGTCGAAGTAAAGTAGCGGTATGCTTAAACAGGGTTGGAACTGGGACACCCGCTCCGAGGTCGTACAAACGACGTCGCACAATGCATTGCGAGATAAGAAGACAAGTAAAACGACTTGAATACCAAGTGAAAACAATAACAAAAAGGTAAAAATAATCCCCTTTGAAGAACCCGGGTACCTACGAGAATCTCCCGACAACCGGTATACCTAGAACCCCGGCGCATTCGAAACCGGTCCAGCCACCCAGTCGAGCCGCTCAGCGAAGACCCAATACATTTGCCCCGTCGTGCTTTCGATTTCCGTGTGAAACAGACCGCTATTGTATATCGGGATTGATCGCGTGCGCTGAGATGGGCGAGAGAGGCAAACCAAGTCAAACTGCTGATGATATCCACCTCGCCTCGTCTCACCTCACCTCAGCTAGGGTTGTGGCCAGATGTCTCCTTCAGCTGTCCGCGCAGCTCTGCAATTGAACCCACTGATGTCAGACCGCAAGAACTGCCAGTGAACTTCCCTCGCTTGCCTCGGACTACTGGACGGCGGGCCGCAGACCGTTTGACGGGCATGATGTCAAACATGAGCTCAACGTTGTACCGCATTGGGTCATGCGGATAGGCTTGTGCTTGTGTTGGCTTGTTGATCATGATCATCGGGTCGTAGGGAATCGTGATTTCAGGATCACACGGGAGGTACGGAGGTCAATTGACGGAAGCGAAGAAAATGCGGTGGAATGAATTGCCACTGAATTGATATATCGACTAGTTTGCTAGCAATCACTACGAAGACCCGACCAAGTCCAAGTTCAGTTCAGTTGAGGTCGAGTCAAGTCTTCCCAACCATACATTCCAGTCAAGACTGAGACTGAGACTGGTAGACGGAATGTTCGAGATGTTCTCTTGCACCGGTTCCACGGCCAAAGGCATGGGACGAACCCACAGAAGCCGGTGCCTTCGTAACGCGTCGAGTCGGTCGCCCGCCAGCTCCTAGGAAATACCAAGGTAAATCCCCAAAACTGGAAGACGGGCCGACTCGGTATTTTTTTCTGCCAACGCTCCGTTAAGAATACCTCGTGGGTCACGAGATACTCCTGCAGAACCCAGAGTGGACTGCATCGTTGGTGAGGGGAGGGAAAAGAGGAAGATAAAGAAAATGGAAAGAGAAGAAAGGAAGGATGGAAAAAAGCTACAATGTAGAACGATTTAACGTCTTCATAGGTATCATATCATGTAGAAAATGCAGATATCGGAGTCTGCCAACGCCGCCCATGGGATATTCGTCACAGCCATCATCAACACATCTCATCAGTCGTTAAGGTGGAAGAGAGCCGAGACACTAGAAAATCAGTCAGAATGGTTCACTACCACATGGGCAATGGGGTACTCACCTTTCACCATAGTGGTGTCGTCGGATACTCTCCGCAAGGAGGGTCGACACATCAATAACAATCAACTTCTTCGACCGGCGAACCATCGCCGGCGAGATCGGGAAGGTATTTGTAACGACGATATGGTCGATGGAGGGACACGCCTCCATCTGGTCAATCGATTCCGCCGTGAATAGGCCATGGGTGGCAATGCAGTAGACCTTACTGGCACCACCGCGCTTCACGACCGTCTCTGCGGCAGCGATCCACGAGCCGCTCTTGTCGATCATGTCATCCACAATGAAGACTGGGCGGTTACGAACCTCGCCAACCAAGGTAATGGTTCGCTCGTGGTCGGATCCGGGAACACTGGCCTCGTCGTCCGACTCGGCGGCATCGAAGGAGCCACCAAGAGCGTGATCGGGGCGGGCCGAGGAGGAACTATTGGAGATCATGGAGCTAACCATGGCATCTGGAACGACCTCGGTATCCATGTTGCCGCTAGGAGTGGCGCCGGGGGTGGTCCCCCCGGACTCGGACTTTGACCCAGGGCGATAATCATCATCGACGAGCTGGCCCTGTACCAGGCGACCGGTGATAACATCGCGCACTCGCACATCGGTATAATCATGCGCAGCCTCTAACTCGGATGGTCTCCGAGCCGCAGAGGGTGTATCCGGGCGCAGCAGCGTGGAGGGAGAAGTGAAGACGTCAGTCTCTTCGGGAATCGGTGGGGTGGCCTGTGCACTGTGCAGATGCAGGTCAAACGGTTGCTGATCCCGGGGGAGCCGATCATCCTCGACCGCATCAAAGAAGACGGTGCTATCCGACATGGTATTGACGGGAACCTTGGGCCGCCTGCGGTCGGTGGTCACAATACCAAAATTGAGCTTGAGGGTGTCGGCCAGCGAGGTGACGCGCTTGGTGCCACCGGCGTTTTTGCTGACGACGACGGCATCGCGCCAACCGGCCACATTCATGCGGATCCAGCGGGCGATGAAAGGTTCCGCAAAGAGGTTGTCCACGGGCTTTCCGAAGAAACCTTGCATCTGGGATGCCTGTAGGGAAAGGAGAAAAACACCGGTCAACGATGAGTTCAAAAATCCAAAAAATCCAACAATTCACTCAATTGACCCCATCACATCACTTCATCCAATCGGGGAAAAGCAGGTAAAGCAGGTAACGAGGAACGGGGACGTAGACGTACGTGCAGGTCCATGGTGATGACATGGTCGACACCGGCGATGGAGAGCAAGTTGGCCAACATGCGGGCGGTGATGGCACCGCGGTGGCTCTTCTTCTTAGATTGACGGGAATAAGGAAAGTATCTCATCATGGGGTCAGCATCATACAGGGAGACGAGACATGATGGAAGACAGAGCATACGGCATGACCGCAGTGATAGACTTTGCGGAACCACCCTTGCAAGCGGAGATCATGATGAGAAGCTCCATGACGCTGTCATTGATCTTGCTACTGCCACTCTGAACGATATACACATCCTGATTTCGGACGGAGGTGTTGATATTGACGCTGGTCTCGCCGTTGGCAAACTTTCCCAGATCGGCTTTGGCGGGGGAAGTACCCAGGCGCTCACAGATGGTATCTGCGAGGCCTGGATGCGACGTGCCCGAGAAGATTTGCACGCCGCGCATCTCGAAAGATGGTTGGATGAGGGAGGGGAGAGGGGGGAGAAAAGAAAGAAGAGTTTGGGGGGAGGAGAAGAAGAAGAAAAGAGAAGAATGGCGGAGGAAGAAAAAGAAAAGAAAAAAAGCAGGAGCCACAAAGTGCCAACGAGGCAGGTGCGACCCGCCGTAGCCCCACGTTCCTTCCTTCACAGCAGAGCATCAGTCGCACCTTCCTCAGATTCAATTCAATTCAATCCAATCCAATCTGCTCCTTCCTTTCTTCTTCGCCTCTTCTCCCCTTTAACTACACCTCTACTTCTCCTTCTGCTTCTCCTTCTGCTTCTCCTTCTACTTCCACCTTTTCTATATCTCTCTATCATGTCCTACCCCCCGGTCCAAGGCGGCGGCTCACTGATCGTCGCTTGGCAAGTCAAGTCCAAGCATGTATTAGTCGTCGGCGGCGGCGAGGTAAGCTACCTACCCTGGATGTATATATATCTACACCATATACGCCCACTAACGCCAATATCTTCACAGGTCGCAGCAGGCCGAATCCTCCACGCCCTAAACGCCGACGCAAAAGTAACAGTCGTCAGTCCAACAACCGGTCTAAACCCCGAAGTATCCTACCGCATCGCCGAAAACCAAGTCACCCACATCGATCGCACCTTTGAACCATCTGACCTCGACAATGCAGACATGGTCCTCTGCGCAATTGATGATCCCGAAGCCTCAACCCAAGTCTGGAAATTGTGCAAGGAGCGGCGCATCCCTGCTAATATCGCCGATGTGCCCCCCCGAGTGTGACTTTTATTTTGGCAGTATTCATCGCGATGGGCCGCTCCAGGTCATGGTTAGTACGAATGGGAATGGGCCGAGATTGGCGGCTATTGTTAGGAGGAAAATTGCGGATGCCCTGCCGGAGAATATGGGGGCGGCTATTGAGAATGTGGGCTCGTTGAGGAAGATGTTGAGGGCGGTGGCGCCGGATGCGAAGGAGGGGGCGAAGAGGATGAAGTGGATGTCCGCGGTTTGTGAGGAGTGGGAACTGGATGATTTGGTGAAGATGACGGAGGAGGATATGGCAGCCTTGTTGACGCATTATGCTGAGGGGGATGTGCCGCCTTTGGAACAGGTGCGGTTGGAGAGTATGAAAATTAATGAATAGACAAATAGATGAATGGAATACATAGTATAGAATGGAATATAGCGATACCCGAATGAATAAGGAGCATACGATATCTCCACGTGGATCATATTAGTACATCTAGTACATCTAGTACAACGACTCGGAGACTCGAACGTAGACTGATTCTTATCAATACAGCTATGCATCTCTATTGAACCAAACAGATGCTAATCAATGAAGAGTTCACGTACACTCAAACGCCAGAATCACCCGTAAATCACAATGCCGGGCGAAAGGTAGTATATCGCAGAAAGAAACAAGGACAAACAAAAAGGAAGAGAGTAACGGGAAAAAAAAATGTAGAAAAGACATTGGCCAATACTAGAGTCTAGCCAGTCCACTATTGGCTAACTCATTGAGATTCCCGACGCATCTTTTGTGACACCGAACTCCGCGGACTGATCGGCGCATCCAGCGGGTTCGGCGGCGCAACTCCGAGTCGGACCTCGCCGATTCGCCGTAACAATCCTTGGAGGGAAACGCGAATCTCCGGGCTCAGATCCCGACTCAGGAGCTCCACCGCGATTGGGTAGAACGTCTCAACGTACTTGTCAAAGCCCTCCTGCGGGAAACTGTTGTACCCGTCGATCACGTCGACGACAACTGGTCGCCAGGCGATGATGTTGCGGTTTTGGGTCTCTTCATCCAGGCGGACGAAGCTGCGGATGATATCGGCGCAGAGCCTGTCAAAAATATTAGTACATGATTGGGAAAAGGGAATAATGTGCGACTACTGGTGGTAGGTAATAGGGAGAACTCACGGGATTAGTGCAGCCTCGGTTTCCGCGCGACTGCTTTGGCGCTCTGCTCGCTCATCGTGATACATCCGGAAGAGAATATGCACGTAGGTCGCGGCACTACCGCTCTCCTGCTTCAACAGGTTCGGTGGCTGCTTCATGAAGCCTTGACGCCAGAGTTGCATGCGTAGGTCCTTATCCTCGTTGAACTTCTTGGCAAACTGGTAACTCTTTTTGAGCAGGCCCATCAATCGCAGTAGCTCCGGGCTCGGGATCTGTGCGTAGACCGTATCGTTGGAGAACAGCTCGTGCACCGTTTCGATCATCAGTAGTTGCAGAACACAGTTGGTGATGATACGGTTGAAGAAGCGCCGACGCGCCGCCGTTACAGCAGCGGGTTGTTGCGAAGAATCAGTTGCGGGACGGTAGTCTTCGAGTTCGGCACGGGCTTCGCTTTGGACTGGGGGATCGCCGGTTTCTTGGAGAGATGCCGTGCTCTGCGATCCATTAGGCTGCATGGCATCGGGCAGGTCCTCTGAAGGGGCCGAGGCATCGGATGCTTGGTTGGTGAGGTCCCCATTGATGCTAGACGTATCGGTGATCTTCGACATGGAGGCTGCGGCAGTGAACAAATCATACGCCGTGGTCTTGCTGAAGAGCTCAACAAACGCCCCGACGATTTGAGACCAGTGCTCTTCGCGGAACTTGGCCACGTTCTGCAAAATCAGCTGCTGCAAGCAGTTACTGCCAATGCGCGCGATCGTGTCGTTTTCCTGGCAAATGCACAGGGTCAACAACTCGAGGAATCGACTCAGCATGTACTCCAGTGCATCAAAGTAGTGCGTGAAAAGAGTGATCATGTTCCGCAGAGCCTGGATCATGGTGGTAGACAGCCAGACTGAAAGATCTTCATGATTGGGAACCTTGGACATTTCTGACTTGGATTGCAGGACCACAAAGATCGGGCAGAGAAGCTGGCGCCACAGAACATCCCAGAAATCGCGTGGGAAATCTCCGCCGTGGCGGATCAGCGTATCAAAGAGGTAGGTCAAGGCCCGGGAACGGACTTCGAGATCATCACCAGTCATGAGCACATCCTGGAATGCAATCAGGATGGGATACCAGAATTGCTCCTCCTTCGATTGGCGAGTGAGTTGCTTGGCAAGGTTGGTACCCTCCTCCTGGAAGTTCCGGACATCATCGCCACGGTGGGAGAGCGGACACTCTGGAGTTCGCAGCATCTTGGCGACAGTCGACTTTAGTGTTTCAATGGCTTGCAGGGACTTCTTCTGGAATTTGGAGTTCTTGGAAAATTCGGTCAAGCACACAATCAGGTCGGGAAACGCGCCCTGGGTGATCACAATGCCGAAGCGGGTATTATAGATTTGGGTGACATGGTCGAAAGCCATGTTCACAATTCCCTCTATGCGGTTGTTAGCAATTGCGCCTTTAAAACAGAAACGAGGGTAGAAAGAGGGACAAACCATAAGGTTCTCGGGCTGCCACGGTGAAAACACCAAACATGGTCTTCCATCCAGAGCGGATATTGTCACCACGGGCCTGGATCATCTGAATCAAGCACCGCAGAATCATATCCTTGACAGCAGCAGTAGTACTGTTTGCCATGACATGCTCAAACGGCTTCAAGAAGTCCTTCTGGAACTTGAAACCGGGCAACTCGCCAATCTCCATAAAACGCATCGACAATTGTCGCAGTGAGTCCAAAGCGAAGAAGACAACAGTTGTATTGGAGTGACAGCCAACTTGATTAAAATGCTGACCCAACACCTCCCAGATCTTAGACCATTCAATCCTAACACGAGTCATGTTGTAGTAACTGATCTCAACCAACTTCTGCAAACTGTATGTCCGGGGCGACTCGCTGTGTCCAGAAGACTGGATCTCTTTCCAGCTAACCTCGCTCAGAGCACGGACAAAGTCGATAATTGCCTCATGAGATAGGTTTGCGGTATTAGTGAAGATACGATCCACGCCGCGAACCATGTCCGCTGATCGACTCTCCTTGGCAATTTCCACGCGGAAAGCTGTAGGCCCACCAACGGAGCGCGGACGAGGTCGGCGTGTGCTCTGCATAGACTTGCGAGAGGCGGAATCAGAGGTTGGCGCCCGTGATACATCAGGCAGTGAGCCCTCATCGACACCATCGCTCAACAATTGCAAACGATCCAGCTGACTGACGCAGGTAAGAATCTCGCGCCATGAGCTGCGGAGGTGGTTGCCCTCGGTGTAGGCGACGTCAAGGAGTGCCTTCAAGGCTTCGACATTCTTGGCCATCATCTCGCGAACATTTCCAAGGTTGGTGAATTTGGCCAGAGCCGTGACGAACGCCACCCGCGGGGTTTCCAGATCAAAAGCACAACTGATCCTGATAGCCAGCTTCAGGCCCTCCATGCACAGACGAATTACTTCAATGTTTTGGGTATCTTGCATCGGGGCCGAAAGACCGGACAAAAAGGACATCCAGGTAACATTGAACATTGAGCCAACGTGGCGTTCTGATGTGGCAGGAATGAAACGGGAGAGTGCATCCTTGACGGCAGTCTTGCGCTGAGCCCGGATAAGAGAGCGATACAGTTGCTCCGTCTTGTTGGCCATTTCCTCGGAAGCCTGTGCATACTTCTCGCCCTGGATATCTCGTCCTACGGTGGCAAACACCTGACCTGCACGAGTCGCTAGGCCAGCAGGGGCGGAAGTTTGAATACCGACATTGGCCGCATGTTCTCGTTCTGTGTCGAGGACAATCTCGTTACTGGCAATCTCGTCGTAGATTCCAATAAGGTATTCGGGCTGCAAATCTTGGTTGTCATCAATGCCTCGGTTGTTCTTGATGAAGTCCTCCTTGCTCATCCGCGGGCCCTTCATCTTCGAACTATGCAGATCCGTGTTCAGCAAGATCACGGAGTACGATAGCACATAGGCGGTATCGGCATTGGCGAATGCAGTAGGGTTTTGGGTGGTATAGCGCTCAGCGAATTTCAGCATGAAACGATCGATCTTTTGAGCTTCGCCAGGAAGACGGAAGTGTTGCAGGAATCCTCGCAAAGAGTCGACAAAGCGGCGTTTAGTGAATTCCATCTGGTCAACAAACGCATGCATGATGGCGATGTTTTCGGCGTCACCTTCACCGAGGTACTCTCCCAGCATGGCTTTGTCGAGACGGTCATTGCGCAGCAGGAAAGTGGCAATGTCCTCCGGCGAATCCGAGCGAATGAAACCCTCCGAGAGCATCAGCTTGATTCCGCGCTTCGCTTTGAAGTTGAATTGCTGAATAGCGTTCATCATGGCGATCTTTCGCTGCTTCACCTTTTCGATCTGGTTAGGATCGTCCTCTGGCAAGGGGGTAGACCGCCCGGTTCCCGATTCGACAGTCTCTGGACGCGGAGAAAAGAGGACATTGGTATCCAGGGATTCACGCGAGTTATCCATAGACTTGGAGGGCGCGGCAGTCTGTAGGCTTTGTTCTTCCGGGCGCTGAGCGGCCCAGTTGTCCAAGGAGCGTAGCATCTCCACAAGACTCTCCAGGGCTTGGTGCTTCAGGACATAATCGGATGGGATGGTGGGAATAGGGGGTTGAGGGCTCGGCATGATGTTCGCCGATGTGAGAGACGGAGGTAGAGTTCCCCGCTGGTGCCATTCTACTCCAACACTAGACATCTTGACGTGGTGATCCTGGAAGGCCTGCTGTTGTGGGGCGGAGGTGACAACCGGCACACTGCAGTATCGGGATAGCTGCTCGACAAGGTTCTGGAAAATGTTCTCGAGAGCAGTGCGGTCACAATCGTAATTTAGATAGATCTCAACTAGGGCTCGGGCATCGCTTCCAAGTCGTTCTAAGACCTCCATGAAATATTGCTTTTGGAAAGCTGGGGCAGCCTTCCTCTCCAGAATGGCCAAGTAGATCTCTTTCAGAAACACTTCTAGCTCCTTCTTCATCATGACTCGCATGTGCTTGATCATCAACCAGAAGATCTCACAGCAGACCTTGAATACGTGGGGTACCGAGCTGGCACCGTTGCGACTCAGGCTCAGGCAGAGATGAGGACGAACCGCCTGGAGCAGAGTCATGGCGTCTGGGTTAGTCGAGCTGTTCTTGATGGCTGCGAGGGGAGAGGTGAAGGTGTTGGTGTGGTTGTTGATGAGATAGTGGACGAGGTGCAGGGAGAGTAGCTTGGACCGCATGTTTTGTGACTTGATGTCTTGTTGCTGATCGTGGCTCAGAACCTTGTGGCTCAGCTTGCACAGTGCACGGAAGACCAGGAATGCGTCCTTGACGTAAATCTCATCCACTTCATCCTCGGCGGAGCTATCGTCGTCCCGCTCTTCGGGGATTCCGGACAATGACCGAGTGTTGGAACGCTTGGCCCGTGTGACCATTGTCGGCGCATTATCATTGACCGAGGTGACTTCCTTGGGCGACTCGAAGCTCTGCAGGGTGAGCTTCTCGCCAGGCTCCTTGGTGACCGGTTGATCTGTGACGGATTGGTCTGCCACGGAGACAGAGACAGATGCGGTTTCGGACAATTGGCCCTGGTCGCTAGCCGGGGCGTCAAGGCTGTTGGAGGCAGTCTTCTCGACCTCGCGGGTCCGCAGTTCCTTCAGGTCGAGGCGGATGCGAACTCGGTCGAGTACGGTACTGACCATCTGAGTCAGTGATCCCTGAGCGATCTGCTGGTTCTGAGTGGATTTCGAGTAGATGAAAATGTTATATATTTGGCGGACGGCTTTGAGGAGACCAGCTCCGTGAACCACGATCTTGTCGTTCAGCACCGCCGCCAGGAGTGATTTGATGATCTGTTGCTGGATCTCATTTGGAGTAGCCTCGTTCTCAAAGCAATCGCAGATCGCATCGATGGCGCGCTCGATCAGGGGAGGCTGTTCCGGAGTGGACTCGTTTTCGGACTCGGCGGAGGGGAAGGCGAAATAGGAGTAGGTGATCAGCTTGCCGATACAGTCGAGTGCGGTGACCTGCAAGGGGACACTGAGGGTCTTGCTAGCCATGTGCAATGGACGGAAGATCAGTTCCGGGTCAATTGGTTGCTGGCCTTCCTGCTTGACACTGGCCAGAGCCACCTGCACGGCGTCCTCGAGCTCCTTGCTCTTCCGAGCCTCCCGCGAGGCACCAATGGCATCCAGGGCTGTGATAATGAAGACAGCGGAGCTGACCGTGCCACCTTTGGAGGTCATGAAGGTATGGGTGGTCGAGCGAGAGTCGGATCGCAATCGAGGTTCCACGGGGGGCGCGTTGTCTTCGGGGACGGGTTCTTGAATTTCTGGCATTGGCTCCGTCTTTAGCTCTGGGAAGTTGGTGGAATTGGCGGAATCGGGGGCATTGTCGGTATCCTTGGGGGGGCACATCTGGTTTATCCTGTTCGTCATTGTCTTGTTCCTGTTGCTCGAGCTGGACCTGCTCCTCCACAATGTTGGTGCCTGAATGGTCGTCATCACCATTCTTTTGTTTGTTTTCCTCCTCGGGTTGACCCTGGGAGGATTCGAAGGGTTCTTGAGGTTGATTGGATTCCTCGACGGGGCCGGATAACTCGATTTCATCCGGTGAAGCGGGATTGTCGTCCGTTACCCGGGGAGTGGTTTGAGCCTCGGTGCTGCTTTCCACTGGGGTCTTCTCATCGGGGGAGTCGGAGGTGTGAGGGAGATTAATTTGAGGGTTCGGCTCGGAGCCGGGGTCGACGTCCGCCATGGTCGCGGGCGGGGTGAATTGGCTCAGCACATGCGAAGGCAAGGAGAGGTTGGAGGTTGTGGGGGGGGGGGGGGGGGAGAGTGGTGGAAGTAGCGTACAACGTGGAATTACTTGGGGCATCCCGAAGCATCGCCGATGTATGCGGTATCTGTCCTGATGTAAGCGGTCACCTGACAGGCACCTGACAAAGGTGACTGTGGACACATAATCACGTGATATTCCTCTTAGTCACGTGCATGCCGACCACCACCTAGTCACCTGACCATACCTGACCACAGTACCTGACCGCAGTCACCTGACTGTCGTCACCTGACCCGGACGGGGCCGCTCACCGAACCCCCTTAAGGCGGTAAAGTGTGCTTCCCTCCCAAAAGGCAAAAGGGAGGAATCGGAGCAAAAACCACCTTACCTAAGGAAAACTGGCAGCTCAACAGAAAAGTTCACCAAGACAAGCCCATCTTCCTCCCCCCAACTCCTCCATCTCCGGCCCCTCCACGTCTTCCCCAGCGCCGGTCTCTCTCTCTTTTGCGTTATCGCATTGAGGGTTCTTTATATTCTCCTTTCTTCATTCTTACTCCTCCATCGCTCAATATGGTTGCTGCCGCCGTTCGGATGCGCACCCCGGCCATGATGGCTCGAGGTGCTGCCTCGATGCGCCGCCCCCAGGTCTCCTACAAGTTCCAGGAAGTCATCCAGTACGCGCTCTAATCCTCTCTATACACCTCAATTAATCCATTGCTAACAATTATTCTACGCGCAGGAACCAATTGCCCAGCCTCTCCGCGCTTTCCCGCTACTATGCCTCTAAGAGTATGCATCCCCCAACAAACAGAATTTCAATATCCGAACTACTCTCCTACAACCGCAACAATGAGGACCATTCTCTCTAACTCGCATTCTCGTCTACAGCCTTCCCTTCCCACACCATCATCAGCATGCCCGCGCTGTCCCCAACAATGACCGCGGGAAACATCGGCGTTTGGCAGAAGAAGGCCGGTGACGGCCTCCAGCCTGGTGATGTCCTCGTTGAGATTGAGACCGATAAGGCGCAGATGGACTTCGAGTTCCAAGATGAGGGTGTCCTTGCCAAGGTCCTGAAGGATTCCGGTGAGAAGGATATCGCCGTCGGTTCGGTAAGAAATTTCCCGAGCTTCCCCGCGGACTTGCGAATTTCCGCAACCTCATTCCTCTGCTAACAATGCTCTTTTTCGCGACTTATAGCCCATTGCCGTTCTGGTTGAGGAGGGCACTGACGTCGCCGCTTTCGAGGAGTTCACCCTGGCTGATGCCGGTGGTGACAAGGCTGCCCCTGCCGCCGAGAAGAAGGAGGAGCCCAAGAGCGCTGAGCCTACCCCGGCCCCGGCCGCGGAGCCCGCCGCTATCGAGCCCGAGACTTCGGGTGACAAGCTCCAGCCTAGCTTGGACCGTGAGGCTTCCATCAGCCCTGCTGCCAAGGCCCTCGCCCTCGAGAAGGGTGTCCCCGTCAAGGCTCTGAAGGGTACCGGTCGTGGTGGTCAGATCACCAAGGAGGATGTTGAGAAGTACCAGGGCTCCGCTGCCCCTGCTGCTGCCAGCTACGAGGACGTCCCCGCCTCCTCCATGCGCAAGGTCATCGCCAACCGCCTCAAGCAGTCCATGGCCGAGAACCCCCACTACTTCGTCTCCACCACCCTCTCGGTCAGCAAGCTCCTCAAGCTCCGCCAGGCTCTGAACGCCTCCGCCGATGGCAAGTACAAGCTCTCCGTCAACGACTTCCTGGTCAAGGCCTGCGCCGCCGCCCTGTTGAAGGTGCCCCAGGTCAACTCCAGCTGGATTGAGGTCGACGGCCAGACTGTCATCCGCCAGCACAAGACCGCCGACATCAGTGTCGCCGTCTCCACTCCTACCGGCCTGATCACTCCCGTCGTCCGGAACGTCCAGGGTCTCGGTCTGTCCAGCATCTCCAACCAGGTCCGTGACCTTGGCAAGCGTGCTCGTGACAACAAGCTCAAGCCCGAGGAGTACCAGGGTGGTACTTTCACCATCAGCAACATGGGCATGAACGCCGCCGTCGAGCGCTTCACTGCTGTTATCAACCCCCCCTCAGGCCGGTATCCTGGCCGTCGGCACCATCCGCAAGGTTGCCGTTCCCGTTGAGACCGAGGAGGGTACCGTCACCGAGTGGGACGACCAGATCATCGTCACTGGTAGCTTCGACCACAAGGTTGTGGACGGTGCCGTCGGTGGTGAGTGGATCAAGGAGCTGAAGAAGGTGGTGGAGAACCCGCTGGAGCTGCTGCTGTAGAGTAGAGCTCTGGAGTGCCGACTACACCTGTAATCTGTATTAAAACGTTTTCTCCTTAGACCAGCATAGGTCCTTTTTGTCTGATTTAGCAACGCCAATCCATTTTGAGATAGACATGTTTGCATGTGTGTGGAGAGGAGTAGGGAGTATGTATTTCTTGGTACTGTTGCGTAGAGAGAGCTGATCTTGATTCTTCAGTTCCAGTCTGGAGTAGATCTAAGGGTCCACTAATTGTGGATGGCACTGACATGCATGTGATGACCCCGGGGATGGATTGTGGGGAAGCTTAGAAGCTTGGAAGCTGGGAGATCATGCGAATCTCTCTTCTTTATAAATTCCGTGAAATTTAGTTCCAATTACGTCCTTCTATCGGAATTCTAGTGGGCCCGGGCCCCCGAGGTTACGATTTCATGCCGAGGCCGGTAAAACGGTTTCCCGACTTGCATATGGCACCCGCAAGGGTATATCACCCGGCAGAAGGTAAACTGCACTACTCAAATCTCACAGAAAAGGTCATATGTCATCAACACTAGGATTCTAGTGATCTAATACTTCATTTGAATAGGCATAGGTACTGCCTTTGTGACCTAGTCATTCCCAGGGGCTCCGTGAGAGTGGTTATGCCGTGACCCAATCACATGTTAATGAAGAAGACGGTTTATGAGAGCTGGTATGATAAAGTAGATCATTCCAAAGGCTCACAAGACTGGAATGGCTAGTATAATCTACAAATTGCTTGTGATCCAGGGCCAAGATCAGTTGATCCGGTTTTCTATGAACCTTCAAGTTGAAAAATTGGAAGATATATCCATGGGTAGTGCTAGTAGTCATTCTAAATAATTTCCAAGTCCCAAGGTTCAAGTTGTGAAGGATGATGATTGTTACTAGATGTTAGATTCTTATACGAGTTTCAAATACTAAGTATTCCATACTGGGCATAGAGTGCTTTGGGAACAGTGGCTTAAATACGATGGTAATGACACTGGTGCTTGGATGGGTGGACCAAATGCTACCGCATAGGTACTCGTGCCTACTTGTAGGTACTACTAGAAGGTATTTGCAGACGCATTCAACCCTTTTTAAAGTTGATTTAATTCACAATTCGTCATGGTCAGAGTCATTTTCTTCCAACGCAATCTTCCCTTTGATGGTTAATATTATCCGCCGATAAGCGACAATATCTCCATCTGATACCTCTAGAATAATGTGCAAGTGCTTGTCATCGAATGTATGAACACCCCTTCCCGGCTTTCGCACAGCTTCGGTGTTGGGTATCTGGATAGAAAGCCTAGATGTATCAATTGCATCCATCTTCAAAACAAGCACATCCCGCTTTGGAGTGTTGAGGCTTGAGCTTGGCTCCAAATATTGCCACCACTTGAAGAGGAAATCATCGCTATCCGGGTCACAAGAAGTAGTTGCATCCAAGATGATCTTCTCACCAGGCATGACTGTATATTCCAAAATATCTCGGCTGGTGCTGCCATTCACGACAGCAACAGGAGAATGTATGGATCTGCGTACCGGAGACCCGCCGAAGATCGCTGGAAGAGTTGGATGAGATGTTTCAAAACAATGTCCCCACCTGGCAACTTGATAAATACGTGTACTCCGGCATTGGCGCTGAAATCACGAGGTTGGAGCATGGCGAGCTTTCTGAGCAGAAAGTCGTTAAGGTGGAGGTTACGACAAGAGATTGAATTGTTCTCAACTTGAAGGCATGGTGGTTGGTGCCACACAGTGGCTGAGTTCCGGTATCAGTTAAAATAATTGGGTATAAGGCAAATTGCAATTCAAAATCGTAAACGTCTATATTTATATTATGAGTCACCGCTACCATACTTCCCGAACACTTCGCGCTCCATCACTCGTCCGACTAACAGACTCATTCGTAACATCAATCTGATTCGAGACCATGATGCCGTTTGAAGAAGAAGTCCCGTTATCGGTTGACTGGATATGTGTAACATTGTGACGGATATTCTGCATCTTGATCTCATCCTCCATCATCCGTTCCTCACTCTCAGTGAATGTCATACCAATCGTGATAGGATCCATGTCTGAACGGCCCTTGCGGCTAGCGAAGTTTCCACGACCGCTGACAGTATGCAACCCGCCGGAGGCCGAGGGTGTCTTGTAATTTGTCTTATGAGACGACCCGAACTTGCTGCCAAACACCTTTGTGAGCCATGTGCGGAATAGGTGGAAGACCATTGGAAGGTTGGTTGTGATAACTGCGACGAAGGTTTCGCGAGTACCCCATTCATTGGCAACAGTAGCACCGTTCTCGGGATCCTAGTAAGTAAACATCATGTCAGCTGGGTATCCATGGGTGTATTCGATTTGTAATGGGTGGCACTAACCACTAGTAGGAAGACACTCTTGAGTGTTGCGCAGACAAGAATGAATATACCAGCGCTGAGGACGATGGTTGTCGCGACCTTCTTGATGAGCTTTAGACTGGATTTCCAGAGCATAGGAATTGGGATGAAAATCAGGTATGGGTCTGTAAGGAGGTTGGCGGCGAAGGTCACGGCGATGACGGGTTTGGAAATTGCTGGCTGGCATACATCTGGAGAGAAGAATCAGAGTAAGAATGATGGTATGATCTATGAAATCTCAAGGTCTGAGATAAGCGGGGGGACAAGACTGACTGCCGGGATCAGGATTGATCTGCCAGTTTTTGTGGAATGGTCTGCATGATGCAAGAATTGCGACTATGCTGGCGATGAAGCTCGCCGTAATGAGGCCAAGGCCGATATATATGGGAAGCTGGTATCGACGGCCGAGTCCTTCCTGTAATATCATTCTTAGCCATCTATTCCGATCCGAGTCCTTAATTAGCATCGCCGGAACACATACCATAAGGCGAAGATAGAAAGCCAGCATTGATAACTTCAGAGAGTTGATCAACGCTACATATGTGCTCCATCCTGCGATTTGGATCTTGGAACCAATCACTCTAGTTGGAATATTAGTCAATGGCCCTCATCGCGTATTTATTGCCTTTTCAATGGGGATATACCTGGCGGAATATTCCGAGCTGCTCGGTGATAGCGCAGTCCGCTGTGCATCCGTCATGCTATTATTTGCGAGGCCGTTGGCTACTGCGCCGACATTATATGCCAGAGCCGTCTGTGCTGTATAGAATATCTGTATCATAGTATTAGTAGGCGCACGCAGCCACCAGTAGTTTTGAGCAGCACACACAATTCCAATCCATATCAAATAATCATCCAGTCGCAGATTTCTCAAGCCCACAGCTCTAACTCGAGAATATGTTCTGAGGATCGTGAAAGCGACACCAATTCCGTATAAAGTCCATAGCTCAATATTTGTCTTCCTTGCAGCCTCAGCGGCGGCATCCCGCACCCATAAAGCAAAGACCATGATCTGCACGGTAGGTTTGGTGGAGAAGGATCAGCGAGAGAGGATATCCGCGAGGAAGTTTATCGATAGTATAGAGGATGCACTGCTTGTTCTCCCTCTCCTTCGTAGCGTTTCTCTCATCCGGGAGATTTCGAGCGTTCAACGATCTTGCTTTTCTAGAAAAGCGATTAAAGGCATATGCAAAAAGTACATGGCCAGACTGTTGAATAAAGAATAATATCCTTGCCCTAAACTCCGGCCCCGGGGGGCCCCCAAAACCACATGGTTGGAACCTGTGGTTCTCACATTTCAAGAACTCTAATCAGCGATTTGAGCACTACGTGCAGAGTACCCATTTTTCAGCTACCCGAAGGATTCAATCGGACTAACCGACGAAGTAGACCAGCGCGAGAAGGCGTCTCTGGTAAGTGGGTACGCCCCACACCTTCTCGATCATGTAGTATTGTGCCCAGGTGTTCCAAGGTTTCACCTTTGGGGCCGATTTTATGGACACTCCACATGGTAATCTCCATATATTAATTGACCGAAACCTACGGCCGAAGACTGGAACCACTTATCGTGATCAATTAAGTTAGAAAATGAGTTCGTTTCAGCATAACCTGATCGTTATCCATCAATCATAATCGGATCGGCTGAATTGTGTAGAACCCCATCTGTGCTCGGCAATCCGAATTCACGACTTCTACTCCGTATATACATATGTGTAAAATAATGCATTCTTAGTCTTTCAATACTTTTTCCATGTACTCCCTACAGAGTGTGCTATGTGTAGATTACAAAATTCATAATTGAACTGACTAGTTATACATTACACCTAGTAAGAGAAGTCTGGGAGGCTTCCCCCTTATTACTCGTAATAATTCAAATTTACAGCAATGGATCTCGGAAGTGCACGGATGGCTAGTGTTAATCATTGCTATTGCGAAAGAGTAGATTTAATTCCCAACCTGCTGGTTCAGATTATAGTACCGGCATCCGGAGAGGCGGCACTATAATCTGTGCATTCTTGGGAACGATGCAACTACAGGGGTCCGATTGCGCCTAGCTTTCTGGTAGGGTGGATCGACTAAGCTCTGCATTCCTAATGGATGAATATTCATAATTAGAAGGGGCTGTGGTTCCCAAGGGCCCCTCGGCCCCCAAATCGCCCCGAATCGCCCCACATACTGGGGGTCCAAAACCGCCCAAGTTGTATCTCTGGGTCGGATCTCGGACGATGATGCACACGCGGTCGGCGCTCAAGTGGGGATCTTGAATAAATTGTACTGAGAGTGGTGTTGTTCATAGGGTTAGTTACTCCGATGCACTCAAGGTCTGCACACAAGAAATTTTAGTTGTTTCGGACCTTGCACCTCAATGGGATTTAGAGCAGCCTAGTCGTTTTTTCTCCTCGAAGGTTGGAAGATACGCAGGGGGTGACCCCACCTTGGCAGTCTTGGGTTCCCTTTTTTTTTTTTTTTCTTTTTGTCGTTCATATACTTGATTTTCTGGAGAGCTCGACAATCTCTCTGGTTAAGCATTGGAAAAATGTTCTCCCTCAGGTTGATCACTGCCATTGCTGCTTTGGCTTCCACTGTGGTGGGTAGCTCTGTGCAGGGAAAATGTCCTAGCGGGGATGTTGATATGAAGGCTTTTGCCAAAAGCCTTTCCCGCACTGCCGAGGTCTATTACCCTGGCTCCAGTGGCTTCGAGAATGTCACCACCCGCTGGTCTGTTCTCGAGGAACCCAAGGTGAATGTGGTTGTCGTCCCTGGGACAGAGAATGACGTTGCCGAGACTGTAAGTTCCCTCATTCATCTCCCGCCTAATCTTTCTTCGATGAAAAGTGATTTGGACAACATGATCGTACACTAACTTTGATTTCAATCAAGGTCAAATATGCCAACAAGAAGAACGTCCCATTTCTCGCCTACAATGGGGTTCACGGGGCCCTTGTTTCCTTGGGTAAAATGAATCACGGAATTGGCATCTCTCTAAGCAAGCTGCGCAGTGTTAAAGTTAACGACGATGGCAAGACAGCCACAATTGGCGGTGGAGTCATGTCCAAGCAAATCACCGATGATCTGTGGGCAGCTGGAAAGCAGACCGTTACTGGAACCTGCGAGTGTGTCAGCTATCTGGGGCCTGCACTCGGTGGTGGACATGGCTGGCTTCAGGGCCACCACGGACTTGTCGCTGATCAGTTTGTCTCGATGAATGTTGTACTTGCTGATGGCACTTTTACCACCATCGATGCCGACTCTGAGCTGTGGTGGGCAATGAAAGGCGCAGGCCACAATTTTGGCATTGTTACCTCGGTCACCTCTAAGATCTACGATATCGAGCATACTGACTGGGCCATTGAAACTATCACATTCAGTGGCGACAAGGTCGAGGCTGTTTACCAAGCTGCCAATGACTACCTCGTCAAAGACGGCACTCAACCCGCCGGTGTCATCAACTGGTCTTACTGGATGAACGACGGCTCTGACCCCAACAGCCCTGTCATCGTCTTCTATATTATTCAGGAAGGAGTCAAGGCTGTCGAGTCCACTTACACCAAGGCCTTCCACGATATCGGACCTATCTCTATCAATCCCCAAGCAGGCACATACAAGGACCTCGCAAACTGGACCAGCATCGCCGTCGACTCCCCTCCCTGCCAGAAACTCGGCTTCGCCAACCCTCGCTTCCCCATCTATCTGGAACAATACAACGTTCCCGCTCAGAAGAAGGCCTGGGATATCTATGCTCCTGCTGTCAGCGGCTCCTCTCCCTTCAACAACTCCATCTTCATGTTCGAGGGCTACTCTGCCGAGGGCGTTCACGCCATCCCCGTCGACTCCACTGCTTTTGCTTTCCGCTCGGAAAACCTCCTTGCCGCTCCAATGATCAACTACGCCCCGGCTGGCCAGGCCCTGGAGCGCAAGGCTGCTGATCTTGGCAATCAGCTTCGCAACATCCTCTCTGCGGCGACCGGTCGCGATGACTTCCGCGCCTACATCAACTATGCCTATGGCTCGGAGACATCGCAGCAGATCTACGGTAGCGAACACTGGCGTCAAAAGCGCCTGCGTGGACTCAAGCACAAGTATGACCCCCACCACAAGTTGAGCTTCTATGCTCCTATCGAGTAAGCGCATGAGGGTGGGTTTGATATGAATACGCATATACTAGTGGTAGTTTAGTATGCTGTTTCTTTCAGGCAATACCCATGGATGTACACACATGCCCAAGCTTCCGTTCTTGGAGCCAGTCAGTATGATTGCAAGCGCACATGTATGTAAATATAATGTATATAAGGAATGCAGAAATATCGACTTTCGTCTTTTTCAATTTTTCCCCTGGTTTATCATCGCGCGAGGAAAGATAGATGCAGGTGATTTAGTCGATTTCTAAATTATTATTGTTATTCAAGTTGTTATTTGTCACTGTGAAAGCTGCGATTGAAGATACTCTGATCTAGTTGTCTGGTTTTAACTAGTTACATCGGTAATCTAAACCCTCAGCGCAGCCTTCTGCGCCTGCTCCTGCTCCTGCTCATCTTCCTCATCAAGTTCGTCCCCCGCGTTGAATGTTTCATGATTCAAATGTTTGAACCTGAACCAGAAGATGATGGACTGAACCGCTAGAGCCACTGCAGGGGCACCCCAGAGCCATAGGAGGTATGGATCTTTCGTCACTGGGATAAGGATTTCTCCAAGGGCGCTACTCAAAGCATTCATGAAAAGGAAAACAGCCACGACCAAACTCTTCATGCTCTTCGGCGACCGTGCATAGGCAACCTCATACGCAGTCACAGCCGCGAAACACTCACTTAGCGCAGCCAGGATAGTAGTAGCAAGCTGCCACCAAATACTGATCGGTGCCACCTCATCGCAGGTGGAGGCTTGATATCCACAAGGTGAGAGCTCGTAAACCTTCCACTGCGTTAATGTTCCGGCGATACCGGAAAGTGTGGCTAGGAAGAAGCCAAAGGTGATTCGAGTAATCGGGCCTGGGGTCATCTTGTAGCGGCGTAGGGTTGGGTATATCACGTATGTTAGAAGAGGAATCGTGACAATGATAGTCAAGGCGTTGAAGTTGTTCAAGACGTCATTGGGAGCTCCGTTTGTTACCATCGATCCGCCTTGGTTTGACTGGACAGAGCCGAGACCTCCGTCGTTCATATACCAAATTGGAAAGTAGATAAAAATATCGCATGCTTGAAGAGTTGTCGCGACCTTTGCAACAGTCTTGTCTGTCCAAGGTACGCTGATACCTTGACTTTCAAGCTTAGAAGGCTTTGCGGAATCCCAAAAGTCTTTTCGCCAAATTCTGAATTTGCTGCCGCGAAGTGCTCTTGCGGTAATTTTAAATGCCTCAGTGAGCTCCTTTCCTCCACTAGGAGGCTCCTTATGCAATCTCTTATAGACCATCAACAGTAGAACTGGCAGCAGAAAATAAACGATGGCGGATAATAGAAACGACAGCCAATATCCCACATATTTCTCTGCATATGTTGTGGCGAGCATATAGAAAGCACCGATATTCACGAAGCCGTAGAAAAGAAGCATAATCCTGTTTGTAGTTGCTTCCGGGTCAACAATCACCCTTTCTCCAGACTTTAGCGTCCGTACGAAAGGCTTTTTGTTCTTGTTCTGATCCAAGATGAGAGGAGACACATTGGGCTTGAATATACCGGCTCCGAATGCTAGGATCAAAAGACCGAGAATGAATGGCGGAGCAGCGTTTGACTGTCCTTTCTGTAGAACGGATGGGATAACACCGACCAACTGAATGATATGAGCTATACCGCACAGAACGACTCCGACGAAGATAGCTTTGTAACGTCCGACGTAAACATCCGCCCACCATCCACCGAAGATGGGAATCACATAGGCCAAGAAGACAAATAGCAGAGTCAAGCCACTGCTGGCTTGCAAGCCCATGCCTAGGGCGCCTGCAGTCTTCTGCGTGCCTCGTGGAGGAGCCCCAGCACCATTGCCACCTACAAAATAGCTTTTTATTAAAACAGATCTTGGTACTATGGCATAGCAGAGACTGGAGATTGTAGAGATTGAATATACCTTCTGGAAGCGGGTACTCGATAAAGTTGGCGTACACAGTTTTAGCGCCATAATAAGACGCACGCTCTGCAAACTCAACAAGACAAAGCGAGAAGGATACCCATGGCAGGTTATCGGCAACCTTACGTAGGATTTCGTTTTCTTCCTCCGTTGGAAGAGGCTTCTCGGTGTCTGAGTCTATTTTGTCTGAGTCTATTTCCTGCGCTGCCGTCTGCACTTTTTCTGACTCCTTGGAGATAATATCGATGGTCACTTTGCCGTTCGACTCGTCCGCGTGTGGCGCTGCTAGAAATTAAGAATGATCCTGCCCGTTAGCGGACTTGTTTTCCCGTGGAGTCTCCACTCAAGGGGTTGGCGATAGTTAATACATACCCATCATGAAGTGAAAGGGCACGAAACAACAACGCTTCGGAAATTTTCGAAAGCAAAATAAATCCCGACCAGCCGACTAGCTATTATAGCTGCCGTCACTGTCAAGCAAATCCCAAGCGCAGATGTCGCAATACTCAAAAGCTTGTGTTCTTCCACCGAGAAGTAAGTGGAGAACGGCCATTGGAACTAAACTGGCCATATTTCAATCACGCTATCGGCGCCAGGATTACGATCATTCCACAATGTAACATTGCATTAACGCGTTATGGCTCTGTTCTCTCCGAATGAGGTTCCTGCTAGCATGTATGTTGGCTAACAGTCGAAGAGATCGTTTCCGATCGGACTTTTCGATATTCGCGCAGCTCACTATGGTTTTCTCGTCTCATTTTTTCTCCAAAAAGCGGTGCTGATCAAAGGCCTTCTGCTACTGGATACGCGAAGGGGCGAAAGAAATGGAAGTGGTGGTCAAATAAGAGAGAGGAAGAGAACGAGGCTATTCAGAGACAGAAGGGTGACGTGGCGATCTCGCTGCCTGAGGCCGTGGGTGAATCTCAACATTTCGGATATGAAACACGCTATGTCGTTGACATCTAGATTTATACTTTTTTATTGTCCAAGAATAGGAAAATCAAATACGCCATCGATTAGTGCCTAGGTCCGAGATCAATTACCTCCAAGTCCCGTGCGGTTCCAACTTGAACTTGAAGGTTCAGGTTTCAAAGTTTTCATGACCACCTGGGCAGACATCGCCTGGGCACATTCAAGTTCAAATCCCACATGGGCATGCATTCCAAGCTTTAGTATATATAGACCCGCCATCATATATTCTGGTCTGCCCGCAAGTTAAATTGATCGCCAGGACGGGCAAGTTTTTCTACCAAAAGGGTTCAAGTTTTCAAGTGTCCGAAGAGATTAAAACATGACGCTATATTAGCATATATACAGCATTAGTACCAAGTTGATTAGAAATCAGCTTGGTTCCTTGGATAGCCCGAAGGCAGACTGAGGGTTATTTCGAGTTCTCTCACATCACAACAACTTGAAATACTACTAGTACTAGTAGTAGTAAACGCACATCCCCACTACGACGGGGACGGTTTGGATCCAAAGTGCCTCTACAGGGTTCAGAGGAGCGTTTCTGGTGGCAAAGTGGCGTTATTCTCATATCCTGTATGTATGGAGAAGGCTTAACTATTGCTATCTTAGTTACCGTTCACCCTCCACAGCCCCTGCAATACCAGCCGCCATCATTGATGAATTGTCACCTATTCCGGTTCTGGAGTAGGGGCCCGGGTTGGCATAGTCTCGCCCTCACTCAGGCTGTCGAAGTCCTCCTCATCCATTGTCTCTAAGGCAACATCTTGGTCGTTTCCATTTGGGTCATCGTCATCATGACCATTCTCGTCTGGTCCATCTTCTCCCTGTCCAACCTCAGCCTGCGCTGCTGAAAGGATTCCTTAAAGTCTCCAGAAGACCGGGACTTAACATCCTTTCCAAAAAGGCGTGCTGCCTTTCCCTAAGTGGAGGAGAGTCAACCGCATATTTGGCATAGTGTGCCTCCCATTCATCTGAGATCCTGAATTCCAACGTCACCGACCGCTCCCAGTCATCAGGACCCTCATAAACTAGCCTCCAGCGATCAGGCTCGACAGCAATAATATACCAACACTGAGCCCAATTGTAGTAGTTGTCGCGAAATGAAACCTCCAGGTCTTCACAACTCCAGTTCTGAAAAGATGGCGCAGCGAATTCCGATCTAAATTCCTTGCGCAATGTTGGAAGATCCTTCCTGAGGATAAATTGTCTACAATGGACAATGATTTTATTCAGTGCCTTTCTTCGCCGAATGATAGCCACTAAAGCCCTTGCAAATGCAGCAAATGTTATTTCGACGGGAGAATCAGGGCCCCCTACGGCATCTTCTCGAGGTTTCAATTTTTTCCAGGTTTCATCATGCCCCGTGGGCCAAAGAATCAGTTCCTCGATATTATGAAGTCCAAGCTTGTCAAATGGATAATCAGGAAGGGAAAACAGCCAATCATGCTCCTCTCGGCCCCCATGATCCATGTGAGAGCAGAAAGTGACTGATTTGATGGCCGAGAGCATTTTGGGGGTCCGATTGGGGTTCCGATTGTAGCGACGATCCGCCATTTTCACCCATCCTTAGTTATGCTCAGTCCACGACACGCATGAGAAAGCCAAAAATTTGGCTTCCTGGTAGATCTGTCGGCATGTGCGGAGTGGCCTGAGAATATGGGAGGGGAGTGACCCCTCCAAATCTGGATACTCAGCTTCGTTTGGAGTGAAAGTATAGCGGTAAATATGAAAACGAAGCTCAGGGGGAAGAGCTAGAAGAGGGCTGACAAAGGCGGATTGTTTGGTTGGGTTGGCCATTGTGCTTCAAATGGTGATGATGGAGGAACATGATGGGATGTATGGAATCGGGGGAATCCTCGCTATATCTACCAATCTAATGACAAACGGTGTGCACTGGGTGCAATTGACAACAGAAAGCAATAGAACTTGAAGCAAACATGCAATGCAGACACGGATAGTAGTATCCTGGTTATGCATGCATGAAGGGTGAGCTGGCGATGCCGCTAGCCCTGAGGCCATCACAATGGCGGAGTTAAGTAATTCCGTCGTTCCGGGATGCCAAGTGTGTGTTATTGCTAGTACGGTGGTAGCATCTGACATTGCAGTCTGGCCGTGTGTAATACCCAGTAGTATGGCAGGACTATTGATGTTTTACTTGAAGTAGAAATAGTTTAAGTATGCTAAATATCTACTAGGGGTAAGGTGTTATGCTACTGCTAGTAATAGTTCACTACTGACCACTCGCTGGTAACTTTGGTCAAGCACGTCAGTGGCGGCTTAGTCATCCACAGGCCACTGCCAGTCAGAGCAACAGAACTGACTCAATCGGGGTATACCTGGACATAAAGTAAATAAATATACTATGACTATAGTGAATGGTAATGAACATACTCTCTTCTCTTGATAAACCCTAAAACCCTAAAGATAGTAGGCTACAACTGCAGTAATATCGTCAGTTCTACTAGTACTACTACTACTACTACTACTGTATGTACGAGTCCCCACATGACGTGATGTCATGCGACTTCCAAGGTTCAAGTTCACCAATTCACCTGCTTTTGCTATAAAACCATTTCTCCCTCTTCCTCTCCCGCCCCTGCTGATCCTTCAAGTCACACTCCACTTCAAAGTTCTCTCTCTACCCTTTTACCTCCGAGATCCTCCAATCTACCCATCTCACTTCCACCCCTTCCATCATGTCCTACGCCGACGCCGCTTCCAAGGGCCCTAAGCAAACCCCCGAGGATGTAAGTCAAAGCAGACCACCCAGCTCAGTTCAGCTAAGCTCAACTCCCTTCACATGACCAATCTGCTAACAATGTACTAGGCGTAAGTGACCACACTATCCTGTGTCCACACACCCAACCCATACTAACCACCCCCACAGCCGCGCCCCCAATGTAGGCGGTATCTACAAAGATGAATCCGAAAGCACCGCCTCCCTCATCGACGTCGACTCCCCCCCACGTCCAAGCCGTCGACCCAGACTTCCTCCAACAGGACGTGCAAACCACCACCCAAGCCGAGCGCCTGGAGCGCGAAGCCGAGGAGAAGGAGCGCGAGCGCGCCCGTGAAGTTGCCGGCAAGAAGGCCAAGGGTCGCAAGGCGCAGAGCAGCGGTGTCTCTGCCAATGCCGGTAACCCGGTCTATATTGGTAATGCCCTTGTGATGACTCTGGTCGGTGCGGGTCTTGGCTTCGGCGCTTATCGCAAGCATGTTGCTGGTAAGCTCTCGTGGGAGCTTGTCGGGCTGGTGTCTGGAGCTGTTGGTGCTTTTGGTGTGGCGGATTACTATGTTAGCAAGTGAGTTACTCCTTTTCCCGAGAGATTTTGCGAATTTGGTTATGGGTTGCTGGACTGGGTCTATGTCCTTGACCTTACGCGCATATTTTGCGAGCTACGTGTGCTAACCCATTTGCAGGTGGTTCCTCCAGAACAAGTACCCCCCCCAAATAGGTGGACGAATTTCTCTTGCTTGGTCTTTTGTTTGATATACCATCTCTGCTCTTCCTGCGGGTGCGGGCTGTTTAACTGGGTGTACTCCGTGCAATGGATGCCATGCAGTACCAGTACCAATGCCAATTCTATTACCATTACGAATATCACTACTTTAATAGAGATCTGAATTGATGAATCCGGGGATGTAGTACAATAGAGTACATTAGCAGTTCTCCATGCATGCAGATGCATAAATTCTCCGTAACTGTTGTTTTCCAGAATATAATATGGACTACTACTTGCAGGGCAGGGGTGCATGACGTAGGAAGGCGGTGAGTTGTGTTTGGGCCAGTTTTCCTTTTGGCTTTGCGTGAACCAACAACATCCAACTTGAATAACAGTCAAGTCATTGCAGACAATCACTGCTAAAGTGAACAGGTGGACCAGATACACGAACTGCTCTCTCTACTGGCCTCGATATTCCAGCACTCCCTCCTCCCCTCCCCTCACTTCTACCACCAACATGGTATGACCCCCATCCCCATCCACGACCGCGCATTCGAGTCGCATTCGCTAACACTCCCAGAATTCCCTCTTCAACTCCGCCCTGAAACAATCCTCCGCGATCCGTCGGGATCTGGACACCTTCTCCCAGTCCCCGTCCACCTCCTCCCCCGCCCTGCAAGGTGCGTCCCTGAGCTCGCTGTTGACCAGCTACTGCTACTGCCATATTGACCGGTCGCAGGCCAAATTGCCGCCTCGTTGGCCTCGTTGAATCGGACCGTGGACGACTACTCCGCCCTCTCGAAGAAAGAATTGATTCCGGAGAAACAGCAAAAGGCCTTTGACCGGGTCAAGAATTTCCGCGATGAGCTGGGCGATTACCGTGGCCAATTTGATAAATTGAGGAGGGAGAGGGAAGAAGCTGTAATTTGCCCTTGACCTTGACCCTCACATCTTGGCTGACGCTGTGACTCGTGATTTGTGACCCCTGCTAATCTCCTTCTCTACCGTCAGCAATCCGTCCACAAGAGTAACGAGCTCTTCGGCCGCCGACCACACCACACTGCGACTCCCGAGAATCCCTACGACCAACCCTCCCAACCAAGCGGATATGGATCACAAGGTCTCGGGTTCGGGGGCGGTCCTCAAGATGCGCAACGCGAGGCGCATGCGCTGCGCGAACACTCCTTCTTTGCCAATACACACACCCAGTTGGATGATTTCTTGGATCGAGGAAGGGCGGTGTTGACTGATCTGGGTGAACAAAGGGAGATTCTGAAGGGGACGCAACGCCGGCTGTATAGTGTGGCTAATACGTTGGGGGTGAGTGGTGATACGATTCGGATGGTGGAACGGCGGGCGAAACAGGACAAGTGGATATTCTGGGGAGGAGTGGTGGTGTTTTTCTTGTTTTGCTGGTTGGTGCTGCACTATTTGCGATGAGGACGGGCAGAGGAAGTGGAAGGTGTATTCAGAATTGGTTCATAGCGAGGCGTTTGCATATATTCTACTTGGTACATTCTTTCTAGTACCCTAACACCACCATGTAAATACTATACAAATCCCCGTAACGAAGCCCACCCCCCTTATTTTGTAAACCCTAAAACCCTAACGTGTCTCGCAAGCTATAACTCATCCAATTGAATAATTTTAAAAATGAATTCCCTGGATGGATATACACATGCACAGCACTGACTGCATCGGCCGAGCTCGGGACAGCGGAAGTGCGCTGTGGATCCGCTTTACCCGCTTTACACGCCAAAGCTTTTCTCCCTTCCTCTTCCTCTTTCTCTCTCCGGCTTCTCTTCTTCTCCTCCCCATCTCCCCCCAGACTATCTTCATCATGTTTGCTGCTCGTCGATCCTTCTCCCTCTTCCAGAAGCGCTCCTTCTCCGCTTCTGCCGCTCAGGTATTCCATTGCCCTCTTGCTTATTCTCAACTCCCTGCTAACTCAACAATTACAGGCCTCCAAGGTCGCCGTTCTCGGCGCTGGCGGTGGCATTGGCCAGCCTCTCTCCCTGCTGCTGAAGCTCAACCCCCGTGTCTCTGACCTCGCCCTCTACGATATCCGTGGTGGACCCGGTATGCATATGCTCCTTGCGAGACTCTTCTACTGCTGCTTCCGCGCAATTGCTAACCTGTGCTCTCTTCTCCCTAGGTGTCGCCGCTGATCTCAGCCACATCAACACCAACAGCGTCGTCACCGGCTACAACCCCGACGAGGCTGGCCTCGCTTCCTGCCTGAAGGATGCCGAGATTGTCCTCATCCCCGCTGGTGTCCCCCGCAAGCCCGGTATGACCCGTGACGATCTGTTCAACACCAACGCCTCCATCGTCCGTGACCTGGCCAAGGCTGCTGCCAAGTCCGCCCCTAACGCCAACATCCTGGTCATCGCCAACCCGGTATGCTTCTGCTATCCAGCAATCGAGACTCTAGTTTCGAGACACCCAGTTCCAAGAAACATCGGCTAACAGCATTAGGTCAACTCCACCGTCCCCATCGTCTCCGAGGTCTTCAAGGCCGCCGGTGTCTACAACCCCAAGCGCCTCTTCGGTGTCACCACCCTGGACGTCGTCCGCGCCTCGCGCTTCATCTCCCAGGTCCAGTCCACCGACCCCGCCGCCGAGAAGGTCACCGTCGTCGGTGGTCACTCCGGTGTCACCATCGTCCCCCTTCTGTCCCAGTCCAACCACGCCTCCATCACTGGCGAGGCTCGCGACGCTCTCGTCAACCGCATCCAGTTCGGTGGTGACGAGGTCGTCAAGGCCAAGGACGGTGCTGGCTCCGCTACCCTCTCCATGGCTATGGCCGGTGCCCGCTTCGCTGAGTCTCTGCTCCGCGCTGCTCAGGGTGAGAAGGGTGTTGTTGAGCCTACCTTCGTTGAGTCTCCTCTCTTCAAGGACCAGGGTGTCAACTTCTTCGCTTCCAAGGTTGAGCTTGGCCCCAACGGTGCTGAGAAGATCCACGAGGTTGGCCCCGTCAACGAGTATGAGCAGAAGCTTCTTGATGCTTGCCTCGTTGACCTGAAGAAGAACATCCAGAAGGGTGTTGACTTCGTCAAGGCTAACCCTTAAATTATGTATAACATGGTCTAGTCGGGCTGGGCGGCTGAGTTGGGCTTGTATGGCCTGGTCTGGTCGGTCGGGTCTTAATTCTCCTATGTACGATCGAGCGTGAATCTGATTGATCTTTCGATCTGCCATCCAATTTACCTACAGTTGTGACTGTGGAGTAGACTACTAGTAAATTGTTTGTTGCAGCGAGTCGTGAGTAGATATATGGGTGTAGATGTAGATGTAGATACAGATGCAGTCGTAGATTCGTTAGCTATCATGACCTAATGGCGTGAACCTATCATATCTCAGATCCTTTCGATGCCCCGAACTTTCGCAAGTTTCCAATCTCCTGAATGCGAATACCCATGTCCATGCATGACCTGCAATTTCCCTCGTGTTCAACTCCAAGAAGCAAGGAAATGAAAGGAAAGTCTCCAGAAATGATATGAGAGAGATGAGAGAAGTGAAAGGGATGAGATGGGACGAGATCAGATCAGATTAGATCGGGGAAAATAAGGGCAAAGAGTAAGCAAATAAGGGAAAAAGGAAATAAGGAAATGATTGAAATAAAATGATGGAATAGAGAGGAGAGAGATATTCATCCATATACCTAGTTACCAATCGAGGGTTTGTTTAGGTATAACTACGCATCGCATCCAGGTACCCCGTTCCACCACGTAAATCTTGGTCGAATGTCTCGGCGACTTCCAGCACACGTTTGATGTGATCCATTGATAAAGGGGAGCTCTCATTTACCGCCAAAGCCTGCGCGGTGCGAACGGAGTTTTTGATCTGGTCCATGTGTTAGCATCGGATATATAATGACTACTACTTCCTGCTAATACTCAAACCCACCTGTCGCCCGTTCAACGTATGCCGAGATAAGATATCATAATTCTCCTCTGTGAACGTCGCCACCTTCACCCCCTCAATCGCACGCACTCGTTCCAGGAACATCTTCCAGATACTTCGTTTCGCCTTGGAAGTGAGATCGCCGTACCGCAGGGCAACGTGGATGCGGGACTGGAATGCGTCGTCAAACGTTTCCACACGGTTTGTGGTCAGGAAGAGGATACCCTGGAAATATTCCAGGAGTCGGAGGAATATGCTAACCAGCGCGTTACGATGGATGTCGTGGATGGTGCGCTTTTCGAGGAATATGTCTGCTTCATCGAGGAGGAGGACTGCGCCCCAGGAGTGTGCTATGTCGAGGATCTTGTTCAGTTCTGCTTCCAGTGTACGTGAGTCGGTACCTAGTTCGCCGGCGCTGACCATGTATAGTGGTCGGCGGAGGAGTTCGGCGATTCCTTCTGCTGTGAGGGTCTTGCCGGTTCCTGGGGGTCCGTGGAGGACAGCGACGAGGCCTTTTCCTTTGCCTTGGATTACGTCGTCGATATTCTCGGCTGCGTGGAAGGTGTGGGATTCCACGAGCGCCTTCACGATGGACTTTTGGTTGTTTGGTAGGACGAGTGAGTCGAAGGCGTCCACGTTCCATTCGATGTCGCTGATTCCTGAGACGGTGAATTCTAACCAGAGCTTTTCGCTGAAGGCGAAGCCAAGTACGACGGGGCTGGCGATGAGGAGCTCTTCTTCAGTGAATTCGCGTTCTTGGGAAGGGGAGGTGGCGTCGCCTTCAATTCGGTCCATCTTCTCCTTGGTGATCTCTTGCCCGTTCTCGTCAACTTCGACCTCTACGACGCGTGGGTTGCCGTCGTCTCCCTCGATCACTTTGTATACTGTTCGTGGGGTATCTGAGCAGCCGCCATTGTCTGAATCCGAGTCTGATCCTCCACAGCAGCACCCGCCTCCATCGCTGCCCTCTTCGTCAGCATCACTCATGCCTGCTTCGGATGGATCGAGGAGATCGGGGTCCTTGGGGCGGACGGTGCTGATAGGGTAGTTGGGGTTGATTCGACGATGGATGGCTGGGTCGATCATCACGCGACCGTTGATATTGACTTTGACCACAAAAGATCGCTTCTTCTTATAAAATGCCATACCCTTGTGGAATCGGTAATTCATGCCGCGGAGGGCGACAAATCGTTTCCCGCGTTCAATCAGTCGGCCACGCAGGGCCTCGGAGTCTCGGTGATACTGCAGGGGATAGCAGGCGAGACTGGTGATCTTGCGGGCTCCCTTGAAGGACTCAACTTCGGCGGACATAGTGCCAAAGCCAAAGTCTTTTCCATCGTATTCGAGATAGCGACCCTCGACGCTATACCACTGACCCTTCATGAAGGAGGATTCCTTAATGGCGTACTCCATTTTGAAGGCGCGGGGCTCATCGGAATTGCCGTAGGTCGGGCAGTAGGCGATTGTGTTGGGTTTGTACAGTGCCCAGAGCAAGTCGAAGGTGATGGTGTTGGCCTCGAGCAGTGGGTAGAGGGTCTTTTTGATGTCGGCGTAGTCCATGTCGAGGTACTTGATCAAGATCTTCAGATGGGCCGCCTTGTTGGCAGCAGCTTTGCGGGCCTTCTTCTTCTTCTCCCGACGGGATTGTTTGCGAAGATCCTTCATACACTGACGAGTCTCCTCAAGGTAGAGGAAGAGCATGTTGGGGTCGACGACCGCGGTCTCCTGGACCAAACTGACGCCTTTGACACCGTCCATGACCTTGGCGAGGGCATCACGCAGGTATTTGCTTTTGATATCGACGACGGTCTCGAGGTATTTATTTTCCCAGTTGAACTTGCGGCGAACGGTGAAGATGTATTGGTCCCACTCGTCAGCATCGGGGTCGTCCACGGTTTCGGTGAGTTTGTACTTGTGGATGGTGGTATCCCATACTGGAAGTGTAGGATTAGCTTAGGCTCGGACCGAGAAACAGATGACCTCGAGCAATAAATAAAGAGATGCTTACGTTGATCCACACGCTTAAATGCCACTTTAGAGGCCGGCTTCTTCCTCTTGGAGCGTTTCTCGCGGCGACCATCGCCCAGGGGATCACCCAGGCCCAGATCATCGTTGGCTTGATCTCGGAGCTTCTTGGCCTGGCGTTTCAGCTTCAAGCGAGTGACAAGTTTCCGCAGAGCCTTTTCGTCGAGCGACTCATCCGATTCGTCGGTGGAATCTTCGTCAGATTCGGAGTCCACAGTAGACGCTGAGTCAGAATCGGAAGAGATGACTTTGCGAGATTGGCGCGAGCGATTCTTCTTCTTCTTTCGCTTCTTATCTTTCAGGGCTTGTTTGGCACGAGCCTTGGCCCTCATTCGATTGCGCTTACGGCGGTCGAGCTCGTCGGATTCGCTGGAGTCGGATTCGGAGTCGGCGTCCCCGGAGTCTGAGGAGTCGGAGTCATCGGAGGAAGAAGAGGAGGAATCATCAGAGGACTCAGTCTCGTCGTCATCGTCATGTGGGGACTTCTTTTTGGAGCGCTTCTTTCGCTTATCTTTCTGTTTCTGTTTTTGTTTCTGGTCTGGGTGATCGGGATGTTTCTTGCAGGATTTAGCGCCCTCTAGGGAAGTATTGGTGGTGGTGGTTGTGGCTGGATCCTTGACTGAGACATCCTGAGTAGTGACCGTATGGTCGGATGGTTCGACTTGGTCGATGGGCTCAGCCATGGTGGAGGTGAGATGGAGGTGGAGGTGGAGGAGGAGGGGGTGGAGTGGAGTGGAGTGGAGCTGGAGCTGTAGTGGAGATGGTAGCTATTAGCTATAGCTATAGCTATAACTAAGGTATAGCTGGTATTGCTAGGAACAAAGACAGACACGCAGAACACAAAGACAAAGTGGAAATGAAAGAGGAAGGGAAAAGGAAAATAAAAACGACGCAAACAAAGAAAAAGGAAGATTTTAATCGGGTTCGTGCCCAGGCAGCCAGTCCAATCAGGCTGACCCACGCAGGCTCCGATGCGCTGGCTCTGCCTCACCAGGAACACCCAATAAGATCGCCAGTGTAGTACAGCTGCAGCTGCAGCTGCAGGCTGCAAGCAGAGGCAGAGGCAGCAGAGCTGCTTATGCTGATTCTGCTGATTCTGCTGATGCGGCTGTTGGCAGTACTGTACGGTGTACTATACTATATTATATAGTATAGTAGTATGATACTATAGTGACCGATGTAGTCAGAGTATAGTATAGTATAGTATAGTATAGAGTAGTATCCCTTGCTGTACCAAGGTTCAAACGATGGGGAACCAAGGTTAACTCGGAAGGTTCAGGGGTCTGGGTATAGTCACGTTACTTGGTGGTGGTGGAGGAGGAGTAGTACTAGTAGTGAGGCTGAGTATACATTCGAGTACTACTATAACTAGTGCTAGAGTACCTAGGTATTCAGACTTCAGTATGACTCATCAGTAGATTGAATCTACCAATAGACTAATAATACTGACTCCAGTAGCCTGACCTAGTAGGAGTTAGTATGCAAGTATAGTAAATTGAACCATACCAGTGCACTGTACCCAGGCAAGTCTGTAACTACCGGAGTACCTTAGATCACTACTACCTCCTCCTCCTACTACTACTACTACTATATTCTATCCTATTTCGGTACCTCCAATAGATATATAATCTCTGCCGAGGTCATCTGATTCTTGCATCAACAGATGTATCCGCAGCAGGTCACGGTGGCAGTTGGTGATGGGATACTACACCGAATGAACTCTCACTCCGTCCGAGTCCCATCAGCGTTGGAAATCCACTCAGTAATCATCATCCAGAAATCAAAACTTGAATTAAGACTTGTTCCCCGCAACCGGCCTCCAAGTGGGGCCGCTAAGGGCGTTCGCTCAATTCTCCGATATTCGACATTCAACCACTTAACCACTCACGCACTCATGGCTCTCCCAATCTCTGCTTTCTTTTCTTCGGCTTGAAAAAATGCCACCCTCCATAGAAAATGCCGAGAAGCGTCTTGAGTCCTCCGCTCGTCACCCCCCGATCCCGGTGAACAAAACCCAGGAAGACACTACAATCCCGAATGCCCTCAGCAATCTCCCGGAGGATCCTCACACGCTCACCACGACGCCCACCCAGGGCAGATGGGCTCGTCTCATCCATGTGCTTGCATGGACTCCGCCATGGTGTCGCTGGAACGAACAGAGTCCGCCCAAATTTGGACTCCCCTTGAACTTTCTCTTTGCTTTTGCTGGCACATTTACGGTAGGGAATAAGGAACACAAATACTTCTTTTCTTGAACACGATATATTATGACGAATATGGCATGGCTGACACAGACAAAACCTACAATAGGTCGCCAACCTATACTATTCACATCCAATTCTAGATGAACTAGCTCAATTCTTCGATGTCTCACAAGAAAGAGCCTCTCTCATTCCCACCTGCAGCCAGGCCGGATATGCCACAGGTATCATTTTCCTGTGCCCGTTGGGTGACATAGTTCGGAGAAGACATTTCATGGTCTTGTTGACCTTCATTACCGCTACCTTGTGGATTGGCCTATGCATCACCAGTTCCTTCAATGTGTTTCTCTCTCTGAACTTTTTGACCTCGGTCACCACGGTCACTCCGGTAAGTGGACTCGCGAGCAAAACTAGGATCCACGATGATTCATTTCTACCATCAAGAAACGCAAAGCACTCGAAACTAAACTGGCACCTCCTAGCAAATAATGCTTCCACTCGTCGGAGACCTCGTCCCTCCTGCGCGACGCGCAACTGCCCTTTCAATTGTATCGTCCGGCCTCGTCCTTGGCCTTCTCTTCGCAAGACTCTTATCCGGAATCATCGCGGCGTACTCTTCATGGCGGAATATATACTGGCTAGCACTAGGTCTTCAATACCTCATCGTTCTATTAATCTGGACTTTCATGCCGGACTACCCCCCTGTCAACACGGACGTGTCCTACCTCAAGATCCTGGTGACTATCGCAACCTACTTCGTCTCATCTCCAGTCCTCATCCAAGCCACTCTCATGGGATTCTTCCTCTTCGCCACTTTCACCAGTTTCTGGACAACATTGACCTTCCTGTTGTCCGGAACGCCGTACTACTTCTCGACCGTCCGAATCAGTTTATTTTCCCTCGCAGGACTAACCCCGATGATCCTAGGCCCCTTTTACTCGCGATTCGTCATCGATAAATACGCACAGCATTTTTCGATCCTCATCACCCTCACGATGATGGTCACTGGCATCTGTATTGGTGCATACACCGGTACATTCTTCGTTGCAGGCCCGGTCCTTCAAGCTGCCTTTCAGGATTTCGGCTTGCAGATGACGCAGATTGCCAACCGCACAGCAATCTTCCGCGTGGCGCCCAAGGCACGTAGCCGAGTCAATACAGCATACATGATCGGCGTCTTTTGTGGCCAATTGATGGGCACGGCGGTGGGGAACCACGTTTATAGTGAAAGCGGTTGGGTTTTGACGGGATCCGTTAATATCGTCTTTGTTGGTGTCGCATATCTGATTTTGTTAGCTCGTGGCCCTTTGGAGACGGGTTGGGTGGGATGGGATGGAGGGTTTCCGATTCGGACGGTTGAATCGTAGTCTTGTTTTCGCCCGGGTGATGAAAAGCGATTTATCGAACATTCTTTGACGAGGGTGACGGCCCAACACGGTACTTTTGAAACGAGGCATCGTGGCTGGGGAAAATGACTGGGCAACCGGACATGGCGGTCTGAACCTGTAAGCGAATCAGCCGATCAGGAGCCATCGCAGAGTCGTTCTGAATTCTTCCACTTCCAAGATGAATCAATCTTTTCCGTCCAGCTTTGAAGACTGGTCGAACATAATGGGATTGGCTGATTCACCTGGCCGATCTGTCTGGCATCCTGTCATCCATGTTGGACTTAAATTGAGACATATTCTACTTTATTTCAATGGAAGAAAGTAGCGAATGGCAACGCTGTCGTTCCTCTATTCTTAGCTGAACTGCTTCTAGCTCAAACAACAGCAATGGCTGTATATTTGCCACAGCAGAGACGAGACTTGGAGAGCTGGCATCAGCCACCAATGGCACATATACCCGACCTTGCTATGCGATAGGCTTGATCGGTTGCAGAGTGAAGACATGACGACTACCGCATCTAGAAGGGAGGATTTCAGCCTATAATTCCGCCAATTCCTGAAGTCGCAACCCTTCTAGTGTCATAGAAGGCCCGACCGACGGACGATTAAAAGCTTAGTGTGATGGTCAACCGTGGACGGACGGTTCTAAATTAAGATGTCCAAAACTTGAAATTCGATCGAAGCCGACATGCTGCATGGCATACACGTGGGCCTTGCCTTCTATCACCGTGGAATATTCGGTCTGGCCATCTCTCTTGATATATCCAAGCTGTGCAGCCCGCGGAGTACAGTGATTGCGACCGGGCTCTTGTCATTCAAACTGGCTTACGAGTTCCGGTTTTTCCTAGGAAAGGCCCAGATCGAGCTGACTGCCATAAATGAAGATAATTGAACCATAGGGTCAAACTGTGAATCATACTATGATTTCAGGCTATTCTCATCGATATTATATTACCGCACAACAGAGTTAATGCTTCATAAAATCTGCGAAACCATTACCCCAAGAAGTGTTCAGGGGCTGCCGATCTTACCCGCGAGGTACCGTGAGATTGCAGAGAATCATTGACAGAGTTGGCAAGTGGATCCTTCACTTCCCTGAAGGTCCACATCTGACAGGAATGCAACTCTTCGGAAGCGATCTGAACATCTACAATTTCTAAAACAGGGACTTGGATATTTTTCACTTAGCTTCCTGTCATCGAGCACTGATGAGACTCAATGCGATCAATCCAGAGGCTATGTTTCAAGCCTTCAACAGAGAACGCCTAATGTAAGCTTTGCAAAGGTTAAAAATAGGAAATGCGGCCGCTGAAAACTTTCCTTGTCGGCTTTTTCCGTGTTCACGGTCCTCGATGTTTCAGATGGCAAAATGCTTATAAACTCACTTAATTTCTCCCCAGGCCAAGAGTATCACGACTTTAATCTACATTCTAAGCTTTAGCCAAGACTATCTACCGACATGGCTCTTTCTGCATGCAATGCTGTGCTGAATCCTTCTTTTGAGACCGGACTTCTGGCTCCGTGGTTTCCATCGGCAGTCAATGTGGCCAAGGTCAGCAATGCAACAAGTGCTTACGACGGGGACTACTACCTGTAAGATCGCATCGTGCATATTTATATTGGAAAGCTTCATATTGACCTTGTCAAATCCAGGAATCTCCAAACTGCGTATGGCAACCGTGGCAACACAGTCTCCCAGCACCTCAAGCACCTCAAGCCTCGGACAGAGTACGATTTTAGTGTTCAACTTCAGGTCCTCTCAGGTGGAGTGGAGTTCTGCTCCGTGTACGTTTATATGGGACATAACGCTACAGTCGGCAAGGTTGCGTCGGCAGATATTTCCACCTTTGGAGAATGGCAGGCTCTTACTGGGACTTACAAGCCGAAGAGACACGAGGAAACTCTGAGCATTGTTGCGGCTTGTGACTCCGAGGACTCCTCCGTCACTGGAAATGTCTTGATTGATGCGGTTAGCTTCACTGGAGCTGGGCATTGCAAACCCACTTCTGACTGAGCGCCATCGATATTTATTGTTTATCTTTCTTTAAGTTTGTGATTTCATGTATATAGTCGCCATATAGAAAATATTTCTCTAAAGAGCATCGCTATATCGAGATCCTGATCCCTGTAAAGTTGTGAAAACACCTATTCAGAAAAGCAACCTTGGAACTACTAGCTCTAACTGCTAGTCACCATTAACCTTTCGGAGGCGGAAGCTTGAACTTGAAATGAGATCTCAGGATAACCATCCAAACTTGAACTCGAGTTAACACACAGACCAAAACAACTCGGCTCCACATTCAAACTGCCCCCCTCCACTTCCAGAGCTCCTATAAAACCCCCTCCCTTATGGTAAAAGAACGCCAACTCCATTCATGACCGCATGGGCTAAAAACCATTGCATCACTCAGTAGGTTGGTCTGTATCCCGAGTTCCCGTTGGACCCCGAAGTGCCATTTGCATAGGCTGGCTAGGAGGGAGGACCTTGCGATGGCTGTGATTGGGCTTTTATCACCGGGTGAGGCTTCGGTGATGGACCCGCAGGTTCGTCGTCACTGTTCTTCTTCAATAGGAATGAAAGAGCAATACACATGATGGTGGTTTTGATTTAAACTTTATTGGGAAGAGCTTTCAGGTGGGGATAAGCTTTGATCCTGTTAATATATCAACAGACGGGTAGAGAGCTTCCAAGTCATACCGATGCCAGATGTTGGAGTATATGGCTGGCTATAAATAAAAGACAAATGCCTTTCACTGTGAGTGGGACTTTGAGATAGGCTTTCAACAATTTAATTTGCTTGACAGATGGGCAACGGCGATGAAAAGAAAATGAAATGGTATGGGTTGGTTCTAAGCCTTTTATAATTGAGGACTATGATCAGATAGCCCCATTCAACACCCTAGAAAGTATCCAGCGCGAGACAATCGGCTTACTGGGGTTCTCAAGCTGACCGAGAATGGGAATGGCTCAGCCCCAGACAAATGGGGTATTAGTTGCGTAACATGGCGTGTTATCTCGGAGAAGAGGCCTAAAGACTGCCCTGATTGGTTCTCAGAAATTAAAAGTTGCAAAATATTTGCAGGCTATATTAATTTTCGTGCCAAAAAAGCCCTCGGGATAGCAGATCCTCATTGAATGGTTCTTTATTTGGTACAATGCTAATCATTTAAGGCTTCGAGAGGCCACTCTGACGGCTGCCTCCACATCTCGCCTTGAATACGCCCCAAAAAAAGTCAAGATCGGCGTCTTGGCAACGAAAATTTCCTACTCTCGTTTAGCGTGGGTTTGAGAATCGCAAGAGCTGCGGAGTAATGGGATGCGATGGTGAATTTCACTTGTTCTCGAATGATTTAAAGTAAAAACAAGACTGAGGCAAAATATGGCCAAGACAAATAGCAAAATGGGGTATTCTCAAAAGCCATGTCAAAATATCCACAATAATGAGACCTTGGCAATATTGCTATTCCACCTGCGTATGACCTTTCTATTTCGAGGTTTCCGCGTTCCGCATTTTGATGACGAACTACTTGGACTTTTTTTGCGTCTAAAGATCCCACATAAATAACGCCATAAATCATCCTCAAATACTCCCGTTCATGTCTACACTTATCCCACCTACCAGAAGAAACCTTGAGAAACAATTTCTCGAAGGCACCCCGACTCCCTATTAACGCTCTTCATCTCTGCTCTAACACTTCACGATGGGCGAGGGACAAGTCGGTAAAACATCCAAGTGAAGTCATACCTGCTATTATAGTATAATAACTTTACTCAGTCCTCGGCAGCCTTTATGTCTATGCTCCCAATAAGGCGGCTCCGATTATTTTCACAGTCCTATTCGGAATCTCAGCGATTGGACATAATTGGCAATGCTGGTGAGCAAATGATGCATGGTAAAGCAATTTGAGCAAAAAATGTTGACAATCACCAGGCGCAATAACTCATGGAAGCTAACTGGTCTACATGCATGTTGCGCCATCTTGTTAACAGTTGGGTACGCGTTAAGGGAGTATGGTGCCTTCAAATACATGTTCGAGGACAAAGAATCTTCACAAATGACACTGGGGATTTACATCGCAAGTCAGGTCTTCATCTATATCTGCCCGTGAGTTTCGTTACACCCGATCGTTTTCATACAATTTCGGACCTACCAATCTATCGTTGTGTCTTGTGTATCTTTCAACTGACAGGTCTCGTTTTGCTTTATCTTAGACCACTTCTAGAACTTGGAAACTATCACATCCTCAGTCGAACCTTCTTCTACGTGCCCTTTGCATCGCCAATTGCCCCGAACAGAGTGCTTACTATTTTCGGACCCGTTATGATGATAGTGGAAACTTTGAATTCCCTCGGAGTTGCCTTCACTTCCAATCCGACAAGCAGTCAGGCTCAAGCGGGAAAGATATTGGTCCTGGCCGCGATCGGCATTCAGATCTGTCTGATTGTCATCTTCTTCTGTTTCGCCGGAATTTTCCATTGGCAGTGCAGTAAGAACGGAATTCGGACAAAAGCTCTCCCAACTCTTCCGATCGTCATGTACGTGAGCATGTTTTTGATCTTGATTCGTTCTGTCTATCGGATGGTGGACCATGCGGGAAATTCGGCCGTAGACATTTATGACTTGGACACGCTCCGGTCGCTCAGTCCTCTCTTGCGCTATGAGTGGTTCTTCTTTGTTTTTGAAGGTGCGACTATGCTGGCAAATTCGCTGTTGTGGAATGTGTGGCATGCCAGTCGTTATCTTCCCAAAACCAAGAATATTTTTATGGCAGAGGATGGTGTTACTGAAATGACGTGGGGGGGAAGAGACGACAGACGACCGGCCAACCCTCGCAAAGACGGTACATGGGGGGATGGCGATTCTCACCCTGGGGGGTTTGGGCCCACATGTTTCCCCTGAAGAAGCAAAACGACATTTATCAGAAGCAGACCAAAGGTCCTCTTCATGATGGCTCTGAATGCCATGTTTGATACCATGCGAATGCGACCTTATTTGCACACGGGTGTCTTCTTTGCGTTATTGTGGGCGGTTGCTATTTTTGAGTCGCCAGTTGTCCAACGAGGGATTCATGATGATCCCAAATTACGATTTGGAAGACTTTTCGAATGGCCGTGCGCTGTGCGATGCAAGATTGCAAGTGTTCCCATCTAGAGTCCCGTGTTCTCTAGCCGATCCTATGAATTCCAGGGTGCAGGGCAGACGGATCGAGCCTTGACTGACGCAGAGTTGGGAGCCAAAATAGCGCGCGCAATTTCGCGCAAACACAAGCCGGCGCGAAAACACGCATAATTTACCAAGCGTTTCGCCTATGATAACGAATGAATGACCCCCCCCCCCCCACATCGGACGAGCCATTCTTCCGCGCGAGTGGGGGCCGCAAGCTTACCCCAAATAAGCGGACCTTCATGATGTCAATGCAGCGTGTTGGAAAATAAAAATCCAATTTTTGTGTACCTTGCCCTTTCAGATGTGTTTTGTAGGCATGCTGTTTTGTAGGCCTGGACTGGCGCATCTGTTGTCGAGGACTGACATCCCAATAATCCTTTGATTGCAGAACGTTCGCGGATCTGTCGAAGGTCGAGTTGCGCGGACGGTGAAAGCTCGGAAGCGCCATTGCTGGGAATGTCTCCGGCGTCGCTTGGTCTGTGACTCCAGGTGCCCGGTTGTAAGCGATGTGCAGGATTAGGATTCAACTGCCCTGGATATGGAGAGACACCACCCATTTGAGTGAAATGGTTCACCCCCGGGAAAGTCAAAGAAGAATAGTAGGGTTAGCCCAGGCAGCGTCAGCTCGGATATATCAAGGAGTGGCTTTGAGTCTTCTGAGGCCGAATCGGAGTCCTCTCATGAGTCGCAGAACTTGGCAGTCCCTCGTTTTCATCTCAAAACAGATCATCACGCACTTTTAGATTCTGTACAATACTGTATGTCAATATCAATTTCGCGATTTACCTGGGCACCTGGGCACCTGGGCAGTCAAAGGCTCACCTTCAGAACAGTCAATTCGTGCATGTACCCTCAACTAGCCTCGGTTTCGCGACTAGGCACGAATACCAATATATACCAACTTTCACCAAAAGTATTTCAAATCGGCCTCACTAGACCTGCTCATCTTCAATTGGGTTTAATATGCCTGACTGTCAGTCACCGAATAAATCAGACCAGACATGATCCACATTCCAAGGCCCTGGAGAGCACCTTTTACCGCTATCGAGGCTTGATGATTCGTTCCTTGAATGAAGATATTAATATGCCGAATATGGAACGGAGATATTGTTCTTCCTGGTATTCTAACGCCGATGTAAGTCTTCACGGTCCAAATCGATAACACGATCTCGTTGTGCTAAAGATCCAAGGTTATAAAAGGCTCAGCATGGGATCTCGCAACATTGGCGATATCACGTTGAAGGAGTCCGAAGATTCATCATTTTACGCGGCGGCATGCACAGTTTAAGCATATCGCCTGGTGTCTTACCGACTCTTTTATTTTTGTCCAGTAAGTGAATTGACATTTGACAAATTCAAGAACAGCCCTTCCTAACGACTAAATAGTTGCACGGTACTTGATACGTCATCCCCCGCATCTGATATGCTTGTCGAGGGGGTAGACCTCGCACAATTGCATTCAATCGTGAAGCGATATGGAGGTAATGGATATGCCTTCCACACATGCCCCACGCCACTTTTCGCCGAAGATCATCAGGATCAATTACATTCGAAATCAGATGACAAGGTCAAATAGCAAAAACTAGTGTGACCTTCAGAGTGATGCTCGCGAAGTTCTGCGTCGCGTCTATGACTTTTCGCCGGTATCATGGACCGAATCAAACAACTTCCTAACAAATGAAAGCGACTTGGTGGTGACCACGTACCAAAGTGCGGTTACCCTATACTGCATGTCCTCACTATCGAGAATCGAGCTCTACCGCCGGACCCGCTATTGAAGAATAATTGCAAGGTAGAGAGACGAATTCTTTATGGATTGCTGAAGAAGGGACTAGACCGGAGATCCTATGGCTATCTGTTCTGGCCTCTCATAGTCCTTGGGGTACAAGCGGTACATGGTGATTGTTCCTTCCGTTCGTTTGTCCGCGAAAGAATGATATCCATGAGCGCCTCCTCCGGCACATATGCCCCGCTTGGAGTAAAGGAAGTCCAGGAAGATTTCCGGGCATCCGGTAGAGAAAGGTGGGATGATTGCTTTGACAAGCCTTATATGTTTACAACAGTGCTCACGGTCAATCGAGGTCAGCTGCCAAGGCGCATGCCTTGAGATTTATCAAACCTACGCTAGTCAAATATGTTGACACTCATATGTTGAATTTACGCTCTCGTCAAAAGGACCTTTGAGCCCTCGTGAATTACCGACAAATGGGATTACCGAAATCATATACGGATCAATATTAGAACCCGAGCAATTCTGCAGTAACATGATTTAGATCATAATGGAATAGAAAGCATGGGTATTTATACAGAAGAGCATTTTCAAAGGTCGCCCGGTTAACTTGTAGCCGCAGTTCGAAAGACCAAAAAGTTTGAAGTGATAGCCATGCTCCGGATCTTGTCAAACTTTTACTTAATTGAAAAAGCCACACGTTAGGAATAGTTTATATTCATTCTTGCATTGATGCAGCTATTTACTCGACTTCTCGATACCGCGCGACTCACAAAATATCCAAACATGAAGGTGGGAACATCATATTATCTAGCAGGTACCAGAGCAAAGAGTGAGGGTAACATCGGAATTTGCACCGCAGACTTTGGTTTGACTGGCGCCGCTCGTGGCAACGCCCTTGGGCCAGCAAATTTTCGGGCAGCTCAGCGAAGTTTTGACACCGATAGCGTGACCGGAAAATGGGTCGCCAAAGACGTCGGAAAGATCATACCAGACGTTCTGGCCATCCAAGGTGTAGGCAAAGTTTGTCTGAGGGCTTCCATTATAAAGTCCATTTTGAACGGTGGTGAGTTTGATGGCAATTCCTCCAGAAGCCGGGTCATGGTGCAGGACCTCGGAATAAGTACCGCCTGCTTTGATGGTTTTCGCAGGGCCAACTGAGCCTCCAACGGACCAAAGATAGACAGGGAAGCCGCATTTGTTGACAACTTTAGCATTCCCAACAGCACTAGCAAGAGGCGCCAAGGTGGCCAAAGCAGCAACGATAGCAGCAGTAGGGAAGTGCATATTTATGTTTCGAGATTGGTTGGAGAAGTATCGCGTGAGATTATTGATGATGATGATGAATTGAATTGAAAATGGAATATTCGATTTTAGAGTAGTGATGGGCGGTCCTTATATAGATTTTTCATCCCTACTACCCGGATAATGGCGGGTTTTAGATACTCTATTGACTTGTCCATTTCGATAGAACCGGTCTCAAAATTCGTGCATCTTTCAAGCAATATCTGAGACATTACAGCAAATAGAAAAGTTCCGAGAACGTACGACATCATATGTCTGAGTATGAGAGAGCTCGTATAGCATGATCGTCGAATGACAAAATGAGCAGTACGTCGGAGAGACTGAAAGACCGTGGAGGTCAAGTTTCTGTGGCGTGGGCGCAGGTCAAACCCGCGCACCGCGGTGATGCAGTGAGCTGTCTCAGATGTGCTCGGACATAGATTTTATCTCCCTATGATAGGTGAGTTGAGCAATGAGAAACATGCAAGGCAGGAAATTCGGTCAGTTTCTCGTAAGCTATGGACCCTGTTTGCCTCACCATACCCCAGTTCGCGGGGAGAATTCTGAGACATTGTTACATCCCCCGGTTGAATAACAAGCCTGCTCAGTTCAAAGTTCAAACCAGAAGAGGTCTAGCAAGTGCCATTTTTATCACTAGCTCATCCTCAAAAATATCCTCAAAGATACTGTTGGCGGTGTCTCAATAACCCCGCTGCGAGAGAAGACAGGCAGGTGACCAGTGTATACGAGACCGGCGACATTAGCCCATAAGCAGACCGAATGAGTTGAACCTTGATTTGGCCAAGAAATAGGATCCGCGAGTTACCAGAAAGAAAGAAGATTCTTACAAACTTCTTTGCTGTCGGTGAATCTGTCATGTGTAGAATCTTGATTCGGAAGTTTTTCATTAGAATTGACCATTTTTTCCATACGTGGGTTTATTCAAAGTTGGGATCGGGAAGTGGGCCGTAGCTGCAACCCTAGAAAGATGTACCTACTATGGCGGCGGATGCCGCTGAGGCTGTGAGTACCTCGGCTAGTAGTAGGTTATTCGCCTGGTCAGTGCTCAAGACGAAGAAGCCCATCGAAATTGGACCTGTGCGCATTTTTACATTTCCCATGGCTTTATTATGAAATTTTGTCGCAGGATGGGCAAGCCTCCCATGTCCAGTTCGAAAAAACCAACCACGCTTGCAACAACGTTTGCAGAGTCGGGCTCTCTACAAGGACCTTTTTCGTTTACATCAGAATGGACTCGCTGTTATGACACCCGTGCTGTCGGACATTAATTGAAGGCCGACGCACGTCTGCCTTCTAGCCAAGGACGCAATGCCGGAGATCGTGCGATATTTCTAAAAGCTTGTATTAAATCACCGACCAGAGTAATGCTGAATGGCCAGCAGCGAACCCTAGATATCGGTGCCTCTAAAAGCTGGAAACATGATTAAGCGTATAGTTGAGTATGTTCGCTAGATCTTCATTGATCGTAGCTAATGAAACCGTCCATATTCCCTAATCCAGATGAAAGCAAAGAGGTGAACTGCTCCCACCCTGAGTAATTAGGGAATGTAAGGGCAGGGATGTTACCATCTAGATCTATCGCGAGCTCTGCTAGGTCGAATGAGGCAGTGGAGCTTTGTTCTGTTGAATTAAATTGGCACTGAAACGGATTTTCGGCCCGCTGATCATCTATTGAAGAGGCCAACATGTCGTTTGAGTGTGCATGCTTAATTTGACGCAGGGCTTCGACACGAAGCTCCTCGAGTACTAAGCAATAGCGCTCCGATAGTGACCCCTTCTCAGCAATGGCTGCAATATGAGATTGGCAACGAGAGGCAGCCGAGAAGTATTTGGCGTAAAACTCTGACGGTGAAGTACATTGCTGTATCACATGAATATAGAGCATAATAGTGGCATTGAAAGCAAAGTAGGCCGTAATCTGAACTTTGATTAGCCGAGCTGTTAGAAACGCGCGCCACTGCTGACAAACCCAAAATGCTCGGAAGAGTTGTCGACTTTCTGTAATTTCACTGATTGTATTGACTGTATTCATTGCAGCGTCAATGCACTCTTTAAGATTTTTCCCCGTTTGAGCGCCCTCCTGTATGGCATTATCTCTGCCATTTTGCGAGAGTCGTGCAAGGGTTCTCAATACGAATGGTCTGTGGGTGAGAATTATTGCATGCCAATAGGTAAGATTGAGAACATTTCTTTGTCGCTGGAAGATAGAAATTAGAAAGGAGGTGCTATAGATGTCAACGTCTAAGAAGCGGCTCAGCTCGGAGCGCCATTGATGAAGGTCTTTTGAGATCTGTTCGACAGCACTTGCTCGGTCCGAGGCAGGGACAGGTTTTACCGAATACAGACTAGTCAATATTTTGCTAATAATCTGCGCAAGTCTAACCTGTGAGTAATGGGAAGAGACATAGGATTTTGGATGGAATCGCGCTTACTTCATATGTGCAATTGCAGCCAACATAGTCGATGAGCCCCTGCTCTGATTTAAAAAGTTATTGGTGTCCTCGTTCGTCAGATCTTCGTCCTCGATACATGCTGGTAGCTCGCTGTCGATGTCATTATCGTGGAATGTGCGAGGTCTTCCTAGTGCCGCACTCAGGTAGGCATCTAGTGTGTAGGCGCACCAAAAGGTCCGTCGACGACATTCTGACTCGATACGACCCAGCCCACTGACAGCATCAGGCGGCCTATTTCTATTGAGTCCAATAGCAAGTGCAAGGTGGGAGACTGTTCCGAACAGACTCCAACAGTGATTAATGCGAGATTGGGTGAGAAGGAAACAGCATTGAGTCAGTCTCGCTTGTACACTGGCCAGGCGTATGGAACCCCTTTCTCTGGATAAGTGATGGTCTGCTGCTAAAAAGTATCGTGTACTTCTGAGTCTCAGAATCATGATCCTATTATCGCTTTTAGATGATTATAAGAACTTACCTCAAATCGGGCGGACCGGGTCGGTCATTGTCTGGCATGTATACTCTTGCCTGGGCAAATACCATAAAAAGCAAAGCAATCTTTGCCGACGCGTTTTGCGTATCTTCCATTATACCGAGTGTATCATAGAACTCATCAAAATATGACTGAAGAGTAGGCCTGTGCAAGAACCGATAAGTAGGCATTGCAAACTCAAAATAACGATCAACAAGGCGCTGAGCGTCCGCTCTCGGCAGCATCATACAGAAGGATGGGTCAGATTCCGGAACCTGTAGAGGTGCATCGCCGAATGTAAATATGCTGCTAGCCTTCGAAATTGAAATAGCCTGTCGGAGACGTTTTTGGATCCTCAGAAGGAAAGATACACCTGACGCAGGGCCGATATATTGCCCCTGCATTTCCGGCTGATGTGGTTCTGGAGAATGCCGGGAAAATTCGTCTGCCGCTGGTGGGTTCTCTTCGCTATGAATACCCCGTGAATCGCTTGTAGATAGTTCTGTTCTTGGGAGGATAATAGGATAGCCCTGGCTCGAAGACAGAGAATTTGTGCTGGCCGCAAGTTGACCTGTTGAGAGAACAGTGCTGTTACCAGGATCGTGATCGAATGCAGAGATGATGGAAGGTAGCCGACCGCGGCAGTAGGCCGAAGCAAAAGTACATTTGTCTTTTGCGCGAACGCAGAATTCACATGGCTGTGTGCCATTGCACTTGATCTTTCTCCTGGGAGTAAATCTCGTCAGCTTGCCTGGAAGTTACCACCCGCGAGGATCCTCACCTTTTGCATCTGTCACAAGCCCTGGTTACCCTCACTCTTTCCCTATTTCGATTCCGTTTCTTTGGAGCGGGAGGTCCTTGTTTTGCCGTAAGACTTGGCGGCAGCTCTTGACGGAGGGTAGAAGCCATCAAGCCAGTAATGTCAGTTCAAGTTGTGGATCGTGCGGCGCATGTGCAGACGGAAAAGTCAGAGTGGGAAACGGAAGCTGAGAAGGAGTTGAAGATAATCTGAGAGGGAATCGCGAGTTTCTCGTTCCGGGGTCGATGGTGGAGATGCGGGGAGAAGGCCGACGTAGTCATTTTTCCGTGCCAAGAAGAAATCGAGGAGGGGGCATAAGTCGCATGAATATACTTTCTGGTATCCAGTAGATAGTTACATACTGATGCGAGAGTATGGATCTCGATTGGGACGGAACTTCGCATAGGGAATCTCATCCTTAGTTAGATTATATTTCTCCTAGGTAGTAGTATGTCATGGATTATAACCACACGGAAAAGGCCCCATGGTGGACACTTGAATACGGCCGGTGAAGCTTGGATTTTCCGCAGTTTATTGGGACGAAACTACCTCTATCGCATCCTGGCTGTAATATATATAAAAAGTTATCTAGATTCAAGTTTGGAAATCATCTTCCAGGGTTTTCAATTTTAAACCGTGCTAAATATTTTTGTTGCCCACACGCTCCCCACATCGCCTATTTCTTCGTGAATACCAGTCACCATGGCCACTGCGGTCTCCAAACGCCTCCACGGGAAAACTATATTGATAACTGGAGCTTCTTCTGGAATTGGCCGCTCTACCGCATTCGAATTTGCTCGCAACTCTCCTAAAGAGCTAAAGTTGATATTGACTGCGCGGCGGATTGACTGTCTATGTGAGATAGCCGCTGAAATCATCAAGGAGATCGGCGCTGGTGTCAAAGTACTACCTGTCCAGCTTGATGTTAGCAATCCAGATGACGTGCGCACTTTGGTAGGAAGGTTACCTGCCGAGTTCAAAGAGGTCGATGTTCTGGTCAACAATGCGTTAGTTTTACCCCAGAAGAAAATGGAATTGAGAAATACATAGTAGCCGGTTCCTGGCAAAATTAGTTACTGATATTTTATATTGTCCCGTGCAGAGGTCTCGTGAGAGGTGTGGCAAAGGCACCGGAAATTTTGGAGGAAGACATTAACGTTATGTTCGCGACAAATGTGAATGGTCTAATCAACATGACGCAGGCTATTTTACCTGGCATGTTGAAGCGAAACAATGGCGCTGGGGCCGGTGACATTATAAATATTGGCTCTATTGCTGGTCGCGAACCCTACGTTGGTGGGGGAATATACTGCGCGACCAAAGCTGCTGTTCGTTCGTTTACCAAAAGCATGCGTAAGGAGCTTATTTCAACTCGGATTCGCATCATTTGCATAGATCCTGGTCAAGTCGAAACCGATTTCTCTGTGGTGCGTTTCTATGGCGACAAGGAAAAGGCGAACGCTGTTTATACGCAAGTCCCTCCAAACCACCTAGAAAAAGCCCATATTCTTGCGCTAACTGCTTTGTAGAGGCTGCGAGCCCTTGACACCGCACGACATTGCGGAGGCTATCGTGTTTGCCAGTGGGAGAAGAGAAAACGTCGTGATAGCTGATACTCTAATTTTCCCAAACCATCAAGCAAGTGCAACTATTATGCACCGTAATTCTACTTAATGGTACTGGAGCATTAGTTAACCGGAATGTCTCAAACCTTGGAACCCGATTCACATAAGAACTCTGGATTAATATAGAGAACTACCCTAACGATTGCAACCTTGGACACTTGCTTCTCGAAAAGTAATGCTCCACCACTACTGTAGTAAATAACCTTCCAAGGCCCTAGGGGCTCATCTGCCTAGGTGAGTAGTGGGAGTGTGTTTTCACCACTGCCAGTGGCAGCTCCAAGTTTTTTACTATGAAATATATATAGTACTAGGTAAACTAATTCGAAGCACTCCCACTGGCAGCGATTCTCGCAATGTGTGCCACCTGCGCAGTGGGCACCTTGAGCCCCCTCAAAGGTCGCAAATAACTTGCATCAATTCCATGCCTAGGTACCTACTTGAACTTGAATCTAGGAAGAGCCTTAGAGTACTCCCTAAGCCCCATCCAGTAAGTAGCATAAGATTGGCATATCCGCCGGAAATGCATCATGCATATCCGCCAAGTGGCACTGGTGAAGCGGGGAGAAGAGTGACTGCGAGCCATTGTTTGTTGTGGCCACTCCTTGTCTTTAAAGAGTTTCCACGAGAATATCCCCTGAAGTTATTCTCTATATTCTGCGTTTACTATCACGAGGAGAGTTTCACGTAGCTGGAAACAAGCTAGAGAACGAGGCGACCGGCAAATGAAAGGTGATGCGCCAAGAAGAAAAGCGACGTGGATGCGTAGAACTCGTCCCGCACGGATAAATACCTGGGAAAGCTCCACAGGAAATTGACTTAAGTATGTTGAACATCCCATCGAATGGGTATTCATAGTATTCTCTTAGAAGTGAAACTTGAAGACAATACCCCCTCCTGATACCATGTCTCCTGCCAAAGTTCCGCCCAGCGGAGTCTGGGCTCCAACAATCACTTTCTTTGACCATAGTACCGACAGCATCGATACGATATCTCAAGCCAAATATTACAGATACCTATCCAAATCTGGACTTGCTGGATTGGTGGTGTTGGGCACAAATTCCGAAACATTTTTGTTGACGCGCGAGGAACGCAAAACATTGCTCACGGTCGCGCGAGAAGCATGTGGACCTGCATACCCGATTATGGCTGGTGTTGGCGGCCACTCTACCAAACAGGTTCTCGAATTCATCAGCGATGCAGCAGATGCAGGCGCCAATTATATCCTCGTTCTGCCTCCGGCTTATTTCGGAAAACAGACCACCCCGGCAGTTGTTAACAACTTCTTTGATGATGTCGCCGCGACTAGCCCCTTGCCAATCGTTATATATAATTTTCCAGCTGTCTGTAATGGAATTGATCTGGACTCTGCGACGATTGCAAGACTGGCAAAGAAGCATGATAATATCGTTGGTGTGAAGTTAACATGCGGCGCGGTCGCAAAGATTACTCGACTTGCAGCCGAGTTTTCCCCAGACAGGTTCGCGACATTTGGTGGACAGTCGGACTTTTTGATCGGTGGACTGGCTGCTGGATCTGCGGGAACTATCGCCGGTTTCGCGAATGTCTTTCCCAAGACAATAGTCAACATCTACAGCCTGTATCAACAGGGAAAACTGAAGGAGGCCATGGAGCTGCATAAACAGGCAGCTCTCGCGGAGCAGCCATGCAAGACTGGAATTTCGTCTGTAAAGTATGCTGCCGCGCTAAACACAGCGGTCGCTGCGGGGATTGAAGGGGCGTTGGAAAAACTGAAGCCACGCCGTCCCTACGTGGAGCCCTCCGAGGCAGAGAAGCAAGCTATAGAATCACAGACGGCAACCCTAGTAGGGATTGAAGCGAGCCTTGAATAGTGAATTTCTTTCGTTTATTAATTCAGGGTCAAATGTAGAGACCAAAATTTAACTACTACCAAAAAAAGAAGGCAAAAAAAAGGCAAAATCACGAACATACGTAAAACCACAGTAGGGGTTGTTAAACTTGAGAATACCTGGACTCCTTTCAAATAAAACAAAATAAGTGTTGAGGAATAGTTAAATAAAAGCGCGAACGGTTGGAATGAGTAAACGACCTCCACCTATTATGTTATTGAAACCCAGTCAACTACTAAACTATCTACAAAGTGTACTTGAAGAGCGGAGACCTATCTCCCAGGTCGAACAACTCTTCTTCCGTATACTTGGCTCGTGCATCATCAATGAGCTTCGCCTTTCGTGAATTGCCCACCTTGTAGCTCCACTCAAGGAGTAGAACCACGAATATGCCAACACCAGCTAGTGCGAGACTGAGACCAAACCCAGTTTGATACTTGGGTTTCTCCTTCTCCATGTACATGAAGCTGCCCAATATACCTCCGATATTACCGACGCAATTCATAAGAGCAATTCCGATAGCCCGACGCGAAGATGGAGCGATATTGTTCGCGTTCCAAGACGCGGCTGCAGATTGGATAGGATAAATTCCAACGACGGCTAGAACAACAGCAAAGTAGGCGACACCCTTTTTTTCTTGCAGGGCCCCATCGAGCGAAAATATAACCGAGTAAGCAATCACGCAAATAAGCATAGGAATGGCTACAAACGGCATTCGCCAGTAAAAGCGATCGGAGAGACGGGCAAATACAATGGCGGATATCGCGGCAGCGACATAGGGGGGTGCAGAGGTGAGCTGGGCATTAGTATCGCTAAACCCCATTGCCTTGGTGATTGTCGGAAGCGTGAATTTGGTGCCTATGGATAAATAAGTCAGTCCGAATCAAGCATATAGTATGTTATCTTGTGCTGTTTTACCATATGATAGTGCTGATTGGCAGAATAGAGAATAGGCCTGCACATATACTCTCCAATTTGTGAGAACCATCTTCAAGTCTCTAATTTTGAAAGAGGTTTCCTCGACACTGGTTCCGCCTTGCTTGATGAACATCGAAAGTTCGAGGTACCGAATCTCGTTGGGGGATAGCCATCGTGAAGAGAACGACGGTGTGTCGATCAGAAGAAAAAGGCATGCGACCCCTAGAATGACACTAGCGAGGCCCTCCAAAATAAAGATCCATCTCCAACCTTCAAGACCGCCCACTCCATCCATCTGAGCAATGGCGGCAGCCAAGAGGCCGGAAAAGGCACCAGAAAGCGCACTAGCACAGTAAAAGTAGGATATACGCAGGGCTAATTCCTTGGGCATATACCAATAAGAGCAAAGATAGATAGCACCGGGAAAGAAACCGGCCCTTTTATAAAGCGTGTTAGAAATCGAACCGAGGAAGGGATGACGGATATTCAACTCACTCGAAAACACCGAGCAAGACTCGAGTAACCATGAGACCTGCAAAGTTTTTCACCAGGCCAGTACAGGTCATGACAATACCCCATGAAAGCACAAGAATTCCAAGATAGGTAGAGGGACGTTTGAACTTCTTCAACAGGATGTTACTGGGAACCTCCAGCAGGACATACGGAATGAAGACTGTGAATTCGAGAATTAGAAGCCTGCTTGAATATTGCGGTAAAAAGTGAAATGGACTCAATCCTCACATATAGAAAGAACTGTATTATACTGAACCCCACTCATGCCCAAGTCCTCGACCATTCCTTCGATCTTGGCATTGCCAATATTGGCGCGATCAATGTGACTTATTAGATATAGCAACGCCAGCATAGGTACTAGCCGCATATCGACTTTGCGAAAGACTTTCTTTCGCTTTTCCTCGGAATAGTTGGAGAAGAAATCAGCATCCTCCGGGGTGAGACCGACGACACGAAAGTGGCCGATTTCTGTGACATGGGCGGCTTTTGGAATGGCCTCGATGTGAGAAGGCCGATCCGCGATTTCGACATCGTCCTTGGTTATGGAACGAGAAGTCATCTTAACTCTTCCAAGGTTTGCAAGTGAAGCAGTGGATACTAGGTGAAACCCCCTCAAGTGGAGAGAGAAGACACTGCAGAGATGGATAGCTCCTGATCCGTCTTCATTTGGGGGTGGGGGATATATACCAGAAGATCATTTCGGATATCCCTCCTTGGCGACCGCATACTAACATACTAGTATCTCCGGATCATTGACAGAAATTTGCCATGAACTGACCTTGGCATTCGGTACGACCCCAGTACCCCAGCCTTGGCAACCACGTTTGTAACGGGTCACTGGCTTGAAAACGCGGAGGCTGGCAGGCAAGCTTATCCAGAAGTGAAGGCGAGATCCGAAGATCTATTCTTTTCCGGCACATGCCCCCTTTAGCTCACCCTGCGTGCCTTGGTGATACGGATAATCGTCCAATCGCAGCCCTGTACGTGCGGCTGACATCCCCCGTGAGTGCGGATAACTCTACTCGGACCACTGGGTGGAAGCTGAAGCTTTAGTGAAATTTGCGGGGTAGAACAAAGTCAATTATTTTATCCGATCCACCGAAGAAGCTTCTCCGGGGTGTTTGCCGGAAATCTGGGAAAAGCTGTTGGTTGGCTTGCGCTTTTATGCTTGCTTCAATAAGCTGTTAGGATAAATAGAACAGTTTTCAAATTGACGATTCTAGGAATCTTGAGTATTCAATCGATTTCAGATAAAGAAGACAAGCAAGATGCCCCAAGGCTCGACGATAAGGACGATTACCATCACGCCAGTGGCGTTTCACGACATGCCTCTGCTAAATAGTGTTGGTGTTCACGAACCCTTTGCCCTGCGCAGCATTATGGAGATTGTGACAGACGACAGCTATGGGCTTGGTGAATCCTATGGCGACATGGCTCATTTGGCACGTCTGAAAAATGCAGCACATAGTATGGAGGGTATATCCGTATACGATACAAATATGATCTATAAGATATGTGAAAACTCCCTGGAAGGTGACAACGCGACCGGTGGAGATGGTATGGCGGGCATGGTCACAACGGCATCTGTAACCGACAAAGTCTTCTCACCCTTTGAGGTTGCGTGTTTAGATATACAAGGAAAGATCGCAGGACTTCCTGTGAGTGAGATTCTTGGTGGCCGCGTGAGAAATAACGTGCAATACTCTGCATATCTCTTCTACAAATGGGCCAGTCATCCCGGTCAACCAGAGGATAAATATGGAGAAGCCTTGGATCCGGTAGGAATTGTCCGACAAGCGCAGAAAATCATCAATAAATATGGTTTTAAAGCCATCAAATTGAAAGGCGGCGTATTTCCGCCAGCAGAGGAAGTTAAAGCCGTCAAGGCACTTCATACTGCATTCCCAGAAATACCGCTACGACTGGATCCTAATGCCGCATGGACTGTGGAAACATCGAAATGGGTGGCCAGTCAGTTGGAAGGTATCGTTGAGTATCTCGAGGATCCCGCTCCTGAAATCGAGGGAATGGCAGCGGTCGCAAAAGAGGCTTCGATGCCCCTGGCAACGAATATGGCGGTTGTCGCCTTTTCACATCTCCCTCCTTCGGTCGCGCAAGATGCTGTTCAGGTCATTCTCTCTGATCATCATTTCTGGGGTGGGCTACGAAAGTCGCAAACCTTGGCCGCCATTTGTAGTATATGGAAGATGCGACTTTCCATGCATTCCAACAGTCACTTGGGTATATCACTCGCTGCCATGACTCATTTGGCCGCCGCGACTCCGAATCTGGACTATGCTTGCGATACACATTGGCCATGGAAACGTGATGGAGAGGACGTCATTGTCGAGGGTGCCCTTAAATGGCACGATGGAGGAGTCGCTGTTCCAACTGCGCCTGGGCTGGGAGTCGAACTCGATAGAGAAAAGCTCGCACTTCTTCATCAACAGTATCTTGAGTGCGGGATGACCAAGAGAGATGACACTACTTATATGAGAAAGTTTCGACCTGAATTTTCACCACATATACCCAGATGGTGAGCTGATATAGATGATCGAATGTTCATAGCAGTTGCTAGTTTAGACAAACAGAGGCCAAAGTTAGAATGGATGACAATGTATCCCGAACTTATTCCAACTGTGCTTTCTATCGCCTTGTAGACTGGGAAGCGTCCAAGGCTTCCGTTTCAATACACAGTAATTACGTATGGTAAAAGGAATATGCAGATGCAGATGCAGATGTAAATGCAGACGCAGATGCTGGTGCCCAAGCATGCGACAGTGCGGAGCTGGATGACTATACAGCGTAATACCCCGCTCTTTAGTAAAGCGAGGGGTAAACTATCCAGGTTTAAGCTAGACCCCGAGAGAATTGTTGGGGGAGCTCTCATTTCCCCGCAATCTACTGGTCTCTGTTGCTTTGGAAAATTTACTGCGCAAATGAAATTTGCCTCACCTCCAAGCAGCGACGAAACCAAGATCACATTCTTGTCCTTTCATTCCAACACCCCCGGGTCCTGATATACAAAGAAATAAGCATAGGTTCTAACCAGAATGACTCAACACTCAACACAGGTGAGTGTACTAGGTACTTCATCGAGCTCCTTCCCAAGCTCTCACGCGAAAATTGCCAAACCCAAGGATACGCCCTACTTTGTCGACAATGAGTTCCGTCTCTCAGCGACGACAGAATTCATCGACGTGCATGACCCTGCTACCAATGAGCTTGTTTCGAAAGTTCCCAAGATGACCGAATCAGAACTAGAGGAAGTGCTCCAAGCCGCAGGAACAGCATTTCCAGCGTGGAAGGGGATGTCTACAATTGCCAGACAGCAAATCATGTTCCGCTTTGTTAATCTTATTCGGGAGCACTGGGACCGTCTTGCTGCCGTGATAACATTGGAGCAAGGTAAAACGCTGGCAGACTCCAAAGGAGATGTTTTGCGAGGCTTGCAGGTAGCCGAGGCCGCATGCGCTGGACCTGAATACATGAAAGGGGAAGTCCTAGAAGTCGCCAAGGATATGGAGACCAGGACTTACCGCGAGCCACTGGGTGTTGTTAGTGTCATCTGCCCATTTAGTAAGATTTTACCCGGCAAGTTTTGATATACGACGACTGATGAATCAGACTTTCCTGCTATGATTCCACTTTGGTGCATTCCAATTGCGACTATAACAGGCAATACTGTTGTTCTCAAACCGTCAGAGCGAGCGCCTGGGGCAGCTATGATTTTGATGGAATTGGCAGAGAAGGCTGGCTTTCCTAAAGGAGTGATCAATGTTGTGCACGGGGCACATGACACCGTCAACTATCTGCTTGATGCCCCTTTAATCAAGGCCATCAGCTTTGTTGGGAGCAACCAAGCCGGGGAATACATATTTGAGAAAGGAACTGCCAGTGGGAAGAGAGTGCAGGCAAACCTCGGAGCGAAGAATCACGCTGTTGTTTTACCCGATTCCGATAAAGACTCGACCTTGGAGGCTATCACGGCTGCAGCATTCGGTGCAGCTGGCCAGCGCTGTATGGCACTATCGGCACTGGTACTTGTCGGTGAAGCAAAAGACTGGCTCCAAGAACTGGTTGAGCGAGCCAAGGGCCTCCGCGTGGATGGAGGATTCGAGCGCGATGCCGATCTTGGTCCAGTCGTGACGCCGCAAAGTAAGCTCAGAATAAACAAGCTTGTGGCAAGTGCCGAGAGCGAAGGGGCTACCATCCTCCTGGACGGGCGAGGATTTCAACACAAAAAGTATACTAACGGCAATTGGGTCGCCCCAACAATAATCTGTGACGTCAATCCCACCATGCAGTGCTACAAAGAAGAGATTTTCGGACCGGTGCTTGTCTGCCTTCAGGCAAACTCACTCGACGATGCTATTAGTTTGGTAAACGCAAATCCTTATGGGAATGGCACGGCGATATTTACGTCTTCGGGGGTGTCTGCTGAGAGGTTTCGGAAGAACATAGAGGCTGGCCAAGTCGGTGTCAATGTTCCCATTCCAGTCCCTCTCCCGATGTTCTCGTTTACCGGGAATAAACGAAGTGTTGCTGGTGGCGGTGCGAATACATTCTATGGTAAGCCTGGTGTCAGTTTCTATACGCAATTGAAGACTGTAACATCAAAGTGGGCTGGGCGAGACAGCGAACCTGGAAAAATGACGCTTTCGATGCCTACAACTAGCTGAATATCTGTCAACTACTCGTGTCGGATATAAGTAATGTAGCAGAATTAAGTTTTAACTTGTGGAATCCTGACATTTGATGATTTTCTGTCCCAAAACCCCTCCGGTTCTAGGCAATTTTGAGGGGGGTGTGTATCGACTTAATGTTTTAAAATTATTTTGTCACTTTCGCGACATGTGGGATCTGAATATCAAATCCCGATCCACGATAGAGGCTGGAGATTTGATTTATTTCAATGGTGACATATGGACACTATTCCGGAAAATAATCAAGTCAACCAAGACCGAAGAGTCCCCTAAGCGGATTGTAATGATTGAAAGGTTGTCAGCGTTTCAAGAACAAGATGTAACTTTAGATCCGAGATACAGCCATGGGTCATCTTGTCATTCCAGTTCAAGATTCTATAAACCCAGGTGGTCAATCTACAATATGATACCACTTCAAACCTTTCAAGTTGGAAGGTACTAGTTACTACCAGTACTACTAAGGCAAAAGAAGGTATTTTCGCCCGGACCCATTTTCTAGACCAGGATAGTGTTACCGGAGTATTGATCAAAGCATGCCAATTTCTTGGGACACCCGTGGACAACTTGCTCACAAGGTACCGGGATTATTTCCTGGTTCCTAACTATGGTGTCGCAAAAGAGAGAAAATTAAAGCGGTGTAGAGTCTATTATACTCTGTCCTTGGATGGCTCGATAAGCTGGGGATAAATTGCACATATAGGGACACGATAGTTCTTGAAATCTGATTTTCATTGTGTAGTGATATTTCTAGATACCATCGAATGTCCTAGAACCAAGAAAATTGTATGAATTCATGACGTCGGAAAGAATTAACAACCAGCTTGGGGGCATCTGACCAAAGAAATTCCATGCAATGACAATAAGTAGGCGACGGAAACGAGGTTTCTAATAGATACCAGGTTCATGTCTTAGAACAGAGTCCCATCTCCCTGTATCACAATTGGACTTGATTTAGTTTCAGGACGATACTTTGCTGCCAGCTCTCTACCCCCCTTCCAAGTTCCAGCTTCTAGCATTTGTGCCATGCTGATTCGAACACCTTGTAGTGCAAAGCGATCAGCGATCAGTTTATGAAGAGTGTCGAGCAAAGCAACAGTCATTGAGCGCCACTCCACAATCACGTCACTGGTCGCATCGAAGCTCGGGGTTTCTTGCTTGGAATTTTTCTGGCCTTCCTTCAAGACGTTCTCTTTCAGCCGTAATACACCTAGATCGACAAATAAGCCCCCATTACGGTATTCTGGAAGTCCGGTTCCCTGGTCAATGTTGTCCCAGTCTAACCCCAAAACCCGTATGAAAGGAACCGATAGAGAATAGGCAAGCCATTGTGTCAGTTTGTGGAAAGGCTGAATATTCAAGGCGCCATTTTGAGCTTGCCGATCAGAATTCAGTCTCTCTAGCGTTTGAAGAGGCCATGCATCTCCGATAGGCACGCCTGAAACGTGGGTTCGGTTTTTGGGCCAGGCAGGGAGAAGGGTCTTTTGTAGGACCGACCACAAAACTTCGTAGTTGAGATTTTCCCCGTTCTTTCTATTTGCCAACAAGTAATCTAAATCAAATGATAAGTATACAGAGCCACTGCCCAGAAGGTGGAAGCTTACCAACGATATTTCCAGGTCGGCCCTTATCCCCGAAAATCTCAGGCAGATTCAACAGTGAATGTCCGACGCTTTGCAGAAGACTGACACGAGAAATGTCGCTGATTATCTCATTGTTAGCGGTTATTTGAAAGTTCTTTCTGAACTCTGCAATATCAAGTGAAACGAGACCACGGCCTGTGTAAAACTTGTCAGCTTCTTCAATGTCTAAGTAGAAGATTTCTCACTTGCCGTCGACTGCTTCGTTCTTGTTCGCGCCTCCCCCACCGGCACCACCATCCGAGAATGCGCCAGCCTTGAACATATATAAAGCTGCGACTGCGATGCCCTCACTCCGCCCATATTCGTTCCCAGTGTCAGGCTCAGTAAATTTCCAGACATCACCGGCCCCGGCATCGAGAAGCACAGCAACAAAGAATAGATCGATGAGGCGTCGAGTGATTTCTGTCTCGTCATCACCAACTGATTGCCATCCCTTGATGAGTTTTTCCACTCGCGGAACGCCTCCAATTTCGAAGTGCTGCCATCGGCCGTGGGAGGAATCTCTTGGAATCGATTGGGACCAAAGTCTCTCTAGATATTCTTGGTCAGATCACGCCAGCTGCAATTGCCAAGCTCAGTACGCACATTAATGATACCCGCTACAAAATCTGCCACACCAGGCATCAAGTCCGGCAAATATGAGAAGTGTGTCAGATTATCCTGTGCGGCGGCTTCCAAGACAAGATGAGCTCTTTCGCGAACGGCTTTCAGCCCTTTAAGATACTCAATTTCCGCCATATTTTCTTTACCCCCGAACACTTGCTTGGCAGCTAGAAGGCGGTATTAGGTATTGATGGGAGGATACTTTGCTAGCTAGTGAAAGCAATTATAAGTGGAAGAGCCTTGGAATAATGAGAGGCGGAATATATAGCTACTCTGTCTCGCACAGAGCTGTCGTCGCGGTGTTCCAGCGGCCGCCCCCGCCCAGTGGGGTTGCATCGCCTGGTCCCGCAGGAGAGGGGGTTTCTCAGAACAAACTGCCAAGACTGGGTGATAAATCGTATCAGTAAAGCAATACACATTGAAAGATAGATCGGTACACTCTAACCGGTTTCGTGTCTGACTTGGGCTCCCAGCTAACCACTCTGGGTAAGACATGTTAGCCACGGTGTAGCTTATCGTGCCCACCTAGCCATCAGCCATGATGGTGAGGAGGAGTTCGGTACGATAACCATCAACTAGCATATTTTCGGATTCGTAATTCCTAGTCAAATAGACAGAAATGACCAATTCATGGACTAGACCGATTGCATTGGCTCGATAACCGCCTGAGGGGTAGCCCCACTCCCTCCCGGATTGGACCGGAAAACACCCTTGACAATACTCTGGCGTTTTTTTTTTACCGCTACTCACGAAGGCCGCAGGGCGAGCTGAATTTATTTAGGATCGACCACATGCTCGCCAAGCCCGACTGAATCTTTTAATCGGAAATTTCTCGAACTATTTTGATCCAACTTCCAATATATCAGAAGCATCTGTAATCCCGTCAGCTTGAAGGTTCAAGACGTTCAGGCTTACTGCAAGACTCAAAAAGGAATATCAAAATGTCGAGTGTTTATTACCTGTGGGTCGCTGGTAAATCCCAACCCGGGAAAGAGGACCTGTATGCCTTCTAGTGTTTTGGCTTGAAAAGTGCAACAGAGCTCTAACCTTGATGAAGAATCCCTATCGAGGATCCAGCTACCGGAGAGATCTTCGCCGAGTTAGAATCCCTCTCCCTCGTGCCCCTCCAAAAGAGCCTTCTCTCACAGTTGGCAGATGTCATGCAGCATCCGAGGAAGATGTCGACAACGCAGTCCATATTGCACACTCGGCATACAAATCTGGCATATGGTCACGGGCATCTCGTCACAAACGGGCGGATGTACTCGAAAATTGCGCTGGCTATCTCAAAGAAGCATTGCCAGAATTGATCGATCTTGAGGTGAAACAAACCGGTCGCGTGGTACGTGAGATGAAAGCCCAGGTTCCGTCGCTCGTGCGATGGTTTCAATACTATGCCTCGTTGTTACGGGTGGAAGAGCGTTCCGTTCTTCCAACTACTGGCAAGCTTCACAACTTCACGGAAAGACTACCCCTGGGTGTTGTAGTGCAGATCACCTCATTCAATCACCCTCTCCTGATTGCAGTGAAGAAACTAGCACCTGCTCTAGCAGCTGGGAATAGTGTAATAACCAAGCCGAGTGAGCTCACCCCCCCTGACTACTCTTCTTTTAGGCAGAATCCTTCAGCGGGCAGGGATTCCAGATGGAGTTTTCAACGTTCTGCCTGGGTTTGGATCAAAAACAGGGAGATTCTTGGTTTCGCACCCACTGGTGCGTAAAGTGGATGTGACTGGAAGCACCGATGCGGGGAAAGCGATTGGAGCACTGGTGGGAGGCAATCTGTGTCGATATACAGCCGAGCTGGGAGGCAAGGCCCCACTCCTAATCTTCCATGACGCCGATATCGATGTCGCAGTCAATGGAATTGCATTTGGAAGTTATATTGCCAGCGGACAAACATGTGTGGCAAGCACAAGGATCCTTGTTGACAACAAAATTCTGGATCAGGTGTTACAGAAATTGAAGACAAAGGTCGTGAGCATTACTGCTCAAATAGGGTCTCCTACCAATATTGACTCGATGATGGGCCCGCTTATATCTGAAAAACAAATGATCAAAGTCCAAGAATTGGTTGATGATGCTGTTGAGAATGGAGCTGCAATCCCTCTCACTGGGGGCAAACGTCTACTTGGAAAAAGCTCCCTGGATAGATCCAACTTTTCGAAGGGATATTTCTTCGAGCCAACTGTCCTAGTGCCAGGAAGAAAAGATTTGACTGCATCATCTATTTGGCGCCGTGAAGCATTTGGCCCTGTTATTGTTGTGCTTGGCTTTGATACGGAGGACCAGGCCGTTGAATTAGCCAACGATACAGAGTTTGGCCTGGGGGCAGGTATCTGGACCGAGGACCTTTCGCGAGCTTTTCGAATATCTGAACTGATCGAGGCCGGAATCGTCTGGGTCAATACTCATCATCGAAACGACCCCAGTAGCCCATGGGGAGGTGCAAGGTCAGCCAGTGGAGTTGGCAGTGAAAATGGAGTCGATGCTTACCATGATTATACTTCGACCAAGAGCACAATTATAAACTTCGCTCGGCCAGAGGAATCGTTGGATATGGATGACTGGTTTGGAAAATCCTCCAAAAATGTCCGGTACGGGTAGATCATCCAGAAACCTCAAGGGGACCGGTCAATATAAGCAAGTAGCTGGCATGGGAACGGTTCTGCTTGGGGAACATTAGTATCTTCCGGGGTTATTCACGACTAGTAAATTGTCCGGAATCTTACACATTGGAACAAGTCGCCCCGTAGTCCCCTTCATCGCAAATCAATAATACCTCCGGTTACTATTTCCACTTGAGAAGAGAGAGCTCCAAGGTTTAGAGAAGAAGATGATAAAGTTTTAGTTAGCCCCGTATAAAATCCGATCGTAAAGAACGGGCCTCTATGTGTCTCTAATCTAGCGCGAATAAATCTACCGTTGCCAGAAAGTAAACAACCAAAATGAGGCCCAAATGTAGAAAAACAAAAATGGAGAATCATAAGGAGATGAGGCCCCGGAAAACTGGATTCGTTTGTCCGAGAATGTAAGGCCATATCTGTCTTGACCATAGGTAGCATTTAATGTTACCGGGGCTGAGATGGAACCATCTTCTAACCGAATCCAAGTTCGAACCTGATTTTCCAAATCGGTTTGGTTGATTAGTATTTGTCGGGCGCCACGAGCCACATCACTGTATCCCCCATATCCCGTATGTCGGCCATAGCACATGTTCAAGCCCGTGCCGGTAATATTCTGATCGACAGTGTTATTGTCCCATTTGAAGCACCTAAAGAAATTAGTCAATTACGGAATTCACCGAATGTTCGAAGTAATATTTACCAATCGTTTTCATGGTCATGTCCACTAAATGTTGCCAACAATCCAGTGGTATTAAGAAGAGCGTTCATGAATCTGGAGTCTTGGCCGATATATTGAGTATCGCCAGAGCCTTGCGATACTACCGTCTCTCCATTGATCCCAGGTGTCCTTTTCCTACTCACACCCTTGTCCTGGTATTCGAACATCGCATGGGCGGGGATGTGGTAAAATGCAAGGGACGGAATGGAACAGCCAAATTCGGATGTTAAATTGGCGTTTTTCTGAACAAACCATTCCACCACCTTGGAGTATGTTAGTCTTTAAGTAGACATTTCATTGAGAAGAATAGTCTTACTGATTCATCAACCCAATCTTCTCGCACGCCGGGAGTCATGCTGGAGTCCCGCTTGGTTGCGTTACGCCCACCACGAGAATCGAAGAACCACAGAAGAAGTGCAGGAGGGCCACTAATGTTATCGTGGGGGTAAACCATGAGGTAATAATTTGTGATTCCAGCCTGGGTTCCCGAAATATCGCTTCTTGTTAAACTTGTTGGATATTGGTTTTCTTGATCAAAAATGTCCTTTGATGGATCCAAGTTGTCTTGGCAGTCGTGATTCCCGTAAGTTGAAGCCCAAGGCTGGTTTATTTCGACCAAAGGTGATACGACTTCATGAACGTAGTCACTGGAGCCAGAGCCTTGAATGGCATCTCCAGATATGAGGTCTCCATTAAGAACTACTAGTTGAGCTTCTTCATCGGAGAGAATGGACCTCATGACTTGCTTTGTCATAGCATCGTCAGTAGCATCTGTATCGACTTTAGCATACTCTCGACGAATGCTCAGGAACGATTCAATACTTACTTTCTGCAAAGTGCAAGTCCTCGAAGATAGAGATTTGAAATGTACCATTCTCGGAGAATTGGAGTGATCGGGCGTCAAGTCGGCGTATAGATGGACGTCTCATCCTATACTGGGATGAAGCTATAGCTGCTATTCTGGGGTTGGAGACAATTTGTAGGGACGTGCATGGGCGACCGCTGGGATTTGTAGCGCAGCGGTACCCATCAACTTTATCCCACTCCATCCCCGACAGTTTGATCCATTGAAGTCACTCACGTCATGAAATCTGGCCGCCTAGCCCTTACAAATTGCTGAGTGGACTGAATGGACGAAAACAGGTAAACCGATTGACGCCAAGAGCCATTGCCAAGCCAGTCGGTCATCGACTTTGGAGATACCGGAGATAATGTACCGATGATGACCCGCCGGTTCCCGCGATCGCCGTCGGACCGAAATTTAAGAAACCTAACTGCCCTGCGATCCTACTTCAATTATTGGATCAATTGACACAAGCTTGAATGGGTGGTCATCATTCCGAATTGTTTCATAACTCCGCTATCCTTGCCGCGATCTCCGGGGCTCGACTGTCGCACTAAAAGGTTGGCAAGTCGGTATTCGATCTTGGCAGCAACGTAGCCCTGGTACTCATGCATGTGGCTTTGCGTGGCGAGACAAACGCGGCATTTGAAAAAAAAAGAGATTCCCCGAAAATATCCTCAAAGGGCGTGGCTGAGCTCAACGCCAGGGAATGAAGCAGGCACAAAGACGATGACTTTTGCAAGGTACAAACATCACGTTTTTGGCTTTTCCGAATCTTTGGATCATACGAAATTCAGAAATAAAATTACCTAATCACGAATACCATTTAACCATCTATCAAGCAGGGCAGTCTGAAAGAAGTTTCAAATCAGCCGAAAAGTGGCTGGCACACAAAGGTATAGGGCAAGGAGGGGAAGATCAGAAGGGAAGGCTGATCGGCAATGAGGAAATTGAAGGGGTGGGAGTATCAAAAAATGGAGAGCTGCATGCAGTGGGAGAACCTTGCTCCGGAAAGGTTTCAATCTCGCAGCTTCGCATCACATGATGATAACCTATGGAACATACCTCTTTCTAAACGGCCTATTTGATAGTAAAATACATAATTTTAGTTTCAAAACATCCATCTTCACTAAATATTTGAGACTAAATCTGTTTCAAGGTTTCGCGTAAGGCTAGTTCCATTTTCTAGGGCTTGCGAGCCGCAGTCGGATTCACTAGCTTTTAAACCTATCGGGGCTGTGGCTCACTGTATACTTTGCTGTTACCGTGTGGTCCACTCCAAGCGCATTGAGATCGAGCGGATCGCCCAATTGTTTGGACTGCTGCGGGATGGTTTCTTCGGTGCCCTCGGCTCTTCGGTGACGGGGAACAAAGATGTTGTAATACCGGGGTAAAATAACACCCAGCAAAATTAAAAGCAGACACAGGTGTGCTAAAATAAACCCAGCAATCATCATCGGATCATATCGAAGAGTGTAGAATTCTGGATATGCGAAGCTGAAGACAATGGCCAAAATAGGCGCACTGGCATATCGCAGTAGTGGGGGCCAGAGACGAGGGATATTCCAGTTGCCATTCCCGCCAACCACGTCATTCAGATCACGCCTCAATTGGTTTCCCTGCATGCGTTAGTTCATCTGAGATTGAAGTGGTGAGCAGTGGGACCTACCGAATATAAGGCCATATACCAGAGTCGACTGGTTATAGAGTTTCGACCCCAGAAACCGGGAGCTTTGATCCCCGGCGTCGTGGATACAAGAACCGAAAGAATAGAACAGACAATAAAAAACCCAAATCCCGCGCCAGCCCCAGCTGATGGATTTGAGATGCCATGTGCAACAGCGACACCGATTACCTGGGCACCAAAATATCCAGTGTTGTAGGTGGCAAAGGCCATGAGCCCTGTTTGATCAACAACATCGCGCCAGCGGTAGGCTGTAGTTGCACCGACAAGCTCTGACCAGACAACAAATATCAAAGCAACGTTGTTGATCCATCGATCAATCCCATCTAGTAGATAGAATCCAAATTCGGTACAATACGGTAAGCACATAAGAAATGAAACCACAGTCAGTACAGTCACAATCGTCGGTCGAGAAAGTTTCATTCCCGCATCGACGGCTAGTGTAGCTGCAGCATCTAGCATCACGAATGCCGAGCTGAAACCAAGTACCACCAGTGTGAAGAACAGAAGAATAGCCCACCAGTTAGAGCCAGGCATATGGAGAACAGCCTCTGGTAGCGTCAAGAAACCCACGACAAACGCGCCAAGTCTCTCCCCGTCCTCTGGCCACCGCTGAAGATAGCCCACGACACCAAACACTGCAAAAGCGGCGAAGTTTTCGAAGAGAACATTACTTCCACAGATCAAGATGGCGTCCATGACAGCGTTAGAGTGCTTAGAGTTGTAAGAAGCATAGGACGTGAAATAACCAAAGCCGATGCCCGTAGAAAAAAAATACCTGCCCAACAGCAGTTTGCCAGACAGTCCCTGACGCTAATTGATCGCTTCTCCATGTTGCCCAGAGAAGCCGAATTCCCTCGCGCGCATTATCTAGTGAGCAAGAGCGACCAACGATGATGATAGTGGTGACGATTGGCAGGCCCATCGTCCAGTAGACAACTCGGCCCGTTAGGCCAACTCCGCGAAAAATGGACACCCAGATCAAAAACCATATAAAGGCGCTCCAGCCGACAGTCTCGCCGATGAGCGACACACCTGGATAGACAGTGTACTTTGAAACAGCCTTATTCCCTGCCGTTAAGCTTCCCAGAACGGGGTCAATATTTGAAACCACATCGCCCATGTAAAATTCTTCTATTCTGCCTTCCCATGGAAGAGGACTGTGAAATGAGTTGCGGAAATAATTCATGATCCAGGCGAGATTCACCGTGAAGTACTGTACGACGATGAAACTGACCAAAATCGGACCAAGGCCGACACCCTTCAGCCGGTGGTTTATATTGTTAAATGCAATCACTGTGCCCCCACGATATGCCTGCCCAATTGAAATTTCGAGGATTAGAGCAGGGATGGCGACAATGAATACCGCGAGCAGATAAGGGATAAACCACTGCAGACCATAATTGTTGTAAACGACCGAAGGGTATCTTAGTAAGTTGCCCTGGCCTGCACAACCTCCCATCGCAGCGAGAAGGAAAGCTGCCCGGGAGGGCCATTGGTCACGGCCGTCTTCGGACTTTTGCGGAGGAGGAGCAATCAAGCCAACAATCTTCTTTGCATATGGGCGGATCCAAAGAATCAACCTCTTCGGATAATTGGCCAGAACCATGCTGCCGATGGCCACAGTGGATTTGGAACAGCTCCTGTGAGTCTTCTTTCATGCAAGGTTGAATGGGTGATTCGGACTAAACAAGTCACAGTGGAGGAAGAGCTTCCAAGCATCCAATTTACAATTTCCGAAGAGAGCTGCCGCTTTTGAATAATTCTGGACTGGTGCCAAGCAGCCATCGGACCATCCTATCCTGTTTCGCCATCGATTCTGGCCCATGCCAAGAGGCCCAAGGGAAAGTTGTGATCCTGCGTCCTTATTATTGCGCTTTTTGTAGGGAATCACCACGCCAAGAGCCTTGGAATAATCCTACCGCAGTTCTGGGCTGAAATGCAGGTATTAAAAAAGCAGCAACCCTGTCAGCTGCCAAGAGTGCGGCTCTTGGTATTCCATGGCGCTGATTGCGACATCGCTACGAACGGAGACTTTATGGACGAACTTGTTCCACAAGGCTGAGGGAGGAGTCTGTAGCTCGGATTTTCGCTCTGTGGCCACTGAATAAGCTTGATATGTTCCAAGGTCCGCTCATGGAAGACGCGCTCTTCCTGGTTCTCGTACCTGAGAGACTGAGCTATAAAATGAACAGATTCTTGGCCAAGTGAAGTAGAAATCTCTCTAAACATTTGTCGATCGCAAACATTCCCTCGTGGAATCTTAAGCACTTTGACGATACGATACGATACAACTACTCGCATATAGACTTGTATTGTCCAGGTCGGAGGCATTTTCTCATAACTTGGCTTTCGTTTGTCGAGAAGAGCCATTAGGGGGGCTCGGTGGGCTCATGGTCCGCCATGGCCCCTGCGTGATAATGTGGTTCTTATGGTCCGACGTCCGGAATTTACTGCCAGGTGTTCGAGTATCAGATGTTTTTTCAGGTGATGCGGGCAATTTATCACGACTGGGAAGTAAAATCTCTGGGCCGGTAAAGTCAGCAATGCTGGAAAATCTTCCAGCATTAGGGGTAAAGAGTGACCATCGTAAAGGGCATGGTGAATAGTCCACACAAAGAACGTTGATTCGGGTTGATTCGTTTCTTGCACCAGGGCTAAATAAGTCAGTGCTTTGCGAAGGACAACTGATCGCAGTAAATGGTCTTTTCATCAATCAAATTCCGGAAGTCTTTTGGATCGTTTGAAGTGACAAAACGACATTCAATCCCCAGTTGCGGCGCGAGGACCTTGAACTGGTGGTACGTGCCCCCATGGACCGTTGACGTGGCGACAATATCGTCTCCGACGCCAGCCAATGCCATCAAGGTCATCGAGACAGCGGCCGTTCCAGATGCAACAGCACAAGCGGCCACCCCACCTTTCAGTGCCGCCATGCGGTTCTGGAACACGCTCACAGTAGGCTAAGATAAACGCGAGAAGCTTTGTCAGCCAGCTGCATTTCATCATCGAGGCCGACATTACTTGACTTACATTGGTTATGCGGCTGTATATGTTGCCAAACTCGCTGATATGCAAGAGACGCACTCCATGCTCGGCATTATTGAAAGCAAATGCAGTAGTGGTGTAGATTGGTACTGCACAGCTATTCAATGCATCAGGAAAAGCCCTATGGCGTACCATGTCAGCATTTTGTTTCACCCAAGGGTTGCTGCATTAGACGGACCCAGCATGGAGTTGAAGAGTTTCAAACCGCTGAGATGCAGGTTATTCCAACATGATGAAGAATTGAAAGGTGAGAATGTGTGGTCGGTGGAGCTACTTGATTCAAGCTATACAACTTCAATTGCAATGGCCCATACGGGGAAGTGTCGTCTGGGGAGTACCATGATAAGTGCCTTCCCAGGCAGATCAGCCGCAAGAGCGAACTAGAAAACATGACTGTGCAGATCTACTGCAGCCAGGGCTAAACTATGTAGATGACGAGTTCAGGCCCCTCGCCTCGCGGTAACAAATGACAACATCCGCAACGTGGGGGCCAGGTGTTTCGGTATGCTGAGCTCCACTTATTCCGAGCTCCGGGTCTATTCCGAAGGTGGGAATGCGCACGATTCCTCTTTCCCTCCAACTTGCTGCATTTTTATTAAGGCACCTAAGGGCTCAGGCATCTGACTATTACTTATTCCGCGCCCGCGCCCGCGCCCGATTACATTGTAGCTATCTTAGCTTCACTTACATCTTCCCCGAAGGTCAAATAATTCAGCACATCTTATCGCAGTTCTATTATTCCGCTACCTTTAATTTTTACAACACCGTCAGCAATGTTGAATGACACATGGACGCATACAATATCCCAAATCCTGGGCTGGACTTATTTCATCCTGTGGTCGCTGTCCTTCTACCCGCAAGTCCTGCACAATCATCGCCGCCGCTCAACGGACGGGTTCTCTGTCGACTTTGCGGTACTTAACATCCTCGGGTTGACCGCATACACTGTCTTTAATGCGTGCTTCCTCTTTTCGCCGGTTGTGCGAGCCCAGTATGCTCAAAGGCATCCCGAGGGCGCCAAACCGACCATCCAATGGAACGATTTCGTCTACGCCCTGCATGGTGCCCTGGTCTGTTGTTTGATTGGCAGCCACTTCTTCTGTGCGAGCTTCTGGAACTTTCGATCCAAGACACAACGAGTGAGTACAACGGCCCTCGTGGCCATTGGGGGCTGCATAGGGGTGGTGGCCTTGGCCATCCTGTACGTTTGGGTCTCGGCGTCGTGGGAATGGATTGACGTGGTAAGCAGGCATCCGGCCAATCAAATCACCAATTAGTTCGATATGTGCTGACCCTCATGCTACATAAGGTATATGTGGTCGGCATGATCAAAGTCTTCCTAACAGCCGTCAAGTACACTCCCCAGGCCGTCATGAACTATTTACGCCAGTCCACCGCAGGGTTTTCCATTTTCGCGGTTCTGCTCGATCTCACAGGCGCTTTGCTGTCGTTGATACAGCTGGTACTGGACTCTACGTTGCAGCCGGACTGGTCGGGAACTACGGGGAATATCGCCAAACTTTCATTGGGAAATCTGACCCTCGTATTCGATCTCATCTTTATCTTCCAGCACTTTGTGTTGTATCGGGAACAACCGGCGGAGACGAAGCCAGGGCCCTCAGAGAATGATCCTCTCCTGCATAGTAGTAATGAGCCGTAGATTTCCATAACAACATGTGCATATGGCTCGAAATTTCTTCCTTCATCTGCGATATGTACATAAAATAGTAATGGTAAAGCTTGTAGTCGAGATGCGTTCCCTTGTGAACCTGAAGAATTGGGAAGAACGAAAAATAGAAATACATCTCTATATAAGGCATTGCGGAATGGCCTTCTCTCCATGACTTGACTCTCGTGCATTTCACATCTATACAGCTAGCAGAAGCGGCAGCGGATTTAATGGTGAGTACCATTCGAGTGAATAGAATGCTTAGATGCACAGTAGCCCAATTTACACTGAAGAAGCGATATTTTGTACCAGTACTAGAAGAAGTACCGGGTAGTAGTATTTGACATAGTGCTGCATAATAATTAAACTTAGGCAGGGCATAGTATCTAGCTATATTCCTCCCCAATTTATGGTTTGTTCCAACCGCTTCAACTACCAAACTTTCAGTGTAGTTACCCTCAATCACCGTATAGACAGAGCTGCCCAAAATTCACCACATCCCACAACAAGAAAGGCCCCGTAAACCCATTCTGTAAGGGTGGGCTCGATGTGTACGGAGCAGTAACGCACATGTCAGTGGAGTCTTTTCGCCATTTCACCGGAAAATTCGGCCGTCAAGGCCTTTATAAGGTCAATAATTAAGCCAATCGTTGAAAGAGCCTGGTACAGTCTCATTTGATGGGTATCTATCGAATTCTTCGTTGATCTAGTATTTGCGAAAGGCAACACGAAACGTGCAGGCTGTGATGAACATCAGCCCGGCAACTAATGACCACAACACGACCAGCAAAGGGTCTCTCGCAAGGGGTGTTAGTGCCATGCCTAACAAGTACCCTAGTCCTGCTGTCCCAATATAGCACGCCTGCAGGATCGACTTCATGCTTTTTGGAGCATGGGAATACGTATACTCAGATCCTGTGGGCCAGCAGAATACTTCTGCTAGTGCAATGATGACGAATGTAGGAAGTTGCCATAGCACATGAATGCGGTTAGAGACCTGTCCGCCGTCTGAGGCCGTACACTCAAGGGGGTGCGAATAGCAGGGCCCCGTATGATATATTATAGCCTGTACCACAGCCGAGTATGCCATGGCCACCGCCATTATGAAAAAGCCCAGTGTGATACGGTTCACCGCACGAAAGGCAATTTTGCGCTTCTCTAGGAACGGATACAGCTGTTTCTGAACGATGAGTCCGAAAATCACATAGGCTATCGGGTTTGCGGATTTGATCAGATCGTTAGGGATGCCATGGGTTTCCATTTGTCCCGCTTGCGAGATGGACACCTGGGCGCCTTCTCCCATGCAGACCCAGAATATTGGCCATCCGATGCTGTTCGGGTTAGCCAAGCTCTACGCTTCGCAACATGGAACTGGTGGCTGGGTGGGGGAGGAGCTAGTCAATGCACCAGATTTTAAAAGCTAACAGGGCATTCCGCAGCTCTGCAATAAATTCCGTGTCCCAGGGGACCACTCGTCCATGCTTCTCTAGTTGGTATTGCGGCAAGGCAGCGTTGAGCTTGAATCCACCTCGAGCAGCATACCACAAGCATCGAGCAGCACGAGGTAGCTTGGAGCCTTGGACGGGGGGATGGACTAGCACAAGAATTATTAGACCTATTGACATAGCTCCATGGGCAATATTTGCAAAGCTTACCAAATTTGGATTTCGCCAGTTGAACAATAATGACGCAAATAACCACCGCGCAGAGATCTAACAGATAAGCCGACCAGAACCCGATGTGTTTTTCCATCAGCGTTGTGGCAATGCTTCCCAAGGAGCCAACATTCACCATCCTAGACGGCCACTGCAATTAGCTGAAGTCTCCTGATCTCTGCATAGTGCATATAGTTAAATACCAGTAGTAGAGGTTGTAGATGTATTTAATTGTGAGTTCACGGTCTTCCACAACCCGTTCGCCTCGTTTGGTGACTTTGATTCGCATGTCGTGCTCCGTGTATTGATCGGCTGTTTTCTAATTAGTATCAAGATCTGTTTTTCACATATTTGCGCATACCTATGAATGGTTGAACGGAAGCTTGAACCCCTCCGAGACCGATGGAAATAAGTATCGCACCCACGACCCAGCCAGGAGTTGCGATTCCGGACACAATTTCAGAGGGAAATGAGGTTGCGAAGAGGATGGCCGACCCTATGGCATATATGCTGCAAGAAAAAAGAAAAAAGTCAGCCCTGATGCGGCACGTGAGTCTGATCGGATTATGGGACACCCATTCATGTACCCCGTGAATATCTGAAGAGCCCTATATCGGCCTAGGCATCCATCGACGAGGATGGAGGTCGGTAGTGGGAGAATATTCACCAGCACGGTGAACGCCAAATTCACCGTGGTCGCTCGAGATTTGCCCAGACCCATTGCTCCAGGGACTAAGTCATGCGGTCCATTCTGCAGATAATTTTCTAAGATAGTGTTTGGTCAGCAGAGGCATTGCCCATGGCGCTGAGACTCGGAAAGAATATACTAACGGAAAAGAGTTTGCGTGCCATAGTATGCAAATCGCTCGGCCATTCCTATAGTGGCTGCCAGCCAGACTCGCATGGGAAGTGGTGCTGATACATGGCGTAAGTCGCGAATCTCCTCGTCGGATGCCAGACTGCCCTCTGGCGTGGGGGATGTAACCCCCGACTCAATTTTGGCTTCCACTTTTTCTAGGGAGTCATCCATGGCGTGGTGTCTTTTTGTTTTGCAACGCCTGGGTGCGAGGGTGCTTCAGGGATTGATAAGATTGAAATTTCAATTATAGGTAAGAGAGCAAGATCGGTGCTAGCTTGATGTAGGTTTATCGGGATGACTTCGGAATGGAATGCGGAGTTCGGAGTAGCGACACATTATCGATGCTGAGAAACCTTCTTAAGATCTGACTTCTAGGTAACCTGACTGGTGTTATTTTCAAGCATGGAGACGCCGTGGCCTATCAGCCCAAAATCGCAGCCACGATGTCATTTGAAGCTTGTGTGATGAGTGATGACAATAAAAATGGTAGTATAGACTCTTCTCCCGATAGGCCACGAACTCTGTGCCTGACGTTTCATAGTCCACGTGGAGATTATAACCACCAGCCTTGAGCTGCTGCAAGGGGGAGACATAACTGAATGCAGTGTACTAACGGCTATAGTGCAGCCTTTGAGACAGGAAGTACTCTATAACGTCCGAGGCTTGTTTCGAGATACACGGCCAATGCTGGTGATTGATGCCGGCTCGGAGACACCTGTCAAGGCCATCCTGGATCCTGCCAAGATTAGCTCCATTTGCAAATGCCTGGGTGAACAAAAATTCCCGCAAAGCGTCCTTTTTATCATCCTTAAGCAAGAATGGTATGTGCTTCGAAGTGATCTATTTCAGGATCGACTGCGCGGTTGCCCCGGGATCCGGAAGGTGGTCAGCCTTGTCAGCCCCCGCCAGTTAGTCGGTTCTCTTCCAGCCACCGCAGATGGCTTGGCAAAATCCATCGAATTGGCCGTTTGCTATATTCTAGTCGATGGTGTGGACGACGGCTCAGATAAACAGCCGTCAGATCACTTGCACTTGCAGCTGCGAGAGAGGCTCTCGTTGCAGTGGCTGTCACCGATGCCGATTCCCCTACGCAGGCTTGCCGTAGTCGGTGAGGTCCGCCCGGCTCACCTCTCTTCGCGATTCTTCCTGGCCGCTCGAACCCTGGGAGGTGAGGTGGTACCTTAGGGCCCCGCGGTCATTGGCTACAGAATCCAGAATCGCGAAATGACCCAAACCGAAAAGTCTTCATCGAATTGGATCTGACTGTCGACCCTGGCCTTCCGGACCGGACTGTGACTGCTATTCAAGACTACGCGGGCAAGCTAGATGGAATAACTACGGTGACTGAATATCTTCTTATACCCGTCGCGCAAGCCGCCGCCCGACTCGCTCTCCCCACCTCACCATTCACGTCGTTTATCAAATCCGTCAACAAGCACCAGACTGACCCCTTCAGTACTACAACCATACTTTGCGGACCCGAATATACCCATGGATGTATATCAACTTCTAGTTAGTGGATACAGAACCACGAGGAACTTCATGAAATTTCGCTTAGTGTTTCGCGAAGGCTTCCGTTGCGAAATATCTTCTAGTTCTCACTGGGTGATCCTCTTCCGCCAAACATCAGAGAGATATCTAGGCGACGAAAGCCTGGTTTCTTCAACATTGTCAAAAGACTATCATGTTCCGCGCAAGGTTCATCAAATATCGTGCAGTTATAAGTGTAGAGTTGTTGAGCATCTAGAACCAGTTCCACCACATTGTTTTTCTGTTGTACAAGGGCGCGTCTTACAAAACAGAATCCGCAGTACTTCTCTCTGTGTCTCTCATCGCCTCTTTGCCAGGAGAATATGATTATATCCTCTGGCTCCTCAGTGGCTGAGACTGGCTATGCGCGAGGTATAGAATAGTCAAATCCTTGCAGAAATACCCAAATCATAGGGCTTTGGTATAACAGAGCAAACAGAACACTGTAAGTTGCATAGATAACAGTCACTCTTTCAGTACCGAAAACCGTTCAAGTCCGTAGAGAAACGCCTCTTCGCCATAGTTTTTAGCTAAAACATCGGCTTGTTTGCGGAGCAAGCTCCGGTAGATTGCCCAAGATTCAAACAAGGAGAGTGCAACCTTGCGCAGTTTCTTCTCCGTTATGGATTGCTAATGCCAAGCCTTGGTCGTATTTAGCTTGCGTCGCCGTATAACAATATTTTCAATGTTGTCAACACATGCGGCCTTAAATCAGAGTGAACAATTTCGGCCGCTGTAATTTCCACCATCCCTCAACTGGCAGACTGGATCTCCAAATACCTCGTCTTCCCTATTCCCATCGTCGACATCCGTTTTGTAAGCTTCCAGTCTGGTGGCCCTTGAAGTTCATCATGACGTCGTCTCGAATCAAAGAACTCCTGTGTCTCTTCATCGCTTGCATTCGTGATTGGCAAGGATAATCAACGCTCAGGATGGATAATCTCTGCACTAGGACCCCTGGCAAATCGAGCGTCATCCGAAACAATCTCTGAAGTCTTGGGCGGAATAGGTCATTATCGGCAATCGCACGAAAAACCTTGATGTTCAAGGGGTTTGCCGACAAAAACACTCGCTCCGATCTGAGCTCCACTGAATTTGCAAGATTGTTTCGACACAATGCGGAGACTTTTGAGATCGTGATTAGGTAAATACGATAATATTGCACACCAGAGCTCCGGCGGGAGGTCATAGAATTGATGGGAGTTGGACTTCATGTGGTGTTGGTGCAACGAGGGCCAGTAGGATAGCAGGAGGGGACAGGTAGGTTGACAACAAAATCCATCAGATATTCGGGAAGCAAGCGACCCAATTCAAGACTAAAATACGAACGCTTAATCCCGATCTGCATTACCCGGTCACATATCGCTCCACCAACGCTAACCTGGATAATCCGTAGCGTATAACATTGTTTCCTCGAACAGCCAGCGCCTGTTTCCCACATCTTCGCCCCTCGATCGCTAAAATGTTTCATAGAATTTTGCAGATTAGTTACGCCCGATACAACGCTGATACCAATTTATCCAACATAATCAGAATATCGCCAGTCAAGATAGCCCACTGGAATGCGGCAAAACCGGGGTCCGGTTGCAACGGCGAAACTTATCATGCTGGAACATAACCAAAAGACTGACAGAGTATCACAGATCGTCATCAGAGGGAATTCCGTTCTGTCTTCGATGTTCCTCCTCCTGGCGTTCGATTTCGCGCAGTTCCGCCTGCCAAGAGGGACTATGGACATAGTCCGAAGGGTAGTTGTTCTTCATGTGCTAAAAAAGATGAGCTTTCAGTATTAAGATTCAAGAGCCAGATAATGCAAGGTATACCACATCAGGATCGCCGGTAATACTTTGTAGGATCCAATCAAAGGGTCGATCATAATACTGATCCCGCCTCAAAGTTTCACTGCTCGTTCGAGGTTCATCAATATACGGAGTTCTGACGCCCATCTCATCCGGCCAAGTGATTGCTTCAAGATCTACTTCATCTTGCTCATCAACCGGATGTGTCTTTTCTGCGTAAAGAAAAATCGGCAGCTTTCTTGGCTCCGGTTGCCTGATACAATCTCCCCTGAAATGTGAAAGTCAGTAGAAGGCTAGCTGTAAAAGAAATGGGAAAATATACGGTACCGAGTAACAGCATTATCAAACCTGGACTTTTGTGCTAGATCGACCATGATGATTGCTGCATCAGTGTCGTTAAGCTACACGGCTCGATCTTTGGGTGTGCTATGAGTTCCTAAGATATCCCAACCATCAAACGAGACGAGATAGTGATTCTATCATAAGTGTTCATCAGATGAGGCTCTGAAAGTCTTTGGTGCCTCGTATATTATGCATAATTTCTTCTGCCAATTCACTGGAAACACAGAACCGGGGTGTACGAGCATGGAGCGAATTTATGATATAGAGTCGGGCTGCAAACTGGCAAATAGGAGCCTGTAATGATTCGAGATACGAGGCTACTCTTCGGGATTGTCAATATTTGATAATAATCATTGGAAAAGGATTATTTACCTTGCCAACACTTGCATCGCTGACTAATGCCACTTTGATAGCTTGATCTGAATTAAGAAGTTCCATCATGGTATGTATGAAAAGAACGACTGGGTAGGGTCAAGATTTTTCTTCTTAGAAAATACTAAAGAGGGGATGTAAATCAGCTGAAAAATTCACTAAAAGAAATACGAGGGGTCAAAGCAACATTGAGGCAGGTTGCCTCAGATGACCCCACACTAATTTTGTGGAGAACTGAAATTTTGACTCGTTTAGGAATGACGACAGGGAACATGTATTTTATGATTCTCCCCTCGCGGCTGAGATTTTCACTGGTTTCGGAAAGGCGACGCCAAACCCGGAAAATTTCTATCGAAACTGAGATTTTAACTACATTAGGCATCGTCACAAGGAAATAAATGTACATAGCCGTCCACTACTCCAAGCCGCTAAGAATACGTCTTATAATTTGCATTCCAAGGGGAAATCATGGGTGGCATTCGTGTGAACTATTTAAACGGATGTTCTCGCACATCTAGAAATCACACCAAAGTTTCCAATTTTGAAACATTCAAGACCAGCACCACAACCCAGAAATCCCAACAGCGATCAATAAAATTACCATGGGTATCGACGACGCGCTTCCCAGGAAGCTCCGCAGGAAGCTCAGAGAAGACTTTGTGGCCGCTAATGACGAATTTGTGCGCGACATTCCAAAAGTCGAGCTTCATGTGCATATCGAAGGGACCCTGACTCCCGAGCTGAGATGGAAGCTGGCGCAGAGAAACGGCCTCAAGGTCAAATTTGGCAAGAGTCCGGAACTACACAGTATGGAGGAGTTGAGATATGCCATGAACAGCGCGGAACCTAAGACTGAAGATGAGGAGCGTGAATACTTCTTCGAGTCATACTACGGGGCATTTGATACATTAAAGACCAAACAGGATTACTTCGACCTGGCAATGAACTACTTCGAGCATGTTGCGACCATGAATGTTCGGTATTGCGAGGTCTTCTTTGACCCGCAGGGGCACACAAGCCGAGGTATCGCCTGGGATGTTATGATGGGAGGCTTCAAAGAGGCTCAGATAAAAGCCAAGAGTGAGCTCGACGTAAGTAATGCACTCTCTTACATTGAAAGAAGATTCAAAAATGACAAAATAATAAGGTCTGTTCTTCATGGATCATGTGTTTACTACGCGATCTGTCCACCGAGGACGCAATGGGTCATTACAAGGCCGCGCTGCCATTTCGCGACATGATCACCGGCATTGGACTTGATTCAAACGAATACCATCGACCTCCTTTACTGTTTCAGGAGGTGTTCTCACTGGCTCGACGGGATGGCTTCCGGATCACGATGCATTGCGATGTGGGGCAGGACAATACCCACGAGCATATCCGACAAGTCGCTTCCGAGGTTGGCGGAAATGGGGCTGATAGAATCGATCATGGCCTCAACGCTGCCGATAAACCAGAGCTGGTGGATCTGATCCTGAAGCGAGACATAGGCATGACCATCTGCCCATGGGCATATATGCGATATCAGACTTACGCCGAGCTCGGACCGAAGATGCGCCTTCTTTTCGATGCAGGGATCAGAATCACCGTCAACAGTGATGACCCAGCTTTCATGGACGACGCTTGGATTCTGCACAATCTGTTGCTCACAAAACACTTTGGCTTTACCGACAAGGAAATCTCTATGTTATCCCGAAACGCGGTCACAGTCTCCTGGGCAACACAGTCGACTAAGGAGAAGATTCTTCAGGAAATCGATGATGTCTATAAACGCTTCTATCCAGGTTGAAGGAACTGGCAATCCGCGTCTGTTAATCTTGCATTCTCGAGTCCTTGAGCTTCAAGCAAAACCTTCTCATGGAGTTTAGAGTGTGACCAAATGCGGGATATAAAACCATATCCATCATTATCATCTTTCATAAATTGATATTCTATGATCCGGACCTTGTCTAAGTTGGCGTATTTTTCAACATGTCATATTTTGATCCTTTGTGACTAAAACAGTAACGTCTGCGAATCAAGAATCTTCGTATTACCGGTCTGCCAAACCTGTTCTAATACATCTATTGCAAGCTTTGGATTGCAACATCCAAGTGTCGCAAAATGGCTTGCGAATTCTTTTCGCAACCGTTGTTTCCGATCATGAGATTTCTGATTTAGACATAAACCTGCTTGAAACAACGGCCATGACGTTGAGAACTTCCGATTCTTCTCTGAGGATAGTCTTTCAGCCCGCCGAAAGACATCTTCTAGTAAACCTGAAGTATCGAATGTCTCCCCCGATAGCTGGAATAAGCGAACGAGATAGAGTAAGACCCCACGTCTCCAGATCTCGATCATGTCTCTTCGCTGGCCGGACAGGGTATCAGATCCATTCCACGTCATAGCCGCATTGCCAAGGACGATGGCTTTTCTCAAGGCTTCATCGGATGAGATTCGTGAAGAGATATGCAGTCTATGCAATACGGCAATTTCTGCAATATACTCAAATAGATCGATAGGGCAGTCAAAAACGTCGAATCCCCATTTGCGACCGGATGGTGTTTTGAATTTGTTCAAGGCGGCTTTGATATGCTCAGGCTTCAAGTGCGGCATCCGAGACGATGTCGTCGCACCCATGATATCTAACCTAAGGAAATGTAAGCGTTCCATAGGATTCAGCTACAGAGAAAAGACGTTACCATGCAAGACGTTGTTGGAAAAAGCCACGCTCAGTTCCGTCCGAACCATGCCGCTTCACAATGTCACTTGCTGCATTTAAGTGTGTTCCAAATTCCAGGCAGTCCCCAGAGCAGAGCTGTCATATCTGTTAGAGTATCCTTGAAAAGATATCTGAGCACGTACATCGAGCTGGGCAAGTAAGACCATACAGGCAATACTAGAAATGTCTGTCTCCTCGATGTCATTTCTCAATTGCTGTCTGAGCGCCTTCGTGGCCTCCAGCCGCAAGTGGAGACTCTGCATTTTCAACTTGTTGTCTTGAAATCTGTTACCAATATGGCAAGACGCCGTCGCCCCCACGGCATACCGAATGCAGGGGACGTTCTTGGCCATTGGTAGTATATGCTGCGTGTAGGGAGTTTGCGCAGGGCCATGGCCCAGATAGAAGGCTGTGCTTATTTCGCGTGCGTCTGCAAGCCATGAGTGATAGCCAAATTTCACCAGAAGAATTCTCCTTACAATATTTGACCAAGACCTGCACACTATCGGGAGGATGTAAGGCGGGGGGCATTGTCCATGTAGGTCGGCGCGGTAAGGTAACAAGGTGTAAATTGGTCCCATCGCCGCTTGAAGTGGAATTGGCTGAGTAGCGGTACTGATCGGCGTAAGGCTCTCTCTCCAGGGCCCTGGCGGCGTTCAGCCGCTGTGGCAGCACACGTCTGACGTTGGGGTCGTCATTTTTCGAAAGTAAGCCGACTGAGGCTTGCTCCTTTCGCGGGGTGGGGTCATCAGTAGCGGACTGGTATGTCCGACCGGCCATGCTTCCCCTGGCTGCCAGGCCGACCCAACGTAGAGCGTAACCCTCGCATTCTACGCCGCGCCGATGGCAGCTTATGCACTTGGGCAGGGTTCGATCGCACTTTCGCCCTCTTCGACGACATGTCTTGCAGGCAATACCGAATTGGGGCTTTGAAGTCATTATCCTGAAAGAGGCAATTATTTCAGTTGCAAGGGATGGATGTGTTGCAGTAACGATAAAAAGATAAGCCGAGGTGGACTGGCGATTAATAAAAATAAGAGAGTCGGGCCATCTTGGGTAGAGGCTTGCATGACTCGGAGGGCGAAAGTAAGCTATTAGCTACAGTACGGAGTACTCCACTCTCTATTGCGACTGAGTGTACCGTTACTAGTCGATTTCACCACTCCATTGCTTGGCATTGCTTAGTAATGTGCTTTGTCATCGTAATCTGTTGTTAAATAAGTTTCCTACGGTATTCTAAATTGAGCAGATTGATACCATTTTCCATACAATACTACATTTCTCCAGAATGACCGATTCCAGGTCGTGGAACTCTCAAATCTCATCAGTGTGCGGAGGAGCGAGCACTAATCAAAGGGGTGTGCAGGGGTAGGGAGTAGGTGACAGGCTAGTCCGGAACAAGGTAAAGTTTCAGTTCTCCCATAACAGTCATCTCAGTATGCCGCCTGAGGTGACTGCTATTTGAACATAGCATGTGACTAAACTGCAGAATACCTGCGGGTTATATAGGGACCTACCCGCAACCTATATATTGAGGATTATGGGTATCGCTTTGATACCCTCCCTTATATGGGTAAAGGGCTGGTTTACCTAGACCTGTGCAGACCCACGGGCATGCTCATTGGCAAACCCGCCCATTCATGGGCATGCCCAAACTGCCTAACCTGCCTACTGTCGGGCCGATGAATCTCCGTCCACCCACGCGATTTCGCGCGACGCGCCCGCACCTCCAGTATTCTCAACAGCAACTAGAGCTGCGAGGATGCTCAGATACTCTCAGATCAATGTACAGCGTAGCATACGATGCAATGAAGTATTAGCGGTTCGAACGAAACTAATAGCTGAAGGAGAATAAGAGGGAAGCTAAGATAGAAGGCTAGATACACAGGTATAGGCGTGGATGCTAAGATAGGTGCCACAGGCGTAAGGCATCCACGAACGGTAACAACACCAGTTCCTTATAATTAGAACTGGTCCGTTGTAACATGCATACTAGCCTCTTAGCCTATGAGACGCTCTCAATAGCGATCTCCCAAGATAGTTCTTCAATCAACTCATTCAATTGGTTCCCTCAGTACTAGGTACGGGAATCCTTAGCCCCTCACTTTTGGGCAGTCACTGTACCACTGTATTACAATTTCCAACAATCTGCCAGTTTTGGCGTGTGCTGAGAGCCATTGTCACAAAATTGCGGCTAACTATCCACTCCATGTACGAAAGAACTTGCCTGGTTGGTGGAGCCAGGATAAGGTCGTGAGGACGTCATCTGCCTTGCTGGGAGTGTCACGACTGGTGGAAAACCAGTGGAAGGTTTAGTATCCGCCATTTCGTCCATTTTTAGCCTTCCCAGGCTCACAGGGCGTTGAGCAACGTGACCATCCGCGCGTCCCGCCTGCGCGGTTTTCGCTGCCACTTTACGTTTCCTGATGTGAATCACGCCTCCCAGCATCTGCTTGATCCTGGACGCTTCTTTCCGCAGATGAATCTTCTTCAGTCTGGTTTGACGGATACTAAGACTTGTTCTCGATTCTTTCTGTTTAGTACGTCACCGATAACCAGATAGCCTGAGGATATCATGCTCTCCTCGAAGGAAAATATATCGGAGTTCCTGGCTTTTGCTCCGGGCTGCAATGAGGGCATCGCCTTGAAGTTCCTTGAGGTATCTCTCGCCACGTCCCTAATGGGCAGAATGCTTTGTTCACTGACCTTATCCCAAAGAAGGCAAACACTCTCGACGAGGCCGTGGGCCAATATTATGACAATCCTGAGAAGTACTCACACGCCTCAACTAAGCAGGATGAAAAGCCTCAAGCGCGTTACAACATGCCACTTCCGCCATTGACTACAAATGGCACCGCACGACGAGCTCATATGAATGTCTTGATTGAAGCGGAGAACATTCGAGCCCGAGATGAGCAACAAATGCAGAACTTGCTGCAAACAGTTCAACTAAACTTTGGCATTTACAATCCAGAAATTGAGCCAGAGCACGACGCAGACCTATATTGTATGTGTGAAATTCACCAATATAAGAGAAGAAAAATGAATCGCCTTCATGTCCACGATATTTGGAGCAAAGCCGTCATGTATCCAGGAGAAAAGGTCTATCACGATTGCTACCAGAACCCCATTTTTAGCAACAACCCTTATACTTATTCCGTTACATCTCCCTACGCATTCACTCGATCATCATTTTTTGCGATTCCGAGACCTGATCCATACTACCACGCTAGGTCAGTACATCAGATGATAGAGTTAAATGCAGCCTTGAATACAAAGGCACAGGCTTTGATAAACTCTCAAGAACCGAAGGTCAATATCTGGAGGGGCGAGGAACTAGAAATGGCAATGTCAAACGAAACAATCTCTGGCCCCTCGAAATTATCTGGTTTGAAGAAGGCGCTTTCAATCAAATCGTCTGAGGAGAGGACTGCTATTAAGTTAAGGAATCAGGCTGCCTATGCATTGGATTTGCGTAATAGGATACTCGAGGAAGAGCATGGGAGGTGGTCCGACGAAAATGATCGACAAATTGTGACTACTTACCAGGCAAAGGTCGGCATGGCTTCAAAGATAGCAAATCTTCGGACCTATTACCCTATTCGGTATTTCCACCTACTACGAGCTGGTTACTTCGAACCAATCCCAGTCGCTTGGGCTAATTTGGCTTCAAACCCATTGAAGTTTACTATCGACGCCCCTGCTGGATGGAGAGGAATTACTCCAAGCTGGAGAGGATTTGAGGACACGGCGGAAGAACGCCTATATTGGGTCTTGAACCATAGAGAGGGGGAAGGGGTCAGAATGAAACCGGACATGATCTCTGCGCTCAACATGGCTCGCGCCAGAATGGCCTCCGCTGTTGAACCTCCTCCGGCATACTACTCTGCCAACGACACTTGCCATATCCAACATACCTCGAAAGGATACTCAAGGCAGGTTATGCCCGCCCCTTTTCGACCTTTTGACACTCCTGAAATACCTACCGACGACACGATGATTTTGTTGGATATTTCTGGCTCTATGGATTTCGAGCCCATGCGACCGAACTATATCCAATATCTCATAACTGGCTATTCACCGTCTACTCAGCCAAAGAACAAAGGTTAGCAATTTCAATTTCTTTCGATACAATAATAGCTCCAAGTAGTGGACATCAAAATATGGCAGGAATATTCACTCAACTATCTATCTCTAAATATGTTGTGGGAACAAAAAGTCTTGCGGAGCTGAGGGTGGATACCCCTCAATGGGGTGGGATGGCTGTATAACCATACCCTACCGCCAGCACATGCATACTTGATCGATTCATTTTTACCCATGGCTAATTATATATTATAGATATTGCAAAGGCTATAATCCGCAGATTTACAGACGCAATGTCTAATCACCATCATAATTGGCAAGGTTATCAGCTCACAACCTTCTCATCTTACGCCAACTATATCGGTGTCGTTAATCACTGGAATCTTGATCAAATGTGGAGGGGTATTTGTTTTGGGGGAGGCACAAGAGTGATGACTGGTTGGCAGAAAGTTAAGGAACTACATTTTCAAAAACATTCAGAATCGGCCACATATCACCCTGTTTTCGGATGGCAAGCTGGGCCGCAAACTCCTATTCTAAGACTACTTCTTTTTCTTGACGGCGAGGCAACCGATATGGATGAGTTTGAACTGGACCTTCTCAGTTTGTCTTGGGTTCACGTCACCATTTTCTTGATTGGTGTCGATGGGTGTCCTCATCACCATCGCCATGCCAACGAGTTACAGCGAATCAGCGACGTCAATCATCATGTGTCTTTCGTTGATGCGCAAGGCAATGCCCCAGAGAGATTTATTACTCATGAACTTCTCAAGCGTCATCTAGGCTATGAAGTTTCTATGTCGGAGTTTGAAGAATTAGAGCAACCGCCTCCATATTCTATATCGACTGAACATGTTAACAGCACAACTAGTGAGACCTCAATTCTGTGACGAGTAGCCTGGTGTCACTACCAGAAATACTTGGTTTGCATCTTGAAGTTTGCATGTTTGACGATGAAAGCAACGTTACCGAATCATGATGATAAGAGATGCCGCTCGTTTATATGCACACGTGACGAAATAACGGTCATTAATACTATAGATGCTCTCAAAGCCAACACAGATCTTATTGATATTCTAGTAGAACCTATCATAAGGGACCTAGAGCAGTCAGGCTAACTGGTTAGTGGTGTAGGATCCTTATATGTAGGCAGTATTTAGACCTACCACCCTCACTACTTACTTTCTTCCTACCCTAACTACTGAGAATTTTCACTATATAATTAACTTTAAATTTTCAGAACTTCTAAATCTATATATATTTTATCTCTAATTTAACTTATAGCCTCTATAGTTATCTTTAGTAGTTGTATAATTTAACCATAAATTATCTAAAACTTCAGATATTTTTTAGTAGAGTATAAATGTAATAGCTTTACTAAGGGACAGGCTAGAGACCTGTGACTAGGCAAGGATATCGGATAGTAGAGATCAGATTGGACAGTTGGTACATAGACTGATTCTTGAGAAGATCAAGAATCGTGATTCCTTGTGAGATCTTAAATACACTAGGGCTCGGGTGGATATCGATATGCAGGTGACTCAAAGGGGATTCGCCCATGAGTCGGCCTCGAGAGTCCGGGGTATCGTATACTTCGAATCCCGTGACATGGCGGAATAGATCAATCAATACTAAGAATAGAACAGAGACTGATTCTTGAAGAAATTTAAAGAACAAAGAGGCATTTGCCTAAAGTCATTCACCCGTAAAATCACGTAGAATCGGGCACGAACCCCTAGGATGGTGTAGCCTCTTTGACACGAATCCTGTGACAATAACTAAAGAATTATACTTTTCTACCTTAGACTTATGTCATGGGATTCAGAGTATACGATACCCCGGACTCTGAGGACGATCTAAGCCGAATCCTCCCTAAGGCATTAGTATATATAAGTCTACCCTAGCCCTAGCAATATTAGAATATATAATAATAGCTATAATTCTTATTTTTAAAGAATCAGTCTATATATTGACTATCTAATCTGATCTCTACTATCTAATATCTTTGTCTAGTTATAGATCTCTAGCCTGATAACTTAATAAGTATTATAATATTTTAGAATAAGTTCTACTTAGTTCTTTATTAATTTAATTAGAAATCTAGTATTTTAGTATAAAACAATAGTAATAGTAGAAATAGTACCCTTAGATATATCTAGAAATAAATTTTAGATATAGATCCTAATTTGTATATTAATTAGTTCTTATATTACATATGATCCTGAGACAGGTAATTTGTTAATCAGCCTAAGCTTAGCTTATTTAATTAAGCTGTTGTATACCTCCAAAAGCATAGAATATATATATATCTAAACCAAACCTCATATCACATTCAATATACCTCAAAGCCCCCATCAGATAGCCATATATATATATGAATTCGATCGCCTGAGCGTTTACATATTGTTAGCGGGTTACGGTGGATAGCTAGTCAGTTGGTAACTGTACCTTCTTGTTATCAAGAACAAGTTCCTTCTCCGATCATTATACTGTTCCGAGGAGTTATCCTTTTGACTGTACCGAGACTGGTCGGCCTCAGGGTAGCGGTATGGCCAGCTCACACTTTATGTATCATGCATGCAGGACCAGGGTCTATATCCATGTCCTCATTGTATTGGTCTCCATTGGTTTCCATCGGCTGTTACACATACTGCACGCTGTTTGCTAGTATTAGATTGGTAGAGATACCGTGGATTTCCCGCAGCATAGATCTCCTAACATGGTTTTCCATTCCATCCTTTCGTCTCTTCCTAGTAGACTGCTTCTTCCGCACTAATAGCAATCAGGTCTACTGCTGAAAACAATACAAGACTTGTGCAGACCATAATACACTCAGCCATAATATTGCAGGACTTCCGCTCGTACAAGAAGCTCACTGATGCAAAGAGCAATTTCTCAGTCAGATAGTACATCCCCCATCCAGTCACGCACCTCTTGGTGTGAATGGCATCCGAGCGATCGGAAGATCCTTGGCGCTTTCGTATCAGCGTGAACTCGAGAACTTCTATAAAATTCTTAGCATTTTCAAAAACTTGAGAATAGTCTTTGCTGGGTATCTAGAATGTGAGAGATATTGGCAAGCATTTATTGGAAGACAGATCCGGAATTCCGTGAAGCTTTCAGATATTTTACCCATAGTTTTGATCAATCGATCAATCGCTGGGATGATTCAGTTGGCCCTCATGAGTACTAGTCAATACCGATATACTCAAGTCAGACATACTCTACACCATGAAATCATGAAATCTAAATAGGAGGACAGCGTTGAAAATGAGCCTATCAGGGTGATCCGCAGATATAAATTATATAGGCGCCTCAGCTCAGCCCCAAACAGCAGTTGATATACGATGTTCATCTGAACAAGCCTTTGATCTGCTTTTTAATCCCCTAAAAAGGCTAAGCTACAAGTTAAGTGGAGGTTTAAGTTTAGATATAAGGCTTAGGATAGGTTCCGGCCCACATAATATTTTTACTAATATTATGTTGGGCTGATAACTAACTACCGTAGTGAACAGTCTCCTCAAGGCTGACTTCATGTTCAGCCCAATTCAGCCCCCAGGCCCAGCCCTCAAGTTGCACGTTCCTCTTACCTCCGATCCGTCCCTTTTTTGGCCCTTAAAGTCTGGATCCACTTTGAACTCTAAGCTTGGTGGCTCTCATGTTACAATCTTAAAATCCAATTTGTGAGATCAATGGGAGAATTGTGCAGAGATTGTTTCATTTGATTTACTTTTTGCTTTAGGATAGTGTTTGGTGTATGTTTGTTTATACCGATATTTACTTCGGCTACTCTAAGCGTTTTAACATCTGTAGGTCGATGAACCACATTTTAAAGTTACTGAAAGATTTTATCTTCCACTAATTGCTGCTGTGATCCAATCATAATACTGTTGTCCAGCCGTCCTCGCTTCTCACACCAACCAGTCACTGACAAGTTCACTGGCCATAGTGGACCCTCGTGCGAAGACTGATGATCGCAGCCATTATTAAAAAGGCCAGTTCCCTAGACTAGGATATCAAATATCCTCTCTCGTCCTTCCCCGTCATGAAACGATGACCCTTCACGGTATCGGTATCCTCATTACGGCTGTGGCCATGGTATCTATGATACCCATGGTAGCGGCCAAGATGGCGCAGTCGACTAATGTCAACATTCTCTTCCCGGGCCTGCATGGTATGAACATGAACGACGTCGAAGGAAGTGTCGTGAGTGCCGATGCCACAGCCACCACGATTCAGATTGACTGCCGATCTAGCGCGACCAGTCAATGTACCTCTTCCGGTTATCTCTTACCCCAGACTCTCACTGCCGGTCCGTCCTTCCAGGACTTCCATTACGATGTCACCAGCTTTTGGAACAAAACTATCTATATCGTCACTGGGACTTTGGACTGCAACGTCACCGGGTCTACGCTCGGTGCCTCTTGCTACTTCTCGACCAGCACATGGATCTCCAGCGGCACGAACAGCAACTCCTCGGTATTCGCTACGACTGCCTCCATATCTTCGTTCAACTTGAAGTACAACACCTTGGCGGTGTCATCGGGCTTGGAGAACCTTCCCACCGCAACTGCTGCCACGAACGCGTCCCCAGGCCATACAGGGACATCAACATCCACTCCAACTACAACCACTGCAATGACACCAGAACATCACTCGTCCTCAGAGGCCTGGATCGCGGGCCCGGTGGTCGGCGCCGTTGCTGGCTTGGCTCTGGCTGCAGCGGCGGTGTTTTGGTTCGTCAGTCGCAGGCGTAAGAGCAATGCAGATCCTGTCTACTGGAATACAACAGAAGGAGCGCCAGAGATCTCAGAGCACCAGGCATATTTACCAGCGCAGAATGCTCAAATTGGAGAGCTTCCAGCGAAGAGTGTGCCAGCAGAATTATCAGCTCCACAAAAACCCCATGAGATGCAGTGAGAAAATGTTGGTCCTTAAGCAATCCTTCAATGTGCCGATGTGCCTTGTTATATCATGAGAGATTATCCTGGGGATGATGTGGAATATTCATATTGTATTATCGGATGTCAGAAGAAGTCAATTTATTGATCATGGACATGATCCTCAACAAGAATGCCTGTTTTTATCATTAACAAAAAGACATACTCGGACCAGCTAGTTCATGAATTGGGTCAGACAGATTGCACTGAATCTAAAAATTATAGATTGAATGATTTCCGACCAAATTCAAAGCTTCTGTCAACGCCTTCCTGCAGGCCCAGAGGTCGTTGATATGACGTGTCCGACTCCGAAAATAATTCAATGTAAGCAAATTTTAAGGGGCCAATAGCCGCACATGCGTCCATGTCATACTGTTTAATATCCATGATGAGAGTTTTGAAGCTACAGAGATCCATGTGAAGATACTAAAGGAGTACCATGAATTCATCGATGTCTTTTTGAAGATCGAATCTGATACGTTACCGCCATTATGAAGGGTACCGGACTATAAGATCGAAGAAATTTATTTTCAGCTTCGTCATATCATATCGGATTACATGAAGAAACAAATTTTTTACAAGCTGTATTTCCACGTAGGTCATTCTTCTGATTCAACATGCCAATATCAGTCTATCGGTATGCTAGTGAATAAAGTATAATCAGCTGGGTATATAAAGTAGCTGTCTAATACCAAATCGATGGTTTATTAATATAATAAGACAGCTTGAACTGTGGCGAATATGTTTTCCGGTAAAGTGTCTACGCGGGAGTCTAGAAGTTCCCCGCAATAGATATTAGGGTATAGTTGTTACGTTCAGGCACGAAGAGACAGAAGATCAACCCACGTAGTGGCATTCACGAAGCAGATAAGCATGAGTAGAGAAGAAGAAGGAAGGAGATATGCGAAAGGTGCGAGACGATATATAAATAGTAGATAGATGTCTGCGGCACAAGGCATCAACGCGGAAAACATATAAATCGTCACATTAGATAGATCATCAGGCGAATCGTTCGTTCAAACATTACTCAATTAAAGGAGTGCCACCAAAATAGCGGAAAGGATACTCAGGAAGATCAAGCGAGGAGGAGCGTTCTTCGGTGTCACCGCATTTGTGGGAGTAGTCGTCACGGTTGCGGTCACAGTATGATCTTCTACGCTTGCACTTGAAGTGGTACTGTGACTCTGGCTGGATAAGGATGTCTGCTGAATGGTTGTTTCGGCACTTTTGCCGGACAATGTCATTGTTGAGCTGGTCCTAGTTACAGTTGATCCAGATTCGACTACCGCCGAACCAGATACAATTACAGTCGAGCCAGACACAATCCGTGTTGAACCATACATTAGGGTTGTGCGATGTGATCCAGTCCCCGTAGCAGCGTTTTCGGTGTGAGAAGCAGTTTTTGTACCAGTTGAATCGGTTGAACTTGGAAGCTGAGTGCTAGCGGCGGTGCGTGATCCTCCACTTTGAAGACTGGCAGCGGCCGTTTCGCCAGAGGCCTCTGCATTTATGCTTGTGCTTGCCGTTAACTCGCTGGAAGTTGTCGCACTAGTACTTTCCGAGCTTGTCATTAGCCCATTGCAATAGGTCAACCACTGTGCAAAGGACGGCAGTAGGGTTGATGAGTATATATCCAACTTTCCAGTGGCGTAATTGCTGACACACGTCTCACAATTGCCCAAATCCACACGGAACGGTGAGTCACTCTGAGGAACCTGCGCCGCATCATTACAATCATTGTAGCAGACACCGGGCACATCCGAGCCAACGTCTCGTTTTTGGGCGTTTCGATCAACAAATCTATCCCACAGCGATCTAGCTTCTACCTGTGGGGGAAAGACAGTGTGCTTGCTGTAAGCAGCAACCCTGTCGTCCTCGAGTCGGAAAATGGAGTAATTAAGACGAAAGATTTGCGGACCGAGGTTAAAATAGTTCTCGGAGACATTGTAATGCTCTCCAAATCTATCAGTATCACGGGATTGGCTATAGACCAAGGCAAGAGCTGAAATACAATCCTCGGGGGCGCAGACGTAGCCATCTGCGGGGAGACCGGCTTCGACGTTACAGCCAGAGCGGCCACCAGCGTGAGGGGGGGCGGCAAAGGAAGCCAGGGGGCCATCCCCACGTATAGTCAGATGGGAGTTGAGAGGGAGGTGTATACGTGGGATTGGCAATTAGGCTAGCACAGGTTGACAGAGTAACCATGGCCGTGACAGTGCTGCCCTGCATCTTTGTCTCCCAAGGTGCAGAAACATTGTCAACGACGGTAACAGTGCTCGCCGGGTTAGTGAGGGTTACCGTAATTGTTGAACCCGCGATTGTAGTCGTGCTTCCAGGTTCTGTTGTAGCGCTCGTGATTGTCGACTCCGGAACTGTACGGATAATAGTAGATGCCGGCAGAGTCTCCGTGGAGCCAGGCTCAGTGATAGTTGAGGTGATAGTTAATCCACCAACCGTTTTAGTTGAGATAGATGTATCTGTGGCTGTTGAAACTCTTGTTGATACACTTGTAATGGTTCTCGCGCTCAGTGTCTCCGTGATAGTATATGTATCTGTGACAATTGCGCCTCCAACGGATATTGTGACAGTCAAAATGTTAGTCACTGCTGACCCGCCCAAAGTAGTGGTCAGTGTCGAAGTGTCTGTGACAGTAGATCCACCGACATTGGTCGTAACTGTAGGTCCAGACTCAGTAAGCGTCGTGCCGCCAACAATGGTCGTCGAAATGTCCGTAATAGTGGAGCCTGCCGTAGTCACAGTTACCGTTGAAGTGCCTGCGCTTCCGGAAATGTCCACGGTGACGGTTCTTGTTGAATTATCAGTGACCGTCGAAGCCAGACCGCTCACAGAATCAGTGACAGTCTGCGTGATAGTGTCGGTAACAGTTGATGCAGCTCGAGTGATCGTGTCGGTGGTCTCGTCCGTGATAGTCTCGGTGACTGGCTCATCCCCAAGTCCAATCGAAATTCTCACTGTGACCCAGGCCGTCACTATCGCGCAGAGATCAATTCCGACGCCGAGGTCGACGTCGAGGTCTCTAGGAACTGCCGCTACTGTCGGGACGAGTGTGGGGATCTCAAGCTCTCCGCCGCCCTCTGTTGCCGACAGACTCAAGGAAGAGGGCGCCCAAAGCAACAACCAAGGGATTGAGGCTCTCATTGTCTACCTCTTCGCGGGAATTAATCCGCGGCTTGGTGGAATCGAGGAAATTAAACAAACCCCAGAGCAGGTGAAAATGAAAACAGCTCCCCCCGTCTGGACGGTCCACGCGTTCCTTGGATGCACCTCATCCTGCGAGGCTTTGTCGAAGACCAGCAAACCCCACAGCCTGGCACCATGGCAAAATGGGCCTCCTGGTCCCCCCGAGATGCATGTATCTCGTCATCAACAAGAGGTCGAACCGAGCAATCAACCTGGGACTAAGCACCCCACGTTGCAGCATCTGCGCAGTAACTACTCCGTACCTTGTTAGTCAATGTTGGCAGTGTTGCCAATAGGCAGGGCAGGGAGGAGTCAGCCGCACGCGGGATGAACTGCCCAAACCCCTCGAGCTGATCGGCAGTTTGCGCTGCAGAGCCATCCCTTCGGGGAAAGGATCGGAGCCGGTCAAGCGAGGATGTTTTATCGTTGGCCGGTTTGACCGCCACGAAGCCACGCGAAGCCGGGTGTTGGACAACAATAGCAGCGTGTGAGGCACCAAAGACCAGACTCTGCGAATATGCGGAAGGGCGGAGGCAAGTCCAAACGCGGCGCAAAGCCGCGCTGTCAAGTCGAGGAACCAGCCCTGCCTCGCCTTCGCCCTTTCCCCCTCAATACAAGGCTGTATAGAGATGCATAGCGATACTCACCTAATAATCATCCGATCGCTATAAACCCGGCTTTGGAGAATGGTTCGCTCGCGAAAGCCAAAGAATAACCATTCTCGGGATGTGTACCATCCAAGCGATCGGTTGAAATATGAGGTTTCGTTTAGCAGCAGCCCTGGCGCTGGTCGTCGCGATCGACTATGTCGAAGCAGAATGTTCATCGTCGATGACCCAGTTGAACGAGACAATATGTACTTGGCAGGGAATTCGTGGTAAGTGTGCTGCATGGCCGCGATGTATTTTCGGTGCTGATCACAGCAGCCAACGTCGTTCGGAATACGATTTATATGGATGGTGGTCAAATATGGCTTCAGCAGTACGAAATATATGAGATGTTGTGACTGAAATACGGCACCGCTGACTATTTCAGAGCCTTCGATGGCGGCTGTGTGAACTACTACCCTTAACTTGTCTACCTCATTCACCACAGGCCCGGATTTCATGACAGTCCTCACCAATACGTCCTTTTTCGGTGGGAGCTCGAGTAACTTCGCCCCGAACTATATAGACGGCGCAATGCTTGCCAATGACGATGAATTCTTTCTCTACGGGTTGGTGGTCCCCCCCCCCCCCCTGCCAAGACTTTTTAATGCAGAACAACCCCACTGGTGGGCCGGAATATATTTAGGAAATTTCCCAAACTTCCACCGATTTGCATATCGCCACCTTCTTTTGTATATCTGCCCGCTGTTTGTATCAGGCTACTAGCGGCCTCGGTCTACCGCACGCTCGGAATCTTGCCGCCCAAACCCCCCCCCGTTGCAGATTGGCGTTTGGATTATGCGATTGCCATTGTGGTATTTCGTTTTCTTCTACTCTATACAAAACAGCCAACAGTCACAGTGCAATACCGCTTGCGTGCAATTCCCAAACGATGGTTTCCAAATTAATTTGCATTCTTTGAGACATCCATCTTCGGAGATGGATTTGCACAGCCAACCTCGTTTGAGTCAAACATCAATGATGAACGAGCCGAAAGATCAATGGCCTTTGATTCCCGAACATTGCTTCATCACACGTCATATCTGTATGGCCTTTCCACAACAGTCGCTTGGGGTGTTTGATCCAGAAGAAACCCGTGATCTCAATGGTTGATCCGATGACGCTTTTAGGCTGGGAATGACTTCAACCTTTCTCTCTCCACCAGCACGGCCATTATTTGCTTGAGAGAGGCCGGTTTTCGGAGGAAGACATCAACACCTGCCGCATAGGCTCTCGATATATGTTCATCCGATCCGAGGCCGGTGAGAGCAATTATATGTGCAGGAAACGTCTGCCGCTTTGACTCTATTAATCGAATTTTTCTGCTTGCCTCAAATCCGTCCATAACAGGCATGGACAGGTCTATAAGCGAGATTTTGTTAGATACATTGGGAGATATTGGAAAGACTGGAATCCAAAATGAAATCACTCACCCATAAAGACATAATCATAACCTTGCGGCATTTTCTGCACTAGTTCAACGGCGACTGCGCCGTTTACAGCGCAGTGCAAGACTTGCGTTGGTAAACTTGCAACGGACTTTTTAAGGAGTGCAAGGTTTATAGCATTGTCCTCTACCAAGAGGATTCGAAAGCCGTCTTTTATTTCACACACGGAGGAATCTTGGGGCTTCTGGATATCTTCCTGAATATGAACTGGCAGTGCAAGGTCCGTGATAGTGGACTTCATGTTTTCTTCATTTGGCATAGACGACGTGACCAACGAAGATGGGTTCGTCGACTCGAGTCGTATTTCATGCTGCGGAGGGAGGTGCGTTTTCGTCCGCATATCAGTTGATTTTGATTCCACACTCGGGTAGCTCTGGTCAATTCTGGCTGCGCTACCGTGCGTAGGGGTTTTGTTTGACTGCAAGTTCTGAAGAGAGCCAATAAGTGTCCTGGCTAGTTGGTGAGGCCCGCACGGGAGAGTAAGCCATATTGAGTTGCTCAGGTGCTCTTTCGTCGGAGCCACCGCTGACCATGGGCCAGGACTTTTATGAGACAGGACCAAAAGTAGGGCTTGACGATACGAATCTGGGAGTTGATCCAAATGACGCTCGTCAACAACCACTAGGTCCGAAGTGGTAGGCACAGTCTGATTTCCAATTGCCATGCCGAACCATGTGGTCAAATATTGTTTGATCATGTGAGATGATGACGGCTTGCCGGATTGAAAATTGTCAATGGGGTAAAAGAATGCCCTGCTCCCTTCAAGCTTTGTGGTGACATCTTGGATAGAATTCATAGCGGGCGATGACAAGCCTGGAAAAGGAGATTCGGTTTCAGAAAGTTTGTGCTCTTGCGGGTATGTAAGAGGGAAGGTTATCTTCACCACAGTACCGACGCCGAGTTGACTTTTTATTGTAATGCCTCCACCCAGCGAACGAAGTATTCCTCGAACGAGTGACAGACCAAGCCCTGCGCCCGGTGACATAGGGTTCTCTTGAGAAAATGGGGTAAAAACATTTGAACGAAGGTATTCATTTGAAATGCCCCTGCCCGTATCAGAAACTGTCATCAGGAGCACTGGGCAGTCGTTCTTTGACGTCTGAGTCTCAACATGGATCGAAACAGACCCGGCTTCCGTGTGCTTCAACGCGTTTCCGAACACATTCATAACGATGCGTCTCAAAGCACCTGGCTCCAACACATAGAGCCAATCCTGGGGCGCAGCATCGAGAAACACGTCCACTTGTTCGCCATCGGTGGTCTGCGATCCTTTCATGGTGTCATCCATTGGATCCAATTGCCATAGCCGGGCGGATGCACTGCCTCCGTTCATGATACCTGATAGGACCTGTCCAGAGAAGACGCTTTGAAAAGCTTCTTCAACGACTGCAACGACATCGACCAGCTTGACGATGTGTAATGACTGCGACTGCAGCCGATCACGTTGGGGACGTTGATGAGGCGAGCGAGATCTCGGTATTTCCCTCTCAAAAGAGTTGATTTTGGTGAAATCCAAGATCTGCTCAAAAGTTTCAAGAAGGGTTTGACCACAAGCACGGACAGTGTCAAGAAGCCGTTTAGCAAATTCCGAATCCACGTGACCTAAGAGTAATTCGTTAGATGCTAAGATGCCGTGTAGTGGGCTTCGTAATTCATGTCTTTGATAGTCTTGTCATTAGGAATTTCCATAGCAAGATAAAAGTCAGGAAGGGCCCGTGGTACTCACGACATGGTACTAATAAAATCACCTTTTTGCCTAGCCGAGTCTTGACTCTGAATACGACTATGTTCGACCATTAGGGACGAGCCAAATCCGAACAGTCCACCCAGATCGACATGTGCACTGAACACTCGAGTCTCCGATCGACTCCAACAAAAAGCGCCACCGAACCATCGTGAATTGAGAGAGTCCCAGAGTGGAGCGAAGATAATCCTCGTTGCGTTGGGAAAATTTTTCTTTATCGACTGAAGGTCCTTCTCGCGCAATGATCTGAGCGACTCTGGATGCACCGACGGTGGAGGTTTGGAAGGGTCCCGAGCATCATTCAGGCTCCCTGAGCTGATTCCATCTTCATCGGAAGAAAAGACTCCTCCATCGTAGTGTAAATACCATAATCCCCCGCGCGGGTGATGTCGTATCATTCTGCGTACAAAACTTGATTCCATTTGCGATGCTGGATATAAATCGAATTTTTCCCTGGTTTCATAGGGCTGATCATTGGTATCTGATACCGCCCATAATTTGGCCAGTTTTTTCTCCCGTTTCCTGTCTGGGCTATCGGAAGTATCACGGTCGATATCTTCGCCGGTGCCCATGATGACGACACCACCGTTTGAACCCAGATCCAAGCTTTCTCGCATGATGTTGGCAGCACACTGAAAGGTCCACTGTGCTCTATTATTGTTGAAATTTGGGCACGTTTCTATTTTCGATCTTGGTAAACGTTTGCGGGTTGCGGATGGAATGGAGCCAGAAGGCACACCATCAGAATTTTCGTCACTACTCGGCTGAGCCGATGAAACTAGTGATGGGCTTCTGCTTCTGGTCCTGAATATATATTCCCCGGCCTCGGTGTCAGGAGTTCTCTGGTCGCCTGATGAATATGATGTGTGAAAGTCCGGTTGGCCTAGGCTGTGCCTTGTTAAGTCACGCAACGTATCCGAATTGGCCGTGCCTTGCACAAATGTATTTAAGCCAGTCAATAGCTTTGTCAAGCGCTTAGCCTCTAATGACTGCCGAGAAGTCTCCAGATACTCCATCACCGCATCCGCGATATTTCCAAGTGTTTCTTTGTGGGACTCATCCAAACGGTGATCGGGGCGAGGATCAATCACGTACAAACTACCAATATTGATCCCATTGCCGGTTCTCAGTGGTGTACCGGCGTAGAACCGGAAATACGGATCTTCTAGGACGCAAGGCAAACTGGAAAAGGTTGGATGCTGTTTTAAATCGTTGACGACGAAGAACGCATGCTTCCCGTCCGGGGGCTTTAAGGTAATGGTTTTCTGTAACCATCAAAATCTGTCAGCCAAAGCCATCCTCATGAGACTATTTGTTCAAATGAAAGGCATTTTGAAGTTCATAGGGTTTACCTCGCACAAAGTTCCCGCAACGGGTCCTCGCGAACAGCCTACCCAGAGACCATCGCCATTTCCGTCATGTCGGTCGTTGTTTGCCAAATCCAGCGACCGTGACGCCTCCGCTACCACGTAAAGTGTTTCCCGATCAATCAGACTGGATGATTATTACTGGGTAAGTAAATATCTTAAGGATGAACTCCAAGGTTTGTGTGATGACCAAGGCACAATGGACAATCCAGCCAAGCGATCGAAGGGAAATTGTATGACCAATTAAAACAGGTGTACGTTTGATCACATTCCTGCAAAGCATTCGCGATAGAGTAATTCGTACCTGATAACACAGCGCTGAACCCCCAGCTTCAATGCGGCTAATTGTGCTAGGGCCGTCAACACCAGATTTGGACTTCTTTTTTGAATAGTGGGGTTTTCGCATGATCGAGTCGTGTGCTGAGCGATCGGCACCAGGGCCGGATTGTCTGGTTGAAAATAATGGAACAACTCCCGGGCGCGTAAGTCACCATCGCGATCTTCCTGCTGCGCGCTCATCGTGCTAGATTCAATTGGGGATCACCAACAGAAGAAACGAAAAAGACACTGAAACAAAAATTAGAAGTATAGGGAAATATAATTAACGGTGAAAAGGGGTTGAAACCAGCCCACATAGACCGCGAAAGAGCAGAAGGCAGTTAAGACTTGGGAGAGTCAAGTGGTGTCAGCCGCGAATTTCGCGGATGACGTCACAGTGAACTGTGAGGGTGCCTTGGTCTGGACCCAGCATGGTGCTGCATTCTTGGGTTAGCTTAACCGTCATCACCCTCCCGGTTCGTTTAGGGTACTGTACAATACTGTACAATACTGTACATTCAACTGAACTTTTGGTAGAACGGCGGATCTCGCTCATAGAGTCCGCGCTGGAAATCACAACCATTTTTTCCGAGTAATGTTCCGAGTATCCATTAGTATTCATTCACTCTACGGGTGATGTTTGCTTTTTGAGCACCTCAACTGAGAATGGTGGAACCCCATTTCCGTAGTCAACTGGGCATGTCGACCGAAGCAGCAACCAGCGGTATGGAATTGAGGGTCACCGGGTACCTATTGTACGGGATGCATGCTATGGGAGGGGGCAACGCAGTGCACTGGCGCGTCGCAACGCGTCGCGTAGGATACATGTGACACGCCCACACCAAATGAAATAACAGCGGATACGGAGTAAATTTGAAGTCAACAAGCTGGTCGTCTGCGACTGAGATTAAGAATTAGCCTTTTACCACTTGAATCATCAATGGAAAATTGTGACAGCCGAAGCAACTGGCTGGCCGTGCTTGCGAGGCTGCTTCTGCCGGCAGGAGCGTGCCCCTCGGTGGTGAAATCAAGGATGCAATCGGTCGGATTGCGGCTGGCTTGAGCTTAACATCGGGGAAATAGCCAACTACATTACAGCGACTATAGGCTTTCAAATTATATTTGTGATGAGGAGGTACTGGCCAGCTTTGAATCGCCGTCTGCATTAGGACACGGCCAAAGGAAGTTACTGTTAGATACACTCAATGTAGCGCCATTTCGAAGCTGCCGCCGCAAGTCGCGACTTGCCTTGCATGCGGCCTCGATGAGGTCCCCCACTACGAGCCTCTATACACTATCCCGATCGGATCCATAGAAACGACTAAACTAGGGGTCTCGTCTCACTGCTTCTTCATGTCAGCATGATTTCTGGTGACTGAGGATGGTACAGACTTGCCGTCAATGTAGCTGGCAACAAGATAGCAGACCAGGGACGAGGTAGCAGGTTCGGCTCGAACACATGTGCACGACGAACACAAGTGACCCGTATCACTCATTACCGCGGGAATCGACGTGGACTATTGTCTCCCAACACAGAGGGAATACATATCACAAGCAAGAACTCGATTTTTCAGCTTCGCATAACGCCAATTTTCGAGGAACAGTCGTTAATCTACGTCGTATTAGAGCCTCAAAACGCGTCAAAAGATCACTGGGTCGCGATCAATGAACAGCACGCCTACATAAACGAAACTTATAAAATTTTGGTCGATAGAGTGAAAGATTACGCGATCTTTATGCTCGACACTCGGGGCATCATAATTACGTGGAATTCTGGCGCTGCAATTTTGAAGGGATATTCCCCATCCGAAATCATCGGCAAGCACTTTTCTATTCTATATGGTCCTGAAGACCGTGATATTGAACTACCAAGTAGGGGTTTGGCACGGGCTCTACAGGATGGTCGGATGGAAGATGAAGGCTGGCGGCATCGACAAGATGGATCGCGTTTCTGGGCCAACGTGATGATCACGCCTATTTATCAGTTTGGCCGTCACGTCGGCTTTGCCAAGGTCACGCGCGACCTCACGGAGCGAAAGGCTGCCGAGGCACGCATGGTGGTAGCCTTCGAGGAGTTCGCGAAGATGAAGACAGAATTCTTGGCAAACATGAGCCATGAGTTACGGACCCCCATGAACGGTATGCAGGCTTGCGCTCGCGATGATGAGGGATACCGAACTTACCGGCCGGCAACTTGAATACGCTTCGATTATGGAGGACTCAACGTCGATCTTGCTCCAGGCCATTAATGATATCCTGGACTACTCGAAGCTATCATCTGGATCTTTCTCTCTTCACTCTGACGTTGTGGATATCAAGAGCATTCTTGATGCTGTCGTGCGCAACTGCAGGTCTCTCTTGGAGCCCGGAGTTGAGCTGATTTGTTCGATTCCACCGGACTAACCTAAGGTTATGCATGGTGACCCATTACGGTATCGTCAGGTAGTTCAGAATATGCTCGGAAACGCCGTGAAATTTACGGGGTCTGGCAGTATTCGACTGGCTACTACTTTCTCTCCCGTCAAATCGGATCCCCAGGTCTACATTATCACAACAGAGTTTGCAGACTCTGGAGTTGGAATTCCTGATAGTTCTCTCAATACTCTCTTCACACCTTTTACGCGATTTGCCGATGCTATAGCCCAACAGTACCAGGGCACTGATCTTGGTCTTTCGATTTGCAAGAGTTTAGCGGAGCTTAGGGACGGCACAGTGGGCTATATGCCTGGTCCACAGCGCAAAGGCAGTGTGTTATGGTTCACAGCCAGAATGGGTCGCACATACATTGGCGATCCAAATAAGCTACCTGCCACGCCTACGACTGATAAATCCAGGGACCTCCTCAACAAAGTCAGAGAAATTGCGCCGCGCAAGCATTTGTTACTTGTCGAGGATAATCTTATCAACTATATGGTGATGCTCAAGCTTCTTCAAAGCTTTGGTTTTGAGCGCATTGATGTGGCCTGGGACGGGAAGGAGGCCGTTCGACAAGTCAAGGAAATGCCTTTGTCATTCAATTTTGTTCTCATAGACATCAGTATGCCGGTGCTCAATGGGTTGGAAGCGACTTCACAGATAAGAGGCAAGGGCATTGACGTGCCTATCGTTGCCCTTACGGCGAATGCGTTAACGAGCGATATGGAGATGTACCTCGCTAAGGGGATGAAAGATTATATCGGAAAACCAATCCACCGCGACCAGTTATTGCAGGTTCTCTGGAAATGGATGGGGACTTGACAAGCCTTAAACTGAACTATTACTACAGTGCAGTCACCCGTCCATAAATATCCTCTATGACAGAATATTTTCCCATTCCCCTTCTGCGTCCGGCGGAGCCTGGGAGGAAAGGATCATAGGAACGTCCACATACTTGAAACATGTACATAGATTGCGTGCATTGCGTCAATGGATATGTCTCGACCACATCTGGAGCCGCTCCTCAATGGCAGTCTTGAGTTTTGTTGAAGTGCTCGGTAGCGAACACTCAAATAATAGTAAGCCGTAATCGCTTTACTTGCCTTGCTATATAGGGTATAACTATAGTTTTAGATACCGCCACATAGTGAAATTTTCATATCAGCCAAGATTTATAACGCCGAGTGTTATGCTCTTCTGCTATTCGGAAGTCCCTTTCGATTGTAATGCCTTCCTCGTCGCTTTCAGATCTTTTCATATCCTCCATCTGTATTTGGAAGGCATGTGTTGTCAGCTGGGCTTCATCCCAGTCAAGAGGCGTTTGTGGTTTCCGTGCCACACTTTCACGTTTCGAGGAAGAATTTCTGGGGTTATTCTGCGAACTCTCATTTTGTCTTCCAGTGCTGAAGCTGGAAAAGTGCTCGACTGTATATCGAAGCAGAGGTTTCAAAGTTGGAAGACAGGCACACAGAATGCCAATAGAAGGCTCAACACTGGACCAGATGAAAACATCTCCCATAATCCAAGTGATATCGACCGAATGGCCGAGGAATGCCATGTAGTAAATTCGGACTAGACTCGCAACACAGACACTGTACGATGTTAGTGTTTATCCCGGGTGCAAACAGCGGTGGGGAGATAAATACAATCCGCCTAACAGAAAAATACCAATGATAAGGATTTTCTGACTTGTTCGCATCTGCAGTTTCCAGGTCAAAGGGATGGGGACTAGAAGGATGAGGACGTCCGTTGTCACGTTGGCAGCTGCATTGCCGAGGTAGAATGGATATAGAGGGAAGACACATTTGCCCCCAGCTGGGTCGGTGTATTGACTCCAGTAGTATGAAACGGGTCGGCAGCAAACCAAAAATGCAACATTGCAAGAAATGAAATAGCCAGCCGTAAGGAACATGCAGAGCCCAATCGTCCAGGTCATGCCAAAAATGCGTCGGTAAAAGAGGAGTATAGAGAATTTGATCAAGGGTACCGTGGCGACGTAGATCAGGATGTAGGCGAACAAAATCTGCATGACCGTGATCACATCGTCGATGGGAACAGCCCATACATGCTTCCCGAGACCGTGGTATCCACCTGCATGATTCAAATCAGTATCCGGCCTATGGCGTGACTGGGTTGGGAGCAAGGCTACCTATGATTGTTGACACAAGGCTGGCAGTGACGGCTACCTGTAGATGGAGACGAACGTGTTAGCCTGGCCTTCCGCAACGGAGCGCCTGCGGGTAAGAAGATCATACCAGTGCGCCTAGAATCAGCCAGTCGTCTGCAGCTACCGACACTCTTCGCACCCGCAGTCTTGTGTAGAAGCGAAGTGCAATGGCGACGGCTGCAATGCAATACGTTGTAATGACAGCTGCGTTGTTGTTTCCGCTGTGATTGACAGACAAATCCGTTCCGGGAGGAGGTTCCCGAATATACTTGTGGACATATTGCTGGATCTTCGATAGGACCTATTCGCACGACATCCTGCAAAGGTGAATAAATCTTGGAAACCATTTCAGGGTCAAATTCGCCGTTAGCAGCTATTATAGCAGCATAAAACAATCCTCCTGTCATTCGAAGCTACTCATGCAGCCGGCTCCACAAAAGACATAGCCCTAATCCTTCATCCCTCCTGGTTGCAACGCTAGCCCGTGGGGGCCAATCTTGCGACCCTGAGCTGTCAATGCAAGAGTTATGCTTTCTGAAGTAGCGCGGCTCGAATTTCGTAGAAACCACAGATTGTTGAAAAGATGAGACATAAATGTCAGCACCTACTTCATTGAATCGAACCACAAGCCATCGGCATCAGCACCTTCAAGGTTCCGAACCGAGAGTATAATAAATGGGTCGCGAGATGGGGTAAGCCTTGACTGGTGCATCCTTCCAGCGAACTTGTTCAACTTCCCAGCCCGTCTCTCCACATAGCATGTCCGAGCCATTCGCCGATAATGCCTGAACTCGCCGCACTATACCATTTATTGAGCCACTAAAGGGATAATGGGCCCACCGTGCATTTTGACGAAACCTGCACGGAGATTAAGAATGAGCATTTCCCCCGCTGCACGCTAGGAAATAAATTCTTAGCAAACCCAAAACGTCCTGGTGTGCACATCAGACATCATGCCATCGAACGAATTCATCGACGAAGAAGCAATCCGCACAGACCCTAGTCGATGGGCCTTCCAGCCTCGAAAGCTACGAATTGTATGCATCGGCGCAGGCTTTTCAGGCCTAATCTTGGCCCACAAACTCAAGCATGAACAACCCCTCGATTTTGTCGACTTTACGATCTACGAAAAGAACAAGGATGTAGGCGGCACTTGGCTCGAGAACGTCTATCCTGGAGTCGGCTGCGACATTCCATCGCATAGCTACATTTTCCCCTTTGAGCCGAATCCTTCGTGGTCTAAATGCTATGTCGGGGGCCCAGAAATACAAGAATACATACAGAATACCGTGGAAAAGTATGGGCTAAAAGATCCGATCCAATTCGATACTAGATTGATAAAGTCAATTTGGAATGAGGATACCGGAAAATGGAGTCTTCACCTAAGACAAGGTGGTGGCAAAATTATTAGCGACGAAGCCGACGTCCTTATCAACGCGTCCGGAATTCTAAATCGACACAAAACTCCAAACATCGAGGGATTGGATAACTTCACCGGCAAAATCCTCCATACTGCTGCTTGGGACACCTCTTACGAATGGGAGGGGAAGAAAATTGCCGTCATTGGAAATGGCTCTTCAGGGATTCAGGTTGTGCCGGCGCTGCAACCGAAAGCTGCAAAGCTCGTAAATTATATTCGCAATCCCACCTGGGTTTCGGTCAACTTGTGCCCGGATATAACGAAGGATGGAATGGGTACAAACTTTGAGTACACCAACGAAGAAAAGGACTTATACCGGAATGATCCGCAAAAATACCTCGAGTACCGGAAGCGCATTGAGTGCTCGTAAGATCAGCCTTGTATACCCTTTGTCCTTCCTTTACGCTGACTTTGAGAAGTGTTAATTCAGTGTACCGCCTAATGCTGACTGGTTCGGAGCTTAATAGCTTTATAGCCAACGCTACTGAAGGTCTTATGCGACAGCGTCTCAGCGAGAACCCACACTTAATCGAAAAGCTTATTCCAAAGTACGATGTTGGCTGCCGCAGACTGAGCCCGGGCGATGGATACCTGGAGTCCATGCAGCAGCCCAATGCAAAGTGGTGCTTTGAGGGCATAGAGGAAATTACCTCGGCTGGTATCCGCACGGCAGCTGGAGTGGAAGAGTTCGACTTGATTGTCTGTGCAACTGGATTCGATACGTCGTTTGTTCCAGGGTGGGAACTCATTGGTCGAGACGGTCGCCGGTTAGATAAAGAGTGGGCAGCCACACCCGAGGCATACTTCGCACTCTGCACCGCTGCCACACCAAACTATTTTATGTTTGCAGGGCCAAATTGTCCCATCGGCCACGGAAGTGTGCCCCAAATGCTAGCGTGGAGTGCCGACTACATGCTCAAATGGGCACAGAAAATTGCTCGCGAGGATATCAAGTAAGTTTCCCATTCTCCGGGTATACCCGACTATTTTACTGATGCATATTGGAAAGATCTGCTGCAGTCTATGACTCTGTTGTTCATAGCTACAACCGCCGCGCGCAGGGTACTCTGAAGAATACAGTCTGGAGCGGAGGCTGTAGTGCCTGGTATAACAATGGAGATACCGTCACAGCGATGTACCCTGGCAGTGTCCTTCATTTCAAAGGTAAGGTTGATTTATGCTGTCACGCTTATGGCAGGAGTCGTTTCATGTATAGATGCTGACAAGCGAACACAGAGGCGATTGCAAATATTCGTGGAGAGGATTTCGAAATCCGTTATAATACTGCCGACCCTTTCGCTTTTCTTGGAAACGGAGAGATGGAATGGGAGCGAGCCGAGGGGGCTGATCTCGCGTTCTATCTGTAATATCAGAAAGATATACGTATGCCTGGAAATGCGTCACTTCTTCACTATGAAAATAAAAGAAAATTTCATTTTCACGTGCTCATGATACGGTGCAGTAATTCCGAGACGGATGACAAATCACACCCAGGCCGGAATATATTTAGGAGAATAGTTTAGTTGATTCTAATCAAACTTCCAAAAAGCCCGATCGAAAAATATAGAGGATTGATGTAGTTAGGGGGGGGGGGACGTATTTACTCCCCCCCCCCTCGCCAAGACTTTTCTAAGCGCGTCCCCGGGGGGGGGACGGGCCGGAATATATTTAGGGTTTATTTAAATCCAAAGAAAGTCCAAGCTACGCCGAAGAGCCTATACGTCGAAACCCAAATTCCCGCCAGAAATTTTCGAAATTTGTTAACATATACAGTATATGATATACTGTAATATCGCTAGATAGTCGGTAGAGTGGCATAACCCAGTGCAGTACAGTCGCCTCCAATGCATCAGCCTCAGATTGAACACACCATGAGAATAATCAGCGGTCGAAACCTGTAGCGTAAAGCCCCCGAATGTAAATTCTCCGACCCCAGAAATCAAGCCAATACCACTCTTTCCTTCCCCTTCCAATTGTTCCCCCGAACTATCCCCTCTTCTCGCCCCTCGCAAAAACCGCCGTCCACTTCTGCGGCACCAGGCTGGTCTCTCCGTACGTCTTGTCCAAATAACTCGCCAGCGCCGGCAAAATCTCCCACTCATGAGCCTCGCGCTGCTCGACCGACCACCATTTACTAACTATGATCGGAATTACCGGCCCGGCGATCTTGTACAGATCGGCCGTAGAGGTATTGAATTCCTTGGAGATTGTGGTCGTGTGTATGCGCACGAAACCAGCCTGCTCGAGGCGGCCACGCACGTACTCCTCGTCGTCCCAGCCGGGATTCATGCAGGACATGAATTCTTTGGTAGTGGGGAAGGGGAGGTCTGCTGGGATGGTGCGGACGGCGGCTTCGAGGACGGGGAGCCATTCCGCTTTATTGCCGTTAGTTTTACTGCGCCTGGAAAATTACTGGAAAGAGAAAGGAAGGGAAGGGGTTGGAGCGTACTTTTCTGCCAGGTTGAGATGGTCAATGTGCCACCTCGCTTCAGAATGCGGAGCGTATCTTGGTTTTAACATTACTTGTTGCGTTTGGTGGATAATGTATTGGAGGGAGGGGATTTACCGTTCAAAGCGGCGTAAGTATCAGGAAATGAGGTCCACGCTTTCGAGCTTTTCATTAGCACGCTATAGTCAATTCAGAGGGTAGGTAACACACCCAGCGCAGCAAACACATGCGTCAACTCAGTGGCAGGCAACTCTGTGTTCTGGGCATCCATCACCCGAGCGCTCGAATTAGACCACCCTTCCTCGACAATCTTGCGCTTGACATGGTCCGTCAGCTCCGTCGAGATGTCGCCGCATATCAGCTCCCAGCTGGCTTGGGGCTGGCCCGCTAACACCTCATGGAGCTTCTCGGACACGACCCCGGTCCCGCAGGCGAGGTCCAGCACCTGGAGTGGTCGAAAATTCGACTCTAGCAGGCCCGACAGCTCGATCAGATCCTGCGTGAAGTACCGCGTGATCTTCTCGGCGATCATATACGTCTCCAGGATGCCTTTACCTGAGTAGAGCTCGGTGAAGTTAGTGGCGCGGGTCATAGTGAGATTTTTGAGGATAGATGGGATTGTGGTTGAGGAATGGGAGGTAGGTTGATAGGGTGGCAGCACAAGATGAATATGAATAACAGAAGAGGGGAACGATACCCAGGTAGAATAAGCTGCTGACCGTGGGAGTTCCCCTCGGTTTCGGTTTTTTGGCTCGTGTCTTCCCGCAGAGGCTTGCGTTACAGGGCCCTCGCCTCCCTTACCTCACCTATTTAGGTATTGTCCAGACCTTCAGATCTCCATCAACCCATATTCAGCTAGATGCATCATCACGAATGTTACAGAGCAGGGGCTGCAAGGGGGAAAGAGTAGGGGAGGGGGTATGTGGCGTGCTAAGTATTGAATCTGTGAATTCGTTAGGAGTGCAAATTCCGGTCACTTCGGAATCTATGCTGACGAGACTCAACCCGAGAGACACATTAATCCTTAACACGAGAGAACAACCACACTTACCCATCAATAAGGTCGAAAGACAATCGTCACGCACCGGGTGGATATATCACATTTTCTTTCGAGGCAAGCATCATGGAGACCATCACCATGTCCCAACTCTTGTACCTAGGAATCGGGCTGGTCAGTTTGCTCTTCCTCAAGCGATCCATTCTCGCTTTCTTCGGCGAGCCTAAACCCGTCAATTGGCATGCCTGCGATCCCTTCCAGCGCCAAGCAAAGGAGGACTTTAGCCACAATGCCCGCGAACTGATTGCGAAAGGGCTCGAGGAGGTGAGTCGAGCCCAAAGTCGAGTTGCAACGGAATGGCGAGATAAATTGACATGATTCGGTGCCCCTAGGGTCGCTCGATGTTCCGAGTGGCGACCAACATGGGAATGTATCTAATTTTGTCCGACCGATACGCTGAGGAAATTAGAAACGATGAGAGATTCAGTGCCTACGACGCGTTAGTGGATGTATGTATTCCCGGTCAATCACCGCATATATAAGTTATAACCGAACCCGAATTACTAATTCTATATGTACAACTTGAAGGTCATTCTTCTGGAGTTACCGGGCTTTGAAACGACGTTCCAAAGCTCGTTACATAACCATGTCTCTCCGATGGCTATCCAGGCCCTGAACAAGAAACTTCGTGAGTTTCGCTTCTTATAAAACGTTTCTGGATAAACAGAGCCCCTAACTTACCACCGCTTCTCCACCTTTTATTTAGTACACTTGACGCGCCCCCTCTCCGATGAAGCCAGCGAGTGTTTGCGCACTAAGTGGACCGAGGCGTCTAGTAAGTCCCAAGCACAGCATTCGAGCACTATAGCTGTAGAAAACTAAGCCATATATAAACCAGCAGTTTGGCAGTCCGTGCCCATCCGCGAGACGATATTGGCGTTAGTGGCGCAGATGACCACGAGAGCCCTAATTGGACCCGAGCTCAGTCGCAACTCCGAATGGCTCGAGATCGTCATCAGCTTCACTACTAACCGCGCCATCGCCGTGGCCGCCATTCAAGCCTGGCCTCGCTTTCTCCAACCGCTGGTCCACTGGTTTTTGGGCCCCTGCCAGACGGTGCGCCGTCAGATCAAGCGCGCGAACCGCATTTTGTTGCCTGTGCTGCGTGAGAAAACCCGTTGTGCGGGGGAGCGCAACGCCGACGACCGGGAGTTTTCCACCCTGACGTTCATCGACCAGTTCGCCAATGGCGCACGCTACGACGCCACGCTAGCGCAGCTACGTTTAATCGCCGTCTCCGTCCTGACGACAGCGGATCTAGTGGAGAAAGTGGTGGCTCGACTGGTGGAACACTCCGAGCTGATCCAACCGCTGCGCGAGGAGTTGGTTACCGTCTTGACAGCTAGCCCGCATGGCATCCATCGCACCAGCCTGCTTAAGCTCACGCTGATGGAGAGTGTAATGAAGGAAAGCCAGCGTCTTGAGCCTGCCACACTCAGTTTGTCTTCCCCCTACCCCATCCTCTAGCCAACTACCTCAATACACAACTGATAAAGTCAAGTATCAATGTTCCGCTTCGCTAAAGAGCCCGTAACTCTCCAAGACGGCACCAAAATCCCCAAAGGTACCAACTTGGCCTTCGCCAATGACCTCCGCCTCAATGCCATCATGTACCCGGATCCCGAAGTATTTGACGGCTACCGCTTCGAAAAGATGAGGGGAGATCGCAGCACCGCCGGTTTGGCCCCCTTCACGAAGACGCGCATGAGCCACTTGGCCTTTGGTCACGGGAAGCACGCCTGTCCCGGGCGGTTTCTGTCGTCTGATGAGGCGAAGTTGATTCTGTGTCACATGTTGCTTAAGTACGATATCAGGGCGCCGGAGGGGGGCATTGGGGGTCTGTTAGTTAGTGGGATGTTTGTGCAGCGGGAGGCGGGGGCGAGGATGGTGGTAAAACTACGTGAACTGGAGGCCGAATTGGCGGAGATATTGCAATAATTACTATACGAAAAGGTACTATACCGGGGTTTCCATATTATGTACAGATTCAAGTTACTGTGATCTACCGTAGCATATAAGTGGTATCCGCGATCATGAATTTGGCTCTATACCTGCTTGAAATCGTTGTACAGATAAGTGTTTTTACTGTCTGTGCCTTCTAATGGTTTTCGATACACGGTATTGCACTTATATGCTAGTATACAGTCCTGTTTCAAACTTTTGGAACGCCACTGTACTAGTACTCTTTGAATTATAGTGGATATACTTCTCGGTGCTTCCAAGGTTAGTGAAGATAAGTTATCTACTAATAACAGTATCGTAACTAGTTGTTCAAGAATTGCAGGAATTGAAAACTTCTGACCAGAAGGGTGTTAATAGAAATTCTAGTCTTAGGCATTCGCCTTGTAGTCATGCGCAATATGATATTCGCTGTCTTCCGGAACATTGCGCGGTCTGTACTTGCTGCCATCCTGAATTGCTCGTTGGATCACCGGAAACTCCTCATAAACATCCCGGTGAACATCATATCCAAAAATCCACTCAGGTCGGGGAAACTTTATCATCGCCGGATTCTTCTCGATCGCCTCCCAGTCGGGATCGCGCATCTGCGCGTAGATGGCATTCCCACTCTCCTGGATGAGACGCGTCCGCTGGTATCGGAGGGCCTGAACGGCTTGCAGACCTAGGCGCACCCGCGACTTGCCCGCCAGCTCAAGACAAATGGCCAGCGTCGCCGCATCTTCAATGGACTGCCCACCCCCTTGGCCCGCAATGGGGGACATGGCGTGGGCGGCATCGCCGAGGATCATGATGCGTCCCCCACTTGAGATCCAACGCGGCAGAGGATCACGGGCGATGATTTTGTAGTCCGCCAGCGTATCGCTAGGTGTATGCCTGAGGACGTCGGCGATCTTTGGGTAGATCGGCCAGTCTATCAAGAGTGCCAGGGCATCCTCCACACGAGTCTTGGAGGTGTTCTCCCAGCTTTCGGCCGATTGCGCATCGTTCTAGAATTATTCTCATCAGTAGACCTCACTTTGGCAGACAAAGGATACTTACTCGGTGCCAAACCTGCCAGATCACATTCTGTCCCCGTTTCCCCGTGGCCAGGGTCAGCCCCAGGCCTCCATCGGTAATGTATCTCCGCATACGATCTCGCTCGCCTACTTCCTTCAAGATCCATGCGGCTCCCGGATCCCCCTCGACAAGTTTCGCACGAAAGCATGACCGATACGCGGCCAACCCGGTGTTCTGCGTGGGAATACGATATCCGAGCACAAAATCTCGAGTTTTACTGTGCACACCATCCGCGCCGATGACACAGTCAGCAGAGATTTTCTGGTATCCATTCACTGTCACACCCGCCTGATTGTCATTCTTCGACTCCCAATATTCGGTGACCTCTGATCCGAACCGTAAGTCAATCCCTAAGGAGGCTGCATGGCGATACAGAATGGTGATGAGTGTGCCCCGATGAATAATCATGCCCTCTCCAATGCCATAGCCATCCATCACATCCATGGCATAAAGCTTTCCCGCGGGATCGAGGACCTCCATGGCGGCCACATCATCCGATTGCGCGACGAGCTGAAGGTACACTCTGCCATGTTCCCACGCCCGCAATACTTTAGTGGCGTTACTGCCCAGTGCGATGCTATCCCCTGTATACTCGGTCAAACATTGTGAGCTTGCTGGGTTAGTGTGGAAACACAAGCCTGGAACACATACCTAAAACACGAATTTCGGGACTCTTCTCCAGCCCGATCACCCTATGCCCCTTGTAATGGCACTCTATGGCGGCCACCAGCCCCGCAATCCCCAGCCCTACAATAATTACATCAATGCCGCTGGATCGGGGCTCCGCGACTCCGGCCGGCCCAACTCCGTTTGTGATTGTCATCTTAACAAGTGGTTTTGTGGCCGTGGTTGCTATGCTATTGAATGGCAATATCAGTTACTTCAGAAAAGTAGAACTCTGCTGTCGGTTTAACTCATGGGCCAGCTGATCGATAAGCCTCCTTGCATGAAGAAGGAAGGGATCGGGGGATTGGTGGTGTGGGGAATCCTGCGCTATTGAACACATGATGCAGTCAGTGTCAGTGTTCAAACCTGAACTCCCCCCCCCCCCCCGCCCCTCGCGTGTTGAGTGCATTTTGAGTCCTATTTTGCTAGATTTTCTCATCGCCTATGTACAGCCCGTCCACGCATTTAGCAACGCTCTAGCCATCGGTATGCAGCCCTAGATTAAATCCCACCGTATAACCATCAAGCGACTTCTTCGAATACTAACGTTTAGGCTCGGAACCTCAATAGAACGTGATCTCTGTTTAGAAGTAGTTCCTGTTTCTGTTTAAGATTTCTTTCGGTTCTTACTAGTAAAAAACAACGGTATGTACCTTGAGACGCCAGGAATCCTCCATATACTTGATGGATTCAACGGTATAGAAAAGAGCATTGAAGCAGCTGTTGCTCGGCAGTTGATTTGTGTTTCTACCAGTGAGGGTCTTGAAGAGCTGTAGAGATTGTAGCCAGGGACATATTATATGAAGGCCTAGATATGGGGAGTGGCGTACAGATAGTAAACCTTGATCTTCATCGTGATCATCGTTAGACCTTGACAAAGCCCCGGCCGGACCGGGCTAAGGGCTACCCTAGCCACTAAATTCGGGCCGGGCCGTGTGCCGGGCTAGGTAGCCCGTGAGCTTTGCCAAGGTCTAGCCGCAGTCTGCGGAGTGGAATTCCCTATAGGGCAAAGATCTTCTATTGGAGGGTTTCCACCACAAGCAACAGACCACGGATCGCGAAGACTTGATCTGTTGGTGGAATTTGTTGCGGTCTGATGAATTTCTTGAAAAAAGAAAAAAAAAAAAAATGCTACGTAGTGTTAAAGTTTTGTGCTGAAGAATATACATACTTGGTCTCATTCTGTGACTGCTTATGCCGAACCATACAGGCTGCTTCGACATCGTAACCCAACTTGAAGAGGGAAGAAAAAAGAGGGTAGTATTGCGCTATGCCCCTGTGAGTATGTCATCATTGGTACCTCCCGGGCTCCTGGCCAGCGAAGGGGAGAGATATGCAGCATTCCTTGCACGGGGAGCGTATGGTGATTCTTCATATGTGCTTTTGATCCTGCACATGCAACATTGGCATTGCTCCGGCTTCATGTAAATCAGGGTAGCAGCCAGAGCTTGCCCCTTGAGTGTGGCAGCTACGCAAGGACGCTTCTGGGACTTTCGATGTTTGCGAAGGACTACGAGAGTTCGGTATTTGAAGTAGGCTTAGCGTGAGGGAGTGAGTCAAGCTCGCTATCCTTCAATTGAGGCCGGAGTAATGATGTCTGATTCGGATTTGATTTCAGGCTGCCTCAGGCCACGAGATACAAGCTCAAACTAATTGGGTATGGTAAGGTACGCGTGACAAGTACAAGTTGTAATCGTAACCGAAGAGATCATTTACAGTCTTCTCCAAAACAAAACTTTTTAGTCCAGAAAGCTACTTGGAGTCCATCATAAGTTCCTTCGAAACTTCATGTTTTCTTTAGTACTGACAAGCTGATGTAAAGATACTAGTATATGTTTGATGACTAGAATGCCTTACCGCCATACTTTCCTCGAGAGAGTGCTATTTATTGGAGCCTCGCCTCGACAATGCCTATAATATCCCCCAGCTTCCTCCACACCTTCACTAGAACAAGCCCGATACTTTCCAGAATGCTCGCAAAGTTCTCCTCGGTACTTTCAATTCCTCCGATGGCCATCAGGCTCAGATCCTGCCAGGCGTGAGTCATGGTAGCGCCCGTCTCCGGGACAATAATGTCGTGGATCAAGACCCGGGACTGGTCGCGGTCCATCGCGACTGTGGTATTCTGGAGGATCTTCTTCGCTTCAGGAAGATCCGGCCAATCGTGGAAGATGCGCCGGAAGTAATAACATGAGCCATCACGACCATAACACGGCCATTCGACGAGAAAGAAACGGCTTACCGCGGATTGGCTGTTCTTGTTTCAAAATGTCGTAAACCTGCGGTTCGATACCATCAGCTCGCAGCGCCTGGCTGTGTTCCTAAATGACGGGTTCGAGATCTTGCACGATGAAACGGTGACCTTATAACCCTGGAGCAATCTCTCTGATCTGCCTCATGGCGTTTCCATGACTACCGGCAATATCAACTATGGTAACATGATCCTTTGCAACACCACTAAGCCGATCCTCCCATGAGAACAGATCCATGGCCATTTGGTCCACGTCAGCCGCTTCGGCCTTGGTTACGGGAGCAACATGCCTCGGGTTCTTGTAGAGGTACTCGAACATCGTCCGGCCCGGACACTTGTGGGCCAGGGTGAACGGGTTGCTTCGGGTCGTGATCGCATTCTTCCAGTCATGCTGGCGAAGAAAGTCGCAGATCTGCAGGACAAGGCCGAAGATGAGGTCCGACCTGAGCCAAACGTTTCGTGGTCAGTAAATAACCAGTGACTGGATTGGCCTCCGCCTCGACTACGCACATTACCGGAAAGCAGCTAGCGATATCCGCGGTCAGGTATGCCTCGGAATACGGCGTGTGGGCATATTCTTCTTCGCCTGTCTCACAGAATGGACCAAATGGGGTCACGGCTCGCATCAGACGTACTGTATGTTCATCAGCATTGGATATGTCCGAGTTTCTGGAATCTCAACTACGACATACTCAGAACACTCTTATCCATGCCTGTCCGTGAAGAGATCACGCTGGCTGTCATCGGAGGTCCGCCTTGGGGGATGACATGGAAGACTCCGGCCGCAAGAAGAGTTCGTAAAGATCCCACTTTAACGATCTTTCAAGTGCTCATTTATGGTCATTATTTGCCACATGGTACAGAGAGGGTGCTCATTGACATTTTCAAAGGAAGACAATGCCGATGAAACAGGGCCCCGGAGGGTTTGGAATAGGTTGAAGGCCTTCTTCTGAAGGTCAAGGTTGACCTCATCGCCGGCCATATCACCACCACCAGCTTTCATGAATCGCTGGGCGAAGTTAATTATCTCGTCAACATCTTTTTGCACGGCCAGCTTTTGCACATCAGTCTTGTCGGTAACTGTCATGGTAGTGGAGACTCTTCGTCCCTGCAATATGTAGTAGCTGGCATCAACTAACAACGGAAAAGTGCCTTCTTTTTGAAAATCAGGATTTGGGCTTACTCGTATGTCTTAATATTATCGTCGAGGTGGCTCTAAATCAGGGATCAGACCCGTTATTTACTATCTCCCTGCAGATGAGTCCGACATGGATTACTCGTCGCTTTCGCCAATTCACACCTTTGCTCGACTTCACCCTACACATAATTTTATTTCACACCTGATAAAAGCTGTACCAAATTGACATTTAGTACGATTAACTTAAAAGTTGCGTAAGGTCTGATGTGATTTCAGTTTCATCCTAAAATACTCGTAGTCTAGTTAATATATCTATCTTCGCTTTTGGCAGAATAACTCAACATACATAATACCTAACCTGATCTTCGCTTCAAATCGTAAAGCCTAGTTTCCTCTTGACACAACCTGTTCAATCAGTTCAGTCGCTTGATATTGCTATCATCTTAAAACGCTCGAGACCTGCGCTCTGCAAGGGACTGACTGGACTATTCAGTGAACTCCTATGCTGATTGGTTCTTCGGACAGTATGATGCTACATCTGCGGTTTAGGTACGGTACAAATTCAGGCCATGTATCTTTGCTTTTCGCCAATCTTCTTTCATGACACACCACTCCTGCTGTCTTCAGGGCTTGCGCGTATAGTCCAGCTTACTTGGAGAAACCATCATGCTGGTACGCAGTTCCTCACTTGTATGGATTATCTCGCTCGCAGTTGAACCACCTCGGTCATGGCTCCTTGCTCGCAGCGATTCCTTGCTTTGATGATTGATCTCACTTGCACACATTCTCCGTGGCACAAATTTAGTATACTTTCTTGATCATTGCAGACTTCTCGCATCGATGTACGAGTATGCAAATTATTATAATAGACACGGTCACGAGTCTACATTGTACTTACCTTACATGGCTTAGCCCTGGACTGATCCGGGCCTCATTCTTTGAGATCGTACTAGGAGGCGGTCTTTCATATGGAGTAGAGACCAGAGCGAAACTTTGAAGTGATATTCCGGTGTGAAGTGGGTAGGACTATAGCTACTAGCATATCACTTTGCACATGCACAAGAATAAACCTCAAGTATATATATTATGATGAAAGGATTGTACCATTAGATAGCTTAGCTATAAAAGCCAATTTCTTCGATCCCTAATACTTCTTCAAAATGACTTCCGAATAATGATCTCGTTTTGTATTTCCACCAATGCTGCCCGGGGATTTATAGAGAGCAGCCTTCCGTTAAAGGAAGGCGGTGACGTCTCTCTTGCCCGATCCTTCGTCATTCTACCTTGTCGGATCTCTCTACCCTCAAGTTTTGTTTATACGAATCGTCAGCAATTTAGCGAACACTATCGTTTCTCTATTTATTTGATTCAAGACGTTGTTTTAATTCCAATGAGACATACGCGCCTTAATACCTTTTTCTCAGCCAGTTCCAAAATTAACAGTCAACTGACTTGAGAAACACAGCGTTTCTTTTATTTCGCCGGGCCCCCTCCCCTCCCACTCTGGGCAAAATCACCGATTGAAATGGGGTGAAAGAGTCATTACTATCATCTTTGGCTCGATGATTCGGACACAAACTTGAAGAAATATCATAGAGCCTCCAAGATAATCGCTTGCTCTGCGACCTTGAACCATGCATCCCCTTGTTTCTGCGTCTTCTGGCTGTCTATAGCCGATTTTTCAAGGCAACTGAGACGGTAATGCTCAACCATGTATGCCACCAACACTTTCAGTATCGTATCTGCCAACGCCTGGGCAATGCATTGGCGCGGCCCGAAGCCAAAGCGCCAAAACCGATAGCGGAAATACGAGCGGGATTCGGCCAAGAATCGTCGCGGTCGGTAGCTCGTCTTATCCGGGCCCCAGGACTCATCCCGGATATTTAACGCATTGGTATCGACCACCATGTAGGTTCCCTTGGGGATGCGGAATCCACCAACATCGCGTTCCGTGGGGATCGATTGGGCGTAAGTGTAATTCGTGACAGGCCGCAGCCGCGCGGACTCATTGATGCAGCAAGCCAGCATGGTAGAGTTGCTGGCAATGTATCGCGCCCACGCATCTTTGGAATTGTCCGAGCGTATATCCGAGATCTCCCTTCGGAGCTCCTCCTGAGATGCGATGTCCTCGGCGAGGAAGGACGGGATCCATGAGAAGCTGCCGATCGTGACGTCAATGTTCGCGAAGAGCGCCTCGTCGAGAGTATGCATCAATTCTGTTGGGGTGAGCTGGCCACTCTCGACCGCTGCATACAAAGGCACGATCGCACATGTGAAGCCCTGGCTGCTGGCTTTGACGCGTTGATATGCTTGCCGGTTGAATTCCGCCCACCGCGTGTGGAAGACGCGCAACTTGGCCCGGATGATCGGAGAGAAGATTTTTGTGAAGGAGAATAACGAAAGTCCGCCCTTGAAAGCATATTGGAAAATATCGGTCCGCAGGTCGGTGATATGTAGGAGTTCTTGCACCATCTCCGGAGGCAGTTCTCCGTACAGGAGATCACTGATGACCCAGAAAGGCAGAAGCTTCAGATCTTCGGCTGGCTTCAGACGCCACGCCTCTCCAACACGAATTTCCCCGTGAAGGTCGTTGAACTGTCGGACCACTCGTGACTGGACCAACGGGACGTAAGTAGTGGCCTTCTGAGTAAATGGAGGCGAAACCACCGCATGAACATGTTTCCAGTGGCCCCGGCTGATGAGACCCACCCCATCCCCAACCAGATTCCCCATGACCCAGCCCCCATTCAGGTTCGAAGCCTTCTGGTGATCTCCAGAATCTCTGAAGACTGTTTTGATCTCCTCGGCTCGAGTCAATATGCTAGCGAGGATTAGTGGTGCCAGACGGATTCCTGCGAACAAGACACATACATCTCAGGCGTCAGACCAACCCAGATGCGATAGACCGGTCCATACTCCTCCACCCATCGACGAGAGACCCTTTCGTATTCAAGGAATTTGAGACTCCCTCCACCATCCGGAAATCGGTACGGGCAGGTCGGAATCGAGGCTTGGCCGTCTGTTGAATGGATTGGGTACCACCAAAGCAACGCACACTAAAAATTAGCCTTGAATCTCACAGGGGCAGCCGTGGAAAAAGACCAACATTCACCAAATAGGAGATAAGCCGATTGAGCCAAGTATGTGGCGTAAATGCGCGCCAGAAGGCCAGTAAGACCAGGGCAAAGCCGAACTGGATTGTCAGAGCGATTTGACTGGCCATCATGTGAATCTAGTTGTTGAATACTCTGGAGAGTGATAGCCAGGAGATCAAAAGCCAGAGACGAGGTGAGGCTTGACTACATAAGGTCAAATGACATGGACCCAGCTCACTGACTGACTGGCTGAATGCGTAACAATGGAGAATTAACCGACATCGATGCAATATCCTCACCAGTGATGAGCATGTGGTGGCTGCCATGTAAGGGTTGGGTAGTGAATTGACTGGTCTAGCTATCGAATGCGCCGATTTTGAGGCATGGGCATAGGCATGCTCGGTCGTGCAAGGGGGTCTATTTTCGGTCGTACAAGGGAGATGTATTCATGGTTGGTAGCTCTTGAACATTTTGCAAAAATGTTCAGGGTAGAGCAATCAGGATTGGAAATGATCTCAACGCCTCGAAGACAATACTGCCATCTCAGTCACTGTTGAGTACAATATTCTCCGTTTCTAGAGGCCCTGCCGATCCTCTTAATTATCCGATTTGTTCATACTTGGCAAAGGAATCCCATCATGAAATTATATCTTGATCGTCATGTCATCTCTTTTCCTCTAGATGAGGAATTGGTGGTGAGATGGACCGCGAGTGGCACATCTATGCCACCAGCGCATCCGATCAAGGCGGCATGGGCACTACTGCTTTCCCGAATTTCGGGTGTGCCGACAAGCAGATTTGGAGTGATTGAGACACCTATGGCTTCGGTTGTTGATCCAAAGGTCAATCCCGCAAGTTCGCAGCTACCGAATCTAGAGACCTGGACGATATCAGAAAAGGACGACATTATTCTGCAGGATGCCGCCGAGGAGCACACAGAGCGTCTGGTGGAAAATGAGGCAACCACTGCTATCATCATCAGCTGGGACGGTGAAACAGCCCTCGTAAGTGATAATAGAACTATCTTCGGCAAGCAAAGCACTAATTATTTCCGAGTTACCATCAACCTTTCATACGGTTGTGCTCTTTAGTTGGGGCCTATCACCGGCTCAAATACACATGAGCATCTCGGAAGAATCTTTTACAATAAGCCGAGCCTGGGCACAACTGACTTGTTTCGTTCGGGTCCTGGAGCAGATTATCCTGACCCCCGATTTGCCGTTGTCCAAGGTAGACTTTCTCGGCTCCTATGGCGAGAAAACGATTCGGCAATGGAACGATCCTTATTCGCTGTCCAGACCGGTTGTCTGTATCCACACGCTAATTCAGGAGCATTGCCACAGTCAGCCTGATGCTGAAGCTCTGTGTGCCTGGGATGGATCCGTCACATATGCCGAGCTAGATCAGCTATCGCTAGCAATCAGCATTTTGCTACAGGCTCATGGAGTAGGTCCCGAGATTATAGTGCCGCTTCTATTTGAAAAATCCCAATGGACCGCGATTGCCATCCTGGGGGTGCTGCGGGCAGGTGGCGCTTTTGTTCTGTTGGACCACTCCCATCCTGTGCATCGTCTGGAGGAAATTTGCGTCGAAGTCGAGGCAATGATTATCCTCACTTCTCGTTCGCTGCATGAACTGGGCTGCCAGGTACATCGGCAAGCATTTGCGGTCCCGGGAATCGAGATTGAGGTGGATGAATCAGACCGCAATCGGACCCCAGTCGTTAATTCATCCAATGCTGCTTATGTTGCATTCACATCTGGATCAACCGGAAAGCCCAAGGGAATTGTGATTGAGCACCTGTGTTTCTGCGCGAATGCCCTAGCACAGAATGCAGTTCAAAATATAAATTTACGGACTCGTGCTCTTCAGTTTGCCGCTCACGCCTTTGATAGCAGTATTCTTGAAATGCTTATGACGCTAATTGCAGGAGGCTGTGTTTGTATACCATCGGATGGGCAGCGTCTGAACGGCCTGTCGAACGCGATTAACACCCTCCAGGCTAACTGGCTGGAATTGACTCCATCCGTTGCACGCTTCCTTCAACCTGATCAGGTACCGGGGGTCAAGTCACTGCTACTCGTCGGTGAGCCAATGTCCCGTAAGGATGTGAGCAAATGGGCTGATAGGGTTCAACTTCTAAATGCCTACGGCCCTGCTGAGTGCAGCGTGGTAACCACAATCCAGCCTCGCGTGAAGGCAAATGACCCGAATAACATCGGGCGTTCCTACAGTAGTCACTGCTGGATTGTTAATCCTCAAGATCATGACCAACTCGAGCCTCTGGGTGCAGTGGGGGAGTTGATTGTTAGTGGACCGATCGTGGCCCGAGGATACCTCAATTACCCGCGCCAGACCTCATTCATTAGCAAGCCCTGTTGGGCGGCTCGCTTCGGCGTCCCCGAGGATGAACGGTTCTACAGGACTGGAGATCTTGCTCGGTATAATGTGGATGATGGGACGCTGCAATACATTGGGCGGAAAGACCGGGAGGTCAAAATCCATGGCCAGCGCATTGACTTGCAAGAAATTGAAAATCTTGCGTCTCAGTATCAGAATGATGTAGCGGCAGTCGTTGATGTGATTCAGCTAGGAGACAGCAGCGCAGGAAAGCTTCTGACAATCTTCCTGGTATTCGCAGATACAGACCTGTGCTCCGATAGCTGCAAGAGTCAGGTTGTGAGTGCGGATTCTGTCATGCGTGCTGTGTCTCTTGGCATGAGATGCTGGCTCCAGGAGCGCCTGCCACCATACATGATTCCAACCAAATATGTGTGGGTCAGTGGGTTCCCTTTGACGCGAACTGGCAAGCTGGATCGTCGGGCATTGGTAGATCTAGGAGCAGCATCCACCCAGTCACGTACACACAATTCAGAAACGGAGTGTTTGAATAAGAAGAGCCATGAGAACGATGCCTTGGATCCAAATTTTTCCTTGAAAGAAGGCCTCATCCGTTCTTTATTCGCTGCAGTCTTACAATGTCCTGAACAAGTCATCGGTAAACATGATGACTTCTACGAACTGGGAGGAAATTCGCTGGCCGCGATTGAGCTTGTCGCTCGTGCGCACAGTCGAGGTTTGGAGCTGACAGTTGCAGAAGTCATACATTCTCAAACCCCCCATAATATTGCTCGGTTCTCCCTGGAGACTACAGAAAGTCTTGAAATTCTACCTTTCACTCTTGTGAAGAATCTTGACACTGAAGAGATTCTATCTACTGCCGCCGTCCAGTGCCAGGTCACACAGAGTCAGATCGAGGACATCTACCCGTGCACTCCTCTGCAAGAAGGCCTAATGTCGCTGTCAACTAAAGCCCCGGGAGCCTTCATCGGCACATATCAATTCTCAATACCTTCTTCGACGAGCGTGACTCAGCTGAGTGCCGCGTGGGAGCGGCTTTGGATCGCACATCCGATACTACGGACACGAATCGTCTTGGGAAGGGATGGAACCATGATACAGGTCGTCATAAAAGAAGCTTTGCTTTTTAGGGAAGGATCATGCGCCGACGATGACCGAAGACCTATGGGCTTCGGAAGCAGACTTGCACGACTGACGATTCAGCGGTTCAATACCCCTGTCCTATTTATTTTCACAATTCACCACGCAATCTTCGATGGATGGTCGTATGTGCAGCTACTCGAAGACCTGCATTATTTCTATAAAGGCCAGTCACCACCATTGCGGCCCGCATTCACTCAATTCATTCATTATCTTGCGACATCAGATTCGAACATGAGCCATTCATTCTGGGAGAATGAGCTCAAAGGTTATCAGTCACCCGTTTTCCCATCACCTTCGTCCCGACGGCTATCAACCGGACCTCGGTGGCTTGTAAGAAGCCATTGGGTCGATTTAGCCAATCTTGAGGTCAAGTGGAAGCTTGCAAACCAAATCAAGCTGGCATGGGCCTTAGTCGTATCCTCTCAAGTAAACTCCGACGACGTCATATACGGGCTGACTGTTACTGGTCGAAACGCTCCGGTTCCTGGGATTGATCGTATCACAGGCCCAACGTTCACTACATTTCCTTTCCGGACACAGCTGAAACCCGAGCTATCTGTTCAACAGATGTTAGCTGAAATCCAAGAGCACGATGTATCTATCATGCCATATGAGCATACGGGCCTCGAGGCTATTGCGGAGTCCAGCCCGGACGCAGCTTGGGCTTGCAGCTTCCAAAACCTTCTGACGATCCGACTCCGCTCATTTCAGAGTCCATCCTCAGCCTTCCTCGACTTACCTGAAAATGAAGAGGAAGACCTGAATTTTGCATCTTATCCCCTTTCAATCGTGGTTCAACAGAAGGATAGCTTGCTGAAGATCAAAGCCTTCTATGACGGTGAAATCCTAACTTCCAATCTTGTCCAGGGCCTCCTCGATGACTTTGAAACTTACCTGCAACATGTCATCCAGCAGGCCGAATCCATGATTGGGGATATGAAAAGGCTTGCCTCTCAACGATGGCAGCAGGTGGCAGAGATCAATGCAGAAACTCATAATCAACCATCACCGAAGTGCCTTATCGACATTATCCAGGCGCTCAGTGTCACGCAGCCGGAATGTGAAGCTGTGTGTGCATGGGATGGCTCCCTGGCGTACAGAGAGCTAATCAACATGGCACGTAGTCTCGCAGGTCATCTTCAACTCTCAGGATCCGGCCCTGGGACGTTCATTGGGATTTGTCTGGAGCGTTCGAGGTTCTTTCCGGTCGCGATCCTTGGTGTTTTGATGTCGGGAGCTGCTATGGTCTTATTGGAGCCGAACTTCCCGCCACAGCGATTGAATGGGATTCTGAATGATGTAAATGCGCAGTTTGTCGTTTGCTCGCCGGGGATGATAGAAAGGTTTGAAGACGAAATCAGAGAAACAAGAAAAATCATCCCTTTCGCATGGCATCTGGGGGACTGGGAAGGATGCGATTCTTGGATTCCGCCACCGGTCAGCCCTAGCGATCCGATGTATGTTGCCTTTACCTCCGGATCGACCGGTACCCCCAAAGGAGTAGTGATAGAACATGGAATGGTCTACTCGACGATCCTTGCCCACAAAGATGTTATAGGCGCTTCAAGGTCGTCTCGGTGCTTGCTTTTCGCATCTTCAGCGTTCGATATCTTCCTGGCGGAAGTCTTTTTTATGCTCGCCACTGGGGGCTGCGTCTGTATTCTCTCGGAAAGCCAGCGCATGAATAATCTGGCCCAGGCTATGTCAGACTTGCAGGTCAATATGGCCATGTTAACGCCTTCAGTGGCACGGACACTCTCACCGAAGAAGGTGCCATCTCTTCAGACACTGATCCTTGGTGGTGAGTCTCCCTCGGTGTCTGACCTAGCAACATGGGCCCCACATGTCCGGCTGCATCAATCATACGGCCCGGCGGAGTGCACCATGTACGCGACGACGACGGCCCAGTTGGCCCCTGATTCCGTTTTGAACAATGTGGGATCCTCTATGAATGCGACCTATTGGATCGTCAACCCGGAAGACCACGATGAGCTTATGCCTGTTGGTTCGATGGGAGAGTTATTGATTGGCGGTCCTCTTGTTGGACGAGGCTATATCAAGCGACCCAAAGAGTCGGCAGCTGCGTTCATTTTGAATCCGATCTGGAGCCAACAGATTCCTGGTCTGTGGGGCTCACGATTGTACAAAACCGGGGACCTTGCCATCCTGAACTCGGACAAATCCTTGCTTTTGGTCGGTAGAAAGGATACTCAGGTGAAGCTCCACGGACAGCGCATTGAGTTGCATGAGATTGAGCGTTGTGCCGAAACCTTCAGACCCGATCTTGCAGCAATTGTTGAGCTGGTGGAGATTCAAAGCGTCCAGACATCCAGTTTAGTCGCATTCACCTACAATCCAACCACGGTGAAGAGAACGCTAGCTATGACATCTTCTCTTTCTGGCAGCCAGATGCCATTCCTTCCGCCATCAACAGACAATCGACTTCTTTCTGACGGCCTGCTAAATCATCTTCAGCAGCACCTGGCACCATATATGGTACCGTCGTTAATACTAGAATTGTCGTGCCTGCCCCTCGGTCCAACTGGAAAGATCGACCGCAAGAAACTTAAGCATGCTGCGTCGATGCTTGAAAAGGAAACGCTGAGAAAGCATCGGGGCGGTGTCGCTGGGTCGAAGACGGAACCAACAACGCACCAGGAGCAATTTGTGCGCGCAAACTTTGCAACCGCGCTGTCAGTGGATGAGGTAACCATTGGGTTAGAAGATAGCTTCTTCGCTCTGGGTGGTGATTCCTTGAGTGCTATGCGAGTTTTGACCCTATGTCGGCGTGGAAACATGAACATCTCCATGCATGAATTTCTCTCCCATGACACGGTATCTTCGCTTTGCGCTCATGCCAGTAGATATCAGGAACAGTGTCCGGATCCTGCTTTTCAGAATAGTGTGATTCCCAAGCATCACTCGGAGAGTGAGGCTAATAGTTCTGTCAATCTCAACGATGTCGCTCACAATCTCGAAATGATTCGATCTCAATTGACGTTGCTACAGTCACACATCATCGAGGACATCTATCCGTGTTCGGACGCCCACAACGGTATTTTGGAGCTGTATGCATCCAAGTACACGAGTACGGCGATCTTCCAGGTTCTCCCCAGCGGCTCAGTGAGTGCGGTCCAGGTGAGCAATGCCTGGAAGCAGCTTGTCGAGCGCCATACGGCACTGCGCACAATCCTCGTCGATGATCCCAAGGCCCATGCAAAGAAGTACCATGTCGTCCTGCGTACAGGTACCGCGAAGGACCGGATCTTTGCATCCAGCAAGATGGCACTTGCGGATTTGAGAAACCTGCCACACGTTGAGTCATGGGACCTCTCCACTCTGTATCGGCTTTTCATCGGGCAGGGTGATAGCGGAGAGGTGTTCATGCGGTTGGAGACGGGTGGGGCGCTGATCGACGCCTTTTCCATGTCTACCCTCATGAGGGAGCTATGTCTCACCCTCGATGGGCAGACGTTGCCCTCTATCAGTGTCACGTATCGCCAATACCTGACTCACCTGCTGCTGCTGCAATCGTCGGCCAAGGCTTTGCGATACTGGTCGTACATGCTGCAGGATGCCCAGCCATCTCACCTCCCAAAGCTTCCAGATGATACACCTAGAGCCTCAGCTTTCCCCTCGCCTCGCACGCAGCGATACCGTCTCTCGCCTGCCCAGTTCCACGAGCTCAACGCATTCTGGAGGACTCATCGCTTCACCATCACCAATGTTTGCCAGCTGGCCTGGGCCAAGACTCTCAGCCACTACACCAACACTTGCGACGTTTGCTTCGGCACGGTCACTTCCGGCCGCGAGGACCACCACCTCGACGTCTGGGACTCCGTGGGCTCCTTCTTCAATATAGTGTACTGTCATCTCGCCCTCGGTTCCGAGGAAACGGTGTTGGAGGCCTTGACTCGGAACCAAGTGGAGATCCAACGACGAACGGAGCACCAGCACTGCTCGATGCCCGAGATGGCCCGCAAATTTGGGGCGCAGCCGGACAATAATGAGGACAAGCAATTGTTCAATACTGTGTTGACCGTACAAAACACCGTCTCGACCAACTCACATATAGCGAGTTCCCAAGATAACGAGACTATCAATGGTACTATAAGCACCCAAGTCGAGCTCCTTGATCTGGAAGATCCCACCGAAGTGAGTAAGGCGGCCATTCATTCATTCACCCAGCTCTGGAAAAGCACAGCACAGAAAATATTCATCAGTGCAATGAAAAAGCTAACCCTGTGTCCTAGTACGACTTCTGCATTGCCGTTCACACCTCGCCGTCCCAGATCGACTTCGAACTCCGCTACTGGACATCAACCGCCTCGGAGAAGTATGCGTCGGAGATCCTGGCTCGAATGCTCGACTATCTCGACCTAATCGTGCAGAACGCGATGGACCCGCTGCAGAAGATTTCACGGGTCTAATTATAGTGATTCCTCTCCCACGCCTCAACTTGAAACAATATAAGGGCCAGAAAGCAGTATCTTCATGATAGTTGTTTAGAATATCCTTGTTCGCTGGCCAGGCTGCCCGCCACGCTCCATATTGATACACAGCTCTGCTCAGATAGCCTTGCGTATACGTACTAGTAATTTAATTCGTGATTTCTGCATCCTCGACAATCCTTTTAGAGTTCCAATGACCACTACTAGTATGGTCTTGTGGTACTTATAACATGACAATCCACCGATAAGAGAAAGTATAGAAAATAACCATCCCCGGTGTGCCTACCAAGGTAGTTAGACTCAGAAATTAGTGAATTAATTAGTCTGAACAACAGGCAGAGTCCGAGCCATCATCTTCGTCGCAATGATCCTGTCGTGAAGTCAGCTCCCTAGGTACTACGTAGAACATCGTCAGGACGGATCAACGATTTCGCGGAGCCCCTGCTTGGGGTTATCACGCAGGTTTATTATCTTAGGATATGTCCCACCATGCACATGAGACCCCGTGGACACAACTGGCACCTCTGTCCTATCGACAGTCCTCGCAAGGCCCCTGCATTCTGGAAACTGCAATGGGTGGAGTCTTCGGGGATGAGGTTCCGCAGTACTGCATCAAGAATGGCTGGGCAGCCCATTGTTTGTTTCGTCCCCCCTAAAAACAAACAAAAAAAAAAAAAAAAAAAAAACCATACCATCAGTCATAAGAGCTCAGGGTTTCCCATCTTCATAGCTTATGATAAGCGATCCAATCCAATCCATCTCATGGAGAAAACCGCTGCCAATGGAGAAGACCGTCACCGATCGCGCATCACAAGTAGTACCCAAGGAAACACCTGATGCAGCGTCCGAGTCGCGCACAGTCCTTCCAAAGGCCTCGACGGTGGTATTTCTTACTATTGCCCTCTGTCTAGGCGTCTTTTGCATGTCCCTGGTGAGAAAGCTTGACAAAGCGTCGGAAACTCCAGTGATTACCAAACTGACACCACCCTCTCCCCAGGATGTTACCATCATTGCTACAGCCATCCCGCGTATCGCTGACCAATTTAACTCTCTGGACGACGTGGGTTGGTACGGGAGTTCATATCTTCTCACCAATTGCGCCACAACCCTGGCCTTTGGCAAGTTTTATACCTACTACTCAACCAAATGGGTGTACCTCTCGGCCCTCTGCCTATTCGAGATCGGGTCCGCCGTCTGCGGAGCGACTCCCAACTCTCTCGGTCTCATCCTGGGTCGATGTCTGGCTGGTCTGGGTGCCGGGGGTCTCTTCTCCGGCAGTCTCCTAATCATCGCTCAGGTGGTGCCTTTACATCGCCGTCCAGTGTTTACGGCCTTGCTGGGTAGCATGTTTGGAATTGCTAGCGTTATTGGTCCTCCGTGAGTCGATCCGTGACTTATCTCCTTCGCCCTCTTGAGTCGATAGCCCCGCTGACCGGATATAGCCTTGGTGGCGCATTCACCGATCACATCTCGTGGCGATGGTGTTTCTATATCAACCTCCCCATCGGTGCCGTGACGGGTCTTTTCGTATTATTTTTCTTTCATGCTCCTGGACCAGTTCAGAGCCGACCCAGTCTCCGTCACCTGCTTCGAAAGCTTGATCCGATTGGGACAGTCCTGTTCTTGCCTGCCATTGTTTGTCTATTGCTGGCGCTGCAGTGGGGAGGTAACAAATACACGTGGGACAACTGGCGCATCATCGTGCTGTTTGTGGTCGCGGGGGTGCTTCTACTCGCCTTCGGGGGCTGTCAAGTCTGGCAGGGAGATGATGCCACACTCCCGCCACGAATTGTGCGTAATCGCGACATTTGGTCGTCGGCTTGGTTCGCTTTGACGCTCAACGGTGCCTACTTCGTGTTCATTTACTATGTAAGCTGTTTCCGATCCATTTCCGTCTTCCTAATTCCGTCAACTGAGTTTCCACAAGCTTCCCATCTGGTTCCAATCTATCAAATCCGCCTCGGCCACCAAATCCGGCCTCATGAGCCTCCCGAGTATCCTGGCCGTCGTGATTGTTTCCATTCTCTCCGGAGTCACCGTCATGGTCTTTGGTTACTACAATCCCTTTATGATCCTGGCGTCGGCCATCCTCGCGGTGGGCGCGGGACTCCTCAGCACTCTGGAGCCGGACTCGGATCCTGGCCTGTGGATCAGTTATCAGATCCTCGCGGGTATCGGAGTCGGCCTTGGTCAGCAACTACCATTTGTGGTGGTGCAAAATGTGCTCCCGGACAGCGACGTTCCCACGGGGACCGCTGTGGTCACCTTTGCCCAGACACTGGGAGGGGCGATCTTCATCTCCGTAGCGCAGAGTGTGTTCACGAACCAATTTAGGCGAGTCATGTGGGCTGCGGATCCGTCCATCAGCGTGGCGGAAATCCTCGCCGCGGGAACGACGACGCTTCGGCAGAAGTTGCAGGGAGATCAACTCACAACTGTCGTACATTCCTACAACTCAGCGGTGACACAGGCATTCTATGTGGGAGTCGCGCTGGCCGCGCTTTCGGTGTTTGGAACACTTGCCTTGGAATGGAGGTCGGTCAAGAAGACGGAGAAACCCGCACCTGTCGAGGCGAATGCAAGTTAGCGGGTTTTCGTGTGTCGCTGCAAGGAAACAAGTCCCATTTCAAGAGGAATTTTGTGTGAATAGTCTGGGTTTCGAGGATGAGCTGGCCCTTGGATTGTCGGGTAGCCTGTAGGCGTGTATTATCCGTAGCAGGGAGAGCATCCCATGATGTATCATCATAAATCCACAAATCGTATGAACTGACCGGACCTTAGAGGCAACCGGTCGATCCTCCCATCTGGAGGCATCTAGTATGTAGTGCATCTTGGCAACAGTACCCGTGAAGACGAAAGTCCCTTGCATACCTTTGTCATATCCAGGCCACATACCACCGATGCATGGATGCCCGGTGAGGCAAGGCGACGCGAGCAATCTACTCATGGGTCAAGTTGCTCTTTCTTAGCTTTATCCTCTGAGTGTTAGTTGAAAATACCAGAGCAAAATAAATCGTCAACTTTCGAACTGAGCAAGGTTGATCGAACATACTCCTGATCTCCCCTCCACCATATCTATCACCATGACAATTGCCGCAACTGCCAACCCCCTCCCTAAAGAGGGTGCAGAGCCGGGGCTGACGAGGATCGGTAACTCAACGACCCCGTATTATACACTCAGCAAATCGATCCCATTTGCCAACCTTGACCAGCACCGGTACTGGCACGCGGTAGCCCCGATGCTGGGGGAGATGCTCGCCCGGGGGGGGCTACAGCCTCCATCAACAATACGGATATCTGAGCTTGTTTTCACAGATGATCATCCCCAGATTGGGGCCCTTCCCCACCCAGCAAAGCATCTACAAGTGCCTGCTCGGAGGCACGGGCTCTGTCGAACTGAGCCAAAACATTCAGCGTCGGGGATTCACCACGCGTGTAGCCTTCGAGCCTACCAGCTACATCGCCAGCACGGGCGTGGACCCCTTCAACCGGCACGCCGTGCACGCCACTCTGGCCGAGCTGCGCACCCTGGGTGCCGCCCAGATTGACATGGAGCTCCACCACCACCTCCACGGCCAGCTCACACTTACCGACAGCGAGGAGCAGCGCATGACCCCCGCACAAGTCGCCGACACTGTCTGGCGCACGCAGACGCTGCTCGCTCTAGACCTGAGCCCCTCGAGCGATATCACCGTTAAGGAATACTTCTACCCAAATCTCAAATCTCAAATGACTGGGCGCAGCGTAGCAGACCTATGCTTTACAGCCATCCGCTCCGTTGACCCCCAGGGCTACTTCGCCGCTGCCTCGAGGGTTATCGCGCGCCACATGCAGACCCAAACTCAGACGGACCTGTACTTCCTCTCGTGCGACCTTGTCCACCCGGCCACCACGCGCTTCAAGCTCTATCTAATGGAGCTTGATATGCGGTGGGCTAAGGTTGAGGAGCACTGGACGATGGGGGGCGTACTTTCGGGCGATGCGGAAGTTGACCAAGGGTTGGAGATGCTCCGCGAGCTGTGGCGGGATTTCGGGATCATCGAGGGCCTGCGTGACGAGCCGGAGCGGCCTTCGCTGCCGGGGGACCCGGATACCATCATTCCTTTCATTCTGAACTATGAAATGCACCCCGATCAGCCCTTGCCTGTTCCGAAATTCTACTTCCCGTTAGTGGGGATCCCGGAACTGAAGATTACGAAGGTGCTTGAGGCGTTCTTTGAGCGACATGATATGCCGGAGCAGGCGGCAGTGTATCGGGAGAATTTGCAGTCGTACTAGTAAGTTGTTCTCGAAAAATGGATGTATTTTGTGGCTTGCTGATCTGTGTCATAGCCCGAGCAAGGATTTGGCTACGGCAACTGATCACCAGGCGTGGATGTCGTTCTCATACACGAAAAAGAAGGGGCCGTATCTTACTATGTACTATCACTAGTATTAACGTAACCGGTAATTAAGTGAGTAGATTGTGCAAGCGAGTGCAACCACCAAATATACCCTACCCTTTAGCCTAACAAAGCACTGTATTTATCAACCACACTGGCAAATATGGATTTATCCTTTTAATAAGTTGACTGAAATTATGCAATTAAAAGAAAAGACCATTATCGGTATCACGATCTTTTTGTCATTTTCAAGTTAAACATTAATGGGCTATCTTATCTCTGTCTACCTACTAGACATTTTAGAATCCTATAATAAAACGGGATTAGGTGGTATCGCATCCTTCGCAACTTCTAGAGGGCCTATTCGCCGTGAAAATATAGTTACATGTGCACCCAAGTGGGTACTAGATGCCAGAATATCGCTATATATATTTGATGGGTTGACTGACCTCCTGAAGCAACTTGAACTTGGGGCAATAGAAATCGCTATCCCTAACTCGACCATGTTCGGGATCTGCCCCACCACAATCATCTAGAATGAGCAGCTATCGCTATTTGAAATGAAATCATCTCCATACAGCCTGTATTGTTTTCCTTGATGACGAAGAATCCACGTTGTTTATTGTGTGGAGATAGATTAGATTAACACAAGCCAATCAGGTGGGCCGGGCCGTTCCCGATCTCCATTCCGAGTCCGTAACCCGTCCCACCCCGCGTCCCGTCCTGGGCGGAGGTCGCCCTTTGAGAAGGGCTCACAAAGATGGAAATTTTTGAAATTCCTACTCCGTACTCCGTACATGCGCTCCTTCTCCTTCTTTCGAACACCCCTGTTCATATTCCAGAACAATTTCCCGGAATCCTTTCAATGTTCAGGAAAGGACGTTCACTCCAAACACGCATCATCCGTGCTTTTCAAGGTGCTACCAGCTACCAATTGAGTTTCTGCATATCTTATCTATATTTTCTAACTTCAGCCCTGCCTTTTCGAAAGGGGCTTCTGTCAGAGCAGCTCTGAGGGGACTGAGATACCCGTCCTCGAGGTTCAGTTCAACAACATGCAGAACCCAGATCAGAGAAGACAGAGACTACATAGAAAGACATGGAGGAGCCCATAGAAGCTAATAGTGAGAACGCAGCAGCGCAGTCACCAGGGAATCAATTTTCTTCCTACTGAGCATTAATTGGCATCGCCACCAGTCTTTTAGTCTTCCAGACGGACGCAACTTGTCTGGGTATAGCACTGTCTGTAAGCTATCAAGATGCCTCTTTTGCTGTAAACATACTCCTACCCCAAGGGACCTGGTACAGTCAGGCTGACTGAATGGCGGTGAGGAGTTTTTCTTAGCCTGACTGCAAGCAATTTCCTTCGTACGATTTACTCCAGATTTCAGAATTTCTAAGTTTATATACGACTTATCGCTAGTTTGATTCTTAGAAGCTGCTGTCCTCTATAGCAGTAGTATGAGTAAACCCTAAATCGTCTAAAACCCCAGAACTTTTTTGTTGGGGCACGACCGGGAGTAGGCATCGCCATAACTAGACCTGTGCAAACCCATGGGCGTGCCAATTGGCAAACCCGCCCATAACATGCCCATAAGTGGGGCAAATAGTAATATCATGTGATTTGCATAAAATATGAAGAACTAGGCTCTATTTGGCAGTATTGCTGTTGTATTAGTCCTTCTTGGCCGTTGCTATAACTAGCCAATTTGTTACGATCGCAATGGCCAATTTGGTGTAGACCTTGCCAAAGCCCGGCCTGTAGGCCTTCAAACAAGACAAACACTAGATAATTTAACAGTGTATAATTTTTTTTTTTTTTTAGGTATTGTACTGTAATAATTTAAGCTAAGATTTATATTTAATACGTAGATTCAAACAGAATTATTTTATAATAATTACAGCTAAGGTTTATCTTCTATATATTTCCAAAAAAATTAAAATTATTCTATCTAGTACTGTATAAATATATTATCATTACGTCTTACCCGTTTATGGTTTCTGCTTGATACTCAAAGCTGGGTTTCTGGTAGAGGAAGTAAAACTATGTCACGGGATTCGAAGTATACGATACCCCGGACTCTCGAGGCCGATTCATGGACGAATCCCCTTTGAGTCACCTGCATATCGATATCTACCCGAACCCTAATGTATTTAAGATCCTACAAGCATTCTGAATTCTTGATCTTCTCAAGAATCAGTGTCTGTATCGACTGCCCAATCTGATCTCTACCGTCCGATATCCTTGCCTAGTCACAGGTCTCTAGCCTGACAACTTAGTAACCATTACAAAGCCATTATCAGAACATTCCTTATATTTACAACTAGCGTAGCAGAAGCAGAGGCTTATATCGTTATAGTATAATACTGGCTCTAGCGACAGGCTATAAAGATATAGATAGATATATATACCCTATCTGTAACTAATCTACTCTGTAGGGGTATAGCTCAGATTAAGAAATTTAGAAGATACCACCGCTTACTATTATATTAGGTCGCAGACACGCTGAAAAGTATTAAGATAGAAACACTGGAAACCATTAATCCATTTATATTAGCACTATAGGAGAAACGGGTATAGGGCGATAGTCAGGATTTATCAGAGCCACAGACCAAAATAGGCGGAGTTATACAGATCGCGGTCAGCAGCTCGGTGCGGAACGAGAAGGTAGATTTTGGTGTGGCGATTGAGAAGCAGCCACCTCAGTATCGAAAACCGAGGCTGAAAACTTTCTCCGTCACACTGGGTGCAAGAACCGAGCAGAACCCGGCTCGTCACCAGCAGAACCGCCGTTCGCAAGCATCTCTTTATCACTCCGGTAAAAGAATATCGATCAATCCTCGTTTTCGTGGCTACTATTTGGTATGTTGACTTCGAAATTGTGCAACGAAATTAACTGACTTGTTGCATCGCACTAGCCTGGCATTTCTCGACACAAGAGGTCTTCGAACAGCAAGTGAGTGTAGCTGCCCAGCCATCTGGAATCATGTTAACTCGGAAGATGCTCCATATCGGCCCGTCTCCGCTATACCTCGGAGATTCCATTGAAAGAACCTTTCGGGACCCCAAATAGTCCAAGCTGCGAGCAAAGTGAGTTACAAGTTGCCTTCATGAACTGCCTGCTGATGATTGATGAGAAACAGATGTCATACTCTTTACAGTCCTCAATACCAATATATGAGAACCTAGGTTGTGAGCTCTGCAGCAATTTTTAAAGCAGATATTATTGTGCTGAAGACCCTCTGTAGGATGGCAAGCTTTCTATCGCGAGTCACTCAATGTCTTGTAAGTCACGCTTGTGCTTTGCCCCTGCCCATTCCCGATGCCCGGGACTGCTTTTCAATCCCCGTAGATTGCTACCCGTTCATGGCTTTCTGTTCCTCAGCAAAGATCGCTGATAATTCTGTTCCATCATAGCGCGAGCTTCAATTTTACACTCGACCTGACAGAGCTATGTCCCCCTCGTCTTTGAAACTAACCCAGCTTCAACAACCTGATGGGCCAAGCCACTGAATCCCACTACGCTTGCGTCTTTGTTTTGTCTGAAAACGTGGTTAACACGGCCACTTCGCCTGGCGCGTTTAGCGGGCTCCATTCAGAAAGGCTCGCTACCCTCCGGTTAGCCATATGGTAGAGTTCCAACATGCTATCTATCACCTCTTCCAGGTTCACCTTGTCCGACCAACTGGCGGCTTTCCTGGCTTACCAAATCTGTGGGCCAATGAACAACTGGTAAAGGGTTCCAATGGACTGCAACCTATCGACATCGTGTAGTTCGATTTAAAAGCACTATCATTCGACACCATCGTCGGAGCTTGGAAGGTCTTTCGTCATGACTGGCAGGCACAAACAACATGGCCTTATACTTTAGGCAGGGGTGAACGGACAGGTTGATCATGCTGGAACCTTCCTTGATATGTCAAGACCTTCCTCGTAATGCCACAGAGTTGTGAGAGTAGCCAGCAGCAATGCGCTATTCGTAGTTTCCAAGGATAAAAATCAATCGTTCTGGGTCTAAACCAATCTTGAGATAGTCTAAAGGCGACCAGGGGTTGCGGCCGTTGATTCCACCCACGAGATGTTACTGAGGGCTGATTTCATTGGCTCGTCATATGGGCTAGAGGTGGGTGCTAGAGACCCGTCCGCCCAGTGTATTGCCGACCGACGTTAGTTGAGGTGGGCGCTGTTATGACCCCTTCACTCAGCCAGAGATGCGTGAGCAAGCATGTTCATGTCCACTGTAGGAGTGAAAGATTAAGCCGCCGAGGTACCATGCAAAGCCCACTCAGTAAAGAGACAGCGTTGAATTGGCGACCGCTGTGAGATAATACTTCGCAATTGCTCGAGACCAGTTCTGAATGTTGAGAGGCAGACCCGAAATCAACACGAAGAAAACAAAACCGCGGGCCTCGGCGAACTGCTGTTGAATGAGATAACTCCTCTTCGAAATGGAGTTTTCGTATTCGTTTTTAGTCAGAGTACGCGCCCATCCCTTCTTGAGGTATGGCCTCAACCCTTCAACATGAAGGCGGTAGGATGTGCAGCGTCTTTGGAATAAAGTTCACCCGGTCTCGCCCGGGACTTGCTAACCACCGGTGAAAGCAAAGTAGACACGTCATTCAGGTTGATGTCGCGCCACAACACTTTTTTGTATTTACTTATTTTCTTGCCAGCGATTAATAATTCATGGGTTGTACTGATGCGCCAATCCTCTGAGCTCGACTTACTCTGCTTGACGCTGCTCTACGCATAATGACCTGGAGGATTAGAAATGAATGCAATTATTATGGCACAGACTTCCTCGGGTGCGTTTCCGATTAGCCCGTAGGCCACAGGCGTAGCCTTGATTTTTTTTTTAACATAGAATAGTGCCTTGGCTTTTAGGCAAGGCTAAAACGACGGTTACGTAGCTAAACATCCCAATTATTCAGGAAGAAGCAAGGCCTTTGCCCTGGAGCCGCGAAAAGCCTTATCTGCAATCTAGGAGATCTCAAAAATACGCTAGCTTTGGAAGCCTCGAAATTTACAATATCTGAGATTTGAAAACCCCAAATCTCCTATATCTCAAGCATTTCATAAGATCGCTTGATTTCTATCGAGAATTTTGTAAATTTTCAATATATTTGCGCTACTGGTAGGTGAGAGCTCTCGTAACCCGCGATGTTTTACGAGTGAGGTCTTACTCCTCCACGAAGGTTCCAAAACTATTCAAGCATGACTAAGGGGAAGCGTAAAGGCCGTCGAAGCTCTTCTTCTGTTTTCAAAAATGTCATAGGAGCTTCCTTCAGGTTGTAAGAGCCTCTCCTACTTCTGGCAGAATTGCCAGTCGTGGATGACAAGAGGTACAACTTGGATATCATAGATCAGCCAGGATCTTTATTTCATGCTCATGTGATCGCTCTTTCGACCTCTCCTTCTCACATTTTCCTGACTCTGTACATTCACTCTGAACCTCCTGTCGTCGACGGGCATACAGAGCTGCGCCCCGAGCCGCTGCAAATGTTGGATCCACTGTCGTTTCTCGATTCAATTGGCTCTGAGAATTCCCTATTGTGATTTGGAGATCACCGGACAGGGGCGGTGATAAATCAGCCAAAGCATCTCTCAAGATGGCTAGAAAGCGGTGATCAGTTGCACTCTCGCCAGCTAAAAGAATATGCCTAATGGGGCCAGCTGCTTCGCGAGGAAGGGCCAACAAGTCTCTGCGAAGATGGTCCCACAAAGAATGATCCGACGGCTCAGCTTGCTCGATGAGGTCCAGCCCTATATCAAAATTGAAAATTTGTGCCCTGTCCGACGTATACGTGGCCAGTGCTTCACCGTGAGTTGGACGTATGATGCTAGTGTACAGCAGATGGCGACTAAAAGAGACGAGATAAACCCTGGGCGTAGGCGAATCTTCGAATTCGTCCGAGCACTCGAAAAGGTCTTGGTAATCCCTGCACAATCCATACCCATTCGCTGCGTAGACAGTGTCGGCCTCTACCAGATCATTTGTGTAAGAAGGGCTATCCCCTACCCATGTGCGTAGGTTCAACTCATTGAGAGCAGAACTGATTGTGTCGCTGTTGAGCGAGGGAAGATCGGGAGCTGTGACAGCAACTCTTTGGAGATTTTGGGATATCGCTTCCTCGGTAGCCTGCTTGAGGTCGTTGATCAAGACCCTGAGTATTTGTATTTCCGCGTTTACCTCCCAGCCAAGTTTCTCTTTCAGCCAACGCCACCAGTTTTTCCAGGAAGAAGGTACATTTGATGAGAGTAAAGTTTCCTCTAGATGCAGCAAGAAGGTCTCCGAGAAACTTTTGGTTTGATGTAATGATTGCGATGGTTTGGCAAGATCCTTCATTAGTTTCAGATACTGGGAATTTCCAGCGATCTTGCCAACTTCCACCACTGTTCCGTTGTAGTAATGGACCACGGCCGTTCTGAGAATTGTTAGTTACCTCAAACGCTATTCCGTAACAGGGATCTCTGGTAGCTCACCCATATGAGGGGGTCAAATCAAAGCCAACTCCAGGCGCGTCATGGATTGTCACGGGAAGACACGTCTCACATCGAGGCCGAGGACAGTCATATAGGGCGCTGACCAGCGATATAAGAAACGCCGATAGAATAATATTGATAACGACAAATGCTTTAGTGTCTCCCATATTCTTTGACTTCGAGGCGTTGAGAAATCCGTGGTGGAAGGAAAGGGACTTAGTGGGGGGAGGGTGGGAAAGGTGTGTTGTTCGTGTGTGATCCGCGGATCTGGTAGGAGCCACATTGTTTCGTAGTCTAATCTAGGCCACTAATCGTCATTTGGTACTGGTATGGAAATCGCAATAACTCTGTCATTTCTGAAATACTGGATGAAAACTACTCCGTATTTAACATACAATTACAGCTTTGTAAGCAGTTTACCTAATAATGCCAAGCAATTTGGACGTGTATTCGACTAGTAATGGTATACATGTCGCGACATCATCTCCCTGTTCCCACTGTTCACCAGGCCCACCTTCAGCTAGACATCCAGTCTCTGTCACTTGAGTCGGGATACTTTGGCATGGACGCACCGGTGGGTGGGCCGCATATTTCTTGTTCACTGCCTGATCCACAGCACCGTCATCGTAGGAATTGCCCGCCGGTCGGCGTCATTGTCTGGCCCTCAATTGGCCGCATTTGGGGTGATTTCTCCAATCCCCTGTCGTGTCTGGCGCGGAATCCGTTCAATGAGCTGATAGAGCGTAGGCGACCGTCATTTTTCTCGCAATACTGCCTGTGACCCTTGCGGTCATCTTCGACGCCACCCGCAGCTTATGCTCAAACTCCACTATCTGCTCGCGGTCTGCTGGGCGGCTGTCCTGGCATACCATCTGCGGCATGTGCGATCAATTGCGAACAGACAGTATGCTGCCCTGCTGTCGCTGCCATCTCGCGATATTGCTGTCACCTTGAAGGCGGGCCACTCCGTGGACGACGTAAACGGCCGCCCCAAGCGATGAAGCCGACGAAGAGCACACAGCAATTGAAGAGCGAATAACAATAACGGTCTCAATCCCTCCTGAAATGGCGAAGGAGCAATTGCTTCTGGAGAAGGCGGGCCACTCCGTGGACGACGTAAACGGCCGCCCCAAGCGATGAAGCCGACGAAGAGCACACAGCAATTGAAGAGCGAATAACAATAACGGTCTCAATCCCTCCTGAAATGGCGAAGGAGCAATTGCTTCTGGAGAAGGCGGGAAACTATATCCGGAAGGCCAAAAAACATCGACGATGCTTTCAATGTTACGGTAATAACATGCTGTCTGTTCATCATCGAACACACAAGTACAGCGAATACAAATCAACTTTGCGACACTTTCGAGAAAAGCACTTACAGGATCGGAGTGTCATATGTGTAGCAAGGATCTCTTACATGAAATGCATCGTCGCAGAATGCAGACGATGTTCATCGCCTTGCTACCAAACGCAATTGCTACGCCAAAGAAGAATCGGGATCGGAGATTGATACGGATTGACTGAGGCACGCAATCTGTTTATCTCAGGCGACATTCAGTCTTAGTGGACTCACCAAGAGTTTCATAAAAGCACTGAAAAAGTGTGGCAAGTCCTTCGCGAAATTGTTATTCTCTGCGCGATCCTCTGTAGTGATGGTGTTATTGATTCGCGACCAAAATCTCCCCGAACTTCACCCTTGATGGTTGATTCCGAATTGGATCTCAATTTCACTGTACTGTATCCATAATTGTAACCACCATAGTTACTAGAGGTGGCTAGGCCAGAAATTTGGCTGATTAAACCGACTTCTTGCATGGAGACTTATACTCAACCGTGAAATGGTAAGCAAAGTAACTGAGGAAGATCTGGTTATACCTCCCCGCGCGATTACTGGGGAAAGATTTTGCAAGTTCAGAAAATCAGTTCTAGTAACAGTTAGATTTTAGATCCTAGTATGGGCTCAGACTCACTGCCAGTGATCGAATAATCCAAGTTCGAGCTACTAATATACAGGATATTGCTTGCAAAGCTATTGTTTTCCATGCCATACAATATTATCGCCCAGTGGCTAATAAGAAACTCTTGGTGGTCTCTCGACATTGTGTAGTAATAGTTTAGTGTGATGTCTCTTTTGCACATTCTATGCTGGGTTCAAGACGGTTTTCCCCTTATTGAGCTCGCAGGAAAATCTTTATAATACAAAAGATATACCGACGAGCCTATGGCGTTTATTGTATGCTCTTTTGCGTATAAGAGTATTGGGAAACCTATCCAGAAATGTTCCATCAGGCTAAGGAGTAAGAAGCCTTTCCGTACATCAACTGTCATTGTCTTCTCTTCGACTTTTGTGGTCTACTGGGTCTGGTGTATCGGAGGTGATCCCCTGTTCGAGAATGACGTTTCGAATTTCCTCGCAAGGAGACTCAAGAGCACGTTTGAAGAGGGATTTCTTCAAGCCGTGAACGTATATGTCTGCACCATGCTCAACAAGTAACCGAAATTCTGCAGGTTTTTCATGATTGACTGCCGTAAATAAAGCCCAACTAGCGGCATCAGCATCAGCACCGTATTCGAGAAGTAGCTTAATAAGAAGATAGCTCTCGTCTCGTTCTATTGCGCGATGAAGTGATAGAGTAGATTTCCAGGTACCTCCGAGACGACGCCGTGTCGATGGTGCTTTATGAATGTTTGGATCGGCGCCAAGCTCGAGTAAAAGCTTAACAACACCCACTGGAGATGGTGCAACAGCAAGAGCAATATAGAGTGGGGTGCTGCTATTGAATTTGAATTGGAAATTGACATCGGCCCCCATCGTCACAAGATCCTTGATACGACTTTGGTCACCACGTTGTGCAGCGTACCAAAGCATCCATTGAATTTCAGACTGGATCGTCAATTTGGGATAGAAAAAGCGGAGTCTACTAAGCTCCCGAAGTAGATAGTCTGCTATTTCATTATAGCCTTGAGAAGCCGCATCTGCAATAGGACGTTGGCCGCGTCTATTGCACAATAGTTGGCATGCATTAAGTGAGACGAACGTTTTGACCAGGGCAAGATGGCCATTAAGAGCTGCTAAAGCGAGTGGACTCCGACCGTGGCAATCCTTAAAATTGACATCAGCTCCCTCTTGTATTAAGAGCTGCACTACTTCCACGTGCCCGCTACTCGCTGCATGAGATATTGGATGTTCTCGTAGTCCACTTGCGGGTCGTCTGAGATATGGCGCCTGCCTTCCCCATGGTCGTGAGCGAGTCCAATAATCGGAATTCCAACGAACATTGGCTCCAGCATCAAGAAGTCGTCGAAGGGTGTTTTGAGAGCCGTGTGTTGCCGCCCAGAGCAGCGCAGAGGAGTCATTGTACTGAACGTTGCAATAATAAAGGTAATCGTTCAATGCGTGGTGGAGCGACGAATGAGCCTGGATAAGCGCATTCAAGTCCCGACTATCGAGTTGGTGTGCTATGAGCATGAGGAGCTCCGATGGAAGCCAAAGGATGGACATGGTGCCCAGGTGCTCAAATCTCCAAGATTTCGAAAGGGGAGGGGTGTATTATTTAAAAAGCCATGACTAACTTCAACCTCCATGAAAATACTTCGTTATTGGTTGATTGACCGCCGAGTCACCCAATCAAGAAAAAAACGCAGCTCCACTCGTCCTGCTATCCCCTTCCGTCAACAACAATGTCTCCATCTCCAAATCAGGTTAGGCTAAGGCAAGATGCCATGGAACGAGACGGCCACATTCCATCGGCCATACTAGCCATAAATAACAGGTACTAGGCACTTCCCTGTCGCAGGGAATTCCAGGTTAACCGTTGTGCGCTCAGACGTTCCGCATTGCTATCAGTCGCGCCGAAATGCTCTCAAATGGCATGAAAATGACGGACATCAAAGAAATTCACTTCTGAAGTGGATAAAAACAATAGACGATCTTGGTGAAGCACCTTTCGCAAAACCACCAGCAATGCGAGAGATGGCTGATTACCATGTCATCGCCCAGCAACCAACCACGACTCTGGCCAATTCAAATTGGGTCACAAGATTTGTTAGACGTCACCCTAAATATATTCCGGCCCGTCCCCCCCCCCGGGGACGCGCTTAGAAAAGTCTTGGCGAGGGGGGGGGGGGACGAGTAAATACGTCCCCCCCCCCCTAACTAGGTCACCCCTCTATAATTTTCGATCGGGCTTTTTAGAAGTTTGATTAGAATTATCTATACTATCCTCCTGTCAGGTTTAACAGGATGATTTCTAGTCAGAAGGGTAAAACCCTAAGGGGTCTGATTTTGGTAGGTGATTTTTTAATGGGGTATGCCAAGACCAGGACCGACGGGTAGTCTATACCCTTTTTGGCCAGCCTTCTAAGCCTAGGGTTTCTGCCTTAGCTATGAGGTATTCTAGGGCTTTTGGGTTAAGACTAGGGTTGCTGCTTATTGGCTAACTAGTGAAGCTAACTAAATCTGGTTTGTACTACTATATAGGTAAGCTTAGTGAGTAGGGGTCTAGAAGGCTATGATTATATAAGCAGGGCCTATAGAGGTTGAAAACAGTATAAAAGAGGTCTGGAAATTTTTAGACTGCTGACTAATATTAATTTATATAGGGTAATAGAGGGGATTTTAGTGATCAGAATGATATTAGTATAAGCTAGGTAAGCCTAGTGGTTATTGAGATATTGATAAATAAATATTTCTATTACAGATATTACTACGGGTACTGTGGCCAGTTGTTGAATAATACCTTATAGTATATATGTCTATACCTAGGAATATTAAAGTATAAGCTTGAATATTATAATCTTCTTAAAGTATTAGAAATAGTATATAATCCTACTATAGTAAGGTACTAGGGGTAAGGTACTAGAGATAAGGTGCTGGGGGTAAGGTGCTAAGGGAGAGGTACTAGGGCTAAGGTGCTCAGGGTAAGGTACTAGTGCTAAGGTGCCGGGGCTAAGGTGCCGGGGGAGAGGTACCAGAGGTAAGGTACCCAGGGAGAGGTGCTAGGCGAGAGATGCTAGGGCTAAGGTGCCGGGGCTGAGGTGCCAGAGGTAAGCTGTCCGGGGAGAGATATGTTACGCACTCGCTAACTGGTCGCACTATTAGTGTTTGGACAGTTGGTAGAACTCACTTTTGTTATTCAGTAGAATAACGATTTGCGCTGAGAGGGCTGGATTCGGCCTCTCAAGAGCAAACACCAATAAAGCCTTAAGTATCGACTCGCAACCGTACCGTTGCTATGCTAAGCCTTACACGGGCTCGGGTCTTGTTGAGTAACTTCGAAGGGTGTGCCAGGTAGGGCGCCAAGTAGGTCAGTCCGATGAGCTCCCCGTACTTGTGTGGGTTTGTCACTTGTGTGAAACTAGAAGAGTAATCCGAAAGGTACGTCACAGTAACTTAGATTGATTGATCGCGGAGAACTAAATACATGTGCGTGGACGAGCGTCCCTATATACCTAATCCTCCGTGGTGTGGTATGTTGGAGGGTATGTCTGGTGGTATACCAGAATCGACCCTCCCATCTACCCGTTGGTATACCCACTGGTATACCCAAGGTCACGTGGTCTTACCGGGTACTTGTACTTCTGGCGTAAAGTTGGTGACGGTAGAAAGAACGCTTGTTCTTGCGTCGCGCTAGCCGTCTCGTGGTTTAGTGCAGTATTGTTTGACACGGCGAATCAGAGGCTGATTCTGGCCGTTGGTCACGTGATCCGGTTCTGCGTTCTTTTCCTAGGAACGGTTGGCTCTCGGTGGCCCATCTGTAGGTCGCGGCCCCTCGTGTCGCAGGGTCCGTAACATCATCTCCCCCTCTCCTTGGTTCTCGTCCTCGAGAATCCCTTATAACCGCTCACCCCCCTCAGGTAAGTGTCGGTCCCTTTGATTTTTAATTTTCCCGTCATGGTTCACCATGCCTAAACCCGCTGTTCAAAAACCGAAACGTAACAAGTACGCTGACAACAATCGTCTTGCCCTTAGAATCGAACAGTCTGGTCGCCCCACGTCATCCCCTTGTGATTATTGCCTGGTTCGCGGCAAGTGTTGCATTATGAGTCCTTATGCGAACAGTAAGAAGTGTTCTACCTGCGCCCGTCGAGGCCAGGTGTGCGAACGGAGCTTCCATACCGACAAGGAGTGGGATGACCTGCAGCGGGAGGAGCAGAAGGTGTCGGCGGACCTCACGGAGGCCCAAAAGCAATTTCTTCAGTATTCCCAAAAGATGAACGAAGCGATGGCGAAGATACTTCGCTTGCAAAAGCATCAACAATTTCTTAAAGATCGTGGTGGTCGGATGTTGGATCACGACTCGGTAGTGTCGGATCGTCTCAACGAGGACGATCCTCCTTCTCTTGCTGAACTGTCCGAGTTCGACCGTTTGGCCGAGCAGCAAGAGATTCGTCAGTTGGCCGCTACGTCAGACTCGAGTCTGACGAGGTTGGTGGCGTCGATGGACCAGATGCCGGATGCTTTCTGGGCCGTCCCGGACGTCTCTTCCCTTGATGGTGTTTTTGGCCAGTCTCCTGGTGGAACCGTTGAACCAGCTGGCGGCAGTCCGTCAGGTTCTCGGTAGGCTCCCATGTGTTTTCCGAGGTATCGTACCCCTTCCATTTTACCAGGTAGTGAGGTTTTCCGCTGACGCGTTTCATGTTTAGAATTTCCTCTACTTCATATTCGTTTTCGTTTTCCTCCTCTATTTCCACATTTGTAGCGAGTTCAGCGTTTTCTGGTGCGGTTTCGAGTAACGAGATATGAAATGTTGCATGGATGCGTCGCATGCTGTCTGGTAGCTTCAAGCGATAATTGACCGGTCCTGTTTTTTCTTCAATCTCGAAAGGTCCCAGTTTTAGGTGGTCGAGCTTCGAGCTCGGTCGCTTGGTTTTGATGTTCCGACGTAGGAGGTACACTTTTCTCCCCTTTTTTGAAGTCTGGTCCCTTCTGGCGGGATTTGTCGTGGTAGTGTTTCATCCGTAGGTTGAAAAATTCGATATCTCTAGCTAACTGGAGGTGCAGTTGCTTGAGTTGTGAAGCTAGTAGTCTTGATGACTCTGCTTCTGTCTTTTTTCCGATTGCTTCGCCAACGATCGAGGGATTGTACCCACAGTTTGCGAAGAATGGTGTTTCCTTAGTGGTTGTGTGCATACTGTTGTTGTACGCGAATTGTGCCAGTGGCAACAGTCCTGCCCAGTCATCTTGCTGGTAGTTCACGTAGTGCCTTAGGTACTGTTCCAAGGTCTGGTTGGTTCTTTCCGTTTGGCCATTCGTTCGTGGGTGATAGGCGGTGGAGAGTCTATGCTCAATGCCTACCATATCCGCGAATGATTGCCACATCTTGCTCGTGAAGAGCTTGTCTCTGTCTGATGTTATCTTCTGGGGTGTTCCGTGGTTGGCGAATATGTATCTGAATAACAGGAAAGCCATGGTGTTTGCGTCGATGGTTTCTGTTGTTGGTATCATATATGAATATTTCGTCAATCGGTCCACCACTACCATAATCATGTCGTGCCCGTCTGATTTGGGTAGTTTGGTAATGAAGTCGAGCGTAATCCATTCCCATGGTCGTGTTGGTACTTCCGAGTTCTGTAACTCGCCATATGGAGTGTGTCGCGATGGCTTGTTTCGTTGACAGGTGTCGCATTGCTTGATATATCTTATCACTTTCTTGCGCATGCTTGGGATGTAGTAGTTCCTCGAAAGGAGTTCCGTTGTCTTTTCTTCTCCCATGTGACCGTGCGCTGGGTCGTCGTGGTGTCGTTGTATCGCTTCGTCTTGAAGTCGTCGTGGGACGTAGATCAATCCGTGGATGTAGATCAACCCGTTGTCATTTTTGATGTATTCCCCATCCATTTCTTTCTCCATGATTGGATCGTCGGTGAGGCTGCTCTTCAGTCTTTCCATCCAACCATCGTTTTTGATTTCGCTGGTGGCGGCCAAAATCTGGTGATTGTACACTAGGTGACCGTCTCCATTTTCCTTGAGTATGGCCGGAACGGCTTCCTTGACCCCTATCGCGTAGTCGGGTCTTCTGCTGAGCGCGTCCGCCTGGCTGTTGGCTGTGCCTGGGCAATGTTCGATCCTGTAATCGTATCTTGCCAAGGTTTCTGCCCATCGTGCTTGTCGTCTTGTCAATTCTTTCGTGCTGGTAAAGAATGTGAGGTTCTTGTGGTCCGATTTCACAAGAACCTGGTGGCTTGCCCCTTCCAGGTATGCTCTCCAGATCTTGAGTGCTGACACTATGGCTAGCAGTTCCTTATCGTGGATGTCATAGTTGATTTCTGCGGGTATCATTTTCCTGGACCAGAACGCAACTGGTCGTGGTTTCCCGTCATCCCCTGGTTGGGTAAGTCGTGCGCCGAGTGCATAGTCAGATGCATCGGTTTCCACCGTGTATGGTTTGCTTGGATCTGCAGGTGCAAGTATTGTTCGCTCGACGAACAACTTCTTGAGGGCGTTGAACGAATTTTCTGATTGGTCGTCCCAGACCCACTTTTGATCTTTCTTTGTTAGTTTAT